TCTAAGAAATCTAGGCTAATTACTATTAATAAAAAGTACTATAACTATAAGAGAGGGACTAAGTATAGTTATAGTACAATAAATACTTCTTTAACAGCAGGCTAAGCAAGAAACTAGACTAGAAAAATACAAAGTTCTAAGTAGAGAAAGTAATCTCCCTCTATACTATAAGGTTAAACACTCTCTCTAGTATCTACCTAGTATTTTATATAGATAGGCTACAGCTATACTTTAGAAACCCCTTAGTAGGATAAGATACTAATAATTACTAACCTAAAAGCATATTAGAAAATATTAATAGAGAACTAGAAAACTACTAGAAAATTAAAGAAATTATAGGTAAAAGATAGAAACGCTATAGTAGAGAACACAGAAAATAATACCTAGTTAAGTAAAAGAATTACGCTATAACTTTATAGAAACCTATAGAAAACTTTAAAAAAGCTAAAGCACTAGATAGCTAGTTAGCCTTTTTAGAAAATAAATAAAATAAAATAGGTAAACTACTAGGGAAGTTCTGTAAGGGTTTCTCTAATAAACTACAATAATACTAGGGGCCCTAGTAATAGTAGGGCGTAGTAAAGAAGGTAGTAATTTTAGTAATAGTACTACTAGAAACTATAGGTAGTACACTAATAAGTGCTCTTACTAGGGCTAAGAATATAAGCAGCTAAAGAAAAATAAAAAATATAGAGGCTATAAGGAAATAGGTTAATAAAGATAAAATTAACTACCTATATATAGTAGAGAGAAGAGAGAAATAGTAAGAAGCTAACTAGCCTAAAGCTAGTAAATATCTAGAGTATCTATCCTATAAACACTAAAGAACCTAGGAAAACACTAGTAGGACCTATTCCTAATTAGTATTTATAGCCTAAAAACTATCCTTCTACTTATTAATATACCTATTAGGCTTACTATTACTAGTAGCTCTAAGTTTCTAGGAAACAGTATACTTAAAAACAATAGAGACTAAACCCTCTTATCTAGACTAGAAAAGACAATTAGAAGAGCTAATAGTAGAAGCCTAAAGGCTACTGCTAAAAGAACTAAAAGCTAAGACACTAGTACTATAGCTATAAGGCAGTAAGAAATTAAACTTAGTAGGTAAGCAGCTTAACTCCTAGGATTTAATAACCTTTTTAAGGGCCTAAGTAATAGAGTAGGTCTAATTATTAATAGTAAAAGCCTAGAAAACCTATAGATTAGCTAGAAAAACAGGTAGAAAATAAGGTTTTAGATACTAAAGAGAAGACTTACTAAGTCTATAAGGCCTTAGTTCTACTTCTAAATACTAGCGCATATTAAGCCTAACTTATTAGTAATTTTATAGAGTAAACTCTTAGTAACTAAGTTAGAAGTATAATTATTCTAGTACTCTTTCTAGCTAGGAGTAAGCTCTTAAGCCTTATTCTAGGCCTCTTTTAGATTCTAGACAAAGTCCTTATTAATGTTCTTAAGCAACTTAGAGAACTATAAGTCTATTTTAATAAGTAGTAAGAGCTTATAGATATAAATAATAGTAGGCTTAAGTTTATTAGAGATCTATAGAAATATTAGCTATAAATAAAGAGAAGAAAGTAATTCTAGTAAACTTACAGTATAATAAGCAGAATTTACCTTAGTAAAGTAGTAATAGTAAGTAGCCCTACCCTTATTAAACTTATAAATTTTACTCTAGGTAGCTAGATATATTACGTAGTTAATATAGCAAGAAGAGTTAAGCTTACTAATAAAGAGGACGTTAACTATAGAAGCAGAGCAGTTAGTAGGCTATAAGGTAGGCGTCTGTTTAGATAATATTAGGAAATAAGTAAAAGAATAGGTAAAACTTAGACAGGAAACTTATACTAGGTTTCTTACTAAATAAGTTAAATATAAATATAGAAGTAGTAGCAGAAAGCTTAGCCTTAGCTTTAGTAAGATTAGCCCTCTAAGTATCTATCTTAGCCTTCTTCCTCTTGCGCTAGGTAGGCGTAAGGGTAGTAGAAGTAGACTACTTACTACTAGAAACAGTACTAGCATAAGTATTAACTATATTAATAAAGAAGAGTAAGAGAGGTAAAAGCATATATAAGTTAAAGCTAAAAATACGCATATAGATATAGGTAGAGGTGTTAGTAATAGGTTAACACGTTGTATTATAGTAGGGTTAAAATATAAGAATTTTTGCTAGGGGGAGGCTTATATAATAGGCTAGGCCTAGTAAAACCTTAGTAAGTAAAGCCTTAGAGCTTAGCAGGCCTAACTACTAATACCTACTCTACTACCTATACTTTAGAAACTCTTGGTATACTACTAGAAGAACTATAAGTAGAGGAAAACTAGTACTATAGATCCTTAGCAAATTTATCTAATTTATACTAGCAACTACTCTTAGGGTTAGCCCCTTATAATAAGTAACTTATAAAAGGTACCTTAAAAAGTAGTAATATATTTTTACTATAGTATTTACTTCTATTTAGCTTTTTAGCTGTAGAGTATATATAGATTACTAGTTATAAAAAGTATAAATATAAGTATAAGTATAGATATAGGTATAAGTATAGGTATAAGTAAGGGTGTAGGTAGCTATAGTAGTATAGTATTATACTTAGGTAAAGTAAAATTACTAAGGGTATATATTTATATATATATATACTTTTATTAAGTTATTTTATAAAAAGTAATAGTTCTTAGTAACTATTACTAGCTTATTAAATAATTTAGTATAGCTAGTAGATTTTATTAGTAGTTATTAAAGGTATAGGTAAAATTAAAATTTTAATAGAGTACTAGTACTATTTAGCTAGTATATAAACTATACTAGTATAATATAAGCCTAACTACTACTATATCTTTACTACTAAATACTAGTTTACTAATTTTTAGTTTTACTAATCTATAACTAAACTTTTATATAACCTAATATATATAGCTTATAATAGCTAGTACTTCTAAAAAGAGAGGTAAAAAAAGTATTACTAGTTATATATATAATATAATAGTATAATTAAACTATTACTAACTACTTAAAGCCTTACTTCTAGTAGAATTATAAAGGCTAGTATTATAAGTTTAATAGTAAAGATATATAAATATAAGATCTTTTATAAAGTTATACTTAATAGTATTAAGCTAAAGGTAAAGTATACTTATAATCTAAGTAAGTAAACTATAGTAATAGTATTTAATAACTATTATTAATTACCTATAGATAAATCCCTTTATTAGATTAGTAAAGCCTAAAAAGACCTTAGGTAAATAACTTTAAAAGTACTATAGTAGAAGGTAATATATAACCTTACTAATAACTTTCTTAATTTATATACTAATAGTATCTTTATTAATAAGGTTTATTTCTAACCTAGTATAATTTATACTCTTTAAGTTATAGTTAAGTATACAGCTATAGTAATTTTTAAAAGTAAGTAATAATACTTATAAACTATTATATAGCTAATATACTTCTAGCTACTAATATTATAGCTATTTATAGTAAATAAGTTACTATCTAACTAAAAAATATAAATATTACTTTTTATATAATACACCTTCTTTATACCCTCTAGCTAATAATTAATACGTAGCTAAGTATAAAAGTATATAAATAGGCTATAGTATTAAGTATTAACAGCCCTATAAATATAGAACTTAAAAAGAAGTATATACTTTATAAAATAAGTAACTAATTTATAATAACTAAACTTTAAAACTATACCTCTAAATTCTTTAATAACCTTTTTAAAAGATTTTAAAATACTTTAAGTACTTATTACGTAGGTATTATAAACTATAATAAATACTTAATAAAGTAATTTATAGTTTCTTAGGCTCTTTACTATATAGTTCTAGGTATACTAAGTATAACTAATATACCTCTTTTTCTACTTTACCTTAATACTAAACTAACTAGTAAGATTAAGTTACTTACTAAAAAAAATAAGCCTTAAATAGCTTATAAGTATAATAGTTACCTAGTACTATTACTTATATTAATTATTTATAAAGTAGAAGCTGTAAAGAAGGCCCTATATATATAATAGTATAATTAAACTATTACTTAAGCTAATAATATATAGAAAAAGTTATACTAAATAAAGATTCTAAGTAAAAGAATAAAAATCCTAAGTAGAAAAATAAAAATCCTAAGTAAGAAAATAAAAATTCTAAGTAAAAGAATAAAAATCCTAAGTAAGAAATTAAAGATCCTTAATTAAAAATTAAAGATCCTTAACTAAATATTAAATTTTTTAATTTTAATATAAGGCTAAACCTTACTTTTAGTTTATACTATAATATAAACTTAAAAAATATAAATAAAAAGTAACTTTAGGTAATAATAACTTAGCTAGCTATAAAGATATAGTAAAAAAGAAAAAAAGGTAAGTATAATAGTTTTATTTTACTATTACTATTACTTACTATTTATATTTTTAGAGGCCTAGCGTAAATAAGCTAAAATTAAAGATATAAAATATACTATTACTACTACTATAAATAATACTACTAATAAAAATAATAATAATAATAATAATAATAACTTTCTAAAGCTAAAAGACCTTAATAACTCTAAGTACTATACCTCTAAATAAGAAAGTAAGTAAACTAGTTTATCTAAATAATATAGTAAATAATAGAAACCTAATTTACTAGATTTTAGTAATAGTAAAGTAATACTAATAGTAAACTATTACTTATATAGTAGCTTCTTATAATATAAGTCTTCCTATAAGGCTTAGATTAGGTAATAAAAGCAGTTTAATTTATAATATAATACCTAACTATAATAATAATAGAATTATTAGCTTATAAAAGAAAAAATATACTTAGTTTACTATATTTAGTAATATTTAGTTCCCTATATAACGCTTTACGTACTAGTAATTATTGTAATTATACGGTGTAACGTTTTAATTTTGGTGGTTGGCGGATTCGGTAAGATGGCCGACCGTACTCGGGCGCACAGACAACGATTGCGTAGGGCGATGTCACAACCACGTCGCGACTGCAGGGCAAAATCTACCAACACTCACCCGGGCGCATACAACTTCAACATGACAAACCGTCGATAGCTCCGATGTCTTTGCAAGTTTCAGACGACAAGCTCGGCGACGCCATCCTCCAGTCGGTGCAGCATGGAGTGTTTCCGCAAGATGAGCATGTGGCATCTGCGACGGTGCCACCGAGCGCACTACCAAAGCTGCTAGAGGTTGTTGAGAGGGCAAGGGTGGACACACAAGTAGGTTGGAACTGCAGCGTGTGTCCTGTTTGAAGTACAAGCCATGCGCCGACTGTTGAAAGGCTTTGGAATATTGCTCGACTGACAAGACACGTCTTCTCAGCAGCTTGTGCAGACACGACGCATGTCACTCTTTCGAATCCGCAAAATGGAGCATGGCTTGTACTTCATAGAGGCGCCACCACGCACAACCTAGGAGAAGCTGACAAGGTGCTGCAGAACGAAATCCGCAAAGTCTCTCGCGAAGCCGCACCCGACGTCGACGGTTGGATAGCCCAAGCGCGCAAACTGCAGGACGACATCAAGCGCTCGCAAGAAACTGCCAAAGACATCGTACAGCAAGCAGAAGCAGGCAAGGACAACACAGCGCGCGTTCAGGATGCGGCGAGCAAGACCAGCCTACTACAATCGGAAATTGCATACAACGAGAGCCTCGCGCAGGTCCTGGAACAGTTACGAGACATCTCCGCCCTGTTAGACTCGGCGCGCGATGCTGCAGTTGGTGGACATGTCATGTATGCGCTAGACAGGATGGAGGATGCAGACGAGGCTTTCAAGAAACTGGGTGCCTTTCAGACTACGAGAGTAGTTGGCGTGCTGAAGACCAAGCAAGAGACCTTGAGGAAGGCAGTCGTGGAGAATATCACAGAGTCATGGAACGGCCTCATCCTAATCGACGTCGCGAACCGCAAGATCTCACTGAGAGAATCGATCGAACAGGAAGAAGTCGTGGAGATTCACACCGTTGTCGAAGCACTTACAAGATTGAACCTTCTCGACAGCTTCCTCTCTCGGCTAAGCCGCGACCTAGACAGAAGTATCATAGCGCCTCGACTCACGACTGGCACCGACAGCGTTGTATGTGGCTTCGAGGTCAGAGGAGATGACCTTCAGGGCACAGGCCCCATGAACGATGAGGGTATAAAACCTACGCTGCAAGACATCCACATCATAGCCGAGTACCTGAGCACCCGCCTGCCGGAAGCAATCGCCATGCCGTTGTCTTTGAAACTAGTCCCTGTCATTGCGTCGCGGCTGATATCCAATCTGCTTCTCCCTGCTGTTCCAGTATCGACAGACGGGGTGCACGAGTTTCAAGAGACACTGTCATATGTACTGGGTCTTGTCGAGTATTTGGATGAGCTTGGGTGGTCAGGACAGAATCGTCTGACAGAGTGGGTTGACAGGTCCGCTGAGATCTGGCTGGCCAAGCAGAAAGAGGCTGCCATCGGCAAGGTACAGATCATGTTCCAGAAACAAGTTCAGGAGAAGACGACCGTGGAAAGAATCGAGACACAGTTCATCTCCAAGGGTGACGCACTACATGATGGCCAAGAAGAAGACAACGAATGGGGCGCTGACTGGGACGAAGGAGAAGACCCCGAAAAGGAGGCAGAGATGTCCAAAGCTCTGGAGGTAGAAGAGGAGGACATGAGTGCTTGGGGTATGGAAGATGAGGAGCCCGCCGAAGAATCCAAAGCACAAGGTGAAGCACACGCAACGAAGCAAGCAGACGACGAGGACGCAGAAGATTGGGGTGCTGAATGGGGCGATGGCGAAGACACAAAGCAAGTTTCAGCACTGGATGTTGTAACAAAATCACCAGAGAGACCAAGGACGAACAGAAAGTCTGTATCTCAAAAGCCGCCTAAGGAGCAGGAGGTAACATTGCGAGAAACGTATACGGTGACGGCCATTCCCGATTCCATCATGGAGATTATCATCCAAGTTGTTGCAGATGTGGAGACTCTGAACTCACCTGATCTCGTCAGGTCTGCCATTGCACCTGCTAGTGGGGGTCTTTACACTATTCCCAGCTTGTTGCTTGCCATGTATCGAGCTACAGCCGCAATCCACTACTCGAAAGACATCGCTGGAAACATGCTGATCTACAATGACTGCCAACGATTATCGGACCGCCTACGAATCTTCATGCAGGAACAAGCCGAGAAAGACACGGCTTCCAACCTACCTGAGTTGCTTCGGCCGTCTGTTCGTCTTAAGCCTAGACTCGATGCCGACATTAAAACAATCGATGGCTTCGGCAAGCGCGCATATGGGCGGGAGATGGAATCACAACGACAAATAGTGAGAGACCACCTGGAGGATGCACAGGGCTTCCAAGGATGCACCAACGCTCCCTTCTCGACAGTCTGTGACGACGCGATCGCCACGACAATTGACAGAATAGGCGACGTGAAGAGACAGTGGCAGCCCATTCTCTCACACTCGGCGCTGCTTCAATCTCTTGGATCACTAGTGTCAACTGCTCTGACAAAGTTCGTCAACGACATCGAAGACATGCCTGATATTGCCGAAGACGAGTCGCGCAAACTATATAGCTACTGCAACTCCCTCACGACACTATCTCAGCATTTCCAAACACCAAATGACGCTGGAGAGACGAGAGACATGTCAGGCATATATACGCCTAATTGGTTCAAGTTTCAGTACCTGTCTGATATCTTGGACGGTAGTTTGGCGGATATCAAGTATTTCTGGACAGAAAGCGAGCTGAAACTGGAGATGGAGGCGGAGGAGGTGGTCGGGCTGATTGAGGCGCTGTTTGCGCCAAGCGAGCATCGCAGAAAGGCAATTGCTGAGATTCGAAGAACGAGTATGCGCTAAGTCCTACGGGATATTTTATTTTAAACTACATGTTCAGATACATTCAATGCCTTGTGTTTCTCATCCCTTGGTGAAAACAAACATTCTCAAAATCTCAAATGGTGTCATGATCTACCGGGTCGTGAGTGCCGAGCACCTGGATATCCCCGCCATCGGGTCCATGATCGCCCCCAAGAACGCGTCAAAAGCATCGACTAGGCTACGTCATACCTTCCGATCGAGCTCACGAACGGCAACAACGGCTTTTCAGTGCAGCTTTTGCATGCCAAGTAGTGCTTCATGGCAGGTTATGACCGAGAGAACCTTGTCGGCACATTCATAACCATAAATCGTAAATACAAACGGAGACGTAATTGGTGACTTGTACCGGCATCGACATCCGCACCTCGTGATTCAAGCTCTGTTCAGCGCATTCCCTGTTTTCTTGCTCGGAGATTTATGAAACATTGCCCAGCGATTGACGACGACTCGACCTCACGAATAACTGATTGAACAAGGCAATACAATCACTTTCCACAACCCATCAGCACAAACCATCAGCACTACCCTCCCCGCCATCGACATTGCCTTCAGCAAAACTCGTCATGTCCGGCATCGAGGATGTACAGAGTCAACGCAAAGACTACAGACACCCACACAGCGGCCATAACCCGATACCAACAATATCTGGATATCGCGAAGAGCAGCAACGGAGAGATGAGCGATACGGCATTCCAGACGACCAAGAGGAAACGAACGAACGAAGCAGACGTGACAAGCTCGGTGATGCGTACAACGCCTTCACTGGCAAAGATGACGACAATGCAGCGGATAACGGCCCTACATACCCAGCCGTAAACAAGAACACGATACAAGATGAGCCAGAGGCGGAGGATCATGCTGGACAGACCCACTTCTCGAAAAACACACAATCAACACAAGACCAGGGCTCTCAGGACGGGTTCGAAGACACCACAGAGGGTTCACAGTATGAGTCAAATCCGAAAAAGGCGCGCAAGAAGATGAAGAAATTTAATGCCGATGGAACGAAACGAGAAGTTACGGATCCAATCACACATCTGCCCGTCACAATCCATGATTTTACCGACAAGGACCTGAAGAGCATAGAGGTCAATAATCCGCCTGTGGGTTTTGAACCAAAGACAAGGACCGGAACGGATGGCATTGAAAAGACAGACGAGCATTTTGAACAGGACCAGCAGGATTCACAGGACTCGCACGCCGGCATGCAAGCACTCTTTCCGCCTCCCGACTTCGATGCAACACGAAACGAGATTACCACTGTGTATATGCATGCCGTCACAGTAGGCCTAGGAGTCATTGCTGTTAGTCTAATAACAGTGAGTGCGCTGTTTTCACCCACACGCCACACAACCAACTGGACAAGACACATGTTCCGGGTTGTCGAATATGCATCCATGCTGGGGATCTCAGCAGGTATCATAATATTCATGCGGCAATGGACAGCAAATAGAATTAAGAATGTATGGGATGTCGAGGTTTGGCATGCAGAGCGGAAGAGAGGCCGAAAGCTGGCAAAAGGCGCGAGTGCTGAGAGTGCGCAATGGCTGAATTCTCTCCTTGCGTCCGTGTGGCCGCTGATCAATCCTGACTTGTTTACTAGCATCGCTGATACTCTTGAGGTAATGCTTCCGTCTACACTGTTTACAACGAATCATCTAACGTTCATAGGATGTTATGCAAGCTAGTTTGCCGAGCATGGTTCGTATGGTGGCCGTCGAAGATCTCGGACAAGGAAGTGAAGCGATCCGAATCCTCGGCGTCCGGTGGCTTCCCACTGGCGCCGCTGCCAGATCTGTTGGCGCCGATGGAAAGCTAAAATCTGCAGACGAGGAGAAGGGCGATCGAACTGTACAAGACAATGGCGAAGGCGAAGATCCAGACGCAGCGCATGATACTATGGAGGCTGAAGAGGGCGATTTTGTTAATGTCGAGGTTGCGTTCGCATACCGACCCTCTACTGGACGAGGTATCAAGTCACGAGCAAAGCGTGCCCATCTTCTTCTCTCATTCTACCTTCCTGGAAAAGTCAAGCTTCGTACGTGTACTCTTTTCTCCAGATACCAGGATCTCTGCTAATATTTTCAGCCGTTTGGGTACAGTTGTCAGGATTTGTTGGTGTTGTACGTCTCCGACTGCAGCTTACTCCGGACCCACCGTTTTTCTCAATCTGCACTTTGTCCTTCTTGGGCCAACCGAGAGTAACTCTTGGATGTGTGCCACTCATCAAAAAGGGCCCTAACCTCATGGATGTGCCCCTGATTTCATCTTTTGTGCAGTCTTCTATAGATGCTGCACTCGCCGAGTACGTGGCGCCCAAGTCACTGACGTTAGACCTCAAGGATATGATGATGGGCGATGACTTCAAGAAAGACACGCTTGCGCAGGGTGTTTTCGTCGTTCGCATCAAGCATGCTTACGACTTCAAAGAAGGTGACGCAAGCTTTGGCCCCCTTATCAAGGGCTCTGCAGACCCGTACGTAAGTGTAGCATGGGCCAAATTTGGGAAGCCGTTATGGTCGACGCGTGTCTTGCAGAAGAACATGGAGCCGTACTGGGACGAGACATGCTTTGTGCTCGTTACATCTGCTGAGCTTGACGTTGATGAGAAACTGAGAATCCAGCTATGGGATTCGGATCGCACGACTGCTGACGATGATCTTGGACGCATCGAGCTAGACATTAAGGAGGTGATGAAGAGCAAAGAAACCAATGGCAAAATGTGCGATCGGGACGACGGTTTCAGGGCCGTCAAGGCTGGTGAGCCCATGCCTGGCAGGCTAGTCTGGAGCATCGGCTACTTCTCCAAGAATAGGATTACCGACGAGCAGTTGACAAGGCAAGAGGAGGATCCCAATATCAAGACTATAGAGCAGCTGAAGAAAAAGGTGTACGCAGATGCTGAAAAAAAGCTCAGAGAGGCCACCGAGGATCATCGAACTGAAGTTGAACAACAAAAAGCTCAAGACTTCAAGGAGCGCCAGGATCAACTCATTATCGCTTCACCACCAAGCGAAGACTACCCATCGGGCATTCTCAGCATCCAGATTCATCAGATTACAGGGCTGGAACTGGAGGTTCTGAACAAAACCAAGGCAGAGGAGAAGGGCGCAGCTGAGGACGAGGATGACGGAGATGATCATCTTCCATCTGCGTATTGCACAATCATCCTGAACCACAAGAAGATCTTCAAGACCCGCACAAAGCCAAAGAACGCGAAGCCGTTCTTCAATGCTGGTTGCGAGCGCTTTATTCGCGATGTCCGGAATACAGAAGTTCATATTGCTGTCCGCGACAATCGCGTTCACGAAGACGATCCGTTGCTTGGTATCATCTATCTCCCGCTTGAGAAGGTATTCCACCAGCGCAGTCAGGTCAACTCTGTTTTCCCCCTATCGGGTGGAGTAGGATACGGGCGCGCACGCGTCTCCATGGTGTTCCGCAGCGTACAAGTCCAAATCCCACGAAACCTGCTCGGCTGGGAGTACGGGACTTTGGACATCAAATCCGGCGTGAAAGCCATCAACCTTCCGAAAGACCTGCAGCCTCTCAGGATGAAGGTCCGCTCTACGCTTGCCAAAGACAAACTGCACTCTCGCCGCAGGAATGGCAGAGTCAACGAGGAAGATGGTCAAGCTGTATGGACAACACGCGGAGACCGCCCCATCCGCCTCCCAGTACGCATGCGCTACTCCTCACCCCTAGTCGTCGAATTCCGCCAAGACGCCACCCTACGCGACCACACCCCCGCCTTCGGCATCCTCTGGCTCAAAGACATCCCCGACAACGAGCAAACCACCATCCGCCTCCCCATCTGGAAAGGCGACCTCAAGCGCGCAGAAAACAACATCCTCACCTCATGCGGCGAGCAAGTCGGCGAAGTCGAAATGACTCTCACCTTCTGGTCCGGCCTCTCGGGCTACCACAACGGCCTTGCAAAAGGTGACAAGCATCTCCGCCAGGTCATGGAAGTCCTCGACATCTGCAATGACCAGGAGTGGTCGGACTGGGACGACTCGGACCACGGCGACAACGGCGCGCCGAACCTGCGCTCCAGCGCTTCGCACGACGACGACTCGTCTTCGTCGTCGTCGTCGGATGATGATGAGGACCCAAAGAACTCCAAGCCCGACTTCTTGACTAAGCATAGAAAGACGGATTCGAAACTCAGTGAGGATGGGAAGCGCAGTACTCTGGATTCGCTCAGGGATTACAAACAACACACTAAGGAGCTGCATCGCAAGAATCGCGGTATTATGCAGTGGAAGGGCCCTCGTACGCTGGCGTGGGTGAAACATGTTGCTGGGCGCGGGACGCACAAGGTGAGCGGCTTGTTTCATCATCATGATCGGGATGGAGTGGGTATTGAGACGGAGGTTTGATTGCGGGGCTTGGAGGGGATGACGTGATGTGTGTGTGTATATGTATATATATTTGGCGTTTGGGTGGGTGGGAAAGCATACGCGGTGTTCAAAAACGTAGCATTTTGGCGTTAGTGGAATTGCATATGCTGGTTTCCTCGATTGAGAGTGGAGAATTTGTCCAATTTAAATACATGCGCATTGCGCTGTCTGCACGATCAACCTATCATATCAAAATATTGAACCCCCTTGACCCGCTCCTCACTCTCTACACCCACATCGCACCGCATCGTATTCCAGGCCGGTCCCACTACTCTTCGCCAACAACACCACGTCCGTATCCGGGATCATACGGATGGTACTCAGAGTACGGATGCGGTGGTCGCGGACCCTCTGCGTTCTCCGCATCCTCTCCACCTTCGTCGTCAACTGTGCCTGCAGAATGGTGCGAAGGCGTGTGGCTGGTGGAGAACGAGGTTGCTGCTCCGGACGCAGGGGCGATGTCCATGTCTACCGTTGTGCACGGGGAGTGGTAGCGGGGGCGGTTGTGCATAGCTGTGTGGGAGGAGGTACTCGAGTGGCCTTGGTGGGAATGTTAGTTGACAGTGGGTTATGTAGGGTGTTGGGGTGTAGTTGATAGGGGAGGATGATGATGATGATGATGATGATGTGAGACGGAGGTAGTATGCGGCGTACCTGAGCTGACTGGGCGCTTCCTTTTAAGCTCTTGTTGGCGCTTGAATTCGGGAAATTCTGAAGGTTCCAGGTAGGGCCCGCGCTGTGCGGGTGAGGGTGTGGGTGTCGAAGGTGAGTTGCTGGTAGGACGGTCTTTGTGGTCCTGCGATAATGCCTGGATAGTCATGGGTTGTGGGGTCAAGCTGGACTCCCTCGGTTCCGATGATGTCTCGCTCTCGCTGAATTCGATGTCATCTGGGTAGAAGGCCTTTGTCGTAGGTGAAGAGAAGTGAGCACCCATGTTTCTAAAGTCTGTCGAGTCGACTCTGATTCTCGAGGACAGTGAAGGCGGGTTTTCTCGGACGCCTTGTTCGACCCTTGGATAGGCTCGCTGGGAGTGGGTGTCAGAGTCACTTGAGCGAGAAGACATGATGCGGGATAGTCGAGGCTAGTGTATGAGGCGGATGCTGCGGTAGGATTGAGGAGAGGGATACGGAAGATCCAGCCGCTGATCGAAGGAGTGGTGAAGTTGAGTGGAGTGAAATACACCACGTTAAGAGTATACGCCTGAATGAGTGTGGCTTGCCAGCAAGAAGGTAAGGAGTGATGGATTGAGGTTCTCAAACTTGTTGAGTTGGTGATGAGAGATGCGCATAATAGCAAAGCTATATAGCAAGAGCCAAGAGTGGGCACGTCCTTGAGGAAAGACGTCGCCATGCTTCGAGGCGGAAAACTGACGATGTGTGTATGATGTGTTTGGTCTTTCAACTGTGGTCGCACTCGCCGATCCGACGAACATATGATGGCACTGACTGTTCGGTCCAGGACGTGGATTTGTATGGAAGCTCCGAAACCCGATCGTAGGGCGTCTGAATCCCAGAGACATGGGCGCGGTTGCATCGTCCGTTCGGACACATCTGCAAGGCCGCAGTCGGTACTGCATTCGATGAATGGTAGCCCTGCAGACGCGTTAACACCTGTCATCTGTCAGTTGTCAACCGGTGCTAGTTCGCGTTGATTGTAATTGTAAGGAATGTTACATATGCCACTGTAACCATCCCGAAAGCTTAACCTGTTCACCTGCATCGGGGCTTCACCCACCTGACCGTGGTCTGAACTTGGAAACATGGTATATGAAACTGTGGTTGATGCCATGTCCGTGACTGTCGATCTGGAGCGGGAACAACCCCCAACCAACCAAGTGCTGAGTGTTAACTCCATTAGGAATAATCAGCTTACAACTAACATGCCATTGACGTTGTTCCAGCAAAAAGCGGACTGCTACGATTCGTGACTAAATCCTTAGGATAGCGGCCAAAGCGTGTATGATTGCCAATGATCCTTCGTCTCATCTTCTGCACGGCGCTTATTTGACGTCCCGAAGGTTGGAAGCCTGCAAGATGCTTCCATGGCTGGACCAAACGGGTCGGTCGTCCGACGCGCAAACGCACGTGGAGATTATGATATGCAGCCCATATGCAGAACCGGAACCCGCGTCCATTGCTGTCCACATTGTCCAGGCGAATACGTCAACCCTAAGAGAAGCTTGAGCGGCGCAAAATTGATAAAATGAGTTAATCCTTGAAGTACGCGCGTAGATAGCAATGATAGAGAAGAGGGTAGTTTGTCTGGAGTGTCAAGAACTGCAGTGATGCCAGTTGACCGGAATATGCAAGCCGCCAAATTGCAAGCCTTCTATTCGTGAGGGAATATGATCGCCAGAGGCTTTTCCAGGAAAAGATAGCCAACGGAGCATGTGCTTCACCGCAGATTTAGGTACCTTGTTTGGCGAACAGATTGATCTGACAGATGTCGAAATGCGCGCATGCCATCGGTGTGCAGGCTGAAACTGCAGTGTTGCATGGCAGCATTGTGATATGTATGCAGAGAGAGTAGCGTGTAGATATGGAAGCTAAACCTGGATATCTGCGAGGCAGCGGCACGTCTGCTCGGAGCGAAGTCCCATGCCATTATCCTTTTTGGGCATCTTCTCTGCGGTCGGGACGATTATCAAAGCCGTTCTTTGCACGACTAGGAACACAATCGTGAGTGACGTGTATGGGAGTTGAGATGCAAGAACCAGGCGACTCTTGAGGCTGAGAAGAAAAACTTAGGCCGAGACCTAGAGAGCACGATGAGTTGCTCGGCAACTCTTTCTCATTGGAATCGAGGGTGCAATGCAGGACTAACACTAATTGTGGTGGAGGTGCAGATCAGCGACGTCACCGGGTTCACGGTATCGCCGAACACACACTAGCCTTGTGGTGAAGGCGACGCGGGGGGAGGCAGGATCGATGATGTGCATGTCGGCGAGGCCGTCTACTGCTTGGCGCGGGCTCTCAAAGTTTCCCAAGTGCATGTATGGACCGAAACATGCAGCACTTTACTTCCATAGATGTCGAGGTCGTCATTGATCAACGGCCGCTAGTACCGTGAAGCACGGCCCTTCGGCTATGGTAACGACTTCGACTGTTGACATCAGCAACATCTGCAACATTTGACGGAGAAACAATGGCCAGGCTATCAGGGCTGCAAAGGGATGTACTGTCGTTCTACAGACAGTGTCTGAGAGCTGTGCGAGAGAAGCCGAGTGTACGGCGCAAAATATCCAGCCCTGAGACTCACGGCTAACACCAACAGGACACACGCCCGCATTTCCGCGATTTCGCAAGGTACATGCTTTAGCTCTGACGATACGATTTGGCAGAATTCCTGACGATATATTAGAGGAGAGTTCCGCAAAAACATAGGAGTAGGCAAGAAGGATTTTGGCACTATCGAATACCTTCTCCGAAGAGGTCGCAACTCGCTCGAGTCTTACTCGGATCCCGGCATCAAAGACATCCACAGGTAGAGCTGCGGTGGGATGTGCTCATGGACAGAAAGAGTTGTTGGTAGCCAGAATAGCCAGAGCAAGCAGTAACTCAGTCGAAAGCCTCCCAGTGTCGGACTCACGTGACCGTGCCAAGACAGTGGAAAGTTCGAGAGGTCTTGGTGTTGCTGTATACAGTGTTGGGGAAGGAGACCGACACGAGACAAAAGCACTGATAATTTCGAGAAGCTTCCTCAAATGAGGGTCGTTGCTCGATCGAGTTATTGGCATTGGAATGATATCATACATCATGAGCCCTGGATGTTTCTAGACTCGACCCGAAGTACTGCCGAACTTCCTCACGCCATGTAGACAGGGGAGGCAAGGGATTTCTAGCAACACTGCGATTCTTCCAGAATCTCATCACTCAAGTATATAAACATCTCAATCTGTCTCCCAAGTTCATCATCAGAACAACAGTCATCGAACACAATCATCAATTCTTCTATGCAACCACTGCGCACTTCTATCCGACGAATTCCACAACAACTCAATCATATCGCGAAACCCACAACAACTCGACGCTTCGCACACACACCACAAAACATGTCTCTCTTCCCACGCTTCACTCAGGAGTTTGCTCCCATGTTCCGTCTCTTCGACGAATTCGACCGCCAGGCCTTCCGCAACATAGACCGCGAATTCAAGTCCGTCAGCTCCTTCACGCCGAAGTTCGACGTCAAGGAAACCAAAGCGGGCTACGAGCTGCACGGCGAGCTCCCTGGCATCGAGCAAAAGGACATCGACATCCAATGGACCGACAACAGCACACTCACCATCTCGGGCCACCACGAGCACGTCCGCGAAGAAGGTCAGCGCCTACAGCACTCCATCGAAGAGGGCGAATCAACTCAGCAGAAGAAACTCCAAGCTACCGTTGACGACGCCGACGACGCCAACACCGAAACCCAGGTCTCCAAGCAGCCCGAGCAGAAAGACCTGGCGAAGCATGAGAACTCGCCTCGCTACTGGGTCAGTGAACGTAGCGTTGGAGAATTCCACCGCAGCTTCGCTTTCCCTGCCCGTGTCGACCAGGATGCTGTGAAGGCGAGCTTGAAGAATGGCGTCCTGAGTATTGTTGTGCCCAAGGCAAAGGCCCCCCAGCCGAGGAAGATCGATATCGAGTAAGCGCCGTGCCTTCCGACATTCAGGAGCGCCTTCGATACTCGCTTCTTGGTCTTGTTTTCTGGTTTTCTGTCAGTGCAGGATTGTTAGAGCGACAACGAGAAAGATGCACAAGAGTATTCTTTCCTTCATCCAGAATGCAAATGAGAGCAGTGACGAAACTAGTGGATCTGATTGGTTTATGGATGGAGTTATGCGACCAAGTCGTTTTCTGTGTGTCCTTCTTAGCTTTCCTTGCGCTTAATGTTTAACGAAAAATAATTTGGGGTTGTAGTGTCAAAGTATGAATGTATGTAGTTGCTTAAATGGATGAACATGAACGGATGAAATCAATGGTTGCGTTCATATTCACAACATATGACGACTTGGTGCTGCGTAGTCCCTGTTGCTTCTATTGTACACTTCATCCGTCAACCCATTGACATGTATTAATATTCAAATTTACACAAAAATAGCACTTCACGGCTAGATAACTTCAAAGCGTGGTAGAGTTCAAACCAATATGTCAATTCGTATTTTCATGGGAAGGCTCGTCATGCTTAAAGATGTCTAATCTCTCCAGCCCATATCTCATTTCAGATGCTGAAGATACCATTCAGCTTTTTCGAAAGCACCATATGCAACCATACAGTTCCTTCTTCTATTTCACTTACCAGGCCTTCTAGTCTGTCCTCGAATTCTCAATCTTCGTCACCAGGATATCAGTAGCGCCAGCCGCCGTCAGCTCGTCCATAGCGATAGCAATATCTTTTCGCAAGACCATGGCCTGAATGGCAACCCACCCTTCTTCTTCCAGGGTAGTAACTGTGGGTGCGCGTTTTCCGGGAGTGACCTTCCTAGCAGCATCAAGTTTCACGCGCGCGATGTTGTATGAGCAGAGGACGTATTTCTGGGCAGCTAGAAGAAGTTAGGTGATGCCGGTTGGGATCTGATGGTGAACTTACTAATGACACCCTTTATCCTAGCTGTGATGAGTTCGACAAGCTTGGGGTCTGAGGGGTGCTTCGATTTGACCAGAATGGCGCTTGACGAGACGACTGTTGAGATCGCCTTCAGGCCTGCCGCGCGCATAGTCTCTCCAGATTCAACGAGATCGACGATGCCGTCTGCGACACCTAGCGCGCAAGCCGCCTCGACACTTCCTCCAACATATTTGATATTGGTCTTGAGCTTGGTTTGGCCATTGGCCTCTCCGTTTGTTGCGTCACCCGCTTGCTCTGCTTCTAGTCTCCTGAAATAACGCTCTGCAAGATTCGTGAAGCTTGTGACGACGTTCTTTCCGATCAGATCCTCTGGCTTCTCCAAGCCACCCTTTGATGGTACTTGTACCTGCAAATCGCACTTTCCGAAGCCAAGGTCGAGCACCTCAGTAACACCGGTAGTCTCTGTTGGTGGCACTGCACACTCGTGTTCCTCCACTTGGTCCCGCCCAGTTATTCCAAGGTCAACACGACCTTCTCCTACGAAAGTTGGGATGTCTGCGGCGGGCAGGAAGACCAGCGCGAGTGGTAGATTCTTGACAAGAGCGATGTCGAGACGCGAGTGACGGTGGAACTGGATGTCCGAGCCGTGGAGGAGGTCAAGGCAGACTTGGTGAAGGCGGCCCTCTGTGACAGACGTTAGCACAAGTTGAATGTCGATAGTGTTTGAAACATACTCTTGGGCACTGCAAACAGCAGACGATCATTCAGACTATTACCCAACGTGTCAGTCAAGACCGGGAGACTTCTACTGCCTTGTCGATGTCTAGGCGCAACATTTGCTACGCCATTTGTATCGTTGACTCCGATGCTAAACCCCATAGTGTCGTTTTGGAGAAGCAATGAAATGATTGAGAGGAGAGAATATGCACATACGAGTTGACGAGATCCATGCTGATTAATATCCCTAGCAAGCAATTCGAGGTGTGTTGTATGCAAAAGCGGTGCAACAAACGTTCGCCAGCCTCAAATCTTCTTCTCTGCAGGCTAAGAGCGAGTGCCCACGTACGTGGATCTTATTGGATGTTGACGTTAAACGGACGTCGGAGATATGCGTCTTGTGCAAATAGATGCGCGTTTGTTACGGGTAGATGTGTCGATTTGTTGTGTACAAGAATTAGGTTGGTAGATATGCGCCTCCGTGAGTCAGTGAGGGGTACCTTAAAACCTGAGGAACATTAGTATCCTCTGTGTGACAAATGCAACTAAGGTGTGAGTACTATCACTCCACATTAAAGAATAGTGTTTTAGCGATGAGCTCAACTTTTACAAGCCCGATATGCGGCTTTAACTTCGGCGGATGACGTCCAATCGTCCAACGGTAATCAGCATATGCAAGATGCCCCGCGATCCACTCCTTCAAGCCAATCGTGCAAGCGAAGGCGGTGAGTGCTGGCAATATACTTTGACGTCGATACCCCAAATTTCCCACAGCTCACATAACTTGCAAATTCAACGTCGCAACCAGTCCCTGTCAATTGTAAGTTAGATTCTGCTATTCACAAGATAAGAACTCATCAAGATAGAGCAATCATGGATACAGCCAAGGCTCCCGTTAAGCTCGTGAAGGTCACTCGTGGTACGTACACTCTACGCGGCTTGGACGACGCGTGCTAACTCCCTATGCAGTCCTCGGACGTACCGGTATGTAGCATCACCTCGAAGCGCGCGCGACGCAACGCGATAACGACCGTCTCACATCGTCTAACCTACCACAGGCTCTCGCGGTGGTGTCACCCAGTGCCGTGTCGAGTTCATGGACGACGAAACCCGAAGCATTATCCGCAACGTCAAGGGCGCAGGTACAAACATTCGAAGACGGAGCATCAGAGCAAAGGCTAATGCACGGGGCAGTCCGCGAGAACGACATCCTCTGCTTGCTTGAGTCTGAGCGTGAGGCCAGGCGTCTGCGTTAAACCCAAGTTGGGTTGTACAGCTGCGATTATGATCAACGATATCTAGAGGGGGATCACAAAAGTTATAGCATGGGTCGGTTATGCATGGCAGTGGCGTTTTCCACAGCGAAGGCGCGTGCGGTCATGAGCTTTACTGGCACTTTCATGAATCGATGAACTCCTCCAATATCCATCGTTTGCCAGATTTTGCAGGAGCATGAACTTGAGCTAGTCCAGCTAATAGGATGGCACATGCAGTACTCTGTGTAAAAAGTGAGTCTAGAGATAACGCGCCATCGTGACCTACCCTCCAACGGGCCTCGGCTATTCGGTGTCCTGAACTCCAGCTCCCCAGAATCCCTATCTTACTACACCTTGTCACACAACCTGAACGAAGGATCCTGTTTGTTTAATCTGGAGTCCTCAGCTTCCGGCCTTCAAGAAACTATGTCGAAACCAAAGATCACGCTCTACGTTGACATTGTCTCCCCATTTGCTTACATCGCATTCTATGTCCTGAGGGTAAGTTATATCATTGCACAAGTACACGCACTGTGTGACAAAGGTTCTAATCGCGACATGTGCAGAATTCACCAGTTTTCAAGCAGTGTGACATCACGTACACGCCTATCTTTTTAGGAGGCTTGATGAAGGCTTGTAATAACACACCACCACTTCACATCAAAAGTGAGTCAATTCCTACCAGCCTTCCGGCACATAGAAGTCTCACTTTGCATATCACCATACTTGTGGACTTCGGGTCATACGAGGTTCTTGCACGTGCAACACGTTATCTGGCTCTCTCCAAGACTACATCAAATGCACTGCCTAACAACCCCCAGACAAAGACAAATGGATAGAATCCGAACGCGTCCGCCTCGCTCAAACCTTCTCCGTCCCCATTACCCCCAAAGCCCCCGTCGGTTTCCCCCTAAACACTCTCCCCATCCAACGCGTCCTAGCCTCCCTCTCACTCTCTCACCCCGAGTCCGTCACCAGCGCGGTCGCCCTCTTCTACCAGAACTTTTGGGCACATTGGGCGGAGCCGACGAAACCAGAGAACATCTTGGCAACTATCGAGGCGGTTGTAGGGAGCAAGGAAGATGCGAGGAAGGTGGTGGATAGAATGAAGAGTGAGGAGGTCAAGGCGGCGTTGACGGCAAATACGGATAAGGCATTTGGAGAGGGGGCGTTCGGCTTGCCTTGGTTTGTTGGTGAGTGGACGATCGTATTAGGGCGAGAATGCATACTAATTAGGTGTTACAGCAACGAATACGAAGGGGGAGACACAGAGCTTTTGGGGTGTTGATCGGTTGGGACAATTGTGCGATCATTTGGATCTTGAGAGGCCAGGTGGAAAAGGATGGAAAGCGATGCTTTGAGGGGAGTAGGTATAAGAAGTTCGGCATTTGATACAGAGCAATGGAGGTTGATACTTTCCGGAAACTCTCCTCATTTCCCATAATACACAGTTCCCCAGCTCTCAAAAAGCCCGTCGAGATAACCGATCAACATACCCCTCAATCCTGGGGCGGTTATTATCCCATGACAAACCCTACCCACCGCCTTCGATGGCTCTTTTCGGTATATCCAAACTTTCTCCGTCACTCCGGTTGGCAATCGACTCGCATTGAAGACACCAGTGGTGATCAAAATAATCAACATAACCATACCCCCAAACATCGTCAACCACGGTCTCTGCACTTTCACGCCTCGGTACCTTGTCTCGCTGTCTGTGCACTTGAGCAAGACAGTGTCGAGCAGTTGGCAGATGAGCGCTGTTACGAGCGCAATGATAGTACCGAGAAGCCAGTCAGATTGCTGGCTAGCTGGCAGTGAGATACATCCGATGCCGTTGATCGAGTCAACGACGATGTATCTTTCGCAATTTCCTGTCGTTATGGCAACGGCAAAGTCGCGGAATGAAGGTGAGCACCAGAAGACTGAGAAGTCTTTTTGGCGCCGCCCGACGACAGCAGCATGGAGACCGTAGAGTTGGAGGACGACGAGTGTTAGGAGGAAAATGAACGCGAAGAACGCGACAATGGCGTAACGGAGAGTGCCAGGTGCGGGAGTTTGCTGTTTCTCGGCAAAGGGCGGGAGTGATGCTTGAGCTTCGACGTCTGAGATATTTTGAGTGGCCGATCGTGTTTCCTGATGGTTTGGATCGCTCGTAACCAAAAGTGGGTCGGTGGTTTCTTGTGTCTCTGAGTAACTGTCAGACCTCGAAGATGACGAGTGCGGGCATAGATGTCACGTACCATTCGGTGTGCGCTCTGCCCTCTTCGATGAAAATAGCCCTACCAGGACCGCATGCTTAGCGGAGGAAAGCATGTGTTGGACTGCTGCCCAAAGTTCCCTCACGCCACCATCGTGTTTCTCGATGATGAGAACCACCATCTGTAGCATGGCTCCAGCATCTAGCACCAGCGTCAATGGCATCCATACCAGCACCTCGCTTGGCTTTAGTGCAGTACTCTGGTAGGCCTGTACAGTAAATGCAATGGCTAGTACTGCAAGACCTAGAGCCTAACAATGATCAGTAGAGGTTCGTTAACACTGCGATGCAAGAGGAAGGCATAACGCCTTATTGTCTCGTACCAGATATTGAGCTGATTCCCATCTAACAGCACGGATGATACAAGAAGGTAAATGGAACAGCAACAAGAAAAGAACTAATAACCACGGCATCATGCTTCCACCTGATGCGGAGCGCAAATAGGTCTTTGGACATTCTTCGCGGGTCTTCTCGAAGGCGGAGAAAGTCACGTTCGGGGCGATTTCAAAATCAGGCTCAAATGGGCAACTCATGTTGGGTAGATGTAAAAAGAATACCCAGTGTCATGAAATGTCGAAGGTCGTTTGTCGGCTACACACTCAACTACCTTTTATAGCCGTAGTATGTCCTGTTTCTTCGCAAACTTGCTTTCTTGTAACCTTTGCTTCCCATCATCCGGTTGGAATATACAGAACTCAGAGAACGCATAGCCCTGCAGCTGAACTCTCTTGCATGCATCTCTGCAGACCAAGGGTAATCTGATTTGGCCTGAAGGGCGTGTAGCCTTGAAAAGGCGTTAACAGGGGTCCAAATATGCGTCCAGCTGAAGACTGCGCCTAAACTGAGACGCTCCAATACATCGGTGAAGTGAGGCTTCTAGTGCCTATGCATGTCCATTGGGGAAACAGCGTGGTTCATGCGAAGTTCGACTCAGCCTTCCAGTGTGCCTCGTTGGTCGATACTACGAAAAAGAAATAAAGACGTTCAGCCTTATGGGCAACAGGAAATCGTGATTAACTTTGTGGCTGCTGCGGGGAAGTTGTGTGGGGGTGGGAGATTTCTTCAGCCTGATGCAAGTCGTAGAGGCGTACACATCTGATGATAGCTGACCAACTGTGTCCAGTGATTGATTTACCTCTTGCATTCAAGCATTACGACTGTAGTCGGACTTCGATGGCTGTGTTTCCTCGCCGAATGGATCGCAGCGACGACATGTTAACAATTGAAGTCCCTTCTTTGAAAGAAACTATGACTTCATAGTGTTGCCTACTTCTACCGCCCTGCTTGTCTAGATCCGTATCGGTGAGGCGTTTTTCATTTACCTGAGTTGATGGAAGAAGACGAACCTCAAAGCAACGAGGCATAAACCTCAGCCTTGTCGGCCCTTCACACAAAGCCTTGATTTGATGTGTAGACCGAAGATGCGGGGTCAAAGTCGTGCTTACAACATCCGAGACAAATGCCTACCTTTTTCAATTTCCAATGAAAAAATTGAACGTGCTGAGGGAAACCGTCTTTGAAGAGGGTCCTGGAGATGTCACCGCATAAGAGTGTTCCGTACAGAACTCATACACGTGCGTCGCGGCACAAAACCAACCGAACTACTGCATGTAGCCTGGCTTTCTTTTGAATGCACGACTTAGCTAGGCAGGTCGCAATGAAGGGAATGAGTTGGCGAAGGGTGAACGGCAGCCGGAGGGTCCGAGGTTTTTGATTGCTCGACAAATGACGCGTCGCGTCAAAATGGCAAGAATAACCCCATCGCGACCTACTCGTTATCTTCAACTTATATGTTTTGCCTTCATCCTCGCCATACCGGCCTCATCTTCGGCGTTTGTCGCGACTGAGTGTTTCCCCTCACACATCATGAGGTGAGCCAATGACAAACGTGCTAAATGTGTCTCCGCTCTCAACCGAGGGGCTCTCGTTGGCTTCGTACCCTAATGGCAATTGGAAACGATATACCAACGCACTAAACAAACAACTTCCTCTATGCGCAGGTAGAGGCTAGGTACGGCACCATCCTCAACAACAGAAGAAAATAAGAACTGCTCGTGTCCCTCTCTTTCTCTCCAGTCTCATCTTTGAACATTTACATTCTTCCCCACCAAACTGCCCCACGTCAGTACCCAGTGTTATCTATCAGTTATACAGCAACAACAATGGCTCCTGGCGTACTTCAAAATGACGCGGGCAATGGCACAGCTCTCAAGCCAACTGCTCGCGCGTTCCACCCCACAGGCACACCAGACCCTGCGAAGTATCATTCCTCATCCTCAACAGAGGCTATGGATACGGAAGCCAACTTCGCTGCGCACAACTACCACCCTCTTCCAATCGGTATGCCTTTGACAATACTTCGGCTGTTTTAAACTTACTTTTCGCAGTCTTCGCGCGCGCAAGCGGGTGCAGCGTCTGGGATCCTGAGGGCAAGCACTATCTCGACTTCCTTTCCGCGTACAGCGCTGTGAACCAAGGCCACTGCCATCCTGAGCTTGTCAAGGCCCTGACCGAACAGGCGTCGCGATTGACGCTCAGCAGCAGAGCGTTCTACAACGATGTATTCCCGCGCTTCGCCGAGTATGCGACGAAGCTATTTGGCTTCGACATGATTCTCCCTATGAATACGGGCGCTGAGGCAGTGGAGACGGCTGTCAAGATTGCGCGCAAGTGGGGATACAAAGTGAAGGGCATCCCACAGAACGAGGCGTTGGTATTTTCCGTAGAGGAGAACTTCCACGGACGAACTGTAAGCTTTTGCAATGGTATTGCTATCTCATGCTAATGTATGATACTAGTTTGCTGCCATCACTATGTCCACTGATCCCGAGTCACGCGACAACTATGGCCCATACCTTCCCGGTATTGGAAGCGCTTGCCCTACGACTGGGAAAGCGATTCGGTACAACAACGTGGACGATGTACGGGAGATTTTCGAGAGACACGGAAAGAACACCGCTGCATTCTTGGTCGAGCCCATCCAGGGCGAGGCCGGCATTGTTGTACCAGATGACAGCTACCTGCGAGAGGTCAGGGCACTATGTGACAAGCACAATGTTCTCCTCATCTGCGACGAGATTCAGACAGGTATCGCGCGGACAGGCAAGATGCTCTGCCATGAATGGAGTGGAATCAAGCCTGACTTGGTCCTGCTCGGCAAGGCTATCTCAGGTGGCATGTACCCTGTCTCATGTGTCCTGGGCTCGAAAGATGTTATGCTCACCATCGAGCCCGGTACTCATGGTTCGACTTACGGCGGCAACCCACTCGGGTCCGCCGTCTCAATCCGGGCCTTGGAACTCATCCAAGAAGAGAACATGGTTGAGCGTGCGCAAACCTTGGGTGAGAAGTTCCGCGAGGGCTTGAAGAACATTAACAACCCAATGATCACGACTATTCGTGGCAAGGGCCTGCTAAACGCCATCATCATTGACGAGAGCAAGACGAACGGACACAGCGCGTGGGATCTCTGCATGCTCTGCAAAGAGAAGGGATTACTGGTAGGAAGAGCTCTCAAGATTGCACATAAGAAGGAGGTTGACGCAACTAACACTGTGCAACAGGCAAAACCGACTCACCAAAACATCATCCGTCTAGCTCCACCGCTCGTCATTACGGAGGAGGAACTTGAGACGGCTCTCTCGATCATCAAGGAGGCGATGGAGGAGCTGCCTAACTTGAAGGGCAAGAAGGAGGAGAAGGTGCTCCCACCTGGTGAGAAGAATGTGCATATTGGAGTGGATAACTGATGTCGTTATTCCGCTTGATACCTTGTAGATGTTGGTCGCGGCTACGACCTGCGTTGGCGTTGATGGTGAAGGACCTTGCGCATCTCAACCTTTGTAGGTTGTTTTGAAAAGGCTCATAGGGCTAGCATCCTTTTGTAGTAATTGTTGCTATCGCGCATTAGGCATGCGGTTTTGAGGTTTGGTTTTACAGTTACAGGAGTCAAATTCGTAACGCAATCGTATCCAGTCGCAATTTCTTGATATTTGTCGTGATCGTGAGCGCGAGTTTTTCCCAGGAATGCTCTGTTCACATTGGGCTCAGCGTTTGGGTGTTATTCTAGGCCTGCAGGGGGCAGGACATGACACAAGCTTTTCGGCAGGGGCCAGACGGCAAGCGATCATCTGGCTCCACCGTCCCGATGCACATCTATTATGTCATGTCCTCGTGTGGAGACAATATTGAAAACACGAAACCGTGGTAACACGGTCGGATGACAGATGTCATGGAAACACTCCACAAAAATGTTCAATCAATACTGACTCTCTGCAGGCTCTCGACTCTAGCAGACATAGCCGCTCAATCTTTGACCATTGGAAGGTGTTCGAATCTGAACAGTCGGGCTGTCGGGCTAAAACAAAAGCCGACGGCATCAAAGGATCTTTGCCGCTTAGCAACCACCCCGGATTATGCATCAGCTTGTGCATCTGCTCATTGGTACATTTTATCTCCGCTTAGAACCGGTCAAGGCGTCGCATTAGCTCGAAGATGGCCACTCATTTCAATGACGAGTCGCCTGGCGGTATATGAGTCGTCTCACCTGCAGCAAACATGTCAGCTTTTTGACATTTTCGTATATCAACGTGGCGCGCCATCCCTCCTACATTTCCTCGTTTGACAGTTACTTCCTCTTGCAAGACACGAGAGAAAGCTTCTGCATATCCTACAAGTCAACTTCGCGGTCACACTCCTGGTTCTTAGCGGTTGCCACGTAAAGAGCTGCAGACGATGTCGACCTCGACCTCGTCCCTGGACGACAAAGAGAAGGGAACGGGGTTGATGGATCCTCAAGCAGCAGCAGTAAATCCCACAGAATACGAGCCAATAAAACCGCAAGCAGATTCGAAAGCCCTGGAAGCAGGCCATGGCCGCAATTCAGACAACACGTTGTCCCGCCATCAAAGCAGTACAAGTGCCTTCACAGAAACTAGCGATGTCGAATCTGACGCGCGAAGCTCCATACAAAAGAAGAAGAAGTGGTTCAAACGCCTCAACCCGTTGAAACAGGGCGCAAAACCACCAGTACCTGCGGAGCAAGAAATTTGTCCTGAATATAATGCTGGGTTCCTCAGTCGACTCACGTTCCAGTGGATGCAGCCGCTCATGTCGAAGGGCTATAAGAGACCTCTAGAGAAGAATGATCTTTGGGCGGTCAATCCTAATCGAAGTGCGGATGTGCTTGCCGAGAGGATGGAGGCGAGTTTTAAGAGACGGTTACAAGAGGGTGGCAAACGGCCGCTTCTTGGGGCGTTGTTCGACACGTTCAAATGGGAGTTCATCATCGGCGGCTTGTGCCAACTAACGGCATCAGTCATCCAAGCTGTAGCGCCTTTTGTTCTTCGCTACCTGATCAACTTCGCCACAAGAGCATACATAGCTCAGCGCACAGATCAACCTGCACCGCATATTGGAGAAGGCATCGGGCTGGTAGTTGGCATTACGGTCATGCAATTTTGCCAGAGTCTTGCGACGAACCATTTCATGTACCGAGGAATGATTATTGGTGGTCAGGCAAGAGCGGTTCTCATCACACAGGTGTTCGACAAAGCTCAGAAGCTATCAGGAAGAGCAAAGGCGGGTGGCAAAGCTGTTGTTGACGCGCCACCTCCAGACATTAAGCCAGGGAGCGAGGCAGAGAAGAAATGGTATCAGAGACTCCTCAAGAAGAAGAAGCAGAAGCAGACCCCGAGCGGTGCTGCGGGTGTCGATGGCGGTGGCGAAGGCTGGGGCAATGGCCGAATTGTCAATCTGATGTCAACTGATACATACCGAGTTGATCAGGCGAGCGGCTTCTTTCACATGATTTGGACAGCTCCGATTGGCATTGTGATCACGATTATTCTGCTTTTGGTCAACTTGAGTTATAGCGCTCTTCCCGGTCTTGGACTCATTCTGATTGCTATGCCGCTGCTTGGCAAAGCTGTGGGTACGCTTTTCCGCAGGAGAGTGGCTATCAACAAGATTACCGACCAACGCGTGAGCTTGACCCAAGAGATTTTGCAGGGTGTTCGATTCGTTAAATACTTCGGCTGGGAGACAAGCTTCCTCGAGCGTATCCAAAACATACGAAACAAGGAAATAGGAGGAATCCAGGTTCTACTCACACTCCGTAACGCTATCCTTGCTGTTGGAATGTCAATGCCTGTTTTCGCTTCTATGATTTCGTTCATCACCTACTCACAGGTTCACCCTAATCTCGACCCGGCTCGTATTTTCTCCTCCCTCGCTCTCTTCAATTCGATGCGTATTCCACTGAATTTCCTACCGCTTGTCATCGGCCAGGTCATCGACGCGAACGCATCCATTAATCGGCTCCAGGAGTTCTTTCTAGCAGAAGAGGCGGAGGAGAGTACGGTATGGGATTACAACGCGAAAGATGCAGTCGTAATACAAGATGCAGATTTTACATGGGAGCGCCATCCGTCACACGAAGCAGAAGACTCGCCAGGTAAGGGACCGCCTGGAAAGAAGCCGACGAAGAAGGAGAAGAAGGAGAAGAAAGCCCAAGGTGCTATCACACCATCTCCAGACGCAAACGAGAAGCCTGTTGAGGAAGAGGAGCCATTCTCGATGAAGGGGCTGAACCTCACATTTGGCCGAGACGAACTGGTCGCTATTATTGGAAGCGTCGGATCCGGGAAGAGCTCTCTACTTGCTGCGTTAGCAGGCGACATGCGGAAAACGAACGGCGAAGTCACCATCGGCGCATCTCGAGCTTTCTGTCCACAATACGCCTGGATTCAGAATGCGAGTGTGCGCGAGAACATTGTCTTCGGGAAAGACTTCAAACAGAAATGGTATGATCAAGTCATCGAAGCTTGCGCCCTCCGACCAGATTTCGATATGCTCCCTCACAGCGATGCAACAGAGATTGGCGAGCGCGGTATCACAGTCTCCGGTGGGCAGAAGCAACGAATGAACATCGCTCGAGCGATCTACTTCGATGCTGACATTATCCTTATGGATGACCCCTTGAGTGCTGTAGATGCCCACGTCGGTCGTCATATCATGGACAACGCTATTTGCGGCCTGCTCAAGAACAAGTGCCGTATCCTAGCTACTCATCAACTCCACGTCCTCAATCGATGCGACAGAATTATATGGGTGGAAGAGGGCCACGTACAGGCCGTCGATACCTTTGACAACCTGATGGCTAGCAACGAAGATTTCCAGCAGCTTATGACTCAGACTAAGTCCGAAGAGAAGCACGACGAAGAGGATGAGGCGCTCGAGGACGAGGGTGAAAACGAGAAGAAGGTCATCACAAAGACGAAGAAGAAAAGCAAGAAACAAGTGGCACTCATGCAGGTTGAGGAACGCGCAACAAAAAGCGTGTCGTGGGACGTCTGGATCGAGTACATTCGAGCTGGAGGCGGTCTCTGGGTTGGTCCACTGGTTTTTATTCTTCTTGTCCTGTCACAGGGTGCGAACATTGTCACTAGCTTGTGGCTTTCGTACTGGACGTCTAATAAGTTCGGGTTCAGCGAGGGTGCTTATATCGGTGCCTATGCGTCCTTTGGCTTTACGCAAGCTGTACTCATGGTATGTTGGCCCTTTGTCCTGCTGGTTTGCATGGTTCGTATTGGTATATTTGCTCTACTAACATAGCTTTAGTTTTTGTTCTCGATCTCGGTTTCCATTTTCGGAACAGAAGCCGGTAAGACTATGCTTCATCGCGCCATCACTCGAGTTCTGCGCGCGCCGATGTCGTTTTTCGACACGACGCCTCTTGGTCGTATCACCAACCGTTTCAGCAAGGACATTGATGTCATGGACAATACATTGACAGACTCTATGCGCATGTACTTCCTTACGCTGGCCCAGATCATTGCGTGAGTCCACCTAGATTCATCCTGTCGAGTTCTTGCTGATGTTGAGCAGTGTTTTCATCTTGATCATTGCGTATTACTACTACTATGTTATTGCTCTTGGTCCGTTAGCAATCATCTTCTGGTGGAGTGCCACATTCTACCGCAGCTCGGCACGCGAAGTCAAGCGTCACGAATCTGTCCTCCGAAGTACAGTATTCTCACGTTTTGGCGAGGCAGTCATGGGCACGCCTACGATCCGCGCATACGGTCTACAAGCGCAGTTCTCCCGGTCGGTTCGAGCTGCTGTAGATGACATGAATAGCGCATACTACCTGACATTCGCGAACCAACGTTGGCTGAGCATGCGTCTCGACCTTGTCGGTATGCTACTCGTCTTTACGACTGGTATCCTCGTTGTAACATCGCGTTTCTCCGTCGATCCGAGTATAGCTGGATTGGTACTGTCGTACATTCTTACCATCGTGCAGATGATTCAGTTCACCGTTCGTCAGCTCGCCGAGGTGGAGAACAACATGAACGCGACGGAGCGCATTCACCACTATGGGACGCAGTTGGAGGAGGAGGCGCCTCTGAAAATGGGCGAGGTAAGATCGACATGGCCTGAGCATGGAGAGATTGTCTTCGATAATGTCGAAATGCGATATCGCGACGGCTTGCCTTTGGTCCTCAAAGGCTTGAGTATGCATGTTCGTGCAGGTGAGCGCATAGGTGTTGTTGGTCGAACAGGAGCCGGTAAGAGTTCGATCATGTCGACTCTCTTCCGTTTGCAGGAATTGGCTGGTGGCTCCATTTCAATCGACGGTGTCGATATCAGCCAGGTTGGTCTTCACGATTTGCGCTCAAAGTTAGCCATCATTCCTCAGGATCCTACGCTCTTCAAGGGCACAATCCGTTCGAATTTGGATCCTTTCCATGAGCACTCTGATCTGGAACTTTGGGGTGCACTACGACAAGCCGATCTTGTTTCCAACGAATCCACAGTGGACGACCATTCTGGACGCATTCATCTCGACTCCATTGTCGAGGAAGAAGGTAGGTTGTCCTTCGGAACAGTCTCTCCAACAATCGCTAACTTCTCTCAGGTCTCAATTTCTCCCTTGGACAGCGTCAATTAATGGCTCTTGCGCGCGCTCTGGTCCGTCAGTCGCAAATCATTGTCTGCGACGAAGCTACGAGTTCAGTAGATCAAGAAACAGACGCTCGGATCCAAAAGACGATCATTTCAGGGTTCAAGGGCAAGACCCTACTCTGTATTGCGCATCGTCTCAAGACTATTATAACGTACGACCGTATCTGCGTCATGGACGCTGGGTTGATTGCGGAGCTCGACACGCCGGCCAAGCTTTATGATCAAGGCGGTATATTTACCTCAATGTGCGAGCGTAGCGGAATTCAAAGAGAGGACTTCTTTGGTAGGAGCTAGATACTGCACCTATTAGACCTGGTCCGTGATGTTGGTTTTTGGGTTGCAGCTTGCGCTTCTGCATGGCTAGCTTGGACTCGTCAGCCCGACGTTTGACGGACACGCTAGAATCATGGCATCATCCGACGAGGCGTTGGTTCGATGGCAGAAGCGGTTATTGTTACCGCATCGATGGTGGGGTAATGGCACACAGTGCTAGACGTGCATGTTACGGCGTTTTATCCCATGGTCCGCTACATGGAACCCGCGGATTTCGGCTAATAGAATTAGGTCATAGCATTATATCCTAAGAACACGAAAATTAAAGCCTGTTACTAAAAAACGCATGTATAGATTTAAACTTTAATATTTTTTAATATAGGTTAGTAAGATTAATTTAGGTTAAGATTATTATATTTCTAATATAATTATTACGTAAGCCTAGGCTAGTAGCGCCTGTTACTACTAATAAGCTAAGATTTAAGCTCCTCCTTATTTATATAGAGAGCCTAGCAAGGTAGGTAAATTATTTTATTATACTATAAATACCTATAAATAGTCTTCTACAGTCTCTTATTTTAAATTAAGTTAATTTTTAAGCTTAAAATAACTTATAGAGGGGTTTTTTAAGTTACTTATAAGCTAATTCTAGCGTAAATTATATAGGGCTAATACTACTATTAGGTATAGATTTTAACCTATTTATAGGTAATTAGGTTAAGAACAGCATTAATTTAGAGTTATTAATAAAGAAGTATTTACTACTTTAATAAGCCCTTAAGACTAACTATAAGATTAAGAAGAAAACCCTAGTAGGTATCTAAGCTAGAAAGCAATTTACCTATAGTATACCTAAATAGCTTATATAAGTTTATAAGTATAATGTTAAAGAAGAGAGTAAATAGAGGTCTCTAAGTTTTATAATAGACCTACTAGAGTAGGTAGTAACTCTAAAGTTAATTAAATTAATTAATTGCGTTTATAAACTTATTATAGAGATTAATTAAAACTAGAATCTCTATTTTCTTATAAAGTGCGTCTCTAAAAGCTATATATATTTAGACTACTTTAGTCTATATTTTACCTAGTCTCTTCCTTAACCTAGTAATAGTAGCTACTAAATTATTAAATATTATAGTAAATAGAATAATATTATTATTATATTAAGCTATTATTCTAACTCTTTTACTTCTTAAAGTATTATAATAAATAGTACTCTACTTAAGTTTATTATACTAAGCCTTAATATTAATAAGATCTATTAAGAAGCCTTTAGCTAGGTTACTAAGAGTAGTTAGGGGCTTAGGCTCTAGCCCTTAACTACTCTAAGTCTCCTAGGTAGGCTGCGTAGGCAGGAGTAATAGTAATAATATTATTACTAGCAGTATATTTTTCTAGAGCTAGCTGCGCTTCTTAGTTAGCTAGAATAATATTATTAGTAGAGCTATAGCTTTGCGTTTTATAAAGGGCTGCTATAATACCTAAGATAGAATATTACCTATACTAATTTTACGTAAAGTCTTCTCTATCTATATAGTACCTATAGCTATAATCCTAGCGCACTGTAACTTCTTAAGTAACAGTACTAATATAAATAAGTTATCTATAAAAATTATATATTTATTAGGCTTAAGTAGCTGTATATTAATATTACTAGTAAAGTAGTCTAGGGTAAAGTAGAGTATAAGAGCTTAGGTAGGATAGAAACTAAGTCTTATATAATATAGGTTAAGTTTATAAGAGCTATTACTAGGATTTAAACCTTTACTATAAAAGAGCTAGTTTAATTAATACCTAGAATCTCTAAGGTACTATATTTTATAACTTATTAAGTTAGACTTATAATTAATTATAGTCTTCTCTTTAGTATACTTATAAAAGTAAGTTATACTTTTATCTACAGCTAAATATTACCTTAGGCTCTAGTAGCGTTAGCTAATATAATAGACGTACTTAGAGAACTCCTAAACTTATTTAAATAGATAGGTAAATAGGTTATTAATATTATATAGAGGCGTAATATAGAAGTAGTAATTAATTTACTTAAAGTAATTAAGGCCTATAATCTTATATAGATAGACGTAGACTACTTTAAATTATATATTAAAGTACTAGTAATCTTTAATTTATACCTTATAATATATACCTATATAGATTTATATAGCTAGATAACTAAAGATTTTATAAGGTGTTATATTATACTACGCATAGGTGCGCTTTTAGGTAGGATTAAGCTAGTATTAGTAATAAGTATTCTTATTAGTATAGTAATATATTTTTATAACCTTAGTATTAGTAAAGAATAATTTAAAGAGCTTAATAAGAGTCTAATTATAAGGCTTACTATTATAGTAAAGAGGTAGGCGTAAGTAGCTATAATTATTAGGGTTATTAAGTATAAGTAGTTCCTATTATAGTAGAGGGTTCTTAGCGCAGCCTTTAAGGTATATAAGTAAAGGCTTCTACTGTGTTTTTTATAAGGTAGAGCCTTCTTTAGGTATAAGGTTATTATTAACGTAGCTGTAAGGCGCTATCTTAAGAATATATAAAGTTAATAAACGTAGAGTAAAGATATAAAGTATAGATAAAGTTAGTATTAAGTTAATTAATAGTTTCTAAGTTTAAAGTTTGTAACGTTTGCTAAACGCTAACTTACTGACGCTAAGCCACGCTCTAATTAGCTAATAGTTAGGCTGAAATCCGCGGGTTCTATGTAGCGGACTATGGGATAGCGGTACTTCGGTTCCAGATTGTCTGCACGTCACTTTGTTGTAATGGGTAACATTCGCGATGTCTTCGTTTGTGAAGGTTGGAGTAGCATTGGTCCTTGCATGTACAATGTATCATCGTAATCTGGGGTATAGAGATAGCATAGACAAGCTCACAGAGCTTCTTCAACATTCGCCTGCTCTCAGTACTCCCGAAGAACGAAAACAGGTATAAGAGCGTCGCGTTCTTTTGCCCCTCGTTTGACTGCTAGATGCGGATCCTCTGTAGCCGGCGCACGCGATCCAAGGCCTCTGGCCAACGCCTCCAGAAGGACACAAAGTCGCCATCGTTGCACTTCGGTAGATGTCACTACCAAGAAAAGTAGAATATCCGCCCACTTGTGCCATTCCAGGATGGAACAAGCTACTACACCAAGGCTCTCGGCCAGCCTCTCCGCATGGTGTTCTCAGCCGCCTGGGCGATTGCTGCATGGCCTAGCCGCAGTGAGCCTCGGCCGCACAGAGCTCAACACGCCAAGATGGTTCGATGCAAAACCAGAGTCTGGACCGAGCGCTGGCTAACCTTTTGTGGTGCGGCGTCGTTGGGATTGTCAGGCACTTGCGCTCAGAACCAAGGTAGAGGGTCTGGCGACTGGCATGGAGCAGCGCTAAGCTCTGTGGGCGCGCGATAAGCTTGCTCCAAGTCTTGTGTGAGGTGGAAGAACCAGAGGAGAGACGCATTTGTCGACACAGCACAGCGCGACCGACGGGTGCAGACGGGCGCAGATGGGCGCAGTACATCGAGCCCCAGCGTCGCAATCCAAAGGAATCGATCTGCGGAGCTTCAGCGAATGAGACGGTCCTGCGACGTCAATTCTGCAAGGAATTAGGCTTAGCGTGTTTGATCACCCTAGCGAGCTAGGGGACTTTGATAGTTCACACAGACCTTCTCTAGCACCCTGGGTTGAGAGCTCCTCATATCCATCCGCCTCCTCCCACGGCCACGCTCGTTTTTGCTTTTACACGTCTTCGATTCTCCAGCCCCAACTCCGTCGCTCCCTCGCACCTTCCACAGCAACTGTAGCTGACGCACGCCGGACGCCCAGCTACTTCTGCCAGCCATCTCGACTGCTCCTTCCCGACGACTCGTGCTACCGCGTGTCGCGCCTGCCCTCTCCACGCTATCAAACTCTAAGAACACGACCAAATCAGCTGAGCTTTATGTCACTCCTGTTGTGAATCTAGTTCGACTTGTGAAGTCGCACACCGCCCGCCAACGCAACCCTGTAGTGCATCTGCAGCCAGCCGTCTCTCAATAGGGGTCTCCCTGACGATCAACGACTGCGTCCGTTCACGCTACCAAACACGGTCGCTCTTTCCACAACACACGTCGTCGCGCAAATCACTGCTTCTTTAGCGGCAATGGCAGCACCTGCCGAGAAGTACGAACCCGTAACTTTTGGCGTCACCATCGAGGGACCAACAACCACTCTCGCAGCTCCTCCCAAGCCTATTCTCCGCTCCCCGCCATCCAACGACTCCACAATGACCTCAGTCACCGAAGAGGTGGCAGCAAAGGAAGCACTTGTCAACTCGACAAACCCATACTCTGCCTTCTACAAGCATCCTGAGGCCCGTCGCTCCATGGATGGCGCCCTCCCGAGCAAGACGCACCTCGACGTCACCACCTTCGAGCGCGACGTTGAAGCCGGTGTCCCGCTTTCCACCGCATCCACACAGCAACAGCCCAAGGTCTCGGTCGACGGCAGAGTCAAGGAGTGCAGTATGTGGCCGTCAAGACAGGCCGTACTCGACCAGCGGAAGACATACAAACGCACACGTGGCTGCAACCTCTTCCGCAACCTGACAGGCAAGCAGAGGCTGTACTGCAAGATTTTCATCGCCCTCGTCGTCGTAGCTGCTGCTGTGGGCCTCGGTGTGGGCATCACACGAGCGGTTGGCGGCGGCGTGTGGGCTGGTGATGGCAAGAGCAAGGAGATTCCGCACAACTGAGCGGGTTGAGCAGCATCATTGTATCAGGTTTGTCACCCGTTGAACAACCGCATGTGGCATTGAATCTAACAATCAGCAGGATCGCTTCACGTTTGTCTTTCGAGCACCATTCACGACTTCATTACACACACTTTTTGCAGAATCATTGCTGGTATCTATTTTCTTGTGTTTATCGTTTTCTGGCAATGTAGATATCTATCATGTTCTGCCCTTTTTTCCATTGTCGATATCCTTTGTCGAGCGAACATATTGCTGGAGTTCCTGGGGTTCACGGCGTACTTCTGGATTGAGCGTAATGCATGATGCATTTGAGCATGATGGAGTTCTCTGGGTTCATACATGTTTCTGTTCGGATAGAAATTCTGCACACGTGGGAGTCACATTCTACCCATCGTTGGTACCGCAAATTCACTATCGCCTGTGCAATAGCCAGGCTGCATTCTGTTTGCACTTCATTTCCCGTTGTCTTCTACCATCTTGTCTTGTCTTGTTGTTTCGTTGTCTGAGTGAGGTTTTACCTTGTTCACGTTCAAGACCTGATTCTGCATCTTGATCTACATATGATTGCGTTGTTCGTGAGACCAGACAGGTAAGTAACGTCTGCTTCTACGTGAGATGGGTCCTGAAGCTCATGCTTTTCTCCCCTTTCCACGACTCACTCGATGCGTTTCCTCGTCGTATCACCTGAGTCCTCTCACCTCCACAACTGTAAGGTAACGCTTACACATCTCCTTCTTCATGGTCTCTCACTCCAGTTTACCTTGGAACAAAGATATTGGGCAACGGTGTGGGCGATGTCGTTTCTACTACTGTAATGGTTCTGTCCGTTCTATTCCTGAAGTGAAAGAGTGGACTGGCACAAATGCGGAAGGCACGACCACTATCTCGGATTCTGAGCCCCGCGTTGGGCTTTACAATTGGCTCCAACTCCAAGCAGCGAGACCAGAAGACAAATAGCCATTTCGCGACGTTGTGGGTGGGGCTTGGCGTATGTTTGTCTTATCACGACTGACTATACGTCCGCCTCCACATCACATACCATCACCCACCTCCCGCGAGATCACTTCGTGTCCTCCTTTGTTGTATCATCGTCGGCGCTGTGGTTGCTTTCTAAAAGTGTAGAGTGTTTAAGAGATGTCGAACAAGGTCAGTCAGCTCACTGTTTTTGCGCGTCGCCGAGACCTCTATTCACAACGATACTTCAGTGGCACGTTCCCAGCAGGCCTGGCGTCAAGATCATGCCTAACGGCTATGGTAGTCACAGTCATGACGGCCGCCCTGCGCGCTTCCAGTCCTTGAACCCTTTCGGGGCTCTGGACAACGCCGCTGGTGTCGAGTCCGACGGAAGAAGCAGCTCGACAGGCTCACCGTCATCTTCGGGGGGATCAGCATCAATGGTCGGCCGCAACGATGGCGGGGGCGTTTCTATCGCGATTGCTCAGTTGCCCAAACAATCACCTATGTTGCAGCAGCATGTGAGCGCATGACCGTTTTCACAATCAGGCAAGAGTATATTGCTGACGCGTGTATCAGGGTGACTACGAAACTGTTCAAGAAAAGAACCGTCGTATGTCTGCAGGAGCTCATAGCATGTCTTCCGCGTTCAACTCTCCGCTGCGCAACCGCACGCAGAACGTTCGAGAAGACTCCTATGGATCTCCGCACAAGACGACACCTCGCGCGCGTGGTGAAGCCAACGGCGGACAGTCGACTCAACGTCGCGAGTCTGTTTCTAGTCAGACTTCTCCAATGCCTCGCAACTCTACAGGTCGTTCTTCGTTCTCCAGCATCCGCGCCCCAACGATGCTCCATCCCGCCTACGGTACCAACTCGATCTCCATGGCTGGCATCAACGACGCGCTGGCCGTGCAAGAACTTGCCTTCCGTCAGGGTCTCCAGGATAGGCACAACGTCCGCGACAGACTCCCAGCCAGCACCTTCCCATCGCAGTACGATACCATTTGGGCAGAGTTCTACAGGCTAGGTAAAGCATCCAACGCTGCGCCCATGCCTCCCCCACCCCACCTTCACTCGCCGTCGCAGCCAAACTACTCCTGGCCGGTCCTCATCAACCCCCACACTCAGAGCCTGGAGCATCCGACGGGCATTCTGGACATGGAGTGGACGCGAAACATCTGCGAGATTGCGTTGAACTGCATGGAAGCTCTCATCCGGGTCGCCTGCAGCCGTAAGAACGATTGGCAGAAGCTCACCATCGACGTCCCTTTTCCTTGCCAAGAAGCCCTGCTAGAGTTTGACGATCTTGCTGATCGATACGAGTACCTGAAGGACGCTGCTCGTCAGGCTCTCGCTGGCGGCCGTCCTCACGGCTTCTAGCTTGCGTGCGATATCGCGTTTATTGTGCGTCGACCTCGGTAGCTTCATCGTGCTTACCTTGTGAGCTATATATCTGCTCGACGCTACTCAACGCACGACGCGAAGACTATGTTCTTGGACGTTTGTATGAATACATTGGGCTCTCGACATGTTTGTTTCATGAGCGCCCCACACCAACCCCCAAACAGATTTACCCAACAAGCACGAAGCCCCACTGTTTTCTTTTCTTTTTCTTTCTTTTCCTACCGGCGTTGCCGATGGGCTGGGCATGTCTGGCCACTGCAGGAGTTTTCAGCAGGACCATGTGGCGACAACGATGAGATGGCAATGTTTTTTCTTTAGGTGGGTGCATGTGTCCGGATGCGAGCCAATCTGTCGAGCAATGTGTTCATGAACGATGTACAATAAGATGACGAAGATGATGAAGGCGGATTGGATCAAATGTGTACGATAAAATTACTACTACGTGTTAGTTAGCATGGATGGCTATGGCAATGCAACTTTACTTCTCAATCAAGCATACAACCTCGTAGTGACTGGGCTAACGTGCTTTCTCTACACAGACACCCAGTTAGAAACGATCACCATGGTCGCCCAGGTTCTCTCCCTACATCGCTTTGTATCACGAGATGTTTGTTTACTTTAAAATGGCCTCGATGTTCTCTCTTTTTAGCAGTTCCATATGCAATCTCGAAATGAATGCCGTGTACAGCGATGTGCATGTGGGGAAAAGAAAACATACAGCTGCTGCAACAGTAGATGTTTCATGAAACGGGCAACATAGAAGAAACGAAGACATGCATGCGTTGTGTTACATTACGTGACTGCGCATTGGTATGATCTTATTGCAACGTCAAGAGACCGATCAAGCGGTGTTATTTTCCTCCTTCGTTCCTTCGTTCCTTTCTTCCGTCCCAGCTGAGAGGAGGTACGAATACATAAAACCCCACACTAACATCTACTTACAACACATCACAGTTGGTAGGTGAATGTCGAAACAGCCAACGGCACACCGTCCTAGCGCTGGTTGTCCGACACCGCTCGATCCGTAGAAACCGTTGACATCGCACGGATAGTAGACGCAGACTCTGATGAAGTGGTTCTCGAATCGATTGAAATAACAGACGGCTGACTGGCATGCGTACTCGGTCGCTCCTCTTCTTCGTACTCACTCCCATCTCGCATTTCCTCGTCCTCATCTTCACTGGCTTGGCCGGCACTCGCTGCTTCAGTTTCAAGCGCGGTCATGCGATTGACGAATTCCTTCTGCAGTTCTCTAAGCCAAGCTGTCAGGACCTCGCCTTCAAGGACTCCAGTTTGGGCCTGGACAAGATGCTCTTTGAGATTGAGAATGAGTTTACGGCGCTTTTCCTTGAGCACGGTTTTGGACGCTTTCTTCTGTTTCAGGAGATGGCGCTCGAGTTTCTGCGCGACGAACGTGGCGTGTTCGACGACTCCTGGTGGGAGCGGGACGACACGGGCAAGTGTTAGGCCATAGTGAGACTCCCGGACGGCACCTGGGGCTATTCGGTACAGCATTGTCATGCTTTCGTTGCTCTCCAGCTGAACTTGTATTAGAAGGTTTGACGGAACTTTTGGGTAACTCTCACCTCGACTGCCAAGTGCAGGTTCAGCACTCCAGCGCGTTCATTCATGATAGTCGCCAGGTCCTTGAAATGTGTCGCAAACCATACGAGAGCCTGCTAGAGATTGAGTAATGCTCCCAATTACTCAACAGCTACTCACTTTGCTGGACAGAAGAGCTTCTGCGATAGCCAAGGCGATAGCTAATCCATCTCTGGTGCTGGTGCCTCGACCCAACTCGTCCACGATGACGCTGATAGCTGGTCAGTACAATGTCGTTCGTCAAACATAGTCTCGAGACGTACATGCCACGTCGGTCAACATTTCGCAAGATGAATGCGATTTCTTTCATCTCTGCTGCAAAAGTCGACACATTGGTTTCGATGTTGTCATCCATACCCAGCCGAGCAAAGAGCTGATGCAAAATAGGAAATGAGGCGTAGGAAGCAGGGACACTGTGTTCAGTCAGTAACTTCATCAACTTCAAAACCACAAAATCTTACTAGCACCCGATCTGAGCCATGATTGACATCAGTGCAACAGAACGGATGTAAGTGCTCTTCCCACTCATATTGCAACCAGTGATGAGCTGGAGCCGAGTCTGCTGGGTAGCGTAGACATCATTCGGCACAAACTTTGTTTGCATGATCTTCTCTTTCATGGGGTGTCGACCAGATTTGATAGCGAGCGTATCTGTAAGCTGCGGTCGGGCTGCGAACATGTCAGCAGAGAGACTCCATGCTTTACTCGAGATTGAGTCGCTTACTGTAGTCGTTGATCGTCACAAGCTGTGCAAACGAAGCCACCTAACACAATGAGCAAACTTGGTTGGTTGTAGAGGCGAAACTTCACATACCATGTCGAGTAATGCGATAGCTTCGCAAATCTTGAACATGATCGATATGTGGCTACGAACCTCCTCAATAAGAGCCTCAACAGCTTGGTCACCTGAAGGTGTAAGCAATCGCATGACTTGTGCGCCATGAGGGACGAACTTACTCATCAAGATTACTTCTTGATGCGACACATTGATCTGTGATGTTAGTAAGTTTTTGGTAGTGCAATATCAACCGTACCTTTTGGTTGCGCTTCATCAGCTCCAACGTCTGGCACTCGAAGTTGTTTTTTCGACGGACGACATTGGTGAATACAGGCGGTAAGTCTCTCCCGTCAAGTTCAGATACTGGAATCTTGATGTAGAACTGACGTGCATTCTCATACTTGAGATCGAGTTGAATGTCGTATTCCTCTGGAATGGGTTAGCACTACGGTTAGACATGCACAATGGGCGGCGACGTACGGCCCAGTTCGGTGCAATGTTGGTACGTATCTTCAGTGGCTTCCTTGTACGTAGTACGGGCAACGTCGAGGAGGCCGTTGACCCCAGATTTGATGGCATAAGTGCGTTGATTCCTCAGTTCAAGGGGTTGTCTAGCGTAAGTGGTGTCCTCGTTGATAACGCCATCAATGAGCTCTTGCACAGGGACTATATTCTCGGGAGCGCAAAGCTAGAAGGGTAGCTTAGAGAAAGTATCTCTAGTACCACATGTATACGCACCTCACGAATGTTGTTCAACATGCTTGATGCTGCTCCAGTGAGAGCTTCGAAAATAGGGTTCACGGAAGTCACGAACTGCTTGAGCATGATGACTTGGTTTATTGCGGACTCGGTCGTCTGCAGAGTTGATTTGCTGGGTGAGACGATGAGCTGGATGTATTTTAGCAAATACGAAACCTCTCCGCAGAGGCCACGCTCACCGCAGTCAGTATTCTATCAGCGTCTAGGAAATTCTTCAATGCTATGGCGTGTCAGAAGAGAACAATGTACTACAAGACAAATCACCGACCCGCCCTAGTTGCAAAGAACATCTCTTCCTTTGTGGTCAGTTCATCGACTGCAGTGTATCGAGTGTTGAGCACATCCGGATCGGTGAGTGGCTGTAGGATGTTGTTTCGCAGAAGGCGTGCTCCCATTGGTGTCAACGTTTCGTTCAAGAGTCCAAACAAGCAGTCTTTCGATTTGGGATTCTGCAAGTTCTGGACCAGCTCGAGAGAGTAGATGGTGGACACATCAATCATCATGGATCCTTCCGAAGGCTCGTATCTCATTCTGAGCGAGTGGAACGAGAACAACATTCCCAAACCTAAGTCGATGTATTTGAGAGCCTGTAAAAGGTCTCAGTCAGTCATCGATACGGCAAGGCACCCACTTACCGCTGCAATGCAGCAGACGGCATAATAGTTGCCAGCGACCGAGATTTTGATGGATTCGACATCTTCTTTGAATGCTAGAGACTGTATGTACTCGTATCCGGTTGACTCGGCCCAGTAGCGACGGTCAAGCAGTGTTAGTTTACTGTCAATATCCTCGAGATTCTCCTCTATGATAGAAAAGAGCTTCGACTTGGGGCTCGCTGCAGTAGAGACGATGAGGATCTCAGAAGGTCCATACACCTTCAACTTGTGAATCGTTCGAACATACGTCTGACTGTCACAGATTTGACACAGCACAGCTTCTGCTGTATCGAGGTTCACAAAAGCTAAGCCGACTGTTGGCGAAATTCCACGCGACTCGGCAATGGCACACACGACGTTCTGGGCTTCGATCCTGGCGATGGTTGATGCACCAGTTCTTGGCCGAGCAGTCGAAGGTCTACCAGTTCCCTTGCGTGTTCCTGGACCAGATGTTGTGGTTGTGTAGTCACCATATGCATAAGATGTGGACGCTGAGGTGCTGTAGGAGGTCGAGGGCCTGAATCGCTGAGACATGATTAGTGCTGTGCAATTAGTCGTTGATCGATCGTCTCATTCGCATCGCCAGCTCTCGAAGCTTCAAAGGACGCACTGAGGTGAAAGATATCAGACGACGACGCGTGATGGAGGAGCTGTGACGCTTAGGGATAGCGCGAAAATATAGCGCGCCTGCTATCGATAACGCGAATTTTTTGGAAAGTCGCATTTGCAGTGGGGTTGGCTTCTGCATCTTGCGACAATCAGCTGCTGCAGAAGACTTTCTCCGACGGCAACTGAGAAGACGATACCATGGCCACCCAATACCCACCCCCATCGAAGCGCCAAAAGCGCGCACGAGCAGAACTCGCGCGCGAACAGCAAGACGTCGACACGACAATCCCAGATGGCACAGTACGAGTGCGCTTCGTCGACCAGGCCACAGGCGAAAGCGGCAGTCTCCCCGTCCTTACTGTTCAGCTCTCGCAAGCTTCAACCAAGAACCTCGAGATCCTGCTCAACAATCTGAAAGACCAAGCCGACGACCAGATCCCATATCGTTTCTTCCCCGACGGAACAACCGAGGCGCTTGGAGACAAGGAGGACTTGTACAATGCTTTGGTGAAGCCAGGGAAGGCCTCGGCGGAAAGCGAGATTGTGTTGCAATATGCGCCGCAGGCTGTCTTCAGGGTGAAGGCTGTGTCGAGATGCGCTGCAGCCATCTCAGGACATGGAGATAACATTCTGGCGGTGCAGTTCTCGCCTGTGAACTCGACGCGCATGGCGAGCGGAAGTGGAGACAAGATGGTCAGGGTATGGGACTGCGATACTGGAACGCCTGTGCACACATTGAAAGGCCACTCAAGGTGGGTGCTTGCCGTTAGCTATTCTCCAGATGGCTCACTGTTGGCGTCCGGAGGCTACGACAACGAAGTCAGGATATGGGAGCCAGAAAGCGGGAAGCAGATTGGAGGAGCTCTGAAAGGACACACAAACTTCATCACATCACTCTCCTGGGAACCATATCACCTACAGGAGCCTGGTCGCCCGAGGGTAGCGTCGTCTTCAAAAGACGGCACAGTACGAGTCTGGGATGCGGTAGGAGGCAGAATCGACTTCGCACTTTCTGGACACAAGGGCAGTGTAACGTGCGTCAAATGGGGCGGTACTGGACGTATCTACACCTCATCCCACGACAAAACGATCAAAGTCTGGAACGCTGCAACAGGCACGCTTGTCAACACGTTGTCAGGCCACGCGCATTGGGTCAATCACCTCGCTCTTTCGACTGAATTCGTCTTGCGAACTTCATACCACGACCACACACGGAAGGTCCCCGCCTCTCCCGAAGAGAAGCTTGCGAAAGCAAAGTTACGATTCGAAAAAGCTGCTACAATAAACGGCGAGATTGTGGAACGTCTGGCCACAGCGTCCGAGGATTGCACAATCATTCTCTGGACTCCTCTGACCAGTCCGAAGCCAGTAACGCGGATGACTGGCCACCAGAAACAGATCAACCAAGTTACATTCTCGCCGGACGGCGCTCTCTTGGCTTCAGCAGCCTGGGACAATCACGTCAAGCTCTGGTCGGCCAGGGATGGAAAGTTCCTCAACACGTTAAGAGCACATGTGGGCCCTGTATACATGACCTGCTTTTCTGCCGACAGCCGGTTGTTAGCGAGTTGCAGCAAGGACACGACCCTCAAGGTGTGGGATATGAGGACTGGCAAGATGAAGGAGGACCTCCCAGGACACAAGGATCAGGTGTTTGCATTGGACTGGAGTCCAGATGGCGACAAAGTTGGCAGTGGAGGAGCGGACAAGCAAGTGAGGATATGGAGAAACTGAAGGACATGTCGCGATCGTTTAGAAAAGTGTTTAGCTTGGAGATACCCAGACGTCAAAATCCGGAGTCGTTTTCTTCACGGTCTACCAATGTGGGTAAGACACAATCGCACAAGCTAAGTGAATCAGGTTTGTAGCACCGAGATACAGTCGGGTGCCTGAGACCTCATCAGGCAATATTGGTTCGCCAACCTCTTGCATATGCGCGCCAAGATCTGGGGCATAAAAGCTTGGTTCAGATCCACCCCACGCTCATGCATATAATCTGGACCCACGCTTCACAGATATTGAGACGCTATCAGAGCGCATTACGAGTGAGGCATTTGTGACTGGACGCACTACTGTTGACGGGTTCTGGGGCTGCATTGCGCGGGAGATTCGTCGGCCCATCTGTCAGCGCAGATAAGGTGCATCTATGACATATGTGCAGCGGTCTGGATACGGAAACGGCTAGGCAGTGGACAATGCAAGGGTGGTGCATGGGTGCACGGCGGCGGCATGCAGCAGCTTAGCCGAAGCGTTTGCGGAGCTGGAGGTGTTTGTACAAGACACAACGATGGATAGAGCTGTGCGTGGAGATTAATAGAGAGATGTAAAAGCACTTGTTCGTGTTTCTCGATGAATTGGTCCCTAAGAAGTAGTCCAATCGCGGTGTTTACAGGATAACTCGCCGACGATCTTCCACTTACGATGAAATGATGAAGCTCTCCACTGGCTTCAATAGCTAATAGCTTTAAGCTTAGCGCGATTCCCGTGTTGTCCCAACCTCTTTCTCCTCATCAACCCATCGCAACATCCTCATCCGCATCTCTCTTCCTCACCAAGCTCGCCTCACCGTCTCTCCAACCCCCCGCGACTCAGTAAGTACCCATTTTTCGTTGTCCAGACAATCGAATCCCACGCGCATGCAAGCGTATTCCCGGCGCCGTCGTCGGGGCCGCACGGCCAGAGCAACCAAACAAAATGCCTCAATTTACCTGAAGAAATTTTCGCGCCTTTAAAAGCGGAGCGAGGCCCGTTGGGTTGTTTCTCTTGTTGTTGATGCTCTGATTGTTGCTCTGTCTTGCTCTTCCATCGATTTCACTATCGCGCCGCTCTTCCAGTTGATCATTCGCGCTGACCAGCTCTCTTCTCGACAACACAGCTTCCGCAAGCTTCAGTTAGCCGGATCTCCTGTCTCAAATCGCCTGATCATCTTCCGACCAGTTAAAGGTATGCTCAACCGTCGATTTCCATGGGCAATTGGCTCGCAACAGTGGCTATCGCTTCTCTCCGACGAGCTCGCGTTGCGCCAACGGGTCCTCTGCACCAATTACGTGACAAAGGACGCGTCTCCGCGTTTTGCGACCTCTTGCAACATACTATTCAAGTAATCAGTACTGACTGTCTTGTGCTTCAGAAAACCCACATTCACAATGGCCGCCATCAACATGTCCATCGCTTCCCGTAGCGAGTACGCCGTGCACCAGCTGATGAAGCGCAAGAACTGGGCGCAGCGCGAAGTCGGTGTCGTCCTCGTTCTCTGCATCGTCTTCCTGGTCTTCTGCCTGCTCATTGCCGTGTTCATCAACAAGAGGGTATGTCATCAGCACGTCTGAACCATCACAAGGGGACTATATTAACGCGTCATTACAGAAGAACGCTGCCCGTGCTGGCGCCGCTCCCGTTTAAGCGACAATCCGCAGTCGAGTGGAGTCGAGATGGTCGAAGAGAGGAACAGATTGGTGAATAGGATGCAACGACGATGCGATACTGGTGGGATTTGGATGAGAAAGAGTCGGGAATGATATCTATGTTCCTGTATAATGTGTTTAGTATGCTGGTTTCTTGCATGGAAGATCCCTTTGCACCGCGCTGGGGATCACGCCTGGGACGAAAGGTTGTGGTAATGATAAGATACCTCCAATGAGCAATTTTCAATCGACGTGTTACGCGTTTCTAGTCTATGCCAGTTCCCGGCGCACTTGTTCAACTATGTTGTTCGTTCTACAACTCATCGACTACTCAGGAACTGGAAGTGCCTCGCCATCCAGGCTCAGCTGTCACTGCTTGAACTGATGTCGGTTCCGCCAAGCACACTGAACATCTCGAACAAAGTCCGTCGCCTCCGGGAAACGTACAAAGGTAAGTCGAGCTCACGCGACCTTTTGTCGCGTTAGTGGAGACTTCTCCATCGGCATCTCAATCGCGCCCACCGATCCGGCGAGCCGAGGGTACCGCGTCCGAACACGCATGACGCATACTCGACCACCATACCACACCAATGCATCAACATCCACAACTGCACCTTCTACTTGCAGGATTTTGGAGACTGCTTGCACAATCAAGACTAGACTCACTGACAGAGTGAATACACTAAAGGCAAACATAAGGCCTACATCAATTGATTAAGTCCGTACTGTACAATGAAGCAAGATATGGACCACATCTCAAGGCTGAAGAAAGACTACCCATGGATCCAAACGCCCCTCATCGTCGGCGCTCCCATGCGCCTCATCGCATTAGCAGACATGGCAGTTGAGATTTCAAAAGCCGGTACAGCACGCTCATCTCACCAACACCAAACCAACCAGCAAGTCCCCTTCTAACATACACATACACACACAGGAGGCATAGGTTTCATCGGCGCTGGAACAGACGTCTCAGACCTATCCACACACCTCGAGCACGCGCAAACCCTGCTCTCCCGCACCGCTCTCGCCTCCTCATCAAACACACTCCCCATTGGCATAGGCTTTATAAATTGGGGTGCTGACCTCGCCGCCTCGATCGCGCTGATCGCGCAGTACCGGCCCAGCGCAGTATGGTTCTTCGCGCCGGCGTCGTCCGCATCGCTCGCAGACTGGACGGCGCAGACACGGCGCGCCAGCCCGCACACCAAGATCTGGGTCCAGGTGGGGTGCGTGCGCGACGCTGTCGATGTGGTGCGTGAGGTACAACCAGACGTGCTCGTCGTGCAGGGCACAGATGCAGGGGGCCACGGTCTTGCGCGCGGCGCATCGCTTGTCAGCCTGCTGCCCGAGACCATCGACACGCTGGCTGCGCTGGAGAAGAAAACAGAAGACGGGAGTTACATGCCCCCCACCATCCTAGCCGCAGGCGGCATCGCCGAGTCGCGCGGCGTACTCGCAGCACTCTCCCTTGGCGCCGCCGGCGTAGTAATGGGCACGCGCTTCCTCGCCGCACCCGAAGCGCAGATCTCGCGCGGCTATCAGGCAGAGATCCTGCGCGCGGGCGACGGCGGGCAGACGACTGTGCGGACTAAAGTGTATGACACGCTGCGGGGCACGACGGGGTGGGCGGAGACGCACAATGCGCGGGGGGTGATTAACCGGGGGTATGTGGATGCTGAGGCGGGGATGGCGGAGGAGGAAGGGCGTAGGCTTTATGCGCTGGAGATGCAGAGGGGGGATGGGGCGTGGGGCGTGGACGGCAGAATGACGACGTATGCGGGTAGTTCTGTGGGGCTTGTGAGGGAGGTCAAGGGAGCAGGGGAGATTGTTAGGGAGGTTAGGGAGGGGGTGAGGGCGGTGTTGGATGTTGTTTCGGCGAGGCTGTGAGTGTTGGAGAGAAGAGGATTGTATGGGATGAGACAAGATACAATGGAATAAAATAAGGCGAGAGATAATTGAAACTGCAGAGCACTCCCTCATCAATAAAACATAAATACAACTTCGAACTCTCGTATCATTATTACACATGTCTAACTATTACCATGTCAATATCCCAAATAGTCTAAAGCACCTGGTCCCACCCAACCCACCACCAGGAAGCCATGAAACGAATCCATATCTACATCATGACCGCTCGTTAGATCCAGTACCGGTAAACACCATCTACAACCCCTTGCTCCTCCTCTCCCACTCCACCACCGCCGGCGAAAGCGGTCTCGAGAACAAACTCGAGTAGTCCGTGCCCACGATGTCCTTGCTGCCACCAGGGTTCCTCATCTTGAATTCGCGCACAAACGCCACAAGGATGGTTTGCAGCTGCAGATACGCGAACTGCTCGCCGATACACCTATGTCGGCCGGCGCCGAATGGCAAGTATGGCGAGTTCGTGCCCTTAGATACGACACCCCAGCCGTAGTCGATGTTCTCCTCGTCCTTGTTTACAACCTCTTCGAAGCTTGCGTCGGCGTCCCAGCGATGAGGGTCCCATACTGCAGGGTTGACAAAGTGAGTATCGAGTTGTGCGGAGAAACCAGGCGAGGACATAAGGGTGTGCGAAGTGGGGACAGTGTAGTTTGTTCCGTCAACGACGAGAGGCTGCTTGACTTTGCGCATGATAGAGTGGATTGGAGCATGAATGCGGAGGGTCTCCTTGACAATCTGCGCATGAAGAGGAAGCCTTTGGAGATCCTCGTAGGTAAGTGCTGGAAGGTCATCGCCCAAGACAGATTTTTGCTCGGCGAGAAGTTCCTCGATAAGGTGAGAGTTCTGCGCCAGACGGAGCAGGATCCAGGCAATTGTCGACGAGGAGGAGTGCTGACCAGCCATAAGCAGCGCAATCATGATGCCAGCGATTTCATGCTCAGGGACTTGGGTTCCATCCTTGTACTTGCAGTCCATGAGATGCCAGATCATGTCGTGTTCCTTGCGTTCCTCGCCCGCTCTCCTCTTGCGAACAATATCCGAGTAGAGCTTGATCATCGTCTCGTGCGCATTGTCTCGCGCGCGGTTGTGTGGAAGCGGTGCCCAGGAAAGCATGAAGTTGACGGGTGAGAAACCCATGTCCAGATCGTGGTATAGTTCGGCGAACTTGGAGTCGAAGGCGTTGCGGATCTCCTGGCCCTGGAGGGAGCGGGATGCAGTGTAGATGGTGAGCTCGGCCATGACTTTGGGGACGTTGAATGAACCCTGTTGTCCCTTGAAGTCCTTGTGGCGCTTGAAGAAATCGTCTACTTCCTGTGTGATCAGAACCACGTAGGAACGGAGGGCGTCTGTCGTGAGACCAAACTTGACGAACTGTTGCTCGCGTTAGTGGTGCACTATGTATAGGGGGACTGCGTGCTCACCTTCTTCTGCTCCATGAGCTTCGAGTTGGGGCAGTCGTACACTACATCCTTTCCAAAGACAGGAGTGGTGAGCGGGCTGTAGATCTCCTCGGCGTTGACGTCCTTGCTCTTGCCGTTTAGGATGAAGTTATTGCCCACCGTGTCCAAGCACACGGTCATCTTGCGGCCAAGGAGAATGAAGGTGAAGACGTTGCCGTACTTCTTGTGATTCGCGAAGAAGAACCCGTACGGGTCCATGCCATACGTGATAGTGTTTCCGATCACGGGCAGCCAGTGGAACACGAGAGGCGGCTCATTTGGGTTCTTGAGCAGCAGTTGCTTCAAGATGTTGAGGACGATGGCGACGAGGATAAAGGAGGCGAAGCCGGTGGCAGCGACGACGGGGAAGGACGAGTTGGACGTGAAGTTGCCCAATGGGCCGGCGATATCAGCGACGACACCCATACTGCGAGGGAGAGGGATGAGAAGACAACGAGTGTGTTGTTATCACAGAGGCGGTGTCGTTCTAATAAATTTCCTACGAAGTTGCGGCCAACACTCGGGCCAATCACCCATCACTGTGTCCGCTCCAGCGATCAGCCTTGGCAGGGACAGTCCCACTTATATCGGACCATTAACGAACCGTACCACGCCATTGCGTACAATCGCGTACCGTAAAGACTGCCCTGTCATTCGTCGAGTGCATGTATCTGCTCATGTCATTCCAGCATAACATATACCAGCTGCTTTAGGCAGAAAATGACATTCGATTAAGCGTACGCTCGGCTTGTAAAAGATTCTGGGCTACAAAATGCCCCACTGAAACCCCCATTACTGTATCATACATGAACTCCCAAGGAACACCAGCCACTAGAAAACCATGACTGCGCCGTTGAACACGCGGCGTGGAAAATACCCTCACAAGAACTGAATCGCCTTCCACATCTTCTCAAATGTCCTTACTTGAAGCAGATGCGGCATCCGGATTTGTGGGATAGTGCGAGCCATCGTGTGACTCCGCGTATAGCACTTCGTCGCCCTTTCCGCCCATCTCGATAAACTCTTTAGGGTGTCGTTCGTTCGCAGGATGTACTTCCTTGAAGCCCGCCTCGGCCACTTTCTTGGCCCCATGGGTGATGTTCTTCTCGTAAACCTTGACCGCATCTTGCCCCTCGGCGCCCTTGATAACCCGCGTCACCTTGATGTCGTTGACGCTACTAAGCATAGTCCGCTCTCGTTGTACTTTCCGCTTCGAGAAGTCGAGACCGGCAATGGCTCCAGTCAAGCCATCGGTGCTGTCGTTAGGATTGATTTTGTTGTTTAGAGTAACCCATGGATGTTGCAGACATTCGTCAATCGTGATCCGTTGGTCGACGTCTCTAGTCAGCATGCGGTCGATAAGATCAAGCGCAGGGTCGCCGACTGAATCCCAGTACGGCGAGGGATAGTCGAATCGGGCCTCTCTGATTTGTTGGGAGAGCGTGTAAGGGTTGTCTGGGCTGTAGAGCTCGTCGGAGAAGGGAGGGAATCCGCATAAGCAGATGTACAGCACGACGCCCAACGACCAAACGTCAACAGCGCGAGTGTAGCGACGGTGGTTGGAATTTTCCAGGATTTCAGGTGCAACGTCTATGAGAGATTAGCTTCGACTCAGCATACGGAGCGATCAAACATACATGATGGGGTGCCGCATCTGTCTTAAGTTAGCACGGATTTCAAACGTTTGAAGTGTATCCCAACTTACAATGTGGTTGTGAACGACTCCTCGCCGATAATCTTCGCAAGCCCGAAGTCGGCCAACTTGATGTGTAATTCTTTGTCGGTAAGCAAGATGTTCTCCGGTTTGATGTCGCGGTGAACGATATTGCGTTCATGCTGGGAACGGTGAGCAGAGTACAGTTGTAAGGAGCATCGTACATACCAAGTACTTAACCGCCTGAAACAGCTGCACGAACACCTTCCGCGTCTCCGACTCACTCAACTTCTGCTTCATCACTATCCAGTTGAACAGCTCACCCTCAGTTGCCAGTTCAAGAACGAGATAGACTCCATCGTCCTCGTCGTATGTGTCCTTAAGACAGAGTAGAGTTGGATGGCTGATCCCCATGAGTACAGCAATTTCTTGCTGCAAACCCTCAACCTTGGATCTCTCGCCAGGGCCGGATCGCTTCTCAAACTTCTTGACCGCATAGCGTATGCCCGAAGACTTTTCTATGCACAGATATACAGACGCAAAATGGCCCTTGCCCAGCTGCTCCTGGATGGTGTACTGTTGGCGAAATCCGTGCGTGTTGCGCTGTCGTGGGTATCGGAATACGTAGCGAGCTTCGTCCAGAATTGCAATCTCGTCGCCTTCTTTCAACACTCGCCGCTTGTTCCTCCCGACTATGGCCTCGTTGACGAACGTTCCGTTGCCAGAAAGATCTTCCAGCACCGCAACAGCATCTCCACCCTTGTTCTCAGTAAATAGGAGGCAATGTCGGTTCGAGACGGTAGGTGACTCGAGTATGCGGTCTATGGGATGCGTCAGCCCTAACTCCAAGACAATCGCTAAGGTCATGACCTACCGCATTCGCGATGTCGTCCAATGAGGTATCCACTTGCGTTGACGCCTTTCTCCTTTTTCTCCTTCTCGTATATCTCTTCCTGACGCTTGTACTCCTCCGTAGACACCTTGTCCTTCCCGGTCGTCTGGCCGACCATGCTCTGAGGAACTGGACAGCCCTCTCGGCGACGCAGCACAAGGGTGTCGCCTGATTTGTCGTCCAACGGCACGAGATAGCCCCATACTTGCTCGCCTTCCTCGTCGTCTACTGCGTACGTTCGTGGGTCGGGAGGGTAGACGCATTGGGAGAAGGGCTGCGTGTCTGACGGGGGTGAAGAGAGGCCGCCCGGGCCGCGCGGTTGCGAGTGTGTCTGCTTTCCATTGGGAGGAGTGACGGTGCCTTCCTTGAAGTCTTCTGACGCCGTGGATTCCTTGTGTGTGATAGGCGACGGCAGCTGCCCCTGTTTGAGATGGCTCTTGTGGGGCGTCGGCGAGGGTTGGCGCTGGGAGCGACGAGCTTTCTTAGGTTCGACAACTTCGCCTTGCGATTGCTGTCAGTCGACGCGTTAGCAGGCAGTCCATTGGCTGGTCTAGACAGCTCGCAACGTACGCGACTTCGCTTCAACTGGCTCTTTTCCGTTTGCGCCGGCATCTTGACTGTGAGACGGGATGTGGTCAAGGCGGAGGGAGACCAGAGCGATCGCGAATTAGGAAGCCGTGTAGGCAGTCAAGGGCGTGGTGATTACAAAGAATAGAAACGTTTAGGAGCGGTAGGATCCACGGCTAAACTTTTGATGGGGATGATGCCTTGTCGATCTAGGCAGCGCAGCCACGCAGCCAAGCCGGGTGGTGTTCTCGGACATTTCGGTGGCGAATCCCTGGAAGTCACTGTCTATCGTCCGAGCCTTTACTCGTTGCACTTTTGATGCATCGACTGTGCAGCGCTCCATTGATGATAAAACATGGCTACAAAAGAGGTGCTAATATTTAGTATACATGACAATAGAGGCTTGTTTATAGTGATAAAAACTGAGCAGACAAATGTTCCCATTTGGCAGCTTCGTCTCATTCCATGACTGAATCAAACGAACGTCCCATCAAACACCATCACGAAATGCTTTCCTCTTTCCCCCACTTATCAGACTCCGAGTTCAACGGAGCATGCCAGCATCTCCTCGACAGATTCCATCTCCACAGCCATCAACAAGAAACATGGCTATCAGTCGACCTCCTCCACCAGTCCGAGACGACATATCTCAGAATCACCACAGCACTGCTCAGTCCACAAACCACCCACATAGAAGCCAATAACCTCACCTCACACGACGAACTAGAGGACGACGCTGATGAAGAAACCCTCACACCCACTGCACCACCTGACCCAACCATCCACAACTCCATCATCCTCTCACCCACGTACCGCGTCCCTGTTCTCTACATCCATATTTCAGACTCGCAGCACCGCTACCCGCCCACAATGATTAATCTCTACTCCTACATCATCCCTCCGCAATTCAAGGTGCAGACTGAGCATGTCGGTGTTATGGGGGGCATTACTGTTACGGATCATCCGGTCACGAACAGCCCGGTCTTCTTCATCCACCCGTGTCGAACGGCGGAAGTCATGCAGGCCATTGTGGGGGAGAGGGAAGTGAGTGCTGGGGAGTACTTGATGTTGTGGATTGGAGCATTGGGGAAGTGTGTTGGACTCAATGTACCGTTGGCACTGATGCGAGAGAATGAAACCAAGTAATTCCGCACAAACAGCAAGACACTTCTCAATGAGGGCCTATGAATGAACCGTATATGCAGATGCTGTACATATCCTACAAGACTCCACACACTACAAGGATACAATACACGTTCATCCACAACCGCAGATCTATATCCGCAACCTAACACTCGACCTCTCCAACTCCCCAATATTCCCCATGCCTGCCAAACTCCACTTCTCACTCACGAAACCATCATCAACACGGTGTCTCAACATGCCGCTCTCGGCGTAGTACTCCATGATGCTCCTCGCCTCCTCCTTGCTCAGTCCCCCAACCTTGATCACATCCAGCTCCTTCCCACTGCTGCTCTTCAGGTCTTTCAGTGCCTCCATAACCCGCACATCGACTTTCTTGTATGGGTTCCACTGCGGGATGTCATCTGGTTGCGTCTGGCGCGCCTGTGCAGCTTCAATGCAAAAGTCGAGGGCGGAGGAAGTGGGTGCATTCGAGCGAGATGTTGCGCCCAGGACAAGACCGCCGTTGGGGAGCTGCTTCGTGCCGGAGAGGTGGTCGACGAAGTGGCGGACGATGGTGAGGTCGTGTGCGTGGATCGGTTTTACGTCTGCGGACAAGTACTCGGAGTTGCGCATAACATGGGAGAGTCCATCGAGGGCGAGGAGTACTGGAGGGCGGCCGGGCTGTGAGAGTTCCTGCCAGAGGGCAGTGAAGACGGACCAGGAGGCCTCTGGGTTGTTGGTTCCGAGTGCAACGAGGTCTTTGAGGGAGGCGTTCGCCGGCAGGGGAACGGGCAGGTCAGGCTTTGTAGCAATTTTTGTAGATTCAAGGAGACGCGCATTGGACTTGAGAATCTGCTGGAGGAGGCTCGCAGTGTAGGTGTCTTGGGTGTATTGGGTTGGTTGCGAGCCCTCGAGAGGCGCGTACTCGGTGTGAGCGTTGACAATGTCCTGGGCTAAGAGCAGTCAGCATGGCGGTTCTAGATTAAGAGTGAAAGGCGTCTCTACCTTCTGGGAGGTTGATAACAAACCAGTCCCTAAGGTAGCCCATGGTCAAGCCTTGCAGCAGCAGCGTGCTCTTCCCACTCATCCTCTCCCCCGCGAGGATCCTCCGCACGGTCTTCTTTTGCTCTCCCGTGGCCGAGTCTTCCACCTCCTTGAACAGCGCGGCCAGCTGAACCGTCTCCTTCCTCATCAACACAGCCGGCCGCCGGAAGAAACTCCATCCCTGGTTTGTCTTGAACGCCTCGACGGCTCTCAGCGCATCCACCACCTTCTCTGGCAGGCCCATGACGCGCCCCTCATTCTGCTCGCCCAGGACATTCGACTTGTCGAGATCCTTCAGGGACGACACCTCCAGGGCGTTGTTGTTGCTGAGCACAATGCGCTTCCGCAACGCCTTGCGCTCGCCTTGTGCCGGTCGCTTGCCCGAGTCTCCGACAGCGGCCTTCTTGCCCTTTTTGGTGTTCAGCGACTTGACACCCTTCTTCGGGGCTGCTGTCTGGCCTTTTCTCTTGGGTGAGGGGTTCGCATAGCGGGCGGCGGATGTGGAAAAGCATGCTACTCGTGGATGCAGCAATCGCGGTGCAATTGCGGCGTGGGCGGCCTTGTCAAGGGACAGCTGCGAGAAACTACGCAGACAGATTGGGGACGGCATGGTAGCAACACGAGACCCCAGGCCTCCGCAATGGCTGATCTGATGCAGCCCTCGTCGGGGTTGGCGATGCACCCAAAAAGCTCGGAGGTCCGCCACGCTAGCTCGCTGTTCTGGGCTAGCTCGCTCGCCTTGTCTCCAAAAAAATATCTGCCTCGAACGGCGCAACGGTTCGCTACGACATCACGCCAAAGACTCTCTCAAACCTCCGACATGTCTGACACGGAAATGGACGGTGGCATCGCGCTGCAGGCACCTTCGCCCACGCAGTCACAGCTCGCCGACAAAATCAACGGCGGCGCAATGGACGTCAAGTCGGTTGCAGACTCGACTGTGAGCAGCAGACTGTACGTTCTTCCACCATCCACTCTCACCGCAGATTGCTCACACCTCCAGGCCAATTACCGTGAATAAGCCTACGCCATTCACTTTCGACCTGGGCAACCTCCTCGCCAACGACCCTAATCCTGTGCCCGCCAACGCAGACGAAGAAACTCTCACTGCCACTGCTCGTGACGCAGCGCAAGCCATAATCAACCAGCTCCTCTCCACCTGCGAAGTCAAATCTACCTCGGATGGCGTGCACCTTGTTCTCCCCGCGCCCTCAACGCCGCTTCCCCGCGAGAAACCCATTCCTAAGGCCAAGGAGCAGACCAAATGGGAGCGCTTTGCTGCCAAGAAGGGTATCAAAGACAAGAAGCGTGAGGGCAAGATGGTCTACGACGATGCCAGTGGGGAGTGGGTACCCAAATGGGGCTACAAGGGCAAGAACAAGGATGGCGACAACCAGTGGCTGGTCGAGGTCGACGAGAAGAAAGAGCAAGAGACGGGCGAGGCTCACGACGAGAGGGCCGAGGGCAGGCGGGAGCGGAAAGAAAGGGTTAGGAGGAACGAGAGGAAGCAGCGTGCCAACGACCGAAACTCTCGAAAGAATGGTTAGGGAGATGGAGAGGCTGGGGTTTGAGTAGAATGGAAAGATGGAGCAACGCTTTTTCATGATTTGCATTGGGTGGCGTTATCATTCTGGGGATATATCCGACTTTACGGGCGTATGTGGTCAAAAGCTTCAATGCACAGCTCTTTCGCATCTCTGAAGATACAAGAAACGGGAAGTTGCCGAGAAAGGATGAGGAGACGGAGGTTGAGCTTATCTAAAATATCCAAGACTTTACAATCGCCATCACATTGCTAACTGTTGCCCAACGCAATTTTCCTTCTCGAAGCATTCGGACTCTAGTATCACTGTACTCTTTATCTCTCAACAGCCAAGATGTTTTGAAGCTCGCAACCATTCAGCTAAGTATGCTCAACAAAAGTTCCTTCCCTATGCCAGGCGCATACAAGGACACGGTCTAGTGTTCCATCACACACATTATCTGCGCGCCGTCCATTTAAGCCTATAGCAACGCTCAGCATTGGCTCGCACAGTTCCTCTCCATAAAATCCAATATGAAAAGTGCTTGCTATCATGTTGATTCGAATTCTCCACTCCTCCCTGAACTCTCTCTAATGCGTTACTATCACCAAAACAGCAGGAGCAACAGACACGCTTATCGTCAACCCCGTTTTGCACATGGCACATCCCAACACAACACAGCACAGCACGCATTGCGATACTCGCCCGAACCTTTCTTCCTTTTCCTTCACCCTCTCCACCCACACCCCCACCCAAAACGTCCAAAGAAACAACGCCCCAACCAGCCCCTGCAAAAAGCTTAGCGCTAACCCCGCACCCTATTGGTTCTCGCCACTCCTCCCCACAGCGCCCAATGCTTCTTTTCTCGGCATCATGACGTGGGAATATCGCAACTCCAAAAACGCCCATTCAAATTTTACACCGATGAAGAGAAGTGCCCTTTTGGACAGACAGCTCATGCTTGGCTTTAACCGTTCTTACTTAATCAGAGAATCATGCGCTCATAGTGAGCAGGCCTGGAAACATAGTATGTGATGAGCGTTGTGGGGATTAATGAGCGCTAAGTCTGGGGAGGGTGGGATGCGCATGTGAGGGGATGGTCCGCACTGAGGGTGATAGGTTGGGATGCTAGTCTCGGGGTAACGAGGCCCAGTAGTTTGTGGGGAGCGGGAGTTCGGAAGTGCAAATCGTAAACGGTGCTTTGGTAACTGCCGGCATTTTGCTGAGGAGTTCGGACGTCAGTGTTGAGGCCGAGAGCGTTGCACGTTGTGGTGATCGACAGAACGGTTTTGGTTATAAGCCGGCTTGCTCACATAACTCGCTCGATTCACATACCATATCTACCTTGGATTTTGCAGATAGAATGGCGTCCGCGGTAGAAAGAAACAGCGATGCTGCCAGCGAGGAGAAGAAAATTGACCACACACATCTCGAACGGCCGCATAGACACACAATCGACAACCTTCCCGACCCCGATGCAGGACTCAGTGACGAAGAACGTGCTGCCGCAGTAAGTGCACAACCCCATCCCATAATCTTCCATCCCACACTTGCTCACCACATCTTAGGACCGCGCCCTCGTCTGGAAACTCGACACCAACCTCATACCATGGCTATCCTTCCTGTATCTGATATCCTTCCTCGACCGAACAAACATTGGAAATGCGAAGGTCGACGGCCTACAGGAGGATTTGCACATGTCGGACGCACAGTACAATGCCAGTCTGACGATTTTCTTCGTGAGCTACGCAGTCTTCGAGCCGTTGACGAATGTATTGCTTAAGAAGATGAGGCCGAGCATATTTTTGCCGATAATCATGCTGTGGTGGTATGTAGTACACTAGTGTGAAGGCGAGGAGAGTCAGGTATCAGATAACATCGATACTAACATGTGTTCTAGGGGTATTTGCATGACATGTATGGGACTGGTGCATAATTGGGCTGGGCTGATGACTGCCGTATGTACTTCATAAGTGTGTTGATTTGTCGCTAATATTTACAGCGCTGGTGGCTTGGTGTTGCAGAGGCTGGTCTCTTCCCCGGTGTCAACTACTATCTCTCGTAAGTTCCCCCGTTTGTGCTAGCTTCGCAATCGCTAACATTCGCTAGATGCTGGTACAAGCGTTCTGAATTCGGTATCAGAGCTGCGATCTTCTTTTCGGCTGCCGCGTTAGCAGGCTCCTTTGGCGGTCTTCTCGCAGCGGGAATTTCGAAAATGGCAGGAGTGGGTGGGAAACCTGGATGGGCATGGATCTTCGTAAGTGCCTTGGTTTCCAAAACACTCAGTTGCATGTACTGATATGGAATATAGATTCTCGAAGGTCTCGCCACAGTCTTAGTTGGGATTGCCAGCTACTGGATGGTTCACGATTTCCCCACCGAAGCCACGTTCCTCAGTCCAGACGATCGCGCACGCGTGCTCCGGCGCCTCAGAGACGACCAGCAGTCCTCTGCTGAACACGAGGACTTCAAGATGAAGTACTTCTGGCAATCTGTCACAGACTGGAAGACGTACATGTTCATGATCATCTACATGGGCGCCGATGGTGCGCTGTACGCGTTCAGTCTCTTCCTCCCTTCGATTCTCAGCGCAATGGGATACACCTCCATCACCGCAAATCTGCTTTCTGTGCCGCCTTATGCGGCAGCGGCCATCGTCACCGTCTCCATTGGGTGGCTCGCGGATCGGACAGGACAGCGCGGACTGTGCAACATCGGCATCTCGCTCGTCGGTATCGCTGGCTTTTGCATGTTGATAGGCTCCGCATCGCCACACGTACGATACGCCGGTACTTTCTTCGGAGCTATGGGCATCTACCCGTGCGTTGCAAACACGGTATCATGGATCTCAAACAACATCGAAGGCACATACAAGCGCGGCATCACGCTTGGCTTCGCCATCGGCTGGGGAAATCTAAACGGCGTTGTCAGTTCGAACATCTATAGGGGGAAGGACAAGCCGAGATACTTTCTTGGACATGGAGTTGTGTTGGTGTACTTGGCGGTGTTTCTGTTTGGAGGAAGTATCGTGACGAGGATGATGTTGGCGGCGGAAAACAAGAAACGTATGAGTGGCGCTCGCGATGCCTCGATTGAGGGAAAGAGCGAGGCAGAGATTCACGACATGGGCGATAAGAGGCCGGACTTTCTCTATACGCTATGAAAAGGCAGCATGGGGCTGCTCATTAGGGTATTTGAGAGCAGGAAATCGCATCTCGCGCTGGACGATAGTGAGTATATATGGGGAAGAGAGTGCTTGTGTATATAAGAGATCTGGTACCCCACTTGTTATATTGCATAGTCAGTTCGTCGAACCACAGAGCCTTAAGAACACATAGCGACATGACTTTATCCACCATTGAGAGAGTTTCGAGGTTAGAGCTTGGAATGATGTTTGTGAGCGGGCAGCGTGCTAGCCAAGTCTGTCCTGGCGTTTTCCTTTCTCTTGTTTCGCGGTCGAAACCATCGCACCTCGCAACTCATCGCCTTTATTGAGTGCCCATCAAGAATGCAGTCGACGTACGATACAATAATCGTACAATGGTAGTAGAGATTATTTAAAGCGGAAGTTCTGCGACGATCGCGCCATAAGCAACCAACAGACGCGCTGGTTGTGTAGGTAAACCCTCATTTTTGTCATATTTCTCTGCAACCGTCATTCCTGGCTTGGATCCTTTGTATTTCAGTTTTGAATTCGCTTTGTTCTCTCGCTGCTGTGATACACATGGCGCTGCAGTTCCTTGAGGTGGGCTGGGGCAAGGTGGGCTCATCGCGAAACTATCGCGCCTTGCTCAACCCTGACGTCAAACGTCTACGCGCCTTCCGTTCTCACTAGCTCCACACACTCCTTTTTCCAAACGCGCGCCTCGCACCTCACTTTTTGTTCGAGTTTCTGTCAACATCACTGTTTCAACTCACCTCCGCTCGAATGAGCTGTTTCTCTCAAGGATTTACATTTTGTCTCCGCAATGACCGCACAAGCTTTTGCAAATGTGCTCCAAGAGCCGGATAGCGACGTATCGCATACGCGCCTGCATGAGCTCATTTCAGCCCACGATTTCAGCGGATCGACACTCTCTACTGTTGCTGAGGATTATCTGCGCGCATTCTGCGATAAGAATTTGTCTGTTACTCGAAGAAGATGGGCCGGGATCGCGCTTGTACAAATGCTATACGCTTCTTCGGACACGGCCGAGCACTTGGGGCAATTGAAGGAGGTTCTGTGTGGCCTGGGCGAGGTCATTCTCAGTGCGACAGAGTGGGAAGAGACGAAGGTTGTCGCTGGCCTCATCATGAAGCAAGGCATGGAACACGGTATCGAATACTCTAGCTTCTGGGGATCAGACAAGGTCAAGGATAGCGCGCCTAACTTTCCAAAAAAGACTGACCGAGACTGGATGGGACGGTTCCAGCGCTTTCTTGACACACTGGGCGATCTGGCTCTCGCGAATCTGAACACAGACGCATACGTCATATACCCCGTCTCGATAGTCGCTTCCGACAATTTCAGATGGAGCCACTGGGAGGAGGGCGTTCCTATCGCAGTTCTACAGAACGAGCTGCTTACTATTATTGCGCCAGATAAAACGTTCCGGAAGATAACGTTTGTCGACATACCGTTTAGTCATATCCACAGTACGCGTACCCATCAGTCTGATCTCGCGGATTCTCAATCGCAAGTCGTACAACGCGCAGCCTGGGATATTGTGCTGATGCTCGACTACGGGCTATGGACGTACAGTGTGAACACGTCGAAGCGCAAGGGAACGGAGCTCAGGCTCACGTTTCAGGACCAGGTGGATGCCATAGATGTCGAGAGGGCGATCAACGAATTCAAACAGAGCAACGTTTCCGGCCTTGGCCATCCTCCACGGGCTCGCCCGATGATATCCCGCAGTTCTCCAATGTATGTAGGCCGTTGGTCCCCTATACAAACCAGCAAAGTCACAAAACAACAAGAACACCACGACGATCCACCCGCCCAAAAAATAGCCCGTGATGATGATTCACAGCGTTCCTTTTCGGATGATGACGCTATCATGAGCAGTCGAACGCGATCGTCCCGTCAACAGCCCACAACCAGATCGCTCAAGAACACGAAAGGCTCTTCGTCAGGTAGCCTATCACGACTAGACTCTTCGGGTCTAAGTAGCGCGCCCACAGACACATATCAATCGGAATTACAACAAAAGCAGGACAACAATCAGCCAGCACGGCAGTCGATCACTGCGAGCCCGAAGAACATGAGTTCGGCTCAGGCACGACCACAACAGCAAAACGCCACCGCACCATCGCACGAAAACACTTCAGATACTCCAGATGCGTCCACCAACGCTAGTTCATCGAAGGAAAGTCGACGACGACATGTAGCTACTGTGAACGATACTGGCGATGGAGCTGGCTCGTCGGAGCAGGCAGCGTCGTCACGATCAGTATCAAAGCGAGCGACACATAGCAAGGGAAAGCTGCCGAGCATCTCTCAGGTTGCGAAGGCGAGAGTCTCGAAGCAAATACCTACAAAGGCAAGGCCTGCTGCTGTTACACGAAACAAAAGATCAAACAATGTAAAGTCCATGAAAGAAGCTAGCTCGGATGACGACTCTGATGAAGCCTCGATCTTCGACATACCAACACAGAACATGGAGCAAGCCCAACTCAAAGGGACTAATCATGCTACTGCCGACACACGTAAGGGAAGAAAGTCGCAGACTAAACGACAGGCCGATTCCGACGACGAGTTTATTCCTGACAGGCCATTGCCAGAACCAAAATTGAAAAAAAAAACTACAAACACAAAGCGGAAGGACGCACCGGATGTTGATGCTGATGCCAGACAGCCAAAGAAAAGGACGAACCCCAAAGTGAAACGAGACGCTGAAGACGCTGTAGCTGTGGAGAGTTCAGATGGGCATAACTCGGAGACTGAACAAAGCGAACCAGCAGAATCCGTCCGGCGCAACAAACCGGAAGAGCCACTTTCTCGCCAGTCTAGGAAGGAACCTCGTCTGCGCCAGCTCAAGAACAAGCCGAGTTCACACCTGGCCAAGCAAAAACCAGTTCAGCAGGCTCCCTCTCCGGTTGCTTCTACACGCCATTCATTGATTGGAGGGCTACTGAATTCCGTAAACCCGCTGGTCACCTCCACAGCATTGTTCAAGAAGCCTCCACGGCCGTCCCAAGATCGCCAATCACCTTCTACACCTACGAAATCAAGATCGCAGCCCATCCTCCGAAGGTCAGAGACTCCAACTGAAGAGCCAGAAAGTCCTAACGAACCACTGCCTCTCATGACATCATCTCCGCCAACCTGGCAAGCGCCAGAAGGACGGACTGACAGTGTACGTCGGTCTGTAGTGGATACAGAGATTCTGTCTAGCAATAGCAAGCGTGTTCCCGACTCTCCAACTGCGGAGTCCACAGCCATCTCAGGTCATGCAGATCGAGACGACATCGACGATCAAAAGCGGAAGGGAGATATGCAGACCGCAAAAAGTGATCCATTCAGCCATCGCCGCGCAGGTGGCAAGTCGACCAATTTCATCCGTCGACTCACAGGAGGAGATCAAATCCATGACAACCCGGATTCGAAGAAACCAATGTCACATATTACTCTAGTAAACGCCAATGATTCCGACACCTCAGAAATGGAAGAAGACACCCTCAGAGCAGCAGTTCAGCCGCCTCCGCGATTGAGAACAAGCCCAAAGACGACGCTCAGCCTGACTGGGGTTGAGACCTCTACTCGGCAGCGACATACATCGTTTTCGGACTTGAATGAGCCATCAATGTCGGTAAAGGCGAAGCAGAGCAAAGCCCACCAAGTCCTGCAGAGGTCCCCAAATAGTGCCGCTCAAACTGCGCAATCGTCATATCAGAAGTCAATTGCGGCACGGGAGGAAGACGGTACTAGACGCGACAATTACTCCGACGATAGTACAACACGCATTCATGCCAAATCCTCAGGATCGGGATTAAGCTCGGCGCCGTTGTATGGAAGTCAGCGAGAAGCAGAGGCAGAGGATTCTGTTCTCTCCGCTTCTGGGCAACCTATCGACGACACTCAGATGAAAGACCAGTGTGAAGATGAGACTCGAGACCAGAACCAAAAACGGGATCAAGGCCTTCCTAACAATGGTGATGCTGATACGGAAGGCGACACCACATTTGTAAACGACGATGACGAATACGAGCACAAACAATACGAGCTTCCGTCCAAAGCACCCACAGTCCGCTTCCCTTCAAATCGCCCTGGTCCAAGTTCGTCTAGCAGCCACAGCTCCACATCCGCTGAGTCCGAGCCCTCGAGCGATCCTCCAATTCCGACCTCGCAGGCAGAGGAATTAGAATGGGAAGCTAGTCTTGAGCCCCATCAACGCGCCCTGCACGACCTGCTCATCCGCGCCTCAAAGCGGGTATTGCGTCACATCGTCGACAATGAGACAGCTGTTGCTGACATCGCAGACGTCTTCGCCAGAGATGGCTATCACCTGCTGAACCAGCTGCTAGAGCGACAGGAAAGTGCTTACTCGCAGGTGTTTGACGACTTAAACAAGAAGAAAGCAGACCTTACCACCGAGCTTGAGAGTGTGGCAAAGAGGCTGGCGAAAGAAAGGAAGCGCATCAAGGCTGTGGCTTAAGAAACGTGTGGTTTACGAGCGCGAAGCTTGTCTTTTACCGCATTTGACGACTGTTTCGGTGACGTGTTTGTAGGATATCCGGTTATGATTTATGGACCCTGAATGTACGATAGGAATGAGTATGCGTTACGAGACCATGTTGATATGTAGCGAGGCAGCGCAAATGTGCTTCATGTGCAGTCTCTATAATTGATAGCTGCTTTACGAGATTATGAAGATATATGAAATTCACGAATGTGTTCGAGTACCGCTTCTCTTCGTTAGATTGTGATGCTAGACATCATGGTCATTGCGTTACATTGGAGTTCTATTCAACTGGCATCTTCTGCATACATTGGTTTACTCTTTTGTGACTGTTTGACAAAGAATATCACGGGATCGACAAGACATCTGTGCTGATACAAATTAATGGCCGTTATCGATGATCTGCGCCTACCCATGTGTATGCCGAATCCATCGAAAGTAAAAAATGTCCAGCGTATTTGTATGCTTTATACGGTACAGACGTTGGTCAATCGCCATGAGTCATTCTTGCATGTTCAATAGTGTGATACTTGATGAGAAGCTTACAGGCTAATCTATACAAGTCTGCTGGAAACGTAGAAGGGCCAGAGAAGCAGAAGAGGCGAAGCGAGGAAATTCTCGAATGATAGTAGGCACTCGTTATCTACAAACGATGCAATAGACGGACATCGAGAATTTATAAGAACAGAGCTGCTCATGTGTTCGTGAGACTTACTTGAAACACAGTCTCATAGAGACTGATTGTATTCATCTTCTGGACAAAGACACCAATCTATCGTCAGACTCGTTTGAACTCGAACTTCCAGTCGAACCATGGCCTTGGAGGGAACTGGGATTCTGTCTGTGGGATAGGTACCAGAATCTTTTTGAATTGTATGGTTCCGTTGCCACCCATCATAGCGAGTCCCATTCCAGAGATACTCTCTTTAAGTTTACTCATGAAGTGCGTGCCCTCGGAGACTTCTTCGCGGAATAAAACCAATACCTCTAGGGTCTGGAGATTCGGCAAGTCGCAGGACGGAAGGTCGGAGTACACTTTAACGTTTCTATCATCCTCGACACGCCCAAACTTCCCTTCGACAACTAGAGATAAAGACCTAAGACTAGCTGTCCTGGATACGCTGGCAAACAATGACTGGAGAAGGTGTCTCGTATCACTGTAGAATTGGATCCGATATATGGGTGTTTCTCTGTTATCCATCTCACCATAAGCGCCCATCAAGAGAGATTGTGGGAACTTGATGATCGGCACAGTGTCAATCGTCAGTAGGATAGGGCTTCGCCGATTCGCAGGCCTGCGAGTAATGGATGAGCTCCATCCTCCGATTTGACGCACATCTGTATTAAAGGAAGGACGGTTCATGTAGGTCCACGATGCTTCTCGCTGAAATTGCTGAATAGCCTCTTCAAGCACCTGTTTACTTGCAAGAATCCATGGGGACCGTTGAACCGTGGGTGTCAAGGCATCCTCTCGGGGTTCAACTATGTCTGCACTGTACTGGACCTCAAAAATCCGAAAATCGTTCCTCTGCGGTAGCCCGACTTTGAAAGGCTTCTTTGTTTTCCAGATCTCATGGTAGATTAGATCTCTCAACTCTCTAGGAATACCCAGGAAGCAAGCGTTAGGGTTCTTTGAGACAGCCCCAGTGCCGAGTGCGTCCTGGAACGCCGGGTAGCTATGCCTAAGTTCCTCAAATTTGCGCTGCCGCTTTTGGCCAGAACTTGTGACCGTCTTTTTCTGACGCTTGGGAGGCATTAGGACGATCGGCACCTTTCGCTTTCGGCGCCTTTGGGAGAAACGCAAATGGAGCTTCGGAGAGCAGAGAGTAAAGTTAGACGAAAGCAACTCTAAGCCTGAGGGTCGCCGGTCGATATCCGGTAGTTTGTGTGATTGTATGTGTAAACTCTAAGTGATTCTGTATGCTAAGGCGTCTCGACGAGTGGGATAGTGAACACGCTAGATGACTAAACATCGCGCTATCACGTGTCGAGCCAATCCCAACAAGCCCTAATATCACTCTCATCCGCGAATCAACGACCGGCAAGAAGTATTACGTGCGAGGTTACTCGACCGCGGATGATCCCACGTAGCCTCGTGCCCTCTCAAATGCCCTCGATTGGACATCAGCTCTTCTGTGTGCCGTTCTTACACATCGCCTTCGACACGATCCATTTCAGATTCCGTCCACTCACTTCGAGTTACCAACTCCGGTTGCCTCGATCAACAGGATCAGGATCATGGGGAACATGCTCGAATAGGACAGCAATGCATGCATCATACCACGGAGGTTGCCTGACGTTCAAAGCATCACCAATGTACTGTGTATAGTACTATCTACCTTCGATAAAAAGAAAAATAGGGAGGTGTGTGTAATTACGTAATCATCTGCACACGTATCGATCTCCATGCCCTCCAATGTTTTGCGTGGTTTGTACACAACATGACGAGCTGCTCTCGCATTGTTACCTACACAAGGCTCATATCTCCTAAAAACTACCTAACTTCGCTATGGCTGAAATGCTAAGTGCTATCCACACTGGCCCTTGGAACAAGCCGCTAGACTGGAGCCTGAACGTCACCCAGGATGGCGAACCTCGCGTCTTGTTCTCACGTTCAGTGCAGTCTGGACTAGCAAGCTTCCCACACGCCATCTTCTCACTGTTTGGCAAATTGCCCACCGAACTGCAGCTGGATGTTCTCCGCTTCTGCGACCGGCCGACCCTCTTTCAGCTCATGCATGTGTCGTCTACCATGCGAATCGAGGCTAGAAAGCTTTTCTGGTCTGACCCAGATGTGTGGTACCATGTTGACGCTCCTTGGTTACTGGCTGGGGGCTTTCCAGGCCCCGCATACCATGCCATGAACATCCTGCCTTATGTGGAGCAGATTGAAGTCGAATTCGACCACATGACCTCTGTCTTGCACGACAGCGAGCCCTCGATTGGAGAAGCACAGTCGGCGTCGTCCTGGGTCATAGAGAAGCGTATATGTGACCTCTGGCGAACTTTACGGCGCCGATTCCCTCGCGTAACCCATGTCGTCGTGAGTGAAAGTCACCCACGAGGAGCCGAACACACCCCGCCATGTGAGCTGAAGATGGTGGTGCAGATGTGCCCTCTTGGAGTCACTGTATCCGCATCTATACTACAGCGGGACGACGTTAGCTGCCTACTCGAGAGAAACCTATGGCGCCTAGCAGGCGATGCTAGTGTTGCAGGCGAATGGGAGATGGTCTATCCCGACTGGAGACGACAGAGCATCATTCTGCCTCCAAAAGAGTTTCGTGGTCTGGTGGGGGCGTACCAACATATTGACTATCAATTTCAGCGTTTTTGCAGCCGAAAATGGGCCATTCCCCTATTATTGATTGAAGCGCGGGAGAGACATCATTTTGACGAGCGATGCGAGCCCTTCCGTTGCTTTGAACCTACTTGTGTGATTGGATTTGAGCGAGCAGGAAAGTGGGCCTTGCATGCAATGCGGACTAGACACGATGAGAAAGGACAGGGCACAATCCCTCCAGAGGAATTTAGGCATCGTTTTGAGCAGCATGAGGCAGAGTTAAGACGCATGAGGAAGCGCGACATCGAAGGGGCTTTGGAGAAGATGTTGAGAGACTGGAGCGAGAAGACAAGTGAAGAGCAGCTTGGAGCCGAACAGGCATTTCTCCATCAACTCGATCACGACCCTTTGTATGCACATGGAAGACCCGCCCAAGAGAGCTTGACTTGGCTTACGTATATTCGGGAGATGGAACCAAAGCGAAACTAAGACGAACCCGACGCATGGGAAGTAACGTTGCTTGACAGGCAAGGCAGGCGAATTTGAACGACAAGATGCTCCAGTAGTGTAGTAATGGGAAAGGTAGTTCATTCTGATCTATCCAAGGTTCACCATCCAAGTTTCTGACGGCAGATGCACCGCAGGATGATGACAGGTTTTCGTACGAGAAACCTTCGTGCACGCGCCGTTTGCCGCATTCTCCCCCCTCTTTGACGACCATCTGAAACATAAGATGGAATCTTAGCAGAAGACTAACAACTGGCACTCATAAAGCGTTGAGAAAGCTCAAGAGAGCTGCGCGGAATTTCCAGACTCAACAGAGACTCCTGAACGGTGTCTATTGTTGAATCTTCTTCCTCTTCCTCTTCCAGCATGACAACCTTGTGGGGCGATTCCAGAACGGGATGCTTCTGATTTTTAATGTTAAGAGTAGCCAGAAGATCGCCCTTCCGTGTTCGAGGGTAATCATCGCAGGCGCCTTCCCAATCTCCTGCGCCAAGAGCTTCATGCGCAAGCCGTTGGAGCTGTAGTGTATCATTTGCAATCCACTCCAGGCTAGTGAATGGTCTTCGATGCCCCAGTATGCGTCTGGTAGCCCAGGGTAGGAGGGCTGAAAGTATCATAATAAACCCACCAATCGAAACAATCAACACTAGCCCAAGTACATTGAAAGAGGTGAAGGAGTCACTTCGAACCTTCTGGTTATCGCAAATGGCGCGTTCTACAGCAGAACTGGGTGGTGAATGAAATCGACGCGCATCTGGGTAGACTGGGCCAATCGCTTGATCGAGTATCGCCCGCTGAACATCTGCCAATGTGAACTTGAACCAATGCTCGAGCTCAAGTTCCCACTGATTGCTGGGTAAAGCATATTGTCCTCCTCCGGAAAGAGAGTCACGTGCTAGAAGCGACCCACTCCTTAGAGTACGGATGAGTTCTGTAAAGCCGCCAGCCATATTCAGGATGGCGGATGCAGACCACGAGAACCTCTCTCTATCTGTTGGGTGTGGAAACAATGCCGGTGATGCTGTGGTAGCCTCGTATATCCCTAGTAACGGTGTACAACCGTCATCCCCCTCTAGGGCTGGGTTGCAGAACTGATATTGCTGGGTACATGCTAAGGCACGTGCTGGTTCGTCGCTACCGTAGACTTGGATGTCTCTGGAAGCAATACTGATATTGACAGGCCCTTGGTGACCGGCTGCAAACCAAGGATCATCTACGGGTGCGAAAAACGGTATCTCGTTCGCCGCGAGGAAGATGATGCTGATATCTGCGTGGGGAAGCAAGAGTTCAGGGATCGGGTTCCATGTGTTAAATACCGCACTGTTAATATCGTCTGATTCCGCATAGTGTGTGCTAATGCTGATATGTGACATCAGTATGGAGCATATTGTAGGAGCGAAGTGGGACGTACGAGAGGGTATAGTCATTATTTCCTTGAGGGTTCTTGCTCCTTTCAGCAACATAATCAAAAGTGCATTCATTCTGGCAAGTGTTCCGGTCCGGCCCATATAGGAACTCAACGATGCTTGGTGACGAAGAGGAGTTGACACGGGCATACCCCTTACTCTGTACTGGAGCGCATTCATTGACAGTCCGGTAAAGGAAACGTCCCGACAACCGCGAGTTAATACCCAAGTCGAAGTGGCTGTCGATAAATCCTGAATCAAGACGGATAGCTCCTTTGGCAGATCGACATATTCTATCATTGCCTGGGAAGGGACAAGCTGCCCTCTTCGTGACTTCGTAAGGAAGACTATGTCGAACGAAGGCACGGCAGCTTTGTGTGGAGCTGGTATTTGTATAGCAGGTAGCTGCGTAATTGGCGCTTGACCTGATTCTACTAGTCAAATATGTTTGAATCAGGCCGAAATCCTGGGTTGTAAACCGGGAACTATTGACTGTTGCGCATTTGTTACCAACGACGAGAACATCGCCATCTCTAGACGTAGCAACTCTGGAAGAGAAGATTCCAGCTATGGCAAAAACGCTAAGAGTTAATATGCTCATAGCTAATGGCAACAAGGAGCGCCTGATTGAAGTGGTTGGAGCATATCTGCGCCAAGTCCATGACATTCTCAATAGCCTCCAGAGTGCCTCCGCGCTGGTCCCGGAGTTGCGAAGTATCGCCTGCCGCTGATGATATATTGCGTTCTGTGGGGTTTGCTGGCTCTGTATTTGGTGGACGGCAAAAGAAACAATGGTCCAAAAACATGTACCAGTGAAGGTTACAAAAAGTGCGAGAAAAGCGATCAATAGGCCTCCATTCTGGAGCGTCACTGTAAGGGTCAGCCCAGTGAGAGAACCTGAAGACCAGTTTGTCCAAACACCAAGGTAGACTGGGTTTTGCTGAAGAGAGACCTGGACAGGTATCGATGCCATGCCGATCTCTAGGAAGCGATAACGTCGATTTCAAAACCAGTAAAATGTATTTAACATTCCAAGTCATATTTTCTGTCATCATTGTCTTCTTATGAGTTTCAATCCCAGGGGCTAGCCTTGTTCGAAATCTCCTTGTGACACTGCAGGGCGGTGAAAACACAAGCGTCGTAGATGATTGGGTTCGGCTACGAGCTGCAGCTCATATCAGTATACAAATATCGGGCATGTGTATATATAGAAGAAGAAAGATAGTATCACAGAGCCTATGCAGATCGATGGGGCTATTTCGGTGCATCAGACGTCCTATCGTAGTCCTCAGTGCACTGCGGGGGGCTGAGTGAATGCATCAGGCTGACAACAGGGCCAAGACCTCGATGCATGAAAGAAACCCGAAGACGATAGGCTGGATTGGAAATAGACTTGGCGGTATGAATGAGGGGTAGCTCTGGCTAAGACTTGTTACCTGCTTATCTAGCCGCACTGCCTTAGCTAGAGTGGGTATGCGTGAAAAGTGTTGTTCTCATGCTGGTCAACCGTGTGGAATGTCTTCTGACACCATTCGGGGACAACTAGAACCATGACACGAGTGTGCACATGCTCCTAGAGTCAAGAGGAAGAGACCTGCAATGCCGTCTGACGAAATTGCGTTGGGTAATGAAGCAAAGTTTGTCAAGCCAGAGGAGGGAACAGAAAGGCCCAGAAATCTCTATGTTCGAAACCGAGGAGAAGGTCGACAAGTAGGTTCTGGCCAACGTCAGGGAAGATGTCAGGGTTCAAACTACTTCTCCTCTCAGGAAACTTCCTACTCGAACAGCACTACGCTCAAAGGTTGGAACGTACCTTTCGGCCTCATACCTATCGCCGTTATCAAGCTGATGAATCATTGTTGAGTTGGAGTAAGAGTGAACGCCAAGAATATTCACGCATCATAGTCACATAAAACTAGTGTCCTTGAGCAAACAGTGAATCAATGTGGTAAGTAGGTATGTACTTACAGCCATCAATATCGTAATCTATAATGCGCTCGCGTGGTGATGTAAAGAAGAACTACTTAAGTCCGGCGAGTCCGGGGACCTCGGATTTAAGTTCATCATCATGTGGGGCGGTCTAACGTGGGCGTACATATAAGAATGACAGGATTGCTCTAAGACAAAAAGTTGTACATATTATTGGACCTGTCACTGTTTGAACGCATCCTCCAGGTTCTGCAAGTGATCCTCATCGGAGAACCTACATCCACAATTTATCAACATCAATAACATGTCCTCGCCACTCCCGTACAACCGCCAAAATGCACTCGCTTCAACGATCGCCGCTGACAATGCCTCCGCGATCGCGGGCAAAATCGTACTGACGACTGGCGTTACACAAGGTGGTCTGGGATCCACCTTTGTTGAAGAAATTGCAAAGTACAAGCCCGCGCTCTTGATCCTCGCCGGGCGCTCGCCTTCCAAAGTCCAAGCAACCGCCGACAAAATCAAAGCAAACCCCCAGAGCGCAGGCGTCGAAACAAGGGTACTAGCCTTGGATTTAGCATCGCAAAAGTTTATCCGAAAAGCTGCTGAGGAAGTCCTAGCATACCCGGAGCAGCATATCGATGTCGTTGTCAACTCGGCAGGTATCATGGCAGGACCGTACAGAACAACGCCAGAAGGAATCGAGCTACAATTTGGCTCCAACCATATCGGCCACTTCCTCTTCACCAACTTAATTATGCCCAAGATCCTGGCATCCACAAGCCCGCGCATCGTCAATGTGGCCAGCGATGGGCATCGCTTCAGTGGCGTGCGCTTCGACGATCCCAACTTCCAGGGAGGTAAAGTATACGACGAGTGGGAAGCATACGGCCAGAGCAAGACTGCCAACATCCTGTTCTCAAAGGCATTGGCGGGGAAACTGGGTTCGAAGGGGTTGAAGGCGTACAGTCTCCACCCCGGGCAGGCTCTCGGAACTTCGCTAGCTCCACAGGGGTTTACAGATGAGGATCTGGCGACCTTGGTAGCGAAGGATAAGGCGATTGGTTGGAACCGTGGGTTTGACTTTAGGAGCCTTGATGCATGTACGGCTACGCATGTTGTGGCCGCTTTTGACCCGCGGCTCGATGCATACAACGGTGTGTATCTGGAGGACGGAAATTTGTCTGATGACGTGCAGCCGACTGCAACGCCTCCCGGGGACGAAGAGAAGTTGTGGAAGTTGAGCGAAAAACTTGTAGGACAGACGTTTGAGTATTGAGATGGAAATCGATATAATGGAAGCCAACCATGGGTCATGGTGTTTGGACGGGCATGAGTAATGATCAACACATGACTTGTTCCCTCGTCATTGCAACAAAACCTCTCAAGTTTCGCTCCATAGGTGATGCGGCGCGTCAGATGAATGCATACTTCAGGCACCAGCAACACACATTAGTGTCATTGCTTCACATCTGTTGCTGGTGTGGATCCAGTCGCGAATGCCTCGAACACCCCCCCGTCTTTTCACATGTCTCATACATGTGCCCACCCGTTCCCGCGAAGCACTTGCATCTCATCGACAAGGCAAATCTTTCCATCTTCTTCATGTCCAACTCTTCCCCGCACGCTCCATTCTTTGAGCAAAGGTGATGTGATCCATCGGCGGATGCGGTTTTCCCACAAGGCTTTGAAAACTTGCCAGGAGGACAATAACACCTTTTGTGGATGCATTCCATCATATGCCTTACCGTTATAGCCTACACGCACCTGCGGGTTCACGTATGTTTGCTTCTCAATACGAAGAGGATTGTCCACGTGTATCAGGCAACATTCAGATCCTTCGAGATGCGAGGTTGCAAGAGAGTCCGAGATGCCCCGGAAGCGTAGTGGAGGACTCGAAACAAAGGGTTCAGCAGGCATTGCGACTACAAGTAAGCAAGCCGAGTTAGCCAATCGCAGCAAGAGAGATAAAACCGCGGAGTGTAAGTTGTACAACGCATAGGAAATCTTCGAAACTTACCCATACCATTCCAACAACTAGTCACCGGCGTTGGATCGTTCGCCAGTATTGCTCGCCGAGATTCCCTTGCCCGAAAATAAGGCCATGTCTGCATGAGCATCTCATGACCCTCGACATCCCTAAGCGCAAATGTATCATACACCTGTGGGGGGTGACTGAAGTCTAGTGAACAAGCGGCTGCAAAGTCTCCGTCGTTTGTATTGAGTAATCGGAAGACATCGTCTGTCTACAGTGTTGTCAGCTATTCGAGACATTCCGAGCGGAGGTTTGTCCTCAAACGCACTGTGAATACCACATCGTTCAAGAAAAGTATCTTGTCAAATCTCTCCCCTTGACGAGCTAGCTCCTGTAAAGGCTCCAAGGTCCAATTGCGGAGTCGAGAAAGATAGGGTATCCGCCTGAGCTCTCTCCCTGTAGGTGTGTTAATCCAACCAGAAGTCTTGTTTACTACAGATATCTCATCTAGATGATTAGTTTCCGACAAGGTTATGTTTCGCCTGATCTCAAGCCTTTCCAGTGTCATGTCGAGTTCCCTTAGGGCGCTTTTGCTGTCATCCCAACTCCCGCTCTCGTATACTGTAATGAAAACGTTTTCTCTACCAAGTGCTTCTGTTAGAGCTACTACAGCATTATTCCAATGGTTTCGCAGAATCTGCTCGTTGTTCCAGTGTATACTAGCAATATACACTCGTTCAGGTCGTCGAGTAACGGGCTCGGTCGTAGGGCCCGACAAGCAGTGTAGTACGTGGGTGGTTTCGAATATACTGAAGAGAGCAAATGCAAGGATGAGTACCTGTTTGGTCAAATAGCGGCGGAGAAACATTGGTAGGTGCATTGATTTTGTCTACAATGTTTCTAGAGAGAGGATGTCGCATTATACCGTAAAGTTCAGGGTAACAGGTGACGCAGTAACCAATCCTTGGTGACCTCGATGTCAGGTCATGAATTGCGGCGCAGTAACTGGCCCATAATAACTTCGATGTCCTGCCAGAGAGTTGATTCGCTCTGATGCTAGTTGTTGGTAAATCTGTTACGCAGAACAATTTAGTGTATGTCACTGTGTGTCGGGTTGGCTTGGTATGTAACGCAGTCACTTTCTTGGAATTTTGAGACTTCCATGTTGTCCTGTGTTGCATGGTCAGAACAGGTGGATCCCGAGTCCTTCGCTCTCGTGTATCCACAATATGACGGAGCTAACGAATTCTATAATTTTGAGAGTTTGTGGGCCTGGGAGGCCTTACATTGGCATTGACAGATGAACCAACAAATTGCCCAACAAGGGATGCGGACCAGGGCGTCGGGTATATTAGTTTGCTCGTCACGACAATACCGGCGTGCACGGAGGATTGGCTTGTCGATTAACTTTCATGTCCTAGTCTAATATGGTTTACAAGGACAGAACACGTAGACGGGGCTGTTTACTTGAGCAAAGGTAGCATTCGTTCACCGTTTAGAAAGGCGCTGAACAAGCTCCAGATCCCGCTCATGCTGACCAATTATCGTGTATACCCATTTTCCCTCAAACTTCTTCCACCAGCGATTCGGCAAATACGCCTCGAGCATGTAGTATTCGTCTCGTTGGTAGGGGAACTCCAGACTGGGAGGCCCGTGCTTAACTAAGAACGCGTCTGTGCCTGATGCGGCATCTTCCTCCGTCATAGCAACATGCGTTCTTTTGTTGCCCTTGTTCTTCCCGTGTCGTCGTATCGAGCGTATGGTGCTGTCCAAATGCACTTCCAATATGCGCGCATGCCACAGCGGGTGCTCGACTGCTTTTCGGGCGATTCTCGCGTTGCGTGCGACGAGCTCGGTGTTCCACTCCTCGGTCTGCCCGCGCGGTATGATAGTTATGGGCGTTCCTGTATCGAGATTCGTCTGCCAACGCGCAAAATCAAGTACTAGGCACAAGTTGTTCCAGGTCAAGATGCATGTTAGACACGTGCAGAGCTGCTGCGCATCGGGCGACTGGATGTGCTGATATGGCCGGTTGTGTATGTTGAGCTGCTTCTGCCGATTTGGGTTCTGAAGCAGCTCACAGATAGACGGCTCGACATGTGCTAGCAGTTTGGGCGTAGGGAAACATTGCGCCAGGATGGTGTATCGCCGCCTGATGATGGCAGCGCCAATGACGTTTGCGTTTGCGTTGACGAGACCGAGGAACCGGTGGTTCACAATGCTGAAATTGAAAACATCGCGGGGTTGCAGGTAATTAAGGCTCTCGAGAATGAGCTCGGTGGGCAGCTTGGTGAGATTGACAATGGCGTCACGCTTCTTGTCGCGCACCACTTTTCGGCGCTGCATGCGCTCAGTCCGCTTCGAGCGTAGAGAGAGGGCGGCCGTCTTGTCCTCGAGAGGCTCATCATCGTCGTCGCTGGTCTGTCGTGGCATCTTGGAAGGAATTGTTCATGTCATGTCGAGATGGTGGCGGCATGCAATTCCGTGTCCAAAGAAGTGCGGGGATTGCGCCTAAGTCCGTCTTCTGCACCCTGACTTTCTCTTGACGTCTCACAGCGTATTCTTTTCCTTTCGACAGATGACGTTGCATGCCGCACGAAACGTAAGCACATTTTGGACCGAGTTTTGGGTATGGTGCAATGTAGGTAAAAGCTTGTAGATTTCGCTGACTCGCCACAACTAAAACAATTCGAGGATGCCTCAAAGTCGCTGATTCGCCACAACCAGAGTAACTCTTACAAATTCCAGTATGGCGTCATGAAGCATTTCTAAGCAGACCATACATAAATACAACTCAACCATCACCCAAACATCTCACCCCCTCATTCAGCATCATCCAAAATGACTACAGCCAACTTCTTCCACATTGACACCGACTCCTACACGGGCAAGCCCTGGAGCAAAGTCGACGGTCCCGGTAACAACTTCGTGCGGAAGGAACATTCTCGAACAGTCCACAATTTACGCGGTCGAGAAGATGAATTCACAACCAACAACTCTGGCTTCGCAGTCTACAATCATCCTGCCAAGGAGACCCAATTTACCGACGACACAGCAGTAAGAGAAGGATACTACACCGAAGTCGAGTCTCTCCTCCGCACCAAGATACCTGGCATCAAGAAAATAGTCATCTTCGACCACACCATCCGGCGACGAAAGAAGGATTCCCCTCGCCAGCCAGTTCAACAGGTGCATGTCGATCAAACACCCGGCGCTGCAGAAGTGCGTGTGCGGCGCCACCTTCCGGAGAATGAAGCAGACGAACTGGTCAAAGGAAGATACCAAATCATCAACGTTTGGCGTCCTATCGAGAACCCTGCCTCAGACCACCCGCTCGCTGTGATAGACTGGCGTACCACCTCGCCATCCGACTTCATCGCCACAGACCTTCTCTACCCCAAAGACCAATCCCTAGGCGAGACTGGCACAGAAGCCCTTCCAGATTCAGAAAAGTACACATCGACCGCAGGGTACGAGGTCAAAGGTGAAACGATGGCTGTGGCCCCGAACGAGAGCCACAAGTTTTACTATCAGAAAGATATGACACCTGACGAGGTGCTGTTGTTGAAGTGCTTTGACAGCTGGGGCGAGGGCATGCCGAATGGGAAGCAGGGTCTCGCGGTCAGAACGCCTCACACGGCTTTTGCGGATCCGCAAACTCCTAAGGATGCGCCGGGGCGTCAAAGTATCGAAGTTAGGTGCTTGGTCTTCTACGAGTAGAGTCCTAGTTGTACGCCTGCATATATTCCAGTAGCATAATCAAAGCTTTTTCTGCATCATTCTTGCGCGGAATTGATCCTCTCAACAATAGTCTTGTTTAACAATACCATACGCTCGATGTGTTGTATTCACCAGGTGTCCTTGGTATTTGGACTGACATGCTCCCTTTCACGTTCACTTTCACCATTATCGCCATAGCAACACATGCCGATTCTGACGAGACAAACAACCTCTCAACCTCAACCCATATTTTTCTCTCTTCCCACTTATGCCCTCGGCACGTCCTACAACCCCGCTATGGGCGCAAAGTACTCAACCACGACGGTAGGGCAACAAACGAGCTCCCTAAACACGACCAGTACCCAACTTACGAACAATCTCGAAATAGCTGCGCCACTAAAGACACCGCTAGCCCAACACCAAAAGACCAGCTCAGACATTAAGACACCAGCACCATTACCGATACAACACTCAGACACCAAAACACTACTGATGGCGCTGAAAGCGAAGAGTACTGCACGCGCAGATCCTCTATCTATGACCGCGGATCAAAGACGATTTGAGATACCTTCACGATCGACCAAGCCATATATTCACCATCCGAATCATGAAAAGCTCCCTCAAACTCCAAAAACGAAGCATTCCATAAGAGCGACGACGTCACCCAACTCTGCGGTTCTTCGAAATTCCAACCGAAGGTTACTGACGCCTCCGCCCACCCCGCAGAAGAATAGGAAGATGATTACGACGTCGAAGAGGATAGAGCAGCAACGCAGTGCAGATACACAGAAGATACGCAATGATAAGTCGGTATCGAAACAAAATAACAAGACTGTTCCACCTAGGACACGACGACGATTGACACAACGACGCTCAGCACTGAGTGCCTCCACTCCTAAGAGAGTGGCGACTGAAGTCATCGATCTGACTGTAGAAGATCGTACAATGAGGGAAAGAATTGGCTTCACGACGGCCGGGAACAAGGTGATCGATCTTACAAAAGACGATGCCCTGTCATACGACGACGAAGAAGAAGGAATGTCCGTAAGAACGACACGAACAGCGGAAAATGGAAGTAGAGCGAGACGCGCAGCTACCAGACGACCTCAGACAGTATTGCCTTCGCCCATTCATTTCGACGACTTACCAGAGTATTCGGCTTTCTTCTCTGATGATGCGGGTAGTGTGGGTGGGACAGGCGCGGCGGACTGCACAACCAATACCAGCGACAACTTTGAGGCGGATAAAAGGACACCTGATGGGGAGATAGGCATTGCCTGCTCGTCCACCACAACACACGACTCACGTCTATCAACACACGACATCCCGCACTACGAATTGCCTTCCCCATTTCGAAACTCTGATCCAGACCACGGGGCAGCACCCTTCGACCTTCTACATCCTACGCCCAATCATTCTTTTACCAACTCAACGCCATCAACAAACGAGACTTTCCGCTCCCCAACACCCACCATCAACCTAAATCGTTCCCACTCCCCCCTCTGTACACCCACCCGCCCCTCCATCGAAGCCCACCTCGCCATCCACCCCTCCTCCCCACCCATCCTCCACGCCACAGCCACCTACCTCCACCACTTTTCAGCACGGCAGTCGCGTCTCCAGTCCCGCATCGCCACACTCCGCTCTATGGCGCCGACTCTCGACACCCCCATGGAGCGGAAGTTCAAGACTGTGATCAATCTTGCGGTAACTTTGGCAAATGACTACATGATTGCTGAGATGGCATTTAGGGATGTGTTGGAGATGGGAGGGGAAGGAGACTTGGGGGAGTGTTTAGCGGGTTTGAGGCAGAAGGTTGGGTCTTTGGATGGAGAGTGTGAAGGGAGAATGAGGAAGGTGATGATGGAGTAGTGGGGTTGGAAAAAGATGTAGTAGGTGACATGGTGTTTGGGGTCAACTACAGTTTGGAACGCGTCGGGATAAAGGTTACCCACTGATCTGGGAACTCAGAAGTTGGATGGTTCTCTTGATAGCGTTTGGAGTTGCTTACTAGGTGGAAGATGCGTGCGGACTAGGTTTGCTGGATCCTGGAAACTGGCGTTTATATCAAACAGTACAATGCTTTCATTGTTCTCATTAGAATTTATTCCAGTGGTATATCTCCTGTACTAGCCCTCCCTTCTCCTTCTACATATCGCTCAAAGCCACGCATCAAACCACGTAACAGCCTGAACAAAGCTCGCCTGCTTCGCATACGCTTGTTGCGGTATGCTCTGGTTAACCCTGACCGCGAACCCATGCGGCGCGGCGGCATACAAGCTCGACTGGAACGTGACGTTGTTCGTTTGCAAGATTGTCTCTGCCCTAAATCTGGCCGTTGAGTTGAAAGCCGCATCGAGTGCTATGTTTCCATTAGTACGCCTCAACCTCGCGGGCAATATGGGAAGAACTCACCTCCAGCAGCCATGCTTAGCGCGCCTCTCACATTCTGGATCTCAGGCTCGGTGAGCATACTTGGGTGCGCAATGAAACCCGCATCCAAACCACCCGTCTGCGTCAAGAACCGCGGGACATACTTTCCGCCAAAGCAGTATCCCACGCCACCGATCTTCTCCACGTTAAGCTCGTCGCGCATGTAGTCGAGGGTGGTGCTGATAATGCTGTCGATGTCCGACGTGGGATGCAACGCTAGCCATTCCGTGAGATTGAGGCCTTTTTCTTGTTCTTCGACGGAGATTGCGTCACCGCGGAAGAGGTCGGGCATGACGACTAGGTAGTCGTTTGCTGCCAGGGAGTCTGCAAGTCTGTTGATAAATTAGTGACATTTAATACCAGGCCGTGCAGTGTTGTGGAGCGTACAGCTTGTTTTGTGGGAGTGGGACACCAAAAATATCGCTGATGTAGATGATGGCTTTGGTGGAGGAGTTGCTCCCAGGAGGATAGGAATGATACATCTCAACTGCGTTTTGTGAGCAATTGCGAGGTGGAAGGTGGTTTGTAGACACTTACTACCACTGATGTTCTTGAGTTGGCCTGAGGGTACGCCTGCACTGCGTACTTTGAGCGTCGAGCACGATGATGCTGCAAGTGCGCTGGTGACGCTCGTCGACGCGACGAGAAGATGCTTTAGAGAAACCATGATGCTGTGTCCTGGTTCTAGGTTTGAATTGAGTCAAAAGTTATGCGTGTAAGCTTCGCGCGTCGCGTTGCGTTCGACGAAGATTGGCAGTCGCGAAGGTGGGTGTGATTATCTCACGTCAAGACATGGGAACTTATTTGTACTACGGGTGGTAGTCTAAGTAAAACGGCACGCCGTGGCTTCGACATGGTAGTTGTATTGATTTTAGATGGTGGTAGATAGCCGCGGCAATGCATGGGATATCTCTCGTCCGTCTTGGCTGCGTCAACAAGTCGGGCCTTTCTCGATTGCATGCACATCAATACCTAAAATACCTAGTTTCCGCCCGCGAGACACCAAGACAGCTATGCTTTGCCAAGTACATCCGCGTCTTGAACGCAAGCCGGGCTTACAAGGAGACGAAAATGACGAAAATGGGGGATGCAATTGTCAAATCTACATATTCGATGACGTCAAGAGTTTTGAGCTCGTAGTAACACCGCCACCACCTCTTACAACTCCATCCCTTCGAAAAGAGCAACGACGACCAGTAAAAACACGTGAAAATAATTTCCACTCTTATCAATCAATTGGGTAGCGCCTGTAGGGCTTTGGACGATGTGGCATGGCGGGTTCCGGTATGAAGGCTGGTGTTCTCCGCATACTGCCTACACCGTTTGGCATCTGTGCGATAGGCCACGATACCATCTCTCTCAAGATCTCCTGAGAGCCCACAAGCGCGAAAACCAGTCCGTCGACATGTTCCGGCTCGTCGGAATCTGTTCTTGCATGGAGTCTGATCTTGGTGCGTTTGACTTGGAAGAAAGACGTTTTGAAGTATCGCATCGCTTCTTCCTCCCGCTCGTTCTTCACAAGATAGGCGGTGCCAGTAGTATGGTGATGCGCATGAGATGAGTCGTACAGAGGCAATTCCACCAAGGCCTTGCATTGCCGTTCGCTAGCTTCTCTCAACGATGTGATGCTGGCCAACTTTGTTTCGGGTTCTACATCGAGCTTCAACAGTCTCTGAAGCTTGTCTGCACGCGCTAGCGTGCCTGTTAGAAAGTACCACACCGGGTATTCGTTCTGAGACGGCCGTGGAGTTTTGCCTTCGTTGAGCCGGTGTTGAGGCAGCGTAGACTCGTAGACGTACGGGTACATGGAGCCGTCGTGTAAATCTTTCCCGGCCCAGCATAACGGTATATCAACGATATTCCCAGTAGAATATAGCCCCCGACCATTATACGCTGGCATGGAAAGCGGCATACCCCTCCTCATCTGGTGGAATTCCTAATCACGAAGGACAACGGCCTTTTGAGGAAAGCCTTGCCAATCGTGCACCACATGGATCCTGGGTATTCTCTGGAGCTGGGCGTAAGATATGCGGTCGATGTGTTTGTCGACACTAGCAAAGACAAAGAGGCTGAACATCCCATGGCTGTGGCGTTGAGTCGAAGCAATGTCTGAAGGAATTCTGACAAGTCGCCCCATGCTGCTCAATGAACAGAGCCAGTAACGGTAACTGTCCTGGTCGAAGCCCAGATTCTTCATATAGTCCCAACTCCACATCGGATATGCATCCGGATCGAAAGTAACAAGCTCTTGATCTTGTAAGACCTGAAAGTTTTCAATATGCCACACAGCCTCCCCCCGAGTAAAGGAGAACAGGCGTTGCCATTGGTTGATCTTGATGTCAGACGGGATCTCTGTCACAGAATCTCTGCGCACAGTTGTAGATTTAGACAGTTCATGAAGTTCATGAAGTTCATGAACGATGGAAATGAAAGTAGTTGAATCGATGTAGAATCTCCTGGGGCCTTGCGGAAGAAAATTCATCCTCAGAGGCAAGACAGTTGGAAAGTCAATGATCGAGAATGATGGCACGTTGGAAGCATATGAATAGAACAGATACAGCGACCGACAAAACGAGTATAACGAACTTGCGATAGCAATTCTGTAGCGATGAAGATTGTTGGTAGAAGTGAGAGCGTGTTTACAAATGAAGGTTAACAACACCACGCTACCATAGCAAGTGCTATACTGCCCGACCTACTTTCCAACTACCGTTTTGGTGGAACGGCTGTTGCAAACAATAGAAGAAGTCGCATAGCACGCGACGCAGTAGCAATTGCGACGAGCACGGATTAAGCACTGCCAAGGATTATGGTTTGCAATGAGTATGACGTAGCTAGCCCTTGGATCCCCGCTTGAGGCAGGAGACAACGTCGTACACGATCCACGGCCTTGCGTCTTTCATAGATCTGTCCAACGATAACAGCGAGGCTAAAGGAGATTTCTTTTGCCATGGCAAAGCACCACAGCGGTTGACGAGGGGTGTTTACTTCTCGGAACACCTATTGCGACCACTTTCTGTACTTGTCGAATACTATTACAGCATCCAGGGAAAAAGCTTGAACACAGGAGGCAGAAGAAGAGCATAGGTACCATGTCTACAAGCAAACAGGATATGTATTGAAGTAAGCAAACTAGGGAGTGGGATACCGCAATGTTAAACAGCTCAGACGTTGAAAATTGGGATATCGGCATTAAACTTTCTTCAAATAAGGTGTACGTAATACATGATAGACTGAATTACATCGTCATCATCTTGTACTGGTGAGAAGCTACAACTGCGCAATACGCGCCTCGATACACGATATTATGCATCACACTCTAGAAGATGCGAGCCATGGTACGCTTCCAGGCGGGCCATGCCTTCATCTCATCACGCTCCCTGTTGATTAACTCCCAGTCAAGCTCCCTGCGACCAGTGTCGACATCCATCTGAGCAGTCTTGAGCCAGAACGTACCCTTCCAGAAGTAACCGCAAATCCAGAAGGCGGCAACAACGAAGAGAGCAAGGTAGGACATGAAGAAATCCTCAGCGGTTCCGATGTTCTTGCCAATGGGCGAAATGGCAGTGTAAAACTGTTACTGTTAGTAAGTGTTTTTATAGCGTGGGAAATGTGTATCGCTTACCTGAGCAATCAGGACCATGACAATGATGAAAATTCCGAGCCAAGAACCCCAAACACCACCGGCTGCCTTGAACGGGATCTCATCCAGTGTGTGTCCATGGTAGATCCAGGCTTTACGGAAGCGAATATGGGCCAGGCAGATGGAGCCCCAAGTGAACAGAGCGGCAAGACCGGACAACGCTACAAGCCAGTTGAACACAACTTCACCAGTGGCAGAAAGTTGCATGAAACCAAGAGCGCCCCACATAAGAATGAAGATTACAGAGAAGAGCGGTCGACCGGAACGATCGACGTAGGTGAAGAAGCTCGGGGCGTACCCCTGTTCAGCAAGAGCAGTGAGAGTACGAGAACCACCGTAAACACCGGAAACACCAATGGAGACGACAGAAACAAGAATAACGACATTCATGAAGCTGTCGAATCCAATGAGACCAGCGTTGTTGGCAGCGATAACAAATGGCGAAGAGTGGGCACCTTCACCCTGGGAACCCAGAAGACGATCGTCGTCGTAGGGGACGAGAAGGCCGACAAAGGTGAGACCAAGCACGTAGAACAAAGTGATACGCCAGAAGATTTGTCGAATGGCACCAGGGAGTGACTTGAGAGGGTTCGCTGTCTCAGCGGCAGCAAGACCGACCAACTCAGTACCGGAAAAGGCAAAAGCAGCAGTAACGAACACGCCACAGAAACCCTTGAAGCCGTTGTTGAAAGCGCCGGGGTTGTACCAAGTACGTGCACCCCAGTATTCGCTGTACTGGCCGCTGGATGGTCCTCCACCGAGAACGAGCACCAAAGCAATGATCATGAAAACGACGGTCGCGCCGAGTTTGAGGCAGGATGACCAGAACTCTTCTTCGGCGTATCCCAGTGTACCGCACACGTTGATGAGGATGATGAAGACCCAGAAGATGACGATGAAGACGGCCAGATGTACGTTTTGGGCGCCTTCCCAATATTGGACAGTGATACCAGCGACGACCAGTTCCAGCGGCAAGACAATGGCCCATTGGAAGACGTAGTTCCAGCCCATGGCGAAACCCCAAGACGGCGAGATGAAGCGAGTGGAGTATGTGTAGAAACCACCAGAGACCGGGTACATGATAGCGAGTTCACCGAGAGCGTAGACGACGTTGAAGATCATGATACCCATGATGGAGAAGTCGAGAAAAAGCGAAGCAGGGCCCTACAGACTAGTCAGTGCATGTTTGGCAGTTGCAACGTTTGGGAAAGTGAACGTACACCCTTGTTGAGGGCACCACCAGAACCAACGAAGAAACCAGCGCCAATAGAACCACCAATAGCGATCATGTGCAGATGGCGTGTCTTCATAGACTTGTCAAGCACGACCATTGGACCGCCCTTGGGACGACGCTGGAAAGACTTCAAGTTCAAGCCATTACGCGTCATAAAATCCTCCTGGTCGCGCCATTCACCAGCGTTAGGCTCGCTTCCCGACCCAACGGACGGGTGGACGATGGCCTTCTCACCATGAGGAGTAACCTTCTCGTCGTGGTCCATGATGGAGGATGGACAGAGAGTCTGCAAAGAAAGGAAGGGGCGGAATGCAGGGCAGCTACAGCCTGGGGACGGGGTCCTCTAATATACGGTTTAGGATCAGCGGAGGGCACCAATCCAACCCACTCCACGTACAGTTGGCCTCCCCCGGCGTGAGCGACAAGGGCTGCTGGCTGTCACTCAAGATGCTGATAGTGCACGGGCCATGCCAGGGAAACGACTTGGCGAGCATCAAGCGCATCCTTTGCAGCGGTAAACTGATACGGCCAGCGGGGGTCTGGTTGGCCAGGTTGCACGCGACCACGGCATGGTTCTGTCGACTGAGCTGCACTAGACCTCTTGGACCTTCTATGCGGGGTCTGAAGCATATTGGCATAGGCGGCGGGGGCACTTGGCAATCGTTCCAACGATGGTTTGTTGGTGGGTGCAGCGGAGATTGGGCCCTTTTGGGGTTTGAGCGCCTGACGAGTGCTTGGGATTGATAACGACCGCGCAACTGAGCGTGTCAGCATGTCTTCCACGCAGCTTTCCAGAAGGCGGACAACGCGGCTGCGCTTGGCCGTTCCGCTTGTCGTCGGTTGCTGAGGCTTGGAGACGCAGCAAACTAAGCAGCTCCCTTGCCAGCTGCCTTTACTGGCTCCCGTCTTATCTGCATGCTAGTGTGGCATCTTACGCAACGAACGTTGCGAACGCGCTTCTGGCAGCCGCCAAGCCGTTTGAAGGCGATGTGCTTAGGGTAATCTCACGTGCATCTTAGGGCCTGCCTATCTCGGCCCTAGTAGACGGCCTTACATACCATCCAAGGCCCGACTCGCTAGACCCTCGTATCAGCGACTGCTCTTTGTCACGACCAAATAAAGTGGCTGTTGGAGGCGTCCTGTGTCTGTCACCACGAAGCAGCGCGCAACAAGTCACAGTCAACATTGGTCACTATTAAAAAGTGTGCTCCCATTTGACGCTGCCAAGCGGGCGAATAACAGAGGCGCAATACAACACAACTACGCCGCAGTGTCATGCATGGGCATTGTTGCGTTACACTGCCCTGCTGACCCTGCCACCCTCCCAACTTTTGACCGTCCTGCCTCATCCAGGAACTGATTTTCTAGCGCTTAGGGGCGTTGGCTGTTATCAAGGCAGAATCGTTCTATAGAAACGCTACCATCTCGTGTCTAACTTTCTATTGCTGCATACAATCCCACAACCACGTCGATTCCGATACGAAAAAGCATCTCACGTTGCCGATGTGCATACGCCAATCCAACCATTCACGATTGTAGCCAATCACAACATCGCTTGACATCACACATACTATCCTGCTCGAGTTAGGGTTTAACAGGGGACTAGAAAGTTCGCCCATACGATGGCAACCCAGTCTCATCGCCCCATCTTCACCTAGAAGCACCGAAGTAATAACTGATGCCAGATTGCCTCGAACATTGGCAATCCAAGTGATCGCATGCCCCTTATCCTTGGTAGTCAGAACAAATGTCTTGGAGCACCCGCTTTTTCTGTTCTAGTGTGGCTCCAGTGATAAAGGGACATCCCGAATGACCAAATACATGGGCGTCTGTGATCGCCAGTCAGACCCTCAATTCTCCTGATTTGGAGATTTGCGCAGTTCTAGCCGCGTGGGCTCACAGTAAATTCTGTGAAGCTAACTAGCATACCGTTCGACGATAACGCTGGCGGACCGTTGTGATTGTCATTTTCGTTGCCCTCGCATGTGTTTGATGTTTGTGGCAGGGTACATATCCGCAAGGCAGGCCTCGTATCTCACCCACTTGGTTTGTGCCTCGCGTTGGCCGACACTGTAGTCTGGTAGGAGGTTCTGTGCGACCAAACAACCTGTTTACCGGTTTCGCCGCTTTCCCGTGTGGTGGACATGGGTCTCAAGAAGATCGTTGTCTGCCTTACATGCACTGAGATGGTGTATCAACTGCAGACGTTTTGGGGGCGCAGTCTAAATCCGAACATCTCCAGACCACTCATTCCATCAGTCGGGTTATTCCCAGCGTATCTTGCAAGGTTGATTTCGGACACATACCAGAAAGGAGCAGCCGCAGCTTTGTACTACATAGTGAGTAAGCACTAAGGCAAGACACGTCGCTGACCTATAATCGCAGAGAGTTACAGCGCCTCTCCACACTATGGTGTACAACACAACAAAAACTAATAACGGCGATATATCCCTACATCAGGTGTGAAACATATTTCTTATCTAGAAAACCCAAGCTCCGACTTTTGCGCCGCATTGTCGATGATCATTATCTCCCAAAGATTATTACGCCGACGATCAGCGAAGGTGTTATCGGCCTATCTACAAACGGTCTGGCTTTACGTATAAAGTCGGGCAGGCAAAGGGCCTTGCGATCCAACACCTTGAATGAGATGAAAGCTGCGTAAAACTAACCATGAGCTGCATTATCACTCACCAAAATGCTGCATTACGGCAAACATATCATACGTTCATTAGTCGCCTCGAGGGTTGGAGCTGATTCGCAAAAGCTCTCCCTGCCAACGATGTAAGTTGTTGCTGTATTTGATGTAGGTCATGGATCTTTACTATACTGATCTCACATCGGTAAACCCCTACGCTTCTACACTTCACTTGAAGGTAGTATCCATTCATCATCTAAAATCTGTGCTGCTTTTATTGATTCAAGTTGTTCCATTTTTCTCAGCATAAGGAATTCTAGTGATCCTGCTTAAGAGAGACAAGTCACTCTACCAGCATAACACACAAAGCTTTCCAAACATCACCACACGATCCGTTCGGTTGCTTGGATCTGAAGAATAACCCGGGTCATATAATCACAACGCCACCATCAGCCGACGTAAAGTGGAACCGCATTATCAACATTCCAGAGATCAAATACCGGTTCTTGATCAAGCACTCCTCGGTATACCTGTCGAAATGGTAACATCCGTGTTAGTCAAGATTACCCCAAAGTCTGGAGCTCACGACAAGATCATACCGGAGCCAAATCTCGACGTCGTCGTATGCTCTACCAGTGTCGACAAACGAATCCTTAGTAGATTGAAATCGCCGTAAGAGATGTACCAAAAGACAGCTCAGCCCGCACTCGAAGAGAAAAGAACATTGATACTGAGCCCATCCATATCATGCGCATTGCAGTGATACGATCAATCGCCTATCACGAGCAAGGAAAGTATCAGAATGTACATCAACGTAATATCGCGAGACGAGCAACGAGGTGGCACTGGATGTAGGGGAAATCGACCTGATGGCCAACACGAAAGTTCAGAAAATGAGGGCAGGAGATCAAGACTCTATGGTAATCGAAAAAGAGACACCACTTCTGAGTGGACAGGTGGCGAGGAGAGCTTGAAATTGTTGGTAAGTAACCGAAGGCCTTTGTGTTGGTGTGTAGTCACAGCAAAGTGCAAGCCTGACCAGACGCCAATATCTGGCAGGTTATTACACACGGGAAAGAACAATAGCAACTGTTGTGGTGGGACTGTTGTAGGTTATCGTCCAATAGTGTGCAGATAAAAGTCGACCTCTATTCGTAATATCGGCGCGACTCCCCGATCAGGCTGCCGTCGAGGCAACGAATTACACGTTTGGCATATACCAAAACTTCAAATTTTCTACAGTCTTCCGGGCTAAATGTTTCGTCATTACATCCGTAGAGGCAGTCCTTCTTTGTAAGTATACATGTGTACTGATACTAAGCAAGCAGCATATATCGCAGAAGAAAAGCAGAAACAGATATGAAAAACCCCCAAAGCCCACCGTAACACTAAACCAAGCCAGCCCAGATACGCAAAACCGACCCATGCCAATCATCACCCGCCAACAAATCTATTACCCGCACACCACAACATCTCTCAACAGTTGGAACCATCTCTTCCTAACCGCCACCTTATCCCTCTCTCCCTCTCCCTCACTCTTCCCTCCACCAAAAGTTCTTCTCCACGGCCTCTGTGCCCACCTAACCGTCTTCTCCTCACACTCCATATCCAGCCCTCTCCTCGCAGCAATAAAGTAGTAAAACTCCACCCTCATCCTCTCCCTCTCCACCCGCACCAACTCCACCACAGACCTTTTCCTCTCCACTACAAACGGTGGGCAAGGCGGTGTTCGCGGAAACAGAAACCGCGGTGTCATCGGCGTAACGGGATGCAACGCCAATGACGGTAGTCGCGACCTGGCCTTCAAGAGCGTGCTTTGTGTTGGCGAAATGGTGCGGTCGAAGATAGACAGCGGGGATGCAGGAAGGAGTGGTGACGCCATGGGGAATAGCGCGTGGGGATTGAAGCGCGGCGTTGGTGGTGTGAGGAACGGGTTGGTTGGGGATGTGGGAGACTGCAAGACGGCTTGTGGAGAAGGAGTGTCGGGGTCCCAGTAGGAGAGCGGTGGGATGGGCGGAGCATTGGGGCTCGTGAGGCGGAAGGGTGAGGTTGCTGTTGTGCCTGGGAGGGGGAATGTTGCTCGGCGAGGAGTTGGGGGACGAGCGGCGCGCCATGGGGCTGCGGGGATGGGGATCCGGAGGGAGGTTGCGCGGGGGCGGGTAAGGGTCATTGTAGTAGTAGTGGTGGTGGTTGGAAATGAAAGTAGATGGAGTTGGTGAAGTGAATGTGTTTGATAGGTTATGGGGTTTCGTCAAGCTTTCAACTCATGTCAATATATACCTCTCAACTCTCTGTGTAACCTCAACGGTTGGCACTCAACCCAGAGACACCAATAGATCTTTGACAGGGATAGAGAGTCCTTTATTCTTGCTCCACGCAATACGAGGTCTAGGAAAAGCAATGTCTGTCAAGGAGTGAATCGTCTCGGCTCCTATAAGTATCGTCAGGAGCACGCAAAGGTCTGAACGTAAATGACGCGACCCACGCACCACTTCTTTGGGCGAATGCACTTTCGGTCTTAGACATGTCGTCACGCGTGTGACAACGCGAGGGTCGCGCATGTGTCTATGCTCATGTAGTGGCCGAATTAAAGCTTGTTTGCTGAGACGGGGTGGCCCTGCATTTAACAACATTGTACAACCAGCTTTCTTTGTTCAAACTCTGCGTGGAAATCATGTGAGTTTATTGATCGGTGCCAAAACTATCACTGCCCCCAAGTGAGACAAGAGATGTCAGACATCAATGCGAATGCTTCGTGCTTGGGCGTTGTCTTAAAAAGCTCGGGATACAAGAGAGTGCAGTTCTATGCGTGGAGGGAAGCAATGAGGGGTTTAGGAGATCTCTGCGCGGCCTGCGTCACAGAAGCAAGACAGTAAAAGGGTATACGAATGCGCAGTAAATGTATGGTATTGAACTGTGTTTATTTGTTACACTGTTATCAAATTCTTGTGCAAAACGGTAGCGTTGCTAAACAGTCCAAGTTTGCTGAGCAGGCTAGTCGACGTTAAGAACTTCACCGCGGTCGGTCATCGCAACACGAGTGCGTTTGAGTGACGCATTACGTGGGCTTGGTGCTTCGAAGATCTCCTTAAGTTCTTCCAGTGTCTTACCAGCCGTTTCAACGAAGAAGCTGTATAGTATGTCAGTCTGTGTTTCCTCGTCATCCGCAATACCGATAAACACTCACAAGAAGATGACGACAATTTCCACAACAATCCATCCGATAAAGACCAGATACAGCTTCCACCCAATCTTCTCCATCCCGACGGAGATACCGTAAGTATTCACCACCATGGCGACGTTCAAGAAGAGGAAGTTTAGTCCGGAGCCCTTCGCGCGAGTGCGGTTCTCCAAGCACTCAACTGCGTACAATGTCTGCAGTGGCGTCCAACCCCAGGCGAAGAAGATGCCGAATAGATAGATCGAGATGATGGTACCATAAGCGAGGTTGTTCGATGGACTCGCAGTGGCAGTGAACGCGGTTAGCAGAATGTACGATCCAAGAGCACCCCAAAGACCACCTATCAGCATCTTGCGTCGGCCAAGCTTGTCTAGAAGTGTGGCGCCATAAACAGCAGCAGTCATGCTGAAGATGGGGTTGATTGCGTTGAGAAGGAGTTGCGTGTTGGGGTCTGTGATACCAGCCTGCTTGAACATGGAAGGCATGAAATACGAGACGACGTTGTTGCCACTCCACTGTCCAAAGAAAGCCATGCATATCACCATGAACAATCGGTAGCGTGCGGCTCTTGTGTGGAAAAGCTCCTTGAAGTCCCACCAAGGATTGTCGTTTCGAGTAACAGCAAAGTCTTCGAAGATCTCGCGGATCTGTAGCTGAACGATCGGGGAATTTTCGTCACCATCACCATGGTATTTGGCCATGATAGCGATTGCTTCCTCACGGCGATCCTTTGAGATTAACCAGCGAGGCGTTTCAGGAAAGAACATGATAGCACACATGATGATGGTGGGCAAGAAGCACTGCGCGATGGTAGGAATTCGCCAGGCCCATGATGTGGATCCCATGTTCAGATTGGTGCCGTAGGTTGTCCATCCAGCGATGATGTTCCCGAACCACCAGAAGTTATTGTACATGCCAGCCATGGTTCCTCGGTATGCCGGATGCGCCAACTCAACAGTATAGGCGGGACCAGCGGCAGAAGCGATCGAGGCGCCAAAGCCAAGAACGAATCGACCTGCGATGAAGTGTCCCATGGTGTTCGCTGTACCTTGAACAGCTGTGCCAACAAGAACGAGGGCACATCCAACGAAGATGCAGACACGACGACCATATCCATCGGCGAAGAAACCACAAAATGGGAATGCGGCGATTTGACCCTTCCACTGCGTTAGCGTTCTATCTATGTTACACAACGGTTTTGTTTACCATGTTGTAGATGATGAATACGATTCCCGTGGAGGAGCCTTCGCCAGTGAGTCCAAAAGTGTCTTGGAACGCCTTCATGGCATTAATAGATCCCATGAGCGATGAGTCAAATCCGTTCAATGTCGAGACAAGGTACCCAATAGCCATGATCCCGTACAGTTTGATCATGCTTTTCGAGAACAGTTTTGGCTTCTGGGCCTCGAGGGCGGCAGCTGCTTGCCATCAGCATTGCCCGACGCAACAAACATATCGAATACTTACACAGAGCCACCGAGGCAACATTGGCCTCCACGATGTTCGTCGACCCATGCTTCTCGTCTTCCACCGTGCTCAGTTGGTGCGTCACAGCACCCATGTCGCTCTTCTCCGCCATATTGAACTCTGAGCCTCAAAGATAGTCAGTCAGTACAGGAAATCAAAGTATGTACTAGTCCGGGAACGACTACCGCTGCGACCGTTGATGATCTGCATTGATGATCCGGGTTTGCGGGTTACTTTATACTCATTTCACAGCCCAGACTTCTCCGCACAACGAGGAGCTTCAAGATACATGGTGCTGCACCGAGGTCTATTGCCGTTTCCCAAGATGACCCGATGCCCGGCTTTCTTTGAAAGAATTGACTGCAGCCACATTGTCTGCCAAGGGAGCTTGTGCAGGCCGCGACAGCATTTCTTGGCGGAGAGTACTCCAGAGGCTCGGATAGAGCTGTAGAGCGGCATAAAAGTGTTTAGAATGCAACCAACATGAGTCGAACAAGGGTACATTCGGCCCTACTCTGAATCGTGGGAACGATGTCGTGGAGAAACCTGGAGTAAAATGGATACTCGGCTATGAGTTTGCCGGCATTTGACAAGGGTTTTCCGATGTCTAGCCGCTCGTGGAAGTTCAAATGCCGATCCGATCCTGACCCCGCGCCGCGTGACAATGCAGGCGATCCGTCAGGCAAACCTCAACACGCAACAGTCAACAGTTGTCCGCACGTCTGTCACCCGAGAGGAAACCCATCCATCGCTTGGCAGCACAAGGTATACTCGGACGGCTTTCCCAATGGGTGCATTCCATGTCCCGCAGGATGCGGTGATGTGGACAAGTGTATCTTTTATCAATTGCCGACGTCGCAGACATTGACCTTGACACTCACTCATTTGATTGAACTGGTTCATTATGACTCCAATTTCGCATCCGACTGAGAATCCAGACTGGAACAACCTGAGTATTCTCCACAAGGGTACACTCACCCCGCGTTCGTACTTCCACAACTACATCTCAGAAGCCGATGCGCTGGAATACGATGTAACAAAGTCGAAAACGCATAGCCTGTCCGGCACATGGAAGTTCCAGCATTCATACTCGCCATTCGAGGCCCCAGAAGGCTTCGAGGCGCCCTCCTTTGACTTTTCAAAATGGAGTGATATTACTGTACCCGGTATGTGGCAGCTGCAGGGCTTTGGAAAGGGTCCTCAGTACACAAATGTCCAGTACCAGATTCCAGTTGATCCTCCGAACGTCTCTTTCACGGAAAATGAGACCGGTTCGTATATACGAAACTTCTGTGTTCCGGAGGCCCTGAAAGATGGTCAAATTCGCCTCAGGTTTGAAGGTGTCGATGCTGCTTTCCACGTTTGGGTGAATGGAAAAGAGGTTGGGTACTCCCAGGGAAGCAGAAACCCGGATGAGTTTGATGTGACAGACGTAGTCAACAAGCATGGTGAGAATACTCTTGCGGTTAGAGTGTACCAGCTCTGCGATGGAACGTACATTGAAGATCAAGATCAATGGTGGTTGAGTGGCATGTAAGTTTGGTAACAATTGCTTCACGCGTCATGGCTGACTTCATAGCTTTCGCGATGTACTCCTGGTTGGATTTCCAAGTGAAACTCGCATCGACAATGTATTCACACAAACCCTCCTGGATTCCAAGTACACAAACGCCGAGCTCAAGGTCAAAGTCAGTGCAGTCGGATCTGGCAAAATTACCGTCAAGCTCTTAGATTCCAAGAAGAACGTTGTCATCTTAGCGGATTCAGATGTGAGTAACAAACCTACCACGGAATTCAGTATCGCTGTAGAGAATCCTCTGAAGTGGACTGCCGAGTCACCCAACCTCTACCACCTGGTCGTGTCACTTGGAGAGCAGTACGTCGTTCATCGTGTCGGCTTCCGCCAAGTCGAAATGAAAGACGGGTTGATCAAAGTCAATGGCAAGAGGGTCGTCTTCCGCGGCGTCAACCGTCACGAGCATCATCCCGAATTTGGAAGAGCTGTGCCATTTGAATTCATGAAGAAGGATCTCCTCACGATGAAGCGCCACAATGTGAATGCCATCCGCACATCCCATCAGCTGAACGACCCGCGTTTGTATGACCTAGCAGATGAGATGGGTTTCTGGGTCATTGACGAGGCGGATCTGGAATGCCACGGTTTCGAATGCATTGCCGATGCTTCACTCACTGCTGATGAGCGAGCATTGGAGTTCCGCAAACGCCAGCTTCTCACAAGAGAGAAGGCCGCTGAGTGGACTACAAACAATCCAGACTGGACCCACGCGTATGTCGATCGTGCTGAGTATCTGATCAAGCGAGATCAGCTGCACCCCTCCGTTATTATATGGAGTCTGGGTAACGAGGCCTTCTTCGGCCAGAACTTCAAGGCTATGTACGACCACATCAAGGCATACGACGACAGCAGACCAATCCACTACGAGGCGGATATCGAGGCGGAGACCATGGACATGTACTCGAGGATGTATCCGCCAATCGACGAGATTATCAAGTTTGCCGAGGACAAGAGCAAGACAAAGCCACTCGTGCTTTGCGAGTTTGTAAGTTACACGTTTCCCGCATCATTTGAATAACAACTAACAAGATGTAGATCCACGCCATGGGTAACGGACCTGGTAATATCAAAGAATACATTGATGCGTTTTACAAGTACCCCACGCTGCAAGGTGGCTTTGCGTGGGAATGGGCAAACCACGGGCTGTTGACTAAAGACAAGCAAACGAAAGAGGAGTTCTACGCATACGGAGGCGATTTTGGTGAAGAAGTGCATGATTCAACATTTGTCATGGATGGGCTGGTGAACTCTGACCATGCACCCAATGCGGGTCTGATTGAGTACAAGAAAGCCATCGAGCCCGTGCAGCTGACGGAGGCGAGCAAGACGAAGGCGAAGTTCATCAACCGATACGATTTTATCACGCTGGACCATTTGAGCCTGCAGTACTCCACTGTCTCGGAGGCTGATACTGAGTTGAAAACTGGCTCCCTAGACATTCCGTCTGGTGTCGCACCAGGCGAGACGTTTGAAGTCGATCTTCCGGAAGTTCCGGGTGGTGATGGTGAAGTTCTCCTCAACTTCTCCTTCAGGCTGAAAGAGGAAACTCCATACCTCGAGAAAGGGTTTGAAGTTGCTACCGCACAAACTTCTGTCACGGCGATCGCCCCTCTACAAAAGCCTTCGCCTTCCAACAAGGCACTGGAAATCACCACCTCCAGAAATGTTCTCGAGATCACCACGGAGAAATCAGCATGGAAGTTCAACACCCTCCACGGTACCCTCACATCCTGGGTCCAGAACTCCACTGAGCTCATTTCAAAAGCTCCCGAGATAGACTTCTTCCGCGCACCGACTGACAACGATATTCCCCAAGACGGCTGGGACTGGAAGGAACGCTACTTGCACCTTGCCCAACCTTCCACCCGCAAGGTCTCCTGGTATCAGTCCGGCGCCGATGAGCTCAAAGTCGTTGTCGCCCAACGCGTCGCACCCCCAATCCTATCATGGTCCATTGACTGCACTCTCGTGTATACATTCCTCGCCACAGGCACTCTAACTATAACCGTGGCCGGTTCGCCAAGAGGAGAGAATCTGCCCCGCACACTGCCTCGCATCGGCCTCGTCATGGAGCTGCCCGCCTCCTTCGAGTCAGTAACATGGTTCGGCCGTGGCCCAGGCGAATCCTATCGCGACAGCAAACTCTCACAGCACATTGGGAAGCACACATCCTCCATCGACGGGATGTGGGTCGACTACGAAGTGCCGCAGGAAAGTTCAAACCGCACTGACACGCGCTGGGTGGCGGTGTCGAGCGGCACAACGGGCTTGCATGTGCAGTTTGTTGAGAAGGGCGGCGAGCAACGCAGGCCGTTTGATTTCCAGGTCAGCCGGTACCGCATGCGGGACGTTGCCAAGGCGGGGCATCCGCATGAGTTACGGAAGATGAAGAGGGAGGAAGTGGTGCTGAGGCTGGACTGGGCGCATCACGGGCTGGGGAGTGGGAGTTGCGGGCCCAAGACGCTGCCCGAGTATGCGCTGCTGACGGAGGCGTTTACGTTTGAGGTGTTGCTGCAGGGCTTGTGATGGGACGGATCCGGCTTGCGGCAGGGGGAGATGCAGCATGTAGAGCTCGATTTTCTCAGGGACGTGGTTGGTGGGAAGTGTATTCTCTCTTCTCTCACAGGTCGCCGAGAACGGGGAGGCAACGACGTCGTTTTCGGTCCTTTCTGTATCTAAGTCGAGCACTAAGTGGATGTGGTTTGGCCATGGTTGGCTGCTACCGAGCTGCGATGTCGAACTAGACTGCGCCTAGAGAATTTGGTATCTCGCGGCCTTTTGCTCCGACCTCCGCGATGACGATACTCGAGGTACGACCCGGCGCGTACCGCGGAGCTACGTCGACGCGTTGCAAAAGGGTTGCCCCTCTTTAGTTAGCATACTTGATGCGATATCAGACAAAAGGAAGCATCATGTCGATGGAGTGTCCCCCGCCATCGAAGACCTGTCCCGCCTCGAGCCCTCCGCCAACATGCCAGATGTCATAGAAACACAGCTGCTCATCAACAACGAGCTGGTCCCCGCGAGCGACAATGCCTTGTTCGACCTCTTCTCGCCGCACACGGGAGAGCTCGTCGCAAAAGGTTTCTTCACAACCCCCCGTCTCGCCATATATCAGACGATGCTAACAGCGCTTGACAGTCGCTGAAGCTACACCCGCCGACGTAAACACAGCCGTCGACGCCGCCCAAGCTGCTTTCCCCGCATGGAGCGCCCTCTCGCCCGCCCAGCGCGGCGTCCCGCTCAAGAAGATGGCCGATCTGGTCCTCGCGGAGGTCGACGAGCTCGCCAGACTCGACGCCCTCGCCATGGGGAAACCCGTCGGCGAGTTCCCCTTCGACGCCACATATGCCGCCACGCACTTCAACTACTTCGCCGAGGCGGCATATCCCCAGGGCCACACGAGCCTGAATAAGCCGGGCTTCTTGAACATGAGCCTCCGCCAGCCGTTCGGCGTCGTAGCCATCATCATCCCGTGGAACGCGCCGCTCATCTTCTTTAGCAAGAAGGTAGCGCCCGCCGTTGCGGCGGGGAACTGTGTTGTGGTAAAGAGCAGCGAGAAGGCGCCGTTAACAGTACATCACCCCCTCCTTCTCCACATGATCGCCACATGCTAACCCCACCACCACCCCGCAGTCCTGGAAGCTCTCCCAATGGATCGCGCAATGCGGCTTCCCCCCAGGCGTCATCAACATCCTCTCCGGCCACGGCCACATCTCCGGCCAAGCCCTCGCCGAGCACATGAAAGTCCGCGCCCTATCCTTCACAGGCAGCATGCGCACCGGCCGCCTCATCCAGATCGCAGCCGCACAATCCAACCTCAAGAAGCTCGTCTTCGAACTCGGCGGCAAGTCCCCCGCCCTCATCTTCGAGGACGCAGACCTCGAGCTCGCCGCAAAGGAGACGGAGAACAGCGTGAACTGGAACTCGGGCCAGACGTGCATGGCCAATAGCCGCATCTACGTGCACGAGAGCGTTGAAGACGCTTTCCTCGCGCTGTTTGAGAAATTCGCACGCGCGCGCCGCCTTGGCGATCCGCTGGCAACGGGCGTGAATCATGGCCCGCAGGCAGATAAAGCGCAGTCCGATGCGGTGAGGAGATACATCGCCATTGGGAAAAAAGATGCACAGCGCACCATCGACACCACACCAAATGATGCCTCACCATCATCAAACCTCATCCACCCCGTAATCTTCACCCAAGTCCCCGAATCCTCACCCCTCACGCGCGACGAAATCTTCGGGCCCGTCGTCATCATTAATAGTTTCGCCACGGAGCAAGAAGCCATCGCCAAAGCGAATGATACGGAATTCGGCCTCTATGCTGCGCTCTACACCAAGGATCTCGAGCGCGCGATGCGCGTGGGCAAGAAGCTGGAGAGTGGGATGGTGGGCGTGAATTGTACGAGTCCGACGGGGTGTTGGGATTTGCCGTTTGGGGGGTGGAAGGGGAGTGGGGTGGGGAGGGAGAGTTTGCTGGAAAGCATGGATCATTACCTTGAGGTTAAGACGCTGTATGTTAGGGTTGGGGGGATTGGGGGGTGAGTTTCTGATTTGCTTGGAGTTGATGGTGATGTGATGTAGTTAATTTGATTTGATATGGTATAATGCAATCTACTCTAGTCTCATTCACAGCCGCGAACTCCCCCCCTCCCTCTCACCAGCCAACTCATCAAACCGCCTCTCCACCTCCCTCACATCACCCCCCAGATCATGCTCCCAGATCCACCCAAACCTCCCCTTCAAATGCGCCACCACACGCTGCATATCCGCCCCCACCACCGGATCCGCAAGACAATACACATCCCCACACTCATGACTAGTCAGTACCTGTTTCTGCGCACGGGGCCTCCGCACCTCATCGTACGCTTGAAACGCTGCCTCGACAGCTTTCGGCGACGGATGCGTGTTTGTGCGGTGATAAAGACGGCCCAGCACGCGCGACAGCACCAGCGCGTCTTCAAGACACATGCCCGCGCCCGCGCCCTGATGCGGACCCCCCGCGTGCGCCACGTCGCCCATCATGCAGATCAGGCCGTTATAGTACGTGGGGGTGACGGGGTGGTGAAACAGCGCCCAGCGGGTAGGTTGCGCCCAGTCGAGCAGGCGCATGAGTCTTGGGTCTGGATTGAGATGGCGGAAGTCATCTAGCATTTCCTCACGGGAGACGGTGTGAGTGAATTCCCTGTGTGGCCAGGGCGCGTTGTGTTTCCTGAAGGCGACGACGTTAGTAGCGCGGCCGGCGCTGATGGGGTATGTGGACAAGTTTGCGCCGGGGGCCATGTACATTTTGGCGTCTGTGGCGAGGTCGCCGAGCAGGGCGCGCGCGTCGGGCATGGGGACTATGGCGCGGTAGACGTAGCGGTTTGTGTAGACGGGGGCGACGAGGTGGGGGTATTTGTCGCCTAGAACGATGCGGCGGGAGGGGCCTTTTACGCCGTCGCAGCAGATGACGGCGGTGTGGGGGGCGATTTGGCCGTCGGCGAAGGTGAGGGTTACGCGGCCGTTGGCCTGGGTGATGGTTTTTACGGTCTTGTTGAAGCGGACGGCGTCGCTGGGGATGAGGCTCGTCATGATGTCTAGGAGATCTTTTCTGTGCGCGCTCGTCCTTTCGAAGTACTCGGCGCCCCAGCCTCCGTTTCCCCACCATGACTCTCCTTTTCCTAGTCCTTGTTCTAGGCGCATGGCCTCCATCATGGTGTGCTTCTTCTCTGGGTTCAGGTTGCCGGTTGCAATGCTCATGTACATGCCGTAGAACCGCTTGTCGATCAAGTCCATGGCGCGTAGCGCATTTGGTCCCAGCCCGACGCCCGCTCCGACTGCAGAGAAAGCGGGTGCAGACTCATAAAGAGTGAAAGGAACGTTGAGATGGGTGAGGCCAATGGCCAAGGCGAGGCCGCCGATTCCTGCCCCGGCAATAGCAATGTTGAAATCCTGGTTTGCCATGATAACTTTTTCTTCTTCTTCTTCTTCTTCTTATTATTATTCAACCAAGATCCGTCAAGATCGCGAAGATAAATTATGAGCAACGCAAGTATTACAACGCTACGCGACTAGACGCAGGAGGCAGGACTAAGTACAGCCCACCATCGTCACCGCTCGGAGCTAAATGACATTCATTGCGCGTTCAAATCCACACTGCATCGGAGCGGCAGTTGGGCAGCCGATGATTTTGCTGAGGAAGGGCTCCCTCGCTTCCATCACCGACCGATGGAGAGTTTAGTTGCTGTAACGTTGTTGTGGATACGGAGGCAGGGTCCAATCAGGAGGCGTGGCTGGCCGGATACATGTAGCCGACCGCATCGCTTAGAGGACAATGGTCCGCAGGGGCTGCAGCAGGTATACGCTCAGACTTTGATACGCCATCGTCCTGCAACATCCATGACCCGCCGTGCTCAACACAAGGCAAAGGGATGGCAAAGGGATTGCAAAGAAATGGCAGAAGGGGATGTATGAGAGAAGTCCAGATCCTACCAATCAGAAGGGCAGATTTTCCCCGGAGCCAGGGCCGGCGGAGGTTAATATGGGACGCTCAACAATAAGCGGAACTGTCAAAAACTGTCTGGGCGGCGTGGCTCTGGAGCGGCGCGAACACGGGAGTAACATCCAGAAGGGTGTTTTGCAGGGAACATGGGGTGACCTGTCGTAGGGTCACCGATCCCAGATCCTTGCATTCCAACGCAAAGGGAAACTTGCTTGTCTCAACTCGGACCAGGTGGCGCCGGATTGTGTATGTTGGGCATACTCTGCGCACCATCGTTGCCTAAAAAGCTTCCAAAATCGCCCCAATTCCAGTCTTGGATGTTGTTGACGGTAAAATCCATGAAATTCATCTGCGAGCTCCTGTCGAAGCGCGTATTGGGGTACAGTGCGGGCTCGCCAGTAAAGCCCTGATCGGGGTAGTAGCGGACAGGGATGTTGCCGGGGAAGTTATAGGCGTTGCTGTTTGTCGAAGATTGGGGGAACGGGTATGGCACATCTTGGTGAGTCTGCAGCGGTGGCGGTGGGCGCATAGGCTCTGGATTGGCGTCGTGCGGCTCGGACCTGGCATCTGTGGCGGGCGTGGCTGATGACGAGGGCGCGAGTGGGGGCGACGAAGACGTGTTCATTGCGCTGACCATGGACTGCAATTCGGGGATGATGGAGGCAAACCTGGCCAGGGTGGGCGGCATGTATCGGTTCCTCCTGTGGCGTGTTGCCAGGTGGGCGAGCTGGGACAGCAGCAGGCGGGGATGAGACGAGTCTGCACCAGGCAATCTGTCCAGGCAGACCAGATCAAGGACGAGAATCGAGGCGGCGGCCAGAGAATACCAGCAGTCCCAGTGGGTGATTGCGTCGAACTTGCCAATGGCGTCGAGCCGGAGCATGATGCGGGCCAGGATCCTGCCGGAGTCGGCACATGTATCGGACATAGCCGTGAGCGCCGTATTGGGCGAGTCCTGACCTTCTTTGGCGAGTGTTGTAGCACGGGCGAGCATAGCCGCGCGGCAGATTACGTAAATGGAGTAGTGGTGAAGTGAGTGGAGTAAAAGCAGAGGCCGGTGGAAGGCAGGCGGCGCAGCATCGAGGGCGTCCATACGCAGATGGTGGGGGAGCAGGCTCCGCCAGCGATCGAGATCGCGCAGCACAGCGGCAGCAGGCGACAGCGGGCCGACGTACGAGTCGTCGGCGGCGTGAGGTTTCACCGTCTTGGGGGCACGACAGGCGGAGCTCAAGTGCACCATCAGGCGGTTGTACCACTTGGCGTAGTCGGGCGGCGTGTAGGCGGCAGTGCCGATGAGGCGCTCGTTGGGGCAGGCCGTGTTGGCGGCAGAGTGGTCGAGCGAGGCCGGGCGGTCGTACGACGAGACCTGCATGACCTCGTAGGCGTAGAGGGACCACCACAGGCGGCGGCACAGCTCCCTCGCCAGCGGCGTGTGCACGGAGCTGACCTTGTCCTGGTGCAGGCCGATGGCGAAGGCGATGCGCACGGCGGTGCCCGTCAGGTTCCAGCACGCGTCGCGGTGGTTCGTGTTGTGCAGGTGGACGGCGGCCAGCATCAGCGCCTGCACGGCCATGATGTTGGACGTGAAGATGACGACGGGCAGAAGCGTCTGGACCCGCGCCCACCACAGCCGCTCCTGGTCCTGCGGGAAGGGCAGACGGGCCACGCGCCGGGCCAGCAGCAGCACGCAGAGGAAGCTGCATAGCCAGACGGGGTCGGCGCTCTCGGGGCGGGCCAGCCAGGCCTCGTAGGCCTCGCGGAACGACGGCTCGTGCAGGATGTGGCAGTCGGGGTTGATGTGCTCGAAGTAGACGCCGATGAGCGAGTCGAGGCTGGGCACGTCGCTGCTGGCCGTGGCGGTTGATGTCGACATGGAGGCCCGCCGGTCGAGTGTGTGGGCCTGCGACTGCTGCTGCGAGGGCTTGGGCTCGGGCTCGTCGCCGCCCTCCTGCTCGGCCGCCGCGTTCTTGCCAAACAGCGAGAAGGCGCGCGGCATGGCGTGGCCCAGCAGGTCGCGCATCTTCAGGTGGAAGGCGAAGGAGCTCGCGGGCCCGATGTACTGCACCTGGCCCTGCTGGTCCGGCAGCAGGGCAATGCCATCCTCGCCGTCGTCGGCGCTGTCGGCGGCCGCCCGTGCCTCGCCGTCGTCGTGGTCCGGCAGCGGGATGCCCAGCGAGTAGCCCAGCTGCCGCAGCTCGTCGACGTTCCCCACGTCGGCCTCGGGCAGCAGCCCCTTGACCAGCGACTCGAGCAGCGCCAGGCGGTTCCCCAAGCCCTCGACGCTCCCATACAGGCGCTTCTTGCGCGGCTGCGTCGTCAGGCACTCGATCTTGTGCGCCACGCAGTACCGGCACGCCTCGTCGTCGGGCTCCCTCCTGCACTTCTGCTTGCGGCTCTTGCACTTGTCGCACGACGTCTCGGTTCTCTTCCTCTTCTCGGGCGGCACCCTGCGCGAGTGGGCGCCGGTCACGGCGGCGGGCTTCATGGCGGCGACGGCTTCCTAGCGACGCATACGGGGCGGCGGGCAGTCGCGGCGCGTCTTGCGGGCATTGGCACTGGCGATGGAGACGGTAATGTACAATGCCACTTGCGCCATCGACAGACGCGTCCACGGTACCCACAAACGATCGGGTCTGGCTCCGATCCCTAGGACTCGCCTTGGATCGAGCAGCCAAGATCACCACCAAGAATGGGGTTCCTTCACCCCCAGGTTCGGCCCATTAGAACGGCTTTCTCCGCCGTCCGCCCACCACGTCACAGCTACTGCCTTCATAACCTTCACAACATGAGCATCCACGCATTCATAACCTCTGATATCGCGCAATTATGTCATAGCCGTCGCTTATTGCGACCCACTCCGATGAGAAAAATGCCCTCACCTCCATGCAGGATACATGGGCGGAACTTGCCATGCGGCTCACTAAGCATTGACAAACTAATCATAGACTTTTGGAAAGTCTAGCCTCTGCGGTCGAGTAATCCATTTCCATCGCCATGCCGCCTCTCCCGGAAGTATCATCATCTGAATCCACAATTCAATATCACACCCCTTTCGATGTCCCGTCTTCTCCAAACCCTTCGATGATATCCACTTCAAGAAAGAGAGAAAAAAGATGAAAAGAAGGAAATCAATGAACCCACCACACTCCACTCCCTCTCTTCACTCCCGCTCTTCAATCCCTCTCCCGTCCGTCTCCCATCCACTCCCCCTCTCCTCAATCCATCCATCACCCGCCATACCCCCTCCCCCGATACCCCTCAACCTCAATCCGCACCAACCTACTCACAAGCTCCGCCTTACTCCCGCGTATCTTCACCCCCTCCCCCCGGCACAACTCACGCAGCTCCATAATCCCCTTGGCCTCGTACTGCTGCTGCCAGTGTGCACGGTACTGTCGCTCGTCTTCGGCTTCGTTGATGCCCGCCGCGTCGAGGTCGGTTATGGCGTCTTGGGTATGAGAGGTAGGCTGGGATTGGTAGGTTGGGGGGGATGTAGACTCGGATGTAGATGTGGATGTGGAGTCGGTGTTTGGGGTGGACATTTTGCGGGTGTTTTGGGAGTTGTTAGTATGTGGATGGTAGGTTGGGAGTGGGTTTTATGCGGAGTGTGTGCTTGCGGATAGGTATGGGGAGGTGAAGTGAAGTGAAGTGAAATGACATTATGACCGGTGAGTGAAAGATAGAAACAAGGGAAAGCAGCCTCGAACATAGAACATAGAACAATTTCACACAATGCCACACATAACTCATTGTCTCAAAAAACATGTCTTCCAGTCTCAAAGCCCAGTCTGAAAAACACAAGACACAGCTCGCTGGATTCCATCTACACCCTTAAACTCAACCACATAACCCTCCCCCTCGTCCACAACCCCCCCTCCATCCGACAATACACACATTGATCCCCATCTAAGCAGTCCACATGCACAACACACCCACAGCACCTCACACGCACAAGCTCGCCCTTTTGTATACACGCCCCGTTGCCGCATAGACTGCATTCCTCTACATCGGCGGTAGTTAGTGCTAGGGGGGTTGTGTGGGTGAGGATTTGGATGGCTTGTTTAGACATTGAGGGATTTAGAGGGGGTGGGGACTGGATGGGAAGGCCCATTAGCGCGGAATGAGAGTTTGTTGTCTTATTATCCATCTCCACATCTGTGTTCAGGAGGGGAGGTTTAGCCTCGCACCCCTTCTGTAGAAAAACCGGAGACGCGGGTACTGAGTTGAGCAGCGGCTCGGTATCTGAGGTGTGGCTGTCGTACCTATGAACAGGACGAACGGTGAAACGGCGGTTGTTCATCGATGTGTTTAAATCCAGACTCTAGGTCCACGGGATTACAGTGTTCGTGCAGGCGAGTCTTGGGAGTGCGTGCGGGGAGTGCCTGGGCATTTCTGTTCTAGGCATGAGGGGTGTGTCTTTGTGAGAGGATAGTATGTACGGCATATTAGGAATTATCGTCCAGTCGCTGGAGGAAAGGGTGGAAGATGGGCTGTTGTGCCTGCACAATGGTTTACTTTCTATGTATCAATCAGTACCGCTCTCCAAGCACCCATTCCAACCTCGAGTTTTCCTAGCTTGGGATGCTTTTAGTTAGCATTAAATTGTGCCCAAAAGATCCCCAGACCAGACATGATCAGGAGGACAACGAGTACTATTACCTCACACCTGGCAGCCATGAACTGGTTGCAGCTGGGCAGTCTGTTTTGCACACACGAGCAACAACTTCTATTCCAGAGAAGCCATCAACGGCGACCCCAAACCCTGGTGGGAAGTCGATACACGTATCTTCCTGGTATACCCACAACGATCACGAGTTTTATAGTATTTAACCTAGACACACGCCAAGAAGACGTCCGTTTCGAACTCCCATTGGCAACTCACCAGCAGGAAGTACTCCGGCAATTGCATGGTATGATGAACAGCAGCCTGACAATCTGGAGTGTTGACGTAGAGTTTGGAACCCTAAAGGGGGCCTTGCCTGTCCCGTATATAGTGTCCGTAGTCGACGCCCAAACAGAGGAGACAATTCGGTCCACTACTGTCAACTACGAGGGCATAACTCTGGATCGGATGGAGCACATAATTGCAGAATATTTATCGCCAGATCCACCGTATTGTTTCGGAACAAAGGCATATTTTGCAAGATTTTATCCAGGCGACACTACGTCAGGACTAAGTTTACCAGAGATTAGACACAGACTCCGTGCAGCTAGGCTTACACCAGATACACACAGAGTGTTGTCGTAGTACTCTATATTCAACATTATCATGTTTAACAAGACGCTGCTAGGCAGAGACCAGGCTATCATCACTAGATACACCTACCAACTCAAGAGTCTATGTGATAAGAATAGGCAAGAGTCGCTCCAACCAGTCAATCTAGCGGCGCTTCTTATGGTGTGCTCAACGTTTGCACTCGCGTCGTTGGGATACGTCTACCGGTCACTTATCCCAGACCAGCCGCTTACTCCTCATATCTCAGACGACGACGCAATCGCTCTTTCCCGAATACTCCTTATCTTTGTGGCAGCTCTGGCAGAGGCTGTTAGGCAAAGATGGGGGCATACGTAGACTTGTACCATACTATCACAGCGTTGAGACTGTTTTCTAGTTGACTCTGCACTGGGACGTAATGACTTGACTCTCTCGCTTTCTCTCACGCCATCACGTCCTCAACACACTCACCACCCTGAATCCATCCACCGCTCCATCCACCGCTCCATACTCTCGCCCTCACTCGCGGCTGCTTGGGCCAAAAGAGCAATGGCAAGACGGCACAGTGGCCAGGTTCTATCGAACCTTCGCTGATTTCGCAGCGACGCAGCGTATCACACTGGTAGCAGGGCGGCACAGTGGCCAGGCTCTATCGAACCTTCGCTGATTTCGCAGCGACGCGGCGTGTCACACCGGTAAGGAAGAGAAGTATGGGCATGGACAGATTATGAATGCGCGTCACTAGGGCTTACCCGGAACAATTTTGACAATGGAGCAGGAGCGGCAGGACATGCTTGCCATCGTGGCTTCCCAACTCACCTGCCTCACCTGCCTCACCTGTCTCACCCACGTCATCTACGTCACTTGAAATTTGCCGTCTAGTTTTGCACCACCTTCGTCAGCTCATACACTCCACCTACATCACCTTCGTCAGCTCATACACTCCACCTACATCACTTCACCTAATCAGTAGTCTTCGATTCTGCCCTCTCCGCCGGCTCGCTCACCTGCCCGCCCGCCCGTCTCTCCACCTGTTCACGACTGCATTCCCGTTCTCGTTCCTACCCAACAGTCAAGCCGTCTCAGCAACGATGGCTGATGACCGTGCGGCCGCACGAGCGAGATGTAAGAGTCTTATGCCTTCACCTATCCCTTACCCGCTCCCATCTCGCAAGCACACACTTGCTCTCTCTTACCCACGGAGTCAACAATCTACTTGACGTTGGATTTGCTAACGATCATACCCAGGTCTCAATCGCACTATCAACAGTATCAAAACCCATTTGAATCTAACCGGCGGTACATATGACAAGCCTGCCGATATCAAACGTGCAATTTTGCAGCAATTGAACGCATTGTCAGAGGACGTCAACCACCCATTTGAATGGCCAAAGAACGCCCCTTTCAAACTTACGCCACCAAAGCAGGAATCGGCGTTTTCTGTGGCCATAGACCTGATTGCAGATGAGACTCTATCAGTTCGATCACAACCCAGACCGGTCGCGCCAACACCGCCTGTCAACCCAAACACGAACACGAACAAGACGCCGATCACCGCACCGACTCCGCGTGTAACTTTTCCCTCCTCCACCACACCAGCTGTGCCTGTCGTCGCTTCCACGACGCAGCCCAGAAAGTTTGGCCATGTCGGGCCACATACACGCATGACGCCCGCCATGAAAGACCAGCTGACTGGGAACAAAGGATGCTGGTATTGCCGTCAGGTTACCGACCCTCCGCACATGGCATCGAATTGCCCAAAGAAGCCCCAATCCGCCAACGCTTCCACTCAAGCTACCACCCAGCGAGCAAAGAACTCTCGCCAGATCACACATGAAGAAGAGGACGAAGACTACGGCCCGATGCCTAGTATTGAGGAACTGGATGCAGCCGAGCAGTCTGTCTTGCGGCAAGAGGATGATGTCACGAGGATATCCCGCACGATACGACAGAGGCCAAGGGTACATGAAGATGAAGACGAACACAACTCCGACAACGAGGTACTGCCGCCGCCACCAAGGAAGAAAGCAAAGAATGCGGCTTCATCATCATCAACTTCATCATCATCAACTTCATCATCATCAACTTCATCAACAACTACCCCCGGGCTTGACAACATCGGCAACGCAAACCAAGCGATGATGGCTGGTATTCACAACGCAACCTTTCAAGTAACTGAGAATTGGGTCCATATGAAGTACGACGACATCACGCTCACTTACAACGTATTCTCGGGCTGTGTTTATTTGCGACCATTTCTTAGTGTTTTGTTCGGTAGCAATGATACCCGGAATCGAGCTAGGTCCTTATTGAATGCAACACCTCATTCGCCTTCAGAATTATGGAGAGCGACGCCGAATGGCTGGATATGTAAGTTAAATTATCTCATCGGCTTATTCCATGATATGGATACTAATTTAATCAGCTGTCACTTTCCCCTTACTTGCCCGTATTGTCAATCACAACGTCAAGGCGCAATTTCCTGCTCAGGTCTTAGCTGCTCTATAAGACGTTAATTCTCCAGAGCGTGCATCCCTCGGTGGAATGCAATGTTCGTGTGACTTGGCAATATGGGCTTGTATAGCCAATCGGGTTCACATCCTAGGACTGACTTAAGATGTGACGAGCGAGAGGGCCAGAAAGTAAGTCAGAAGATGTTTATATTTGCCTGTTGACACCGCTAACTATTGCAGGTTCTGGGAAACTCTCCATCCCCGCCGATGTTGCTCAACGCATCGCCAACGTACACGGGTTTGGTGAGATTGTCCAGTACTTGGTCTCACTTAGCGACGAGTACTCAGTAGAACGCATGCAGCTGGCGAGTGTCAGATGTGGCACACGCAGCCAGAAACTATGCCTTATCAGCACAAAAGGAACACATACTAAGACACTCCACCACCTCAACAGACACCGAAGAGAAACTCCTATGGGTGGTATGGCTGCAAGTGGATTCTTTGGTGGTCTGTGTAGACCTTACTATCTTGTGTTTGAGTCGTCTGTAGCCTATAGTCGTTATGTTTACAATTGTCCATGCGGAGGAGAGCGGAACCTTACGCAAGATAGTCCTGTATGCCGACGATTTATATTATGTATACACAAGCTTCGCGTTATACCAAGATAGTGTCTAATCTTAGCAGTAGACAAAACGTAGATGCAAACGTAAACTGTACCTGTTTAACTTCACACTGCTATCTTGTGAATTTGAAGCACAACTGCCGAGTTGCACTTTGCGATTCTAATACCTGACTAGTCTAGAATAAAACTTGCTTTCTAAATAACGCTCCAGTCAACACTCTTTCTGAAGTACTCAGCCTCGAATTCTCGGCTAGCGATGTCACTGAATAGCGATATTTTCTAATAAGTGATCACGATAGCAAACTGCTGGACATTTGCATGCTTATTCTGGTACTTTTCGCTTCTAAATGCTAGATAGACGATGGCTACGGGGAAGAACACTGGTTCCACGAGCAAGTGCGAGACTCCCCATCATCAGATCTGCCGACTGAACTGTCACAACCGTTTCAGAATGACGTAAAACATTGGGTGGAGATTCATGTTAATGGGCGAGAATCTAGTCATTGTACAGTCTACATTAGTTGGCTCCTACTGGAACAGCGTAAAATGTTATACCATAGTCTGTCTGTCTTGAAAGTGCAATGGTTCGTCGTGTGATTGTCTCGCTATTTACTACGTTACTTGATAGGCCGGCGGGGGTGAAACTGGCTTCGTCCGATCCTCAGTTCGTTGTTTGTGTGCAACGGATCTTCGTCAGTGATGCTACATATATGCACGAGGAGAAGGGAGCTGCTGGGGATGAGGTGTCTACAGATGTGCTGCTGCTGTTGGAGAATCTCAGCCGCATAAGTGGGATGATCATGTGAATCTTCACTGAAAGGGGGGGATATGTGGAGTCGGGGCTCGCAAAGCTGCATGTGCTACTCAACAACTCAACAAAACGACCCGGAATTCTGCGACGGCGGATGTTTCTCGGTAACCTGGTGACCATGCACAAGGGGCAGACTTGAAACATTGAAGCCTGCCTGTTCTGCGAAGAAGAAACTACACGAACTCTTTGGTATTGATGACACTGGTCAAGAGTCGTGTGTTCAAAAGACCAAAGAGTCCAGTTTCGGAGCCACTGTGTTTGTAGACGATATAGTTATTGACTAGGACCGAATGAGGTGAACTCATAGGACGTTTTGGCTTGGTGTTCACAATAATATAGTCAGTGGCGATGTTCATACTACTCCAAGATATGAAAAGATTGTCAGAGTCATAACGGAAGTCGCGAAGGGTTCAGCCTCAAGAAATATACCCATGTCTCAAAATATGTGGGCAGGCCTAGAACTAGCTTACACTGATTCGCTTTTGCAGGCAGAATTGCTTGGAGGCGTGCGGTTGTCATCAAACACTGCTACTGCCGCTTGCGTGAAAGAACACTCAGTGTCTTGCAGATGTTATGCCATGTGCTCCATCGGTCGCATTGTACTAAGACAAGACAATGAGCCTCAATCCGGCATTCAAAAAAATGAAACACTGCAGCGTGATGTTTCTTTTGAGCTTGCCGACTTATGCGTAGCTTGGGCGAGTACTCCTACTATTGAACAGGACCATACCATTAAGATCCGAGCTGCACGTGGATCATTCATGCAGTCATCAGCCAGCGCATCTTCCAACGAAATCGTTTCGCAGCATCTCGCCATATCTCTTCCATGCTATGTGTCATATCGTTGGTCAATCTCACATGGTGAGTTTTCTAGACCACAGTCGGCCTTCTCACAACCTTTCTTTGTTCGCTGCTGGACCGAGGACCGCGCTTCCCAACAACCCTTGCAAATCGGATTTCTACTTTTGAGGCGCAGTCAGTCCCTCTCCCTCGCACTGACGCCCGAGTCACCATGCCAAGTAGCAATTGCGACCTCACTCGGCCGCCCGCCCTCATAGGGGTCGCGCACAAGCAGTGTCAGAACCAGCGCACAGACTGATACAGCACGAATTCGCCACATGCTGGATCGCAAGCAGGAACCAGCTCGAAAACCTCATTTCCGTCCCTTTGCCCCAAGATGAAGACAAGACAAAGGCGCTCCAACGCAACTCTAGCATCGACAATCTGGACTTGAGGGCGTAGTACGTAACCCAAACACACGGTTAAGCGCCCGTCAAACCGTTATCCCAGTGCACTTACCCCTGTCTATACCCCTGCCCCGCGGCATGATTGGCTGAGCTAAGAGCGGGAGGGTACACAGTATTGGGACGCATCTCGACTCACCAATCACGTCGGCGAGGAGGGTGTAGGCGTAGGGCGCAGTTCTGAGTAGCCAATGCGCCTAGAGGTAGGATCGAGCCGAGGCAGAGAATCTGTGGTGCTTGTGTGAGGAGGAAGCGCCGAATGACCAGGATGCAGAGCTTATCGATATTTTGCAGTGGCGTTGTGTGCGTGCATGCGGCGAGGGTCATGGGCACACATTGGTATTGAAGAATTGAATTTGTTATCGTATCCTCAGTTGTCTGCTCCCCCTTCGACATGATGTGGCAGGGATTATTCAATCCAACCTGCAAAGAAGCTCGTTCTGTTGAGCGTTTTGTACTGCCCTGCAAATGCTTCTGCATTCCAGCCTCTGTGACGATATACATTCAAATCCAGACATGTCTCTTGACATACAAAGGGCTTTCTCACACCCCAGCCAATCCATAGAACACCATAAGCGCCGGCGCACCAAGAGGTATCCGCATAGAAATAAAACCGCCCAACACCCAACAAGTTTTCCGCACCAAGTAGTGGTGTAAACCAGGTCGTGAGAGAACAGTAGCAGTTCCTCTAGTAATGAAGTAGACATAAAAAATCGTGATGGAGCATGCCCGACAAAAGGCTGCGACGAAACGAAAAGAACAGTGAGATAGGCGAAGAAGATAATTGTTGCGATCGAGTCGCCTGGACCCGAGAATTACGTTCAAAAAATCGGGTAATTTATAAGGAGGCCGTGAGATTGGATAACGCGCAGCGCGGCGTTGGTGGTAGATTGGAGCGGCAGAGCGGTAAAGGTAGGCGGTGTGACTGAGACGCATAGGCATCCAAGGGAAAGAAGCAAGGTATTAGGCGGGCAGTTGTGTAGCCACTGTTTGCTCGAGGTTTGGTACCAGGATAAACAAATTGCAAGACAAAACACTGATTACTCGATCTTTCTCCTCTTCCCACGTGGTGCGGGGTCGATTTGCGGGAAATGTGGCGCCTTCTTGTCAACGGGTGTACTACTATATGTCACTGTCCGAGTGACAACTTTGCGTACGCTAACACTCCTCGCCCGACCGGTCTTCTGCTCCGCTTCCCAGGTCTTTGGCGATGCGGCGGAGAAGGGTGAGTTGAGAGCTTTTGCGCTGCCTGGTGACTGGACTTGCACTGCCGGCGAGTACGGCGACGGGGGGATGTAGAGACGTGGTGTGCGCGCTGACTGTGGCCGTGTGAATGGTGATGGTGGTGGGATAGTGACCGTTTGGACCTTGGTAGGAGGGGCAGACATTGGTGGCTCTTCTTTCGAGTGTTCGCATCGGCTACAGCTGCTTGATCTTGAAGTCGCCGGCGATTCTTTCGGCGAACTTTTCTCAGCTGGAGCGCACGTCGATGTGAAGGAAGCACTGGATGTTGATGATGTTACGGATGTTGGTCGATTTCCTTCGAAGACAAATTTCGAATTGGTGCTAGCAGACATAGGGCTCATGAGAATGGGCGAGAAAGTCTTCAGGAAATCTAGATACGCGGATGGAGGGGTAATGGGCGTTTTGAGATCCATGTCTTCCCGCTTGATGTTGGCAAAGATTGGTGTCGTTGCAGAGTGGACCATTGGCGACCTGAGTTCTGATGGGTAGGTGGCAGACAGAGGTGTCTTGAGTGTCGACACGGTCAACTTCGAATGTGTGGTAACCATGGTGGTGGACGATGCTGTGCTCTGAACGAAAGGTCGGGCTTCTTGACTATAGTTCTGCGAACGAGAGTGGGCTGCGCTGTACCGACTTCCACAGATGAAGTGGAGAGGGTGAAGAGAGAGCGAGGCAGGCGGACAGGTACTTTTGGCGCCGGGGAGGTGTGTATGTTTATTGCGCTTCGACGCTAGCTGGACGCGTGCGCTGTTGTTGTTGGCCGCTCGATGGGTCGTGGACGATGCCTCTGCTAAAAATATGCGGGCGCGTAACAAGGTCCCCAAATGCCACTGAGTGTCAGAGCGGGGCCTGCTAGTGGGGAGTTGAAGCTCCGCTGGGCTGGTTACAATAGCCGCCGCAGCTAAGACGTCGAGGCGCCCAAGCTTTAAATGAACCCCGTAATTGGTCGAACGTCAATGAAGCAAACGTGTGATCTGACTGCGGCCCCTGCAGGTCTGGAGAAATGAGGTTACTGTGTCCTGATTCGCGGGAGCTGTCCGGCTGTTGTAAGTTCGGATTCGCGGGTAGCATCCGGATGCGTGGCAATCACGCTCTTGAGATGAACTGGAGAACGTTTTGAATGTGAGAAAAGGAATCTGAAACAAGCCGTTCAGACACTGGCGTCGAAAAGTAAAGTAGTAACAAAGAACGTATGTTACTGCAAATAGAACAGAGTCGAGGACGCTGGTGCAAGCAAGCGGTGCATCTGATCTCGTGGGAACATTAGTTCAATTTATGTCTTGCTCGCAGCCGCTGTACATTTCTCTATGCTGCTTGAACAAGTCGCGCGCTTCCATTTGCTACAGTCCCCACGCCACCAGATCACTGAAGAGCCAGCCGTTTAACTGCTCTAAGAGCCATCTCTGGTTCGTCATTGAGCGCGCGCCTCCCAACGCCAGCGTCTCGACCCCAGCAAGACAGACTGTGTGCAAGCCGCGCGGAAAGTGGCTGCTCAAACGACACTCACAGGTTGAAGTAGTTCTGGGGTCTCGACATTGAAACTGCAATTGACGGCGCTTACCACATGATCATTCTCGTCCATTGTGCATCTGCCATACCTTGACTAGATGAGGCGTCTCAAAACTATTCACGCTGGGATCTGTATGGTTGAAATCTAGTTGTACAGCTGGCACCCGATAGGCCAATTGATGTCTTTCGCTGCATGGGAGATGAAGCCACGCGCGAAGACTTCCAGGTCTTCAATACTATGATTTGAAGCATACTGTGCATCCTTGCAAAGAGAAAGGTGAACAAACGAATTGAGTTTTGCCACGATAATACAACATGGCCAAAGCTAAGGCACGTTCAACCCACAAGGGCATGCAGCTGGCCGTCTTGGTGAACCTCGTCTTCACAAAACGCACGTACTGGATCTCCGACCATGATAGTAGGATTCTGTACCAAAAGAGAAGATGAGTCACCAGATGGGAGGTGACAGGTATGCTCTCCAAAATAGACTCGACCGTCGAACCGTCGTGTTTTAGACAGTGTAACAAACGGTTCTTGATTTCGTTCGGCGGTTTGCTGATCGATGCATACCATCTGGCATCTACGGCATGGTCCAAGCATCTCAAAGTATTGCTGGCCAATTTGAAGGTAGCGCCAATTGTCTTCCGCGTATGGTTCTTCGAGACCAGGCGGGTAGTCCGGGTTCTCCGCGACCACTATGTTGGCGCGAAACACCTCTGCTTGCGCTGCTTTACCGCCATCCGCTTTGATCAACTCGTTAAGGCGGTTGAGGCTTGATCGTGAAATGGTTAGAATAGGACTCTCATTGGACAATAAAAGTGTTTTCGAGGTGCATGCGCCGGGCGTTATCGGTACCACGTCCGGGAAAGCGCCAGGTATGTGCATTCTGCGAGCCTTTTGATACTTTTGCAAGTGTGCTTTTGAGTGTCGTGGGTCAGAGCCACTTCCGTTCCCAGCGGCGGGAAAACGTGCAAGATGACAGGCCACCCCCAAGGCCTGTGTGAAGAAGGCTGATACCTCGTTCGACTTGTATATCTTCGCTATGATCGTATCTCCACATACTTTTGCGTTAGCATCTTTGTACATCGCTTCGTCTGCAAACAATCGTGGATCTGCTGAGAGGGGTACGGTGATCGCATGCAGAATCGTCTTATCTCGCAGAGCGCCACCCACTTCTATGTGTAGCAGTCCTTCCTCCAGGTCGATTCTCGGACGAATGAGAGCCATTTTGGGGTAGCGCTTTTGACTCAACGCTGCTCCCGTGCCTTGATGCACTAAACACCACTCTCGGTCCCATGCGAGTCCTTCTGGTCGCACGTCCCAAGTTCTACCAAGCGGCACACTGAACCCTGAACAGCTCTTTATAGGATAGACAGTCAATCTCTCTACATGTAAACGACTTGGTGATGGTGACTGCAGTTGTACAGATAGCGCCGGCGATGGAGCCGTCGGTAGAATTCTTTGAACAAAGAACTCGCGCGTGAACGCAACAAACGTCTCCACATCTGCCAATGAACTCATTGCTCCAAGACTGACGCGTATCATACCGGTCGGCTTTGCACGGATGATATCGTTATCATTGCCGCATCGTTGGCCGGCAGAAAAGTTGTCGCGCATCTCCCAGGGCGCCAAGCCAAGGGAAGAGGCGACACCGCCAGGATTGCAGAGCCCGCCAGTCCGGATGTGGAAGTTCTTGATCGCAGCCAGTTTTTCCACTTCTGCATTGCTAACCCAACCCCCAGATTCGTTTCGAAGGTTGAATGCGACGATCGGTCCCTGTGTAGCCAGTTCTCCATACGTAGACGCCGGATCCTTATACACCTGGCAAACGCGTTCGCCGTTTCCATGTCGCAGCGCCGATAGTCCCTCGTAGAGTTTCTTTGCCAGGAAGCCGGTGTGCTTCGATACGTGTTCCAAGGAACTATACAGTTCTCGATGCACAGTCATAGCAGAGTCGAGCGCCATAATGCTATGTATCGGCAGAGTACCGTCTTCCAAGCTCTCGTGGAGCGACTCTGTCTTCTTTGCATGCCATTGCTCTTTCAGACAAACTACCATTTCCACCGTGCCGCCGCCGAAATAGCGGCGTCGATCGAATACGGATGCTGATGCGTGTCTGACTATCAAAGCGCCAAGGTCAGGAAAGCCAAACATCTTATAGAGGCTTAAAACGGTGAAGTCGGGGGCATATTCAACATTGCTGAGATCGAGCGGTGAGGTTGAAACCAGGGCTGCGGCGTCCAGTAGTGTATATACACTGCCCCTCTTGCCCGTACGTATACGGCGTGACCATTCCAGCGGCAGGCGACGCCCGTTCATGTTCGACTGCGCAGGATAGGCGAACAGCCTCGTCCGTCCGACCTCACTATCCTCTCGTTCAATCCAGTCCTCAACTTCTGCGTCCGATGCGAAGCACTGATGTTCCATCGCAGCCTCTCGTACACCTATCAGACTCGTATGCGCATCCCGATGGTAGCCATACCAAAACCCATCTTCTTGGTCCCGCAACGCATCCAAGACCAACTTGATACCCGCAGTGGCGTTGGCGACGAACACCACGTCGAACTCCTGTGGGTCCGCGTTGAATAATTCCAAGACCCGTAATCGAACGTCTTCAATGCGCCGTGTCGTCAACTGGGAGGCGTTCGAGGCAGAATGGGGGTTGCCGTACAAGTTCGAGATCATGTCGGTGGAGAAGCGCTCGATCAACGATTTCGCGTAGAGAGTAGTCCCAGCATGGTCGAGGTAGGTTGTACCTTGTTTAGATTAGTGCCTGTTCTCTAAGTACCCGGTAGGTGCATACCTTGCAGCATAGGGTATTCCCTAGTACGAAGCTCCTCGATTGCATTGTTGTAGCTGACACAGGCCGCTTCCTCCATGACGTGTGATATGGAAGTGCGCGAAGTACGATCATCCGTATTCATCGAGGGGAGGAGGAGAGGCGAAAGGTTTCTGAACGAAAACCATCTGGTTCTAAGCGTGTAGCTGGCGAGAGTGGGGGATGGCAAATGATGGTCGTGACTTGATACCGCGGTTATCTCCGCCTCCCGATATGTGACAGAGCCACTAGAGGATGGACCCCACAATTGACTCGTGCAACAACTTCCGCCTTAGTCTGTCGAAAGAATTTAGACGTCACCCAAAACCTATCATCAGTACAGCATAGCTTTTTGACCAATGAAAAAACGTTTCGAGCATGTCCTCTACAAAGCAAGATATTTAGCCAGAAAACCATAATTCCTGACTTGTATCACACTATTTTCAAGATATGTTGTTGTATCCTTCGCTAGCATTGCGAAGATCAACTTCTAGTCTATATCTACCAAACGTTGTACCCTCTACCTGAGTTGACCTGTTCGCCTGTCCTACATAGCCCAGGTGCTGGCAACAAACTCCGTCAGACGCGCTACCTCATCCTGAGTACCTACACGCCGCAGAAGCATTGCTGCGATCATTTAATCCAGCTAAATAAGTTAGCATCTGCACCTCAAAAACCAGGTGTAAGGTCAAAATTCCACTCACAGCAGCCCACGTCTCCAAAGCCACGAAAATTTGTCCCGACAGTGCAGTTGACAGCTGGAGTCAAGCCAGCGAAGTGAATGAATATGTATGACCAACGTAAATGCGGTGTTGACCATGCTCAGTAATACTGTAAATCAGGGCCTTATCACAAACTTGTTCCCTCAGGAGTATCGAGCAGATCGTTGCAGGCTCGGTGTCGATTCATGAGAAACTGGGGTCGACGTGGTCGTCATATCGACCGAGGATAAGTGTTCAACGAACCATAGAGTTCGAAGTCGTAAACTAGGCTTGAATCCATAGAACAGTGTTTATTCAGAACTATAAGAGAAAACGAACATGCCGAGCCTTCTACACAACAGAAACCTGATGAAGAGCCAAGAAAAGTTGATATACCATTCACTCGTGTATACCCAGTAGAGAATCTAGTTCACCCACAAAACCGCCAATTTAACCGACTGGCAAGTTTGGGTCCCAGTTGTCCCAGTTCTCCAAAAACTCATCCATATTCCAATCGTTTTGCCCTGAAACAGAGCCAGGTTGTGAATTTCGAGCACCCTGTCCAGCTGCAGTATGAGTGTGGTGATACAGGTGTTCCACGAATCGTTTTGATGCCATTTGTCCTTGCTTCTCCGCGAAATGGAGCGCCCGGAGATATTGAGTATCACGACCTGGGTCTTGAAGAATTGAGTTATCCGACATCAAGTCGTTATGATCTGTAACGGTTGTCTCCTCACCAACGACGAGATCAAGATCAACACCCCACTTGACTAGAAGGCACAACATATCCACGCGACCCCATTCAGAAGCTGCTTCGAATGCGGTTCTTCCTGCCCCTTTTGCGGGCGGAAAGTTGACGTTAGCACCTCGCTCGAGCAAAAGCGTCGCGATACCGACGTAGCCTCCCATTGCGGCTAACTGTAAGGGAGTGCCACCAGAGTAGAACGGGATACTGTCGACAGGGGCTCCGCATTTGAGGAGATATCCCACAATCTCAAAACTGCCTATCTCTGCTGCCCTCTGCAGTGGCGTTCGCAGGAGCCCTTGTTTAGGTGGATAGTCGATTTCCGCCCCACTCTTGATCAATGTCTCGACAATAGACATGTCTTGCATGTCTTGCATGTCTTGCATGTTTTGCACTTCTCGCATGTCTAGTATGTCTTGCATGTCTCGCATGTCTCGCATGTCTCGCATGTCTATAGCAGCCAATAGAGGAGTCAGTCGCTTCAGAACAGTTCTGTCAGCATCCCATGCACCGTACTCGAATTGGATTCCGTCGTGGGCCACTAGGGCGTTTGGACTAACGCCTTTGCTGAGGATTATCTCGATTGCTTCGAGGTCGTTTTCTTGTATCGCCTCACCCAAAGGGCTTATACACACTTCTTCGTTTTCCCCAGGATCAGGATACAGATACTCCATCTTTTCAACATCCACTTTGTCTGCCAACAGTTGTAGCAGAATATAATTCTGTTGGCGTATGGCGCATCGGAGCGCAGCTGACCCGTAGCTTCCTGTTCTACGATAGCTTCGAATCTCTGACCACTCTAGGAGCATGTTGATGGTAGCGATATCCAATCGATCTTTGACTGCATGCATCAAAGTAATTGAGTCTCTATTCTCAGCTCCTTCGGCCAACAGAAACCGGATTATCGACGTTTTGTTTTGCTTTGCTGCAAGATAGAGCAGGGAAGGTAGTTTACCATAGTCTGTAGTTTTATCGAAGATGAATCCACCTCCTTCTCCAAAACTGACTCCAACACACGGGGAAAATTTGAGAAAAGTCCCAAATCCATCACCACATCTTCTGTACCAGATTTCATCCATGTGCAATCCAGTGTCAACCAACCATTTCAATAGATTTGTATCGTTGGTCTGAATTGCGTGGTAAGACAGCGCACGCAGTGCCATCTGAATACTTTCAGTTGAGTTGACATAGAATTTTCCTGGAAAGATTGGGTCTGGGTCGAGTATCTGCATTCGAAACAGCAAGTCGTCTAACATGATGTAGTTTCCCTGGATACGTGCCGCTTGCAATGCCTTGTTCCATCTCAAGTCAGACTCAAGTAAGGTACTCATTGCAAGTGTTCTGCAGTGCTGCAACAGCGTAGGGATTCCATCATATTCCCAAGATACATGAAGAGGGGCTTGCATGATCGCAAGCGCAATCATGTCGTGACCAAAGCGCGCGGCTTGATCCAATATAGGTCTCCAAGATTCTAATGAAAATCGCTGTAGGTCTTCTCCGCACTTCAATTGTTTTTCGACATACGCCAGATTATCTTCAGAAACTGCTTTTTGAAGTCCTTTGATATCAATCGCTCTGGGTTTTACGCGCCGATCCTTCTGTGGGACAAAACGCTTTTGAGGCTCTTTGTCAGCAGATTTCTCTGCTGAGGCCCAGTCACCCTTGGAACAACCCTCTAAAATGAGTTGGCTCACAGCATGATCATATCCAGGGACCGTAAGTGAAATACTCGAGCTTGAGCAGGTTTCAAAGACTAATTGGGATGCCCATGTAAGACCAAGCCGGAGGGTAGCCAAGAAGGCATGGGATAATTCGCGCTCAATTTCGGGGTCATTTTTCGGAAGCAGATGACCTTTCTCGAGCAAACAGTATGTGAGGATATTACTCAACAATGGTACATAGGCTTCTTTTTCTTTTTCTTTCGAGAAGATTTTGTACCAGTCGAAGCACTGAGTAAGAAGACCAGCTTGAAGCCACCCCTGTATGCCTCCTTGCCCGTTCTCAAGAATGAGTCTTGTCAGACTAGGATCGTCCAGGCATCTTCGGAAACACGCAACAATGGGTTTTGCGCCAGCGAGGAGAGGTATGATGAGAAGTTCCACCCATTCGGTATTCGTGATCCTATCGAACAACATCCGCCTGATCCGCTCAGCCGATTCGAGAAGCAATTTGAGTGCGGAGTCTGGGCTGGAAATCATTCCTAACTGGCAGATGTGAGAAATGATAGTTTTGGCAACTTCAACTTGGCCACGCCCCAACGCTCTTTCTAGGGGCTGAACTGGACCTTCATAGGCTGTAGGTATCATCTCGAAAGGATCCACTCCGAGGGTCAGCATGGATTGTACTGTAACTCCATCATCATCTTCAAGCGCTGCCGCGAAGATCCTCTCTCTTAAGACAGGCATGACAGGTTTTGGAAGAGCTGCAAAGAATTCGAGCAGGACAGGCTGGGGGATACTTCTTAGCCAGCTATGGATATTCTCAAGACTCGTCCTTCCCGTAAGCTCTGTGTTGTTCAAAAGAGCCGAAATTAAGTACTGTAGAATCACGAATTTAGAGCTGACAGTGTTTGTAACTGCATTCTGTGTCGGGTAGAACATAGCATTTAGTCGAGCCAGTCCAGCTTTGGATTGATTGATCAATTGATTGCTCGTTGCTGATGTGAGTTGTGGTAATCTTGTGAAGTCCAAGGTTTTTACCCATGCAAAGGGTTCATATTCCATTGGAAGGGTGCGAATTCCTGCACGCGGTATTCTCCAAGAGTGCTCGAACCTCGGTGGTGTGTGGATGAGACTGGAGTTGATGTCCGTGGAAGGTAGCCGTGGAGACTGAACAAGCGAATTGCACGTAGCGGGGGGCGTAGAGATCACTATGTCGTCGGGTAAGTCATGCTGTTGTCCTAAGTTCAGATTAGCATATAAAGAAGACTTTCATATGGACAATGTTACCTTCTGGTAGCTGGTTGCTAGTTTTCAATGCGGACCCATAACGTGCTGTTTCTCTTTCAATCCTCTCGTCCGAGAGGACGATCCCATTGAACAGGATCTCGCTGTCTTTGCCCAGACGTCTTCGCTTTTCGACAATTCCGATCACCACAGGCCAATCCTTCCTCTTGAGATTCTTCCGGAATTTCCATTTCCTGAACTGATACTCGTACTGGGACTTGCTTCAATGGCATTAGTCTAAGAGCTGAAACATTCGTAGTTGGTGAAGTAGTATAGTTGCTTACCTGGCGAGGAAACGCTCCTGATTTTGCATAAAATCAATGACATATTGGAGTTCTTTGCCTTCTTGTACGTAGAGGCGCTCAAGCGTAGAACGATGGCTATCCCAGATCTGTTCGGAGATCTTTGTAGCTCTCGCGTCGTTGCTCATCTTGGAAGGCGGTTCTGGAAAGTGGCATCAAAAGAGTGCTGGATGTTGTTGTCTGACGTGCAAAGATGTCCTGGGCGAAAGCTGAAGGATGTTGTGTCGACCAGGCTGAAGGCAAAGCCATCACGGCTTATTTAAGGTTTCGCGACGGCACAACCATGCTGTCATGCATGCCCTGCCAAACACAGCCGACCAAAACAGAATCTGAATTTACAGGGAATGTGTCATGCATACTCCCGGTGCTTCCTTGTCAAGAGAGACGGGCGACAAATCGTCCTTCACGGTTTCGCAGCTCCTGCAGCTAACAACGTCTCGACCAATCATGCAAAACCTGAAGCACCGCCAATCATACAAAACCGGAATTTAGTCACTCACCACGGTAGTACAAGCCCCCCTGAGGCTATGATGCATATGATGCATACCGGTATGATGCATTCTAGCAAAAGCAGAATTGTCAGAACCCGAATTACCACAATCTGAATCCGCAGAATCCGAATTTGCACAATATGAATTTGAAGACCCATAAGAAGAATGGCCCATTGCAAAAACTATCAGCCAGACACTCAGTGCACCATTCCAAATCACCATTCAATATACAACAAGCAGCGACTCGTCCCATAAAGTCACACCCACAATGCCCTCCTCCATGTCAACCGAAGCCATCATCGCGCTCGTCACATTATTCACCACCTTCCTTCCTTCCGGAGTGCTCCTCTGGCAGATCGTTGGGCAGAAGCGCCGCGCCCAACGCCTTACTCAAGGTAGGCTCTCTGCAAATCGAACGCGGCTACGTTTTTGTACCAACCGTTTTGTGACAGATATCGAAGTCGGCGTCCCTCCTCTCCCTCATCATCAGCACCAGTATCAGCACCAACGTCGTCCACAACACTACGTCCTTGCTCGTGTCGACACCATCGTACACATGCAGGCAGTTTTCCTCTGCAGATAGGTTGGGACCAGCATTGGACGGAAAACGGGCTCGCTTGTGGTGTTGGTGTTCTGAACAGATCTTCTTGAGCGGGAAAGCATAGAAGGCGGCGTGAACTGGGCAGTTAATGTTCTTCTAATTGATACCATTGTACTCGAGCCTTTTGACTACTATTACAAGTCACAACCCTGCTTCCTCAACAACAGCCTGTGTACGATGCTGTGCCTAGAACACGTCCTGGAGGCATACATTAACCTCAATGTTTAACATGGAACTGGGGGATTCTGGCGCCCAGCCCTAGCTTGAGGCTTATCATGACGTGAAAGTGATTCAAGTCCTTACGAACAATAGAACATGTGTTTCTTTGAGATGTTTGATGGAGGGAGACAGTAGACCATCCCCTATTTTACCGTGCTTGAGCTGGGTATGAAATGGAAATCGAGAATGTCTTGATTTCTTCATGGATATTTGTCTAGGATGAGAATTGGAGAAATACAAAGACAATCATAGACCTCACTTCAGTATGAATCGCCAAACGAAAAGGTCGCGGATGAAGAGGCTTTGTCGGGTGTGGAGATTTCAGAACTGCATCTGAGTACTGTCAACATTCAGTCAGCAAACACGTCACAAGCAGTCAACAACAAGCTAAGAAGATCACACAATGGTTGAGCGGAACATCACCCAAGTGAAGCCTCCATTGTATTGTGATCGAAGACCGGCTCGTTAGAGACACAGTCAAGCTCCATTGATAGGCCGCAAGTTCAATGCTTGCTATTTTGTTAAATACACTCCGGACTCCCAGGACCGAACCCCCCGAGACCGAATATGCTGGTTATCGTGCAGAATCTTCGTCTTCCCTCATCATCCGTCATCGTTGGCGCGCTTATCGGACAATTCCCTCGAATCGGTTCTTGTACCACTTGACGGTCTCGTTCTGGTTGACGCGGTGGGAGGCGCCGATCTTGCTCTGTGCCCGCCTGCGCTTGGCAACGCGCTCGCCGGGTCGGGTCATGCAGACGTAGAAGTCCATGCCGTAGATACTGCTCCCGTCAGTGTGTGCCTCGCTCCTGCCGTTCGATTGCCACCTACCCAATGCTAGGGTCGTACTTGATGCCCAAGTCGATGTGCTCGCTGATTCCGAAACCGAAGTTGCCGGACTCGCTGAAGTTGCGCTTGCGGAGCTCGTACTCCTTGACCTTGAGGCCACGCTCGAGAATCTCCTCGGCCTTGGGGCCACGGACGGTGACGTGCACGGAGATTTTCTCGTTCCTCCTGATACCGAAGGTACGGACGGTGTAGCGGGCCTTGGAGTAGACGGGTGTCTGACCGCTGAGCTGTTCGAGCACCTTGGCGGCACGGGTCAAGCGATCACCAGACTCGCCAACGGAGATGTTGAGGACGAGCTTCTGGATGCGGAGCTCCCGCATGGGGTTGGAGGCCTTGGAGTCGGACTGAACGCGGGATTAGCACTCGCATCGCGATTGACGGCTGCCCGGCGGTGCATACCATTGTGAATGCTGCGTAGTTAGTGGGCGGAGTGGATGGTCGATGTCGCTGGAGTCGGAGATTGAAGATGTTCGCGCTCTATTTCGACATGGCGAGCTAAGCGAGTGGGAAGCCAAGACCGGTGGTCCGAGCGCCGATGAACTTCGAGCTTTCGCAGCTCACCAGCGACCGCGTTCGATAGCTCCACCAGCACCCCACTACCTCACGACTGCAAGGGGCTCTTCTCAGCCATTCTCTGAACCCATTTCTCGAATCTCAAGTCGTCCTCGGACGCGAATTATTAGTCATGTCTGGCGCCGCAAACCGGCAGGGAAAGATGGTAAGTAACTCTGCCTAACAGCTCACGTCCTTGTCCTGAGAAGAGACGCGCATAGAAACTAACTGACGCGATTGTTGTAGCAAAATCTAGTAAGCGCTCCCACTCCCGCCTGCAATCGCATCGCACTCACAAGCTGCAGATCAACTACCGCATGAAGGTAACACTTCAAGATGGTAGGCAGATGGTTGGGCAGATGCTCGCTTTCGACAAGGTCAGTATCCCAGTGCCTTCTCCAAAACATATCTTAACACAAACAACAGCACATGAACCTTGTTCTCGCCGACACAGAAGAGTTCCGCCGTACTCGAAGAAGGGGCAAGGCTGCACCAGGCGCAACGCAAACAGTCACCGAGACGGAAGAACGACGCGCGATTGGACTCACCATCATTCGAGGCGCGCACGTCATCTCAGTGTCAGTCGACGGTCCGCCCCCAGCAGACCCCGCCGCGCGACTTGGAGGAACGACTGGCGGTCCCACGACTGCTGCGACACTGGCTGCTGGACCGGGTGTTGCGCGACCAGCTGGACGCGGCTTGCCTGTTGGCCTGACCGGACCTGCCCCTGGTGTTGGAGGCCCTGGCCCTGGATTTGGAGCAGGCTTCCCAGGCGCTCCAGGATTTGGAGGACCACCCCCAGGTTTTGGTGGACGGGGAGGACCTCCTGGTGGACCTCGTAAGAATTCCCAATCCAATATGAGAAACCTCTACTAACCCATTACAGCCGGCTTCCCTCCTGCTGGTGGACCTCCTGGCTTTGCTGGGCCCCCCGGTTTTGGTGGACCCCCTGGTTTCCAAGGACGTGGCGGACCCCCGGGCTTTGGTGGCCGATAGACGGTGGTGTAGACACGTCTTCCATAAAGCCTCTCGAGTCTTGCCTCGATTCACGCGAGATAGCAGACTGCAAGAGGATCAACATGTGCAGCCTACCACATACAAAGAAATGCCTAGTGACAACAGACGGAGATATTGGCCTGAGGAGATTTGTGTATCTGTGGGACCATCCAAATCAATATCACGTGCAGAGTCATCTACATACCTCGCCAGGATGAGCGATGAAGATCAAAGGCGCGCATTTTTGGGAACCAAATTAAGTGGCTTTAGCGCACCGAGCAATTGTTTAGCGACTGAGATTTTGAAACGAACTTGCAATCAATTCACAAGAACTATGGCCATCGAGTGTTTCCATGTAACCAATAAGTGGCTTTGCAATGACTGTTGCCCACAGATATGCAACACGTGATGTTCGTAAAGCGGATCGTGGAATCTCACTCCATCTCGGAGCGCCAAGCCTCACTCAACTTCAAGATTGCGGCTCCAAGCAACAACCGTGACAGCGACAGCCCACCACTCTACCCCTCACCCATACCTACCCGCCTCTTCAGGCTAATTCTGTCGCCATGGCCGCCGCGATCAAAGCTCTCAATGCGAAGATTCGCTCCAACAAGTACACAGATTACTTCTGCTCGACCCGTACGTGTTTGCTCTGCATGCGACAAGTCCATTCCAGATCGATGTGCGGCGAGATCACATGAGGAGGAAGAATTGCCTCGGGAGATGATAGGGAGAAGGAAACCGCTGGAAGACGAGCAACAGCTAATTCTGCGTAGATTTCTGGGGCCCGGCGAGTAACTTTGGTATCCCCATTGCCGCGATAGCAGACATGAGCAAGGACCCTGAAATGTATATACCCCCCACCAATCCTTCCTTCCACACATACTTCACCTCCCCCATAATCACCACCCCGCAATCCTTTCTCCTTCTAACGTTCTACAGTATCTCCGGCCGCATGACCGGCGCCCTCACCCTCTACTCCGCAACCTTCATGCGCTACGCCATGGCCGTCACGCCAGCCAACTACCTGCTCTTCGGATGCCACGCCATCAACTTCTCCAGCCAGCTCGTCCAGGGATACAGGTATCTGAACTACTGGAACTTTGGGGGTCGGGATGCGGCGGAGGCGGCGAAGGCGCAGGCGCTCACGGCGGGGAACAAGGTCGCGGGCGTGGCGGAACAGGTCAAGGATAAGGCCAAGGGCGTTGTGGGGAAGTAAGAATTTGCGAGAAGGCATTATGGAAGGAAGATAGAGGCGGTTGTTTGGGATGTATCTACCTTTTTTGCTGGGAGGTGTCCGATGTACTCTGGGTTCTGGACGGGGCTTTGGAGAGTGGTCGCCTGGATGTAGGAAGCTTGGTTGATATCACCGAAAATGCCATCGTCAATAGCAGAAGCGCTGCAATAGAATCATGCCAACAAGTCAAGCAAGCAGCATCGTCCTTCATTATTCAAAATCTTACAACAACACAGAATTATCCAAACCCCTCTCAACCTTCCCCCCTCACCCACAGCAAGCCCAATCCCCATATTCCTCACATCAAACTCGACCGCCCCCCAATCTCCGTCCCCCCCTGCCCACTCGGCAAATCGCCATCCCGCCCCTCCACAAACTCGCGATAAATGCCCTCCAACCGCCGTCTCTCCGTCGCAGAAATACTGCTCCTCGTGCTCCCCAGCGAGCTATCGATATGTTTCCACTGGATCTGAGGATCCTTCCTCTCCGCGCCATCTGCGTCGTCTTCCTCCTTGATCTCGCCGGCGTCGTCATTGTGCGCAGACGGTCGCTGGAGCAGTTTCTGTTTCTTGCGCAGCGTCTGCAGGGCGGCGATTTTGATAGCGATGTGTGCGCGCTCGGTGAGGTGTGCGGAGGTTTGTGCTGCAGAGAGTGCGGATGCGGAGGAGGAGGAAACGGACTGCGTGTCGGAGAGTTTGAAGTGTGTGAATTCCGGGATTGACTTGTCTGTTCCAGCGGAGCCGTTTGCGCCGCCGTCCCTCGCGTTGTCGATTTTGGTTGGGTCTGCGTCGCCGAGCACGTCGTGGATGGCTTCGAGCTGTGCGTTGTAGACGACGGCTTGGAGGTCGGCGCCTGAGTAGCCTGGTGTTCGGGCGGCGATTTCTCGCAGGTTCTCGCCTTGTGTGCCGGTCTCGAGGAGGCTGGGCGCGAGGTGCAGTTTTCGCGTTACGGCTTTGAGGATGTCGATGCGCTCTTCTAGGCCGGGCATGTCGCAGAGGAGACTCTTGTCGAGACGTCCGGGGCGGAGCAGAGCAGGGTCGATGAGGTCTGGTCGCGAGGTGGCAGCGAGGACGTAGACGCCACTTAGTCCTTCTGCGCCGTCCATCTGCGTGAGCAACTGATTGACGACGCGGTCTGTTACGCCGGTCGAGTCGTGGCCACGCTTCGGGGCGATGGAGTCGAATTCGTCGAAGAACAGAACGCAGGGTCGTGCTGCTTCTGCGCGCTCGAAGAGGTCGCGCACGCTCTTTTCGGACGCACCGATGTATTTGTTCAGGATCTCGGGGCCTTTGACGGAGATGAAGTTTAGTCCGCATTCTCCTGCTACGGCGGACGCGAGGAGCGTTTTTCCACAACCGGGGAAGCCGTAGAGCAGTAGACCGGACCGTAGTCGCAGGGGACATTGGGCGAATATGGGAGCGTAAGTTGTTGGATATTGAAGGGTTTCCAAGAGTGTTTGTCGTGTTGAGTGGAGACCGCCGATGGAGTCCCATTTGGTAGTTGAGGACTGCAAGGTCACGTTTCGAAGGGATGCAGGCGTGAACCCAGTCAACGCTTGAGTGAAGTCATCCCTAGTGAGCGAGACAGAGCTTGATGAGTCGGTGATAGAGCGGATGAGGGCTTCGTTGCGAGCACGGGAGGTGAGAAGGACAAGATCACCAGGCATGTAGCCGTCTGTCTGTCCTGCAAGATCAAGGAAGTCGATGGTTGGATCTACCACGAATCCGTAATCTTCTGAATCGCGGTCATGCTGCAGACTAGAAACACTGGCTTCGCTTCGATGAGATGTGCTTGGCCGGCTGTTTGCTGGTGATGGCGGGAAGGTATGGCCGTTCGTCTGTTCCGTCGGCTGCTTTTCGTCCTGCCGTGCGAGCATTTCAAGCACTTTCCGCCTGCCATCCTTGTTAGGCGCCTTCAAAGAGACAATCTCCCGGACTATATGACCACCAATGATCACGTTGTTAAGAGCTTCTTTGCCCTGTGCTGTAGCAAGGAGAACTACACCAGAGTCCATTGAGCAGTATTGCCTCACTATAGAGATGATGCTCTCGCTGACATGGCGGCTGCGACCGTTCTCGTTCCCTACCTGCAGCTCCGTTTCTACTGGACAGAGCTTGTCAAGGTCGTCTAGGATTACCACTGCATTTCCACCTGATCTAGCACCCCATGACGCAGACGCGAAAAGCCTGTTAAGTGTCTCCTTGATAGTCGCTACTCTCGTCTCGTCCGTCACGAGTTTGCGGCAGGGAAAGTAGATTGTGTTGAACATGAACTCTGTTCGAAGCTGGTGTGCGAGGAGCTTAGCGCAATTCGATTTGCCTGCTCCAAGTCCACCCGTGAGTAATACTGAGGAGTTGTGCGTGAGGTGTGAACGCAGTTGTTCGATGAGTGGGTCGATTCCGACCAGCTTTGGTGGAATTTCAGGTAACGGATCACCTGGTTGACCTCTAACCCAGCTTGAGGGCTTGAATATCTCTTGTCCAAGTTCAAGGGGAGGCTTTCTTTCTGGGAACAGAACCCATGATACACCTGTAGGGGCTTGTGGTGGATCAAATCTCACAATGCCTCCCTGCCAGCCCGATGTAGAGTCGCTCGGTGGAGGTAAAACCATGCCATCTGTGACTGGTCCATCCAACAACCCATGCTTCTTTCCATACATAGTCTTGATCTTCTGGATGGCCTCTTCCTGCTCCTGCTTAGACTCGCCGCCGAATTTGAGAGACGAATTGCCCTGCGATGCGGTGGTGGAGAACGGAATGATTTTAATAGTCTTGACGACTGGCTCCTTGAGGTCTTTCGGTCCCTGTGGTTTGATGGCGGAAGGTTTGGCGGTCTGGCTTGGTGCACCTTCAATGCGAACGAGCCCCCCTACAAAACCTGGGAAGCCCAATACATTGCAAAGATCTGTTGAAAGAGCCACATGCCGGCTGTCCGGTGCGTCTTCCCATGGAAGAACTTTTGCAACGACACGAGCTGCAGGCTTCTCCTGCTCCTGCTCCTTCGACATGTCTACGGGCTCTTGGAGACCTGCAGGTTTCATGATCAACACCGAGACCCAAGTGACCCCTCTCAGAGCTTTGGTGAGGAGGATGTCTTTGTCCACCCAAACTTTGAGACCCTGGTCATCTACGTGCTCTTCCTCGTCGAACCACTCTTGGGCCACGCTGCGGTCAACACCTCGAAGGAAGACCGCGCCCCTACTAGCATTCTCCTCGCGACCACTTCGGCGCCTGACTGTGCTTGCATTGCTCTTGCCGCTCTTCTTGGAAGCGCCAGCTACGCTTCTGCTTTCCCGTGTCGATGTTCTCTCCGCCTTCTGACGCGTCTTGGGCGCAACAATGACCTCGGCGTCTGGCGATATTTTTACAAAGGGCGAAGCGGTAGTCGGCGCGGGAGCAACCGAGGTCACTATGATGTTCGCGGTAGTCGTCGGAGAGAGGTGGAGGGTCAACGGATGCGCGGACTGGACCTGGGGGTTGGGGAGCGCGCGAATCTGCGACAGGAAGTTCAGTTCGAGGAATTGGGCATGCAGCTCAATCATCTCCCAGTCGACAGGAGTCAGTGGCTCGATGTTGATGGTATGCGCCTGCGGAGGATCCAGGTGCAGCGATATGCCCACTTTCTGTCCCTCGCCGAGCCCAATGAGACGAGCAAAGGTCGCATCCACTTCCACGGCAGGCACGTCTTGCTGGCTCGTGGATGAACCGCGACTTATCCCGTCGCGTCCGACCACCGGCGCGATCCTGCGCTTGCTCTGCATGCCCGTCCATCCCACGTAGACGGATTTCTGTGGGGAGGCAGTCCTCGAGTCTGATGCGCCGGGCGGAGGGGGCTGGCGGTACGAGAGTTCGACGACGACATTCTGCGCGACCTAGAGGGCTTGTTGGCTTGATGCTACATGGCCATGCAGCGGGAACTTACCGTGTTGGCGTTCACAAGCACCGAGACGAGTGTCGAGGGGAGGTTGACGAGGCAGTTCTTGAGCGACTGCTGCAGGGCGACCTCAGCCTGGACGACGTTCGCAGCGGGCTTCTTCGGCGGCATGGTTGCTTGTGAGTGAAAGCGAAGACCACAGCTGCGTCGCGTTGAACACGCTGGGAGCTCTAAGCCGAGGCTGTTGTCGGCCGATGGTGTGGCTCACCCCCTTGTCCTGTGGCTGAAAGGGTAGCCAATCGCCTAGCCAACCCTGCCCTGGCCGACGCGAAAGTCGAGCGTGAACGCGTTCCAGAAGTGCAGCTGCGAGACCTCCCCCACTACATTGCCCCAAGACGGAGACCCCCCCGTACCCTACGTCTTCGCTTTCCATTGCATTTTGAGACGCCATGTCGCTCCTTACTGTGAGCGCGCCCGTCAACTACGAGGAGCAGGAAGGTGTGTAAACACAGGCGCACAACACTACCACAGCCCCAGCTAACGGCGCATACCCTAGCTGCCTTTGTCGACTTTCTCAAGACCTTCAAATCCTCTTCCACCGAAGCTGCCGAGCAGCTGGAAAGCCTCGACCTGGGCGGCCATGGCGACGACGAGTATGATATGGAGGACGACTCGGACGGTCTTGCGAACGGAAGCCAAACGCGCAACAAGTCGAAGCTCAAGTACATGAACCAGCTGCAGGACATAGCGAATCGCATGCGCAGCGACATTCTCATAGACCTGAACGATGTGGAGGCGGTGAGTAGCGAGACGACTGGTCAAGACGGCGCGAAGCTGATGGGTACCAGTTCGAGAAAGCGACCGCGGACGACGAGCACAACTACAAACTGATCGAGTCCATCGAGAAAAATGCGCACCACTACCTCGAGATCTTCTCAAGAGCCGTCGACAAATGCCTTCCGCAACCAACGAGAGAGCTCAGGTACGGTTCCTGTCCCTCCTGCGCTCGGACTGGATACTGATCTGAGGCAGCTTCAAGGACGATGTGCTGGACGTTATCATGACCCAACGCTCAAAACGTAACGAGAGGATGCAGGAGCTGCAAGGAGCCGAAGATGCCGCGCAAGCTGTACCAGAGTCCATCTTTCCAGCAGCCTTGACTCGGAGATACACGCTCAACTTCATGCCCAGGATACCTTCTGGATCCAGCAGTCAACGGAGCATCAAGGCCCTCGCCGTGCGAAATGTCCGCGGTGAGCACCTTGGCAATCTCATTACCGTCCGGGGAATTGCAACAAGAGTCTCGGATGTCAAGCCCGCCGTACAGGTCAACGCCTACTCATGCGATCGCTGTGGAAGTGAAGTGTTCCAGCCTATTACCACGAAGCAGTTCACCCCCCTGGTCGAGTGCCCATCAGAAGAATGCAAGAACAACAAGACCAAGGGTCAGTTGTTTCTTTCCACTCGTGCCTCCAAGTTCCTTCCTTTCCAGGAGGTCAAGATCCAGGAGATGTCTGACCAGGTCCCCGTCGGTCATATTCCTCGACAGCTGACTATCCACTGCCACGGTGCACTAGTACGCCAGATCAACCCGGGAGATGTCGTTGACGTTGCTGGTATCTTCCTTCCGACACCATACACTGGCTTCAAGGCCATTCGCGCTGGTCTTCTAACAGACACATACCTCGAGGCCCAATACGTAATGCAGCACAAGAAAGCTTACGACGATATGGTCCTTGCACAGCCGACCCTGCGAAGAATGAACGAGCTTGAGAGGACTGGTCAGCTATACGAGTACCTATCGCGATCAATTGCGCCCGAGATCTTCGGTCACGTCGACGTGAAGAAGGCACTTCTTCTGCAGCTCATCGGTGGTGTCACCAAGGAGGTGGGCGATGGCATGCGTATCCGTGGTGACATCAATGTCTGTCTGATGGGAGACCCTGGTGTTGCCAAATCCCAATTGCTCAAATACATTACCAAGGTGGCTCCTCGGGGTGTCTACACGACCGGTCGTGGTAGCAGTGGTGTAGGTCTCACTGCAGCTGTCATGCGTGATCCCGTCACGGACGAGATGGTTCTCGAGGGAGGTGCTCTTGTGTTGGCTGACAACGGCATGTGCTGCATCGATGAATTCGACAAGATGGACGACAGCGATCGGACTGCCATCCACGAAGTTATGGAACAGCAAACCATCTCAATCAGCAAAGCTGGCATCACCACAACACTCAATGCCCGCACATCGATTCTTGCTGCCGCCAACCCTCTGTACGGTCGCTACAATCCTCGCATTTCCCCTGTTGAGAACATCAACTTGCCCGCTGCGCTTCTGTCCCGTTTCGACGTTCTTTTCCTTATCCTTGATACCCCTGCGCGAGACTCTGACGAAGAACTGGCGCGTCACGTTACTTACGTGCACATGCACAATGCCCATCCTGAGGCTCCTGGAGGCATCGTTTTCAGTCCTGCCGAAGTCCGCCAATGGGTCGCTCGCGCGCGATCATACCGCCCAACAGTCCCGAAAGAGGTCTCGGACTACATGGTCGGTGCGTATGTGCGCATGCGACAGCAGCAAAAGCGCGACGAAGGTTCCAAGAAGGCGTTCACCCACACATCACCCCGTACTCTACTTGGCATCCTACGTTTAGCACAGGCACTGGCGCGTCTGCGATTTGCTGAACAAGTTATTGCGGAGGATGTGGACGAAGCGCTCCGTCTCACTGAAGTCAGCAAGGCCAGCTTGTATGCCGATGAGAACCGCAGAGATGACTACACTCCCAGCAGCAAGATCTACAACCTCGTCAAATCGATGGAGGCTAGTGGTGCTGCTGCTGTCGGTGATGGCACGAGGGGTGAACTCGACCTTCGTAGGGTCAGAGAAAGAGTACTGGCGAAGGGCTTCACCGCCGACCAGTTCGAGCAGGCCATTGATGAGTACTCGTTGCTTGATGTAAGTTCCCCCGCATTCTTTCACTGCACAATGTCGCTGAATCTAACTCTCTTCCACAGGTTTGGCAAACTACTGGCGAGGGCACGAGACTTGTATTTATCGAGGCTGGTAACGACGATTTGGATATGGATGATGAGGATTTCTGAGCTCAAATACGCGCAATTGTTATGAGGGTCGCTCGAGCTGGAGTTACAGGATGGCGTCTATTGGCGTTGGCGACCCACGTGGTTGGAGGTGGTTTGCCTTTGCATGTGGCATAAAACGTATTCAAAGTACAGCGTCTAGACGAAGCGAATGCCTATTCACTATCCGCTCATAAGTTGATCTCGAGAGATCTGTCGAGTGAAATCTGCCAAGACTATGTATATATGCATGTCAACATCATTATGCATACTCGCGGGGTCGTTTCTCCGAGCCCATGAGCTTGGAACCGCACTCCTGCCTTCCCGATTCCAAGGTTCTTCACCCACTTGCCATCTTTATCCACGGTTCGAACTTGCGGGAGAGGCCTCATTTCCACCTTCCTTAATCAGGCTACTCCAATCGCAAATCTAGCCTTTCGTCTTGTTGGTCAAGCGCACGACACAACGATAAGCGCGTACAACTTCAATCCCCCACGCCCACTCTTACCACCTCACACGACACCCTGCGAAACCCTGCGCATCCCCATCGCAAAAATGGCAAACACAGGCAGTTCCTTCGCGACATACATGATCGTCGGCCGTACGTCTCGCTACTTCTGAATTCCCAACTCCCCACTACTCTCGATCGCATGCTAACAACAACTCACAGCGACATGTTTCTTCCTGGGCATCCTTTTTGCCTCGCTACCCTACGACTACAACGTCCTCTGGTCAACACCCGACGACCGCTCGCTATACTTCAACATCCTAGAGGACCACCTTAAGTTCCTCTACGCATCCCCGCCCATCATCTCCCGCATTCTCAACATCGTAATCGGCACCGGCATCATTGGCTTCTTGTGGAAGCTCTTCAAGCCCAGCCAAGCAAACATGCTGTTCGATGGCGCATCCCTGGTCCTGTACATGGCAGGCATCACGGTATACTTGACGAACATCGTCAAGGGGTTCCGAGTCGTAACAGCGGGGATCTACGGCGTGGGCGTCGATGTGGAGGATGGCGGAGCGGAGGATTACATCTCGAGGGAGGACACGTTGAGGGTGTTCGCGGCTAGTAATACGATCTTGGCGCTTGTGTTAGTCGGCGTTTTGGTGCTGCAGGCGGGGCAGTGGTATGCCAAGAGGGCCGAGGAGAAGGAGATTGAGGAGATTGAGAAGAAGGCTGATGAGAAGCGGGGAGCGGGGAAGAAGAAGCAGTGAGCGGGCGTGTGAATCGAGTAGGGTGATATTGCATGCGGATATGCTTTGGATTTTGGTTTGGCATGTTTGGACACGCTGCGATGAGTTGGGTATTTCTCGGTTTCTCGGCTTCGTCCTTGAGCCGATGTTAAGAGCAAGGACTGAGGTAGGGGTTGTACGAACTTATAAAGATACGTGTTTGCGATATTGTCTATCTGTCGAGTACGATGATGGGGTGTACATTACAGGAAAAGCCCACTTGTTAGGAAAAAGGTAAGACAACGTTGGAGCTTTCACTCCCAAAACTTTGTTTTCACATTAATCGTCTGATATTTCACGTTCCTCGTTTGGTCAATAGTCACCTTTTCCTGCGTTTGTTTACTCGTCGCGACTTCTTCTCCGGCCAACACCAAACACTCCGCACCTCTTTACCATACCATCTCCCCCTCCAAGCCAACAGACCACCTACCAAACACAGTACTTTTCGAGCTGCAATAGAGTTAGCACGCACTGAATCAAGGTAAGTTCTTTCTGTTTTCGGCGTGCATTTCAAGTCCTTTCCACCAGCGAACTGTCTTTTTGTCCGACCCGACAAACACACCGCTGCAATGTACTCGAGGGCCAGAGTCAGGACCAGTTCGAGTGCGAACCAGAGTCTCCTAGGCATGCAACTGGCTACGATCAGCGACACTCTCGCCAAAGCTTCCCAACGCCGCGACGCAGATATGCAGCACAAGGTGTCGAAAGGATTATCGGTGGCGCCTACACCTGACCTCACGGTGGGTTCAGCGTCAGAGGCTTCGGGGACTAGCGACTTGGGTCATGGTGATAGCGATGTGGAGCTGGAGGAGCTACAGAAGCGCATTGGAGAGGTTGCAACTAGGTTCCCGCTGTCTACGATGTATTCGACAGCGACTGAGATGGGTAAGGCAGTCCGTGTGGCTATTGAGCTAGGGAATTGGTTGATGCGTGTTAGGTTTCGATACTGCTTCTGTCTCGCTGCGTGGAGGCGAGGGCAACTACGAGGACGGTCAAGGCCATCTGCTTGCGGAGCGCAGGCGGATGATCCAGGCTCTGGATGATGACGATTTCGATCCTGGAAAGATGCTCGCGGAGCTCGATGGGCGGACACAGTTTCTAAGACAAGCGGTTGTCGCCGATGATGACGACGATGACCCGAGGAGCATGCTCGCAGCCCTCGAGCGAAGAACACAGCTCCCAAGTCAGAAGATCATCCACGACAATGGCGACGACGACCTGAGGAGTATGCTCGCAGAGTTTGAGCGGGAGTCATTACGAGTTCAACCGAATCTCGAAGATACTGCTAGTGACGACCTCGAAGCGCTTCGCAGTGGGATAGCAGCCATTGATCTGCCCTCACACCAGCAGGGAATACACCATTCTATATGCAGTGACAGACAAGCGCCGCATTCCCAGGCGAAACGCCCTTATAATCACGAGGAAACGCCAGACACGTCTGTTCTCGACGAAGACGCTACTCTATATAAGATCGCGTCGATCCTTGCAAACACAGGCCACGAATGGGAGAAAGTTCAAGGGTTGACCACCTATCTGTTCAGCACCGTCTTGGATGGACATGAAGCCCAGCAACAGAAAGAAGAATTCATGAGGCAAGCCAGAGAAGAGCTCGAGACCATCATACACAAGGCCGTGGAAGAGGAGAAGATCTACTACGAAGGTGAAGAGAAATCGAGGTTGCCGCGCCGTCTGGTCGTGTCGAATATAGCTGCAGGTGCTGTGAAGGAGGATTTGATAGAGTCATTCTCCCAACACAGGTGGGAAATGTACGTCATCTTCATTCAAGATCTACTCACGAATGCTATTGCTAACACCGATCGTTCTAGTCAGGAGGTCAGGCTCTTGAAACAGCGAGATCCAATCAAGAGGACACAGATGGCTCACATCGACTTCTGGAAGAGGAAAGCTGCGGTTGAAGCGTCTTTCAAAATCGCTGACATCTTCGGACTATGTGTCAACACCAGACTTGCGGTTGAGAAAGCAGACTATTGTTGAGTAGGCGGGTTTGGTCGTGGTATCTTCTGGATGATGAGGTTGTACGCATGCACCGGTTCACCCCGACATAGGTGAAACCACGGCGGGAATATGTGGAATCTTGGGAGGATGGGCGGGCGCCTGCATAACAACTCGTTCCGTAGGATAGCCGGCTCAGCGTTGGAACGAGATATCATCCAATATCCCAACGATAAACGAACCCATGGACAACTACCATGTTCCTTGAATAGAAACACATTCACCCTCTAGAACTCATGATATATGTTTTCGCGCCAGCTCCTCCCCCCTCAACGTTTCTTCCCATGCATAGACCTACCCTTGTGACGATACATGCATTGTCGTACACACACTAAATAGCCCTGGACCCTAAGATCCCCTTGCTGCTCCCTGGCCTGGGCTTATGCACGCATACCCGCACATGGTTCACGCGATGTACCGAGCTTGCTTCCGGGCGGCTAGACGGGCGGCAATGTTTTACACGATCAGTGGATGACCCCAGCTGTGTTTCCAGGAGCGCAGAATGAGGGTGTCCAGCGACTCTGGCGTCCGCGGTCATGTGAAGCAGGCAAAGTAGGTCGCCGAAGTGGTCGCCAGAGCGAAGTAGCATCTATCCCGATGACGGCGAGATCCATCGTCACTGCATGAGGCACACAGTTAAGGAATTTGTAGCGAAACTCTTCTCATTCATTCTGCTCTACTCGTTTCCGCTCCGCTTTGCTGTGCTGCCCTACTCATCAAAAAAAAAAGAGAGGCGTGACAAAAGGTATCTCAAGGAAAGCCCGTTTCCATCCATCGCATCCATCAGTCAGTCCATCACAACACCATAAGCAATTAGACTATCAATCTTTATAACAAAAACGACCGGACAAAGACAAAAGAAAACGCTCGGCCAAAGCCGACTGATATATCGGAGAGAGAGAGTCAAAAAAAGATTGTACAAAAAAGCACCCAAGATCGCCAGCCAGCAAGGCCCTGACCCTGATCCCAGATATAATGAAGAAAGAAAAAAGACGACGCGCTAAATGTAGCTTTGGGCAGTCTATAACCAAACACACGCTGGGACAGTTTTTTACTTTGTCACCGAGGGGCCAAAGTCAAAGCCAGACGCTTGCTGAGGCGGCGGGTACGATGGCGATGCGAGTGGTGTGTAGGCGCCGGGGATGGGGACCGCGGCGTATTGCTGCTCGCCTGGTGCTGCGGCGACGTGCTCGTTGCGTCTTTCTTGGAATCCGGGGGATAGCGGGGGGAGCGGTGGGGAGGCGGCGTGTGTTCGCACGGGGGAGCCGAAGCCATCCTGATCGATCTTGGGGGTCGCGCCGGTGATCTTGATGGGAGGGGCCTGGAGCTGGAAGGGCTGGGGCTGCGCAATCTCGCGGGCGTACGCGTACTGCACGCTCTCGCTCTCGCCGTTTTCGGCCGCAGAGTGAGGGTCGACGTAGGCAGGGTGCCCTGGGGGAGGACGCCAGCCGCCGGAGCGGGGAGACATTGGGCCGAATCCAGGGGTGTTGGGTGCGGACTGCGAACGGAGCTGAGCGAGGTAGAGATCGGAACGGGCGCGGTCACGCTGAGCCATGGACTTCCTGAGCTTCCTCTTAGACCAGAATCGGTAGAATACGATTCCGTAGATGGAGATGACCAGGACTTCGATGACGACCTCGATGATGCAGCATACAAGACCCCAGTTCTACTTGGTTGTTAGAATCAGACTATCACATCGATGTGGGGTTCGTGCTTACCTGAAGTCTGCAGATGAGTCCGTAGGAAATGTCGTCTTCGAAGAGATGGCGGCGTTTGTTGTCTACGCATGACCATCCCCACATGTCCTTGTTGTTGTTCTGCGCTTTGCTCTGGTTGAAGACTGCCGCCGCTATGGCCCACATGACGATGCTGAAGATGAAGAATCCAACGGCGAATACTGTGTAGTATGCTGCCACCTTCTCAGCTCGCTCGTGACCTCCTCTCCAATACGCAAGGAGAACAGTGATAGACATAATCAGCGAGATAACGGCGATAACAAGGAGCATGACCTGTGGCCAGATCATGGTGTTATCTGCCCATGGTGGAAGGTTGTTCCTTTTTGGGAGTTGTTTTGTCGCGAAGAAGATGGTGAGCACTGTTGAAAGCATAGAGAGGACGATAAGACTGCAAGCAAAGCTGATTCCTCGCAAGAAGACCTTTGCCATTCGTACCCTGACTTTGATTTTCTTGATAATGTTAGCTTTTAATACGAACTGGTTATTGGGTTTAGTGACATACCAAGTCTTTCGCTTGCTCTTTATCTGTTGATGCCTCGTGCTTCTCAAGCTCTCGCTCCTGTGCAAATGTGGGACTCAGCATCATGCTGGCATGGCCAGGCGTCCGTGGAGGTGCGCCGGGAGACTTCATCGCGCTCCTGAGTGGTGTCTTGGGTGTTGGTGGAGGAAGGTATCTCCTGTCTGTTTCCTCCATCTCGACTGACTGGACGTAGCCGAAGCCTACGTCGGATACTTGTGGTTGCGGTCGGTAGTGGTTCGTTGTGAAGCCCAGAGGAGACTTTGGGCCGTCGATGGGAGAGTTGACTGCTGTAGCTTCGGCGAAGCGTGCTGTGCGGGGGGTTCGGACTGATAGCGATTCGTTCGATCTTCTTTTCTCGATTGTGACTGTGAGGGTCTTCTTATTGTTGGTAGCCATCCTCATACACGGTTCACACAGGTGTATATGATGTTCTCATATGCGAGTACAGAAAGACAGAGTAAAGATAGAGACGGAGGAGGAGGGACAGCAACTATGATCCAGTCCAGCTTAGACCAGTCGCGAGCGAATAGTAAAGTGCAGTTGAAAGAGACAAAGGTTAAGAGACGCACAAATATTACAACGGGAGACCTGCTGGAGAGAAAAGAGGAGAGGGTAGAAGCAATGAGCGAAGCGCCGACCTTTTGTCTCTCAGCGCTTGGAAGGCGGCGAGCTCAAAGATTGGATACAAGGAAGTACGGGACCAAGCGGGTGGAGAACGATCGGAATGAACTGAGCGGGTACTTACAACGTCTAAATGTATGGCGCCAAAGCCAGCTTGCTTGCACCACTGCAGGCGCCCGTCTGATAGGCTAGCGGGGGAGACGAATAGGTTGCGATGGCGTGCGGAGAGGAGGGGAGTGGTGGCCCAGAAATAGACGCCCGGCTGCACTCAATAAACAGTTTCGAGAAGCTGCGCGTCAGACCAGACCACTGCAGCGCGAAGCTCTTTATTATAGATTGGCTGACAGCTCGCTGACTTTGTTTGTCAGCGGAGTTGATGAGGGCTGTACAAGAGTCACTCGTCAAGATTGGTACGTGTACAAAGGCTCTTCTGCGCGTCTTTGAGGGACCTAGAAGTGTAGAAAGCAAAGGAAGGGTCCATGTTCGCATCTCGTGGCCCCGGAAGCAGAGCTATGCCCAGTCTGTGGGCGCTCCAGATCCAGGGCAAAGGATTGTTCACATCCAATTGCTGAGAACTGTTTCGCGCCTGCAAAACGTGATATGGCCGGAAACAGAGATGAGTGGTTGAGGGCTGCAGTGCGTGGCGCCGCTAGAGGCATCCTTCCCGCCAATTGTAGTCCACGATTAACCCTTTGCCTCAAGGGACGCGCCGCCGCGCTTGGACAAGGCCCACTTCAACTTCGAGTACTGACTGACGACGTGGACAAAGCCTCGAGTCCACTTGTTTCGGGTTGCCGCATTGCACATCGACTGCACAAAGAGTTAAGAGCACTTGACTGCCCGCTATGCACCAGCGTCATCATTCTCCTCAACTCGACTTGGAACTCCAGTCTCCCCGCGCCGTCAGCTTATCACCAACGTTGCGATGGACGGGTCGGTAAGCGCATGGGATGCAAGAATGTTCGGTGTCCACCAATCAGATGCATTCACATGCACACTCCAAGCCCAGGCACAGCGACACCTAATTAGCCACGCGTAGCTCCTCCGGTACAACACACCATGGCGATGAATTTACTTCAACATCTTCGGCGATCTAACCCTATTAAGACGAATTTGCTTCCATGATCTGCATCGCTATTTTTGGGGCCATTCTTTATTTTTGCCCGGATGCATCTGATAATGCTTCAATTATTCACTAGCGTACTCTCCACGCCTCCTCCGCACATCCACGTCGGCTCGGTTTGGTGTGATCGTCGTCTGAGCAGCACTAAGATTCCCATTCTCAAACCATGCTCTTTGACCGAACTATGCAAGGTTCTGCAAGGCGCCTCTTGGGATGCATTTCCAGTCATCCGTCATCAAGGGCCGCCCCTTCCGTAAGATGACTGTGAACGGGCAAGCCTTAGCTTTGCTTTCAAAGTGAGACATGCAGCGAACCTGGTATATGTGTAACAATTATACAGAATACAGTTTGAAACCATACATTGTGCTGTAGCCTAACGAAGCCCCTCATACACTAACGTTATAATTGTCGATTCTTTCTGTATCGCTGCGAACGCCTGATGGTTTGACTTCAATGTTATCTGTACGCTCTTGAGGTTTCAAGCGTTCATACAATCTTGGACGATAACAGTTAAGCGTATATGTCATATGGATCGTACGTGGCTAGTCGAGGAATGGACACGAGACAAAGCAGCCCGGCAAACACACATCACTCCGTCTTTGCATTGGGAGAAGTAGTTTACATACTTCTCATTCCCTCTACACACTACGGGGTAAACATGAAAGAAGACAGAACAGTGTTGATGACGAAACTGATAAGAGTTTTTTGTCAATGGTAAGGCACACTTTAGGCAGATTGATTCCCCTGTGTGGTTCGATAGGAATGTTTGACCCAGCCTTGCGTTACGTTCCTGCTGAAACGACGTAAAGGGAGACATTGTATCGTAGGGATCTAGTATTTGATGAAACAATATAATTATACAAAATTATCTTCTTTCATCAAACGGTTGAATAGTGTAGGGGTTATCACGTCAGATTCTGATTCTGGATACCCCGGTTCGATTCCGGGTTCGACCTTCTCTTTTGCTTTTGCAGTTTTTGTTATCATCGAGGCACATCACGATAGGAAACGTCTTTTTTTTGCACTCCAGAATTCATTCTCGCATCTTACGCCCAGTACTAGCACAGGAGAATCACTTTTGTCCCTTCATGAGTAACTCCCTGCATCGTAACATTTTGTGCGTGCTAACTACGCTCAATAAATTTGATTGGGCTTTGTCATGTTTGCATAAGTTAGTATTATTTTTTCAGTAACTGGAACGCTGAGCCATCACTTGTCTCTCAAGGTCAATCTAGTTTGTGTGTTTCCACATCGTTATCAGGTTCACTCTATCTAAGCTTACGAAGAACAGATGCAAACGAGTCTACTAAGATAGTCATGGGATATGGGAGCAAAATATGTATGCAGACCATCCCGCTATAACCCCAGAAAACGGTCAAAAAAGGAACATCGGAAAATTTAATCTGGATAGCCAGATGCTGTCTATGAGGTGGTCGACGCGAGGGGCAAGACCATCAATCCGTAGATGTTGTAAACAAGTGTAGTGGTTGCTCGGCAGATGCGTCTTGTCTCGAGCGTGAAGAAGGGCCAATATGCTAAAGGGAATGCTATTTTTTCTTCACATGAAGTCATCACTGCGAGCGCGTTAGTGCTGTATCCACATTCAACAGATGGATTGCAACATACTCTCCAAAGTCGTCTTCGTACGCCTGGGTATCCGCCCGGGACCCGACATCCCTCGTAGCAACCAAGCTGGACTTGGTCTTGGCAGCCTTGGTCTTCTTCCCGCCCTTCTCTGCCGCCTTCTCTTCCTTCATCTTCTCGTTGCTCAGCGTCGTCAGCCCGCTAGCAATCTTCTTAATTTGCTCGCTGGGCAGTTCCTTTGCAATCTGCTTGGTGAACTCCTGCAGGAACAGCGAGTATTGTCCTTTCTTCGAGTTGTTGACGAGCAGCGGCACGAGTGTATCGCGCAGCTTGGTGAACTGGTCCTTGGTGTTTGGGTTGAAGATGTGCAGCGTGGATAGGTCGATAGACTTTCCTGGGTCGCTCTCGTCGGTCAGGGTGACGGCTTTGCTGGCGCGCTTGTTGCTGAGGTCGCCAAAGAGTTCCTCGGCTTGAGCGCGCGAGCCGTCAATTTCCTGCTGTCGCAGACGTGCGCGTCGTTCGGCCTCGTCCTCAGAGTCCTCAGAGTCATAGTCGCCGTCCTCCTCTCGTCGACGGCGGGCTGCTTCCCTGTGCTCCTCGATGCGCTGTGACTTGCTCTTTTTGTTTGCTTTGGCCTCAGCTTCCGCCTTCTCTTTGGCCTCGGCAGCCTTCTTTGCCTTCTCGCGCTCGACTTCCGAGTCCTCGGCGGCGTCCCATGACTCTAGGACCTGCGTTTGTTGTCAGTATGCGAGATGTTTGTGCATGGCGGGGCAAAAGTGGTGTCGGCGCGGGGCATGGCGGGCTGACGCACATCACTATCGTCCTCCTCATCCTCGAACTTGCTGCGGCGGGCGATAGGAGCGACGGTGGGAGAAGAAGGAGAAGAGCTCCCCTCCTCATCGTCTGTTGACGGTGGTCAGTCCTGGTGTGCGCGAAGAGAGCGGGTTGTGGTAGCAATAAAGCGCACAGAAACAGCGAATATGACGTACCCCATTTTCCTGGAGCCATGGTTGCGGTTATAGTTTTACTGGCACGTAGCGAGTTGAGTTGGATGAGAGTTTGGTAGGTAGAAAGGCTTAGGATATGTTCGTCTGCAACTGGTTGGGGTTTTGTGGTCCTGCGGTGAAACAAGGTGACTGTGTCGCAGCAATAGTTGGGCTCGGCGTCCGTGGTTGATGGCTCGCTTCCGGTCTGTGTAGAAACTTACTATTCTTGCTGCCCAATCACGACCAAAAGCTTCCTCTATGCACCATCTTGGATGGCTATTGTCATGGTGCGAATGGATTGTAACACGTCCAAGTGCTTGCTCCAGAACTGAACATCAGAAATCGGCATTTCTCTTCTTGTTCGAGTATTTGCCTCGACACCAAGCACATCGCTTTCGTTCGTCAACATGAGCTACCACGTGGACGCGTATGTCCTCGATCAAGTTCGAAATGAGTGGAAATTAGGGACATGTATTAGATCAATAAACAATACGTCGCCACCATATCTGAATATACAGATAAGAAGCTACTCGACTTGCCCCCAAGCTTCTGTTCTTCTCCGTCCCTCCACAGTCCCGGCTGTGTGCTAGAATAAGATTCGGAAATTAAGAGAAAGGAAAGCACGAAAAAAACGCTTTCAAGAAATAAATGGCATCATGGATCACTCTTCGGGCGTTTCCCACGGCCTCCAGAATTTCCAGCCCTCCCTAACTTCTCGAACCTTTCTCCTCCCGCTTTCCACACCTACCAACCGCTCAATCCCCACGGTTCCCTCTGCCCTCAGGAACTTCTCTTGATCAATCTCTTCTCCGCCCTCCTCCTCGTTCCCATTATGCAATACCGCAGGCCACAAGACACCAACGCCGTCACCTGCGAGCGTTGTCTCGAACTTCTCGAATCCCTCCTTTTCCAGTTTAACTTCGAGGGAATCCAGGATCTTATGTTTGAGCTTTGTGCCATTTGAAATGATTGAGGCGGCACAGTCTGCATCGGAAGAAATGTCTGATTCGTCCTCAGATGAGTCGTGATGTGCTTCGTTGCTGTGACCATTTGTATGGACAGGCGGTTTTGGTTTGATGATCGATATCGCGCAGCCGCCACCTCCCGCACCAGTAAGTTTTGTCCAGCCAATGCCAGTGTGGTCAATGAGTTCGCGCACACGCTCGAGTTTTGGGTGCGATACGCCTAGTGAGACAAGCAAGCCGTGATTTATAGTCACAAGCTCGCCGAGATGCTTGAGAGAGGCGTGTGATTTGGGATCAAAGTCGGGCGAGACAAGGAGCTTATGCGCGGATTCTGTGACCAGACCAATGGCATTGAGTATGTTTTCTGTGATATCGGGATGTACGGTTCTGAGGTTGGCGACTTTGGCGACTTCAGTGGCCGTGCTGCGCGATTGCCGTGTGTTGACGAGAAGTAGAGGCAGTTCTGGGAAGTTGTAAAGCGGTGTAACCATGGGCGGTTTGTCGTAGTCTCGCCGTTGGAAAAGGACCGCCTTTCCACCTGAGGACACTGTGTTATCGACACCCGAAGGGTTGCCGTGTATGCACATTTCGCCCACAAATGCCCAGCGATTTATTCGTTCAATGTTGAGCTCGCATTCTTGTGGAGGCTGATCCTGGTGGGGCCCACTCAATGCGCGGATCTGAAGAAGTAACGCAACACTGATGCAGACAGAGATACTCGCACTGCTGCCCAGGCCTGCGCCTATTGGTATTGTTGAGCGCAGAGTGTACACACATGGTGGCACTTTCCGCGACGCTAATGAGAGGAACAGATATAGAAAGGAGCATGCGGATGCATGATGTATCTTGCGTATCGATTCGGGGGCTTCGGGCGAGACTGCGTCGATGCAGGGCTGGATGGCGGCGAGGAGGTCTGGGTCTAGCGAGGTGACGAGGTCGTAGTAGTACTTTTTCTTCCCCGACTTGGAGAAACTGTCCCATGGAAGATCATCGATATTCCACGTGTGTTCCATTTGTATGTCGGGGAATCGCAATCGGACGGTCCGGTTCGACTTGGACAGAAACGAGACGTGGAGATACGAGCGGAGGGAGATAGCGGCAGCAATTGCAGCCTACACTATATCAGAAGAAAGGCCAGGCACTCAAATGGATTGGCTCTTACCTTGCCGTGTACGACGGCATGTTCGCCATACACAATAACTTTTCCTGGCGCAGAGACCATGAAGGGCGGCATCATGGGCGACGATTGCTTCCTGCGCAGCGCTGGCGCGCTGATTGTTGTGGACGCCTTGGAAGCAGGCATACTGGGTGCCAATTGCGCAGGCATCGTGTCGGTGGGAGAAGACTCGGGCGTTTGCGTGGAGTGGGACGTGGTGGTTTTCGGCCGAAGACTGCCTGCACTCGGGGGTAAGCTGATGCTTTATCTTGTTCTGTTGGCACGCGTCGCCGGCTCACCTGGCGCGTCAAATGTCGTTTTTCGGATGCTGCCGTTCGCTGCCATGCTCAAATCTATGCACAGCCTAACAAACGAGCAAAGGATGCAGCAGGCGTTGTCAGGAGGCAGTGCACTACTCGAGTTGGTTATCATGTCATAGTTGATGGACTATCCCAAGCGGGCCCAACGCTCAGATCACCAGATACCCCGAGCCATTCATGTCATGCAGGAACGGTTGGTGAATCCCCACAGCCCTGTTCTTCTGGAACGCCTGTCCTATGACCGCCTACCATTTTCCAAAGTCTCACGCTTCCTTGATGCAACATGCAAACAACGCTCGTTTCAATTTACACGTGATGAATAATAGGCAGGGTTGCCCTCCGACCGCTCGTATCCGACCCAACATTATGGGTTGCGCCCTTTGTATTCTGGGTTTTCGGGCTGCCAATCCGATCCGCGATTGGACATGCTGTTGATTGGTTACATGGATGTTGATACACTGAAATAGCAAGGGATGGTGTTACTTCATTGGAGAGCAGATTCGAGTGTTACGATAACATTCCTGTTCTATAGTCTACTGCAGACGTCTAGTATAACAGTATAGTCGATATGGCAGCAAATACAATAGCCCCCTATGAACATGTTCGAACCGCAAATCCCCCAAACGCCCCCGCTATGCACTCAAAATCGATTTCGGCGTAGCGGCATGCTATACTGGGGTCTTAATCATGAAAATCTGGCAGCCAATGTCAGCAAGGTCGTATACGAATGAGCATACCAACATACCTCTCTCAAAGCCTGCGGATCCATGCTCGCAGCTTTCTTCTGCCGAATATATCTCTGCCTCACTGCATGCATTCCCCTTGCACCAAACGTCAGACCAGCAGCAGACAATGTGGGAGTGGAAGTGCCAGTTGCTGGAACCGACGTCGGCGTGGAGGTGCTTGGTGTTAGTTCCTCGTTTTCACTTTCGGAGCTGGAGTCGGATTTCGCGGCTCCCTTGGCGGCCTTCTTGAGAGCCTTCTTGAGCTTCTTCTCTTCCTTGCGAACCTTCTTCTCCGCTTTCCGTCGAGCCTTGTCCGTGAGAGGTTCTGGGTCTGACTGAGGGCTAGGAACGTCGGATAGCGAAGGCTCAGGATCGGAAGTCGATGACTTCTTCTCTTTTTTGGACTTCTTCTTGGATTTATCTTTCTTCTCCTTCTTCTCCTTACTCGAAACACCCTCTACGTCTGCCTCGTCCTTGGAAACCTCGCGCAAATCTGTGCTCTTCTTCTTGCGCTTGAGCTTTGGCTCCTCCACAGTACCGTCCGCAATGGTTTGGACTTCTTCACGATCTTTGCGCTTCCTCTTCTTACTGATCTTGCTCTCTGACTCGTCGCTTTCTGGCTCAGACTTGACTTCGACCTTGGCCTCAGTCTCCTTCTTGAGCTCGTCTTTCGTCTGAATTTTGTCGCCCACAAGGTAGCCTCCACTGACGAAGTTCATCAAGCCATACTTCCTGTACACGTATGCCCTCTTCTCGACCTCTTCCCTCCTCGCTTCCTCCTTCTTGACATCCTCCTCCTTGCCATTCAGCCGACCCAGAATACTTTCTAGCCCCGCAAGACCAAAGTTTTCCGCGCGCTCGCTACCTCGCTTCGCGCCCAAGCCCAAGTTGTCGTCCTTGAGGAAAACGCGGATATGCGACTGTGACGCAGCGGTGTAATGAGCAGCGTGCGCAGCATCTTGTGCGCCAAGAGAGTCGCCAGTTTTCCAGCCCTGAGATTCTAGGATACGGTGTCCGAAGCGCGTGGTATTGTTCGCCCAGGTTGTGTTCTGTGGGTCGTTGGAGATTTTGGAACGACTGTGGGCGTGTCAGGCTTGTACTGAAAATTCCATAGGAACAAGAAGGAGACGACCGCAATTACGTACTTCTTTGGCGCTGCGAGACCCATATTGCCGGTTGTGCTGCTTCGGTTCGAGTTTTGCTGAGCGGAGAGAACGCGGAAGTCCGCCCAAATTCGAGATCCAAAATTTTAGATGCACGCACGGCCTGCGCTAATGCGGGGAAGGAGCAAGTGCTCCACCTCCTTCCGATTTGAACTGAACGTCACCACTTACACGTCTGAGTGAGCTTTCACAAATTGGAAGGCCTGCAGCTGTTCGATTGATCAATCCCGAGTTACCACTCGACTAACATCCAGCACTCACCCTTACAGCAATTATGGCTCCGCCGCGCACTGCCAAGACCAGTCTCACAAGCAACCGTCAATCTCGGAAGCGTGTCGTCGAAGAAGTAGAAGAGACTGAGGCCCGTGACGATACTGACGTACTGGATGTGGACGACGAAGCAGGAGATGAAGAGCCCCAAGAGTCGCAGGACACATCGGAAAGGCTGGATCAGATGATGGCGAAGATAGTCAATGATGTATGTGGAAGCTGGCTAGCGTACATCATTGTTCTATGTTTTGTCTCGGATGGGAAGAGAAGTGAACCTTTTTAACGATGAACTAGCAACGCACGCGCCACAAGGTCGATAAACACGTTGTCGGCAAGTCCTACAATACTGCCTGCACGACGCTTCAGACCTCCATCAATGCCCTCTTCGATGACCATGAAGACAAAGCGTGAGTTGTTACCTATGGCCATGGTTTAGATGACTCTTTTTCTTACCCTCGTCCCATTCCAACGTTCCTTCTTATCATGTCTGCTTCCGCCCCTTTTTGACGACATCGTCCATCACTTGGAGTCACAAATAGTGTACTGATATCACTCGAGGTCCTCGGCATACCAAGTTCAGGTCAAGCGTCTCAAACATCTGCTGGACGAGAAAACAAGACTCGAAGTTGCCATGGCAGACAAGCTCAAGCAGCTGCAAGCTGGGTACGACGCTCATTCTCGCGATCTTGAGTTGGTCGTGAACCGCAGGATCAAAGAGATGAATCACGCGGAAGGTATCTAGGATGAGTTATACCACAAAGCCGGGTTTGTATATTTAAAAAAAATCACGACATGCGCTGATGCGTAAAGTATCTAATGGTAAGAGACATAGATCAGATGACCAGCACGAGTTGACGTGTACACAGTTGTAGCATCAGACAACTGTTCGGTATGGCGATGGACGTCGAAAAAAGACGTCACAAAAGATCATAAAGCTTGAAGCACGAGGTTCGATACAAGAGAAACGTATTACTCCTTAGCCTTTTCATGCTTTCAGATTGTAGTGTGGAAATATCTACATCGATCGAAACTTTTTGACGTGGTACCCTAATTTCCACATAAGCTCTCAAACCGGGTCTGTCCTAACCCAGAGGTACACGGCTTGTTCATAACTGCCTGTTTTTCGCCCAAAGATCATGCTAGTCGTGCCTCATAATCTAATGATCCGTTTCTCGACTCCATAATCCGTTTCCCCAATTCATAATCCTTGGCTTCTTCACAACTCACTTCGCGCCATAGTCCATCCAGAAAGCGACGCGATCGCCCACCTGATGCTTACCCACAGCCCAACAGACCCGAGCACCAATATCACAAGCATGACTGCAATGACTCTTCCCCGCATCTCCAACGCATCGGAAACCTCCAATTTCGCGACCTTTCTGATTTTCTTGTGAAGGTGCCAAGACTTCTTTTTCTTCTTACCCTTCTCCCTCCCGTCTTTGGGCGCTATGGTACTACTGGGCTCATGATACCCGGCAGAACTCCTATGGCTCCATTTGGAATCGTTGTGGTCTTGGTACGGCTCGGAAGTCGCCGGAAGAAGATACGACAGGAGCGATGAGGGCGAAGAATTTGCTTCGACGCGCAGTGCTCGGTTTCGTGTGTTTATCAGAAACAGCGACAGAATGAACGAGGTAACGAGGACGGGCGTAAGGATGACCTTTGCACAAGCATCAGTAACATTTTTATTGCAACGGATTTAACGGAGTTTACCCTTGTGAACAAAGGCTCTTGCTTATCCTCCGCGTCATCTGTTGAACCTGAAGGGGAAGAGGGCAAGGGCGTCGCGGCAAATTTCTCAAATGAATTGACTCGCTTCTTGGGTTTTTGTTTTGTCGTAGGCGGCGTTACAGGGGGGCTTGGAGGTAGTTGTTGCTGTTGTTCGTGACGATTGCTCATCATGTTGAATTATCATCAACGATAGCGTGACAGAGCTTCAGGGCCGATTCGAGATTAACGTCCTGTCAAGAAGAGTCTCTAGTGTCTTGGATGTAACAGACGAGCGGAACAGACGGGCATACGGGAAGCTCAACGCCCGATGTCCGACGCGCAGGGTGAACGTTGTAAAACACGACCCAGATGACGTAGGGTTGCTGTCAATGCGATGCTGTCGATGCTTTGGTCGTCAGAGCGACCAAGGCCTGGTGTGCCTACTCTGGATGTATTGACATAAGAAATGTAGTATAAAACATGAAAATTGCAGGATTATAATATCATGCAAGAATGCGAGATGTGCGGAGTATGAATCTCACCGACGCTTCTTCTTTGCTGCCTAATCCGTAATCTCACTCACGATCGTCCCAAGGTACACAGCCTCAGTCCAATAACGAAACGATGTTCGCGTCGCCGTTGCCAAGACTTCGCATGTGTCACCGAAAGGAGTCCCGACTGCAGCCATGCCACGCCAACAATGTCTGCCTTGTGGTTTCTACCCGTGTCCATACTATATATATCGATCGAGGCCAAAGATCGTCAGACGTCCTTTTGAGGCCATTACGGGAGTTCTCAGTCGGTCTTACTTGCTGACCTAATCCTCGGACGCCGGACGAAAACTTGTCCGGCCCTTGTCAACTCTCTTTCTCTCACCATCGTCACCAGGCTTGTACGATCTGCGCGCATTCTCGATATCTCGCGTTCTTGGGAGTCGTGCTGCTGTTGTCTGTGGCGAATTAGCTTTACGGAAGCTGACATCGAACTTCACACCTCGGCATCAGCCAAGAGGCGCACTATTCACTGTGAACGAATTCGTTGCAAGAGCTGGGATTGGTGTACATATACCGTTTTCAACATGCCCAAGGACGACTCGTTGCCAGGCCGAAAGAAGATGCGAAAGGGTACACATAGTTGCTTCGAATGTATGTCGACCCAGTCGTTGCACATGTCAGGGGATTTCTGAACGGTCGCGTTCATCGATCATCTACCCAGTGCTTGCATTTACTTCCAGCTCCTTTATCACAGACTGTTTTTTTAGGTTCACGATTTTCTGATACGGTACAGGCCGTCGTAGAAAGATCCGTTGTATCTTCCCACCAGATAATTCCGAAGTCTGCTCCGAATGTTTTGCACGTGGCAGCAGATGCATCGATCAAGAAAATGCAAATCCAGAAGTCATCGTAGACCACCGAAAGAACCTACGGGAAAGGGTATCGCGTCTAGAAGCCTTGATTGATAATCTCCTCGAAGATAAAGTCATCAAGTCGGAGAGTCCCAGTCAGTCCGATTCGGCGTCACCTAAACCATCCGTTATCTACCACAAAGATCAATTCCCGCCCACCCCTCTGTCTTCGGCAGCCTCTTCTGGCATATATCAAGATAACCAGCGTGTGCTTCCCGAAAGAGGTCACCATGTTCCTATTCTGTCTGTGTTCGAAGATGCTGTATGTATTTTGCCTTGTCATGCACATTTATCTCATGCTGACCATCACAGCTGAATGATGCCGAGGACCAGGTCAAAGCTAGAACAACCCCTCAAAACAAAGCGTTTAGATCGAAACCTGACGTAACGTTGGAGCAACGTTATACGATAACAAATAGTTATCAAGACAACATAACGTCTCATGGTAATTTGGCATACATAGATCCACAAAAGGACGGCGTAATATCACAAGGCGGGAAACCGGGTGCTCTGTCACCGAAAATGGAACAAGCAAAACAGGCGCTCCTCGCCATGCTACCCTCTCAGGATCGACTCATCGCTATCCTGAACAGCAACAGTGAGTGGTGGCAGACGTGGCGACGGAAATGTAGCGGAACAAGCGGACCAGAACAGACGCTGTCACAATTTGCTGCACAGGCTTTGATCACCTCAAACATTTGCTCTATCGGTACTGTTGTCCTAGCTGTTGGCATTTGCCTGTCCCAAGAAAGCGATGACGTGGACAAATACATCGAGGCTGTCGACCGATGGGTACTTGCCGACGACGAGCTTGGTGCAAGGCTTGAGGGTATGGAGCTGCTAATCCTGAAGTCAAAATGGTATGCAGATGTCGGCCAACCACGGAAGTGCTGGTTATCATATCGGAAAGCCTTGATGTACGCACAGCTTATGGTACGTGAACCATCACCCCCATCACAGGCCGACACTGATGTTGCATAGGGTCTTCACCGTAAGCGGACAACCTCGCAAGCTCACGAATCCATATGGTGGTCTATATATCACGGCGATCGCTTTCTGTCTCTCTTGCTTGGTCTTCCTTACGGCATTAACGATGCACTCTGCGATCTTACGGTACCTGCCTTTGGCGGTGACTATATGCATCCCCTGAGCTTCATAACAGCCTTATCTCAACTTACGGGCAAAGTAATCGACCGCAACCAGGGCCTCGCCGAGCAATCCTTTGCATGGGCATTACAGCTCGATCAAGAGCTTGAGGACTTATGGAAGCGACTAGACCCCGCATGGCTCGATTTCACCGATCTCCTCACGGACGCCGACTCCAATGCAGCAGAGCTTAGGGAGAGAATCATGGGGCAGGTAGTTTACCATCAGATTCGCGTGTATCTGCACCTACCCTTCATGCTCAAATCAACTACCAACTCGCGATTCATGTACTCCCGTACCGCTTGCCTCAGTGGCTCAAGAGAGGTTTTGCGACTGTATCAGGTCTTGCGTACTGGCAGCCCCCAACCACTTTACGAGTGCAAAGCCGTCGATTTTATCGGCTTCACGTCTGCCGTGCTTGTTCAAATTGGACTTTTCAACTTTGGCTCCACAAGCCTGCAAGTCGACCCTCGAGAAGTTGAAGCAGACGTTCGCCTTGTCGAAATAAGCATCGATATTTTCCGCCGTGCATCTAGTGAAAAAGGAGGGAAAGTTGCTCTTCAATCAGCAGAAGTGCTGGAGAGAATGATGGCAAAGTTGAAGGGCTCCGACACCAAACCATGCGACGACGACTCGAACGAATTCGTCATTCCCTATTTCGGCACCATCTCCATCCGCAAAGGTGGCCAAACACTGCGTAAAGATCAGGTGCCACGCCCTCCTAATCAAGCCACAAGCCCTCCGCCCGCCCGATCTGTACATTCGAACTCGATCTCTTCGCCACAATACACCACGACACCGAAGTCCGCCACTTCGCCTGCAAACCCATACACGCCGCCGTGGACCTCGCTAACGCCCCTCCCACCTTCCATCGACATGACGAACAAGGCACCAGCCGTAACCAACCCCCAGCCGTTTGTCTCCTACGACGGCTTCTACAACTGGAATAATTTGAACGCCGACGACTCGACTCACACGGGCATGAACGCTCACATCAACGATGACAGCATGAACAACTTCCCGCTGCCGACTAACAACTTCTCCTGGCAGCATATGCCTATGGATATCGATCAGGACTGGAGTTGGTTCCTCAACGACGGGCAGACTCAGGCGCAGGGCGTGGGAGCACCTGTTGGAACGGCTCCGTTGGATGCGTTTGGTGCGCAGGGATTTACTGGGTTCGGGTGAGAGGGGTGAGATGGAATGGTTGGTGGTGTGCAATCTGTACAATGGTTGTATGTTTTTGTTTGGAGTTTATGGATTGGTGGGTGATATCCGGGTTTGATAGACATCTACTCCACTTTCGCTTCGGTGCGAGGAATGATACTTCGATGTACGTTGGTTTTGGGGAAGGGTGGTGGTTTGTGGATTTATTGAGCGAGACGTCGATGTTTGTAGTTTAAGCTGAACTATTCTTGGAGATATAAAATATTTCTGTTGATATTCTTGTGGGGAATCAGAGTCAGAGTCATGTCAGTTTCGTCAACATTCTACCATGTCATGATCCAACGTGGAAGATTTGTATGATACACTTCCCCATAAAACGTGCCCTATGATACATGGTTTCCAGTGCTTTTCGTTCACACACATCCAGTCCCTACCTCGCCTTCTCCTTGTTCTCAGCCGCCCGCCTCTTCGCTCTGACCTCCGCTTTCCGCCTCTCACCACCATCAACCACATGACCTCTCCTCTCTTCCCAAATGCCCTCTTGCAGCCTTATCCTCGCCCTCAGCCCCTCGCCGCCCTTGACTGGCTCCACATAGCTCCCCTTGATGGTCTTGGCGCCCTTGACAAACACGCCCTGCACCCTCTTTAACGCATCCGCAGACACAGTCGGCGCCTCAGCCCCCGCAGGCACATTGACAACCAACTTCCGTGTCCCAGGGTCATGCGTGGCAGTAGCAGCCGCAGACCTAGGACTCATTGTGTTCCCGAGAGCAGGATTGGGCAGGACAGGCGCCTCGACGATTTTGAGCTCCGCAACGCCATCAACGACGTGCTGGCAGTCGCCGCCAATGCCGTACTCGCCGTTACGGAACTTCTCCCGCCAATGCAGCAGGTAGCGGCGCGAGCGGGCGGGCTCGACGCCGAGTTCTTTGAGCTGTGGCGAGCTGAGGGTGAAGAGGGCGTCCCAGGAGGGGATCTTGGTGGCGTGGGCGGAGAGGCCGCGGCCAATGGCGCTGAGGAAGGCCGTGTGGTCGGGGATGAAGGGAATGGGCTTCGGGACTGGGCGCATGGGGATTGAGTGCTGGAGGTTGCGGACGCATGTTTTTGGCAGCGAGACGGCGGCCGAGGTTGCGCTGAAAAGGGGTCGTCGGAGGATCATGATGGCGAGCGCTTGCTGTGAAGAGGCGTCGGATCGCACACGGCTGGATGTCGAAGCCGTGTTCGTGAACTTTTCGGACGCTCGACGGAAGAGCCAAGACAGGGCTTGGCGCGGTGCTCGTCGACATAGCCCCTCCAACATTGACAACTCACAGCTCCCAATCCACGACTCGCAATAGTAGAGAGTCTCCTATTGCGTCCACCATCACCATGCCGACCCCCGAAGTGCACCACCTCTTCCACAGCCCCATTGCGGACCACTCCTTCTCCGCAGACCGCCAGACGCTCGCCGTGGCCCGCGACATCAACGTCGAGTTGTACCAGAAGACGGGCGATGGCTTCACGCTGAAGGATGAGCTGACCGGCCATGACAAGACCGTCACTGGTGTCGACATTGCCCCCAACTCGGGCAAGATTGTCACATGCTCTCAAGGTGAGCGTCAAGTTGTCTGTTTGAAGGTGCAGGCAGCTAACCACTGACATAGACCGTAACGCCTATGTCTGGGAACCCTCGCCGCAAGGCTGGAAGCCCACACTCGTGCTTCTCCGCATCAACCGCGCTGCCACGTGTGTCCGCTGGGCACCCTCGGAGACCAAGTTCGCAGTCGGCTCAGGTGCCCGCCTGGTTCCTGTCTGCTACTTCGAAGAGGAAGACAACTGGTGGGTGTCCAAGCACATCAAGAAGCCCATCCGCTCCACCGTCACCGCTGTTGCCTGGCACCCCAACTCTGTCCTGCTGGCTGCTGGATCGACTGACGGCCACGCTCGCGTGCTGTCTTCCTTTGTCAAGGGTGTGGATGCGCGACCAGAGCCCTCCGCATGGGGGGAGCGACTGCCCTTTAACACCGTCTGCGGCGAGTTCTTGAACAACACCGCTGGATGGGTGCACAGCGTTGCATTCTCTCCCTCTGGCGATGCTCTCGCCTTCGCGTCCCATGACAGCACACTCACTGTCGTGTACCCCAGCGCTCCCGAGCAGCCTCCTCGCGCCATCCTCAGCATCAGCACCCAAGTCCTGCCCTTCATGTCGCTTGTGTGGAGCTCCGAGTCGGAGATCATCGCTGCTGGCTACAACTGCGAAGCCTACCGCCTGCAGGGCTCCGAGGAGGGATGGAAGCTTGCCGGCTCTCTCGAGTCCAAGGGTCGTCCTGGTCTGACGGAGCACCGCGAGGAAAGCGCGCTGAACATGTTCAGGCAGATGGATCTCAAGGGCAAGTCTGGCGGCTCCGAGGACACCAAGCTCAAGACTGTGCACCAGAACACTATCAACACGATCCGCAGTTTCGAGGAAAGCGATGGCAAGGTGACCAAGATCAGCTCGACTGGTGTCGATGGAAGGGTGGTTATTTGGGCTGTGTAGATACGGACCATGATTTGGCCTTGGGTGTTGCACACACATAGTAGGAGTCGATTTATATCTTCGTCTATAATTCAAGAAATCACTATCACAATCACAATGAATACACGCTCAAAGCTCTACGTGAGGGTTAGGTCAAATCTCTCTGACTCCATGTGCATCTCTATGAATGCAACCCACTGGACATAACAGGCAATAACAGGGGATATGACTTAAACTGCAAAATAACCGTATTGTTACAATCACAGTTCTTCTCTTCTGTGACGATTGCCGAATACTTTCTTGTTCGGCTATCAACTTTCCAAGTCGGCTATCATCATAGCCTTTCTGATCAACATGAATCCGGATGCTCCCGAAGACCCTGTCCTATCTGTGAGACGTGTAGGTTTTAGTATTCCTTGAAGCAAGAAAGAGGAAAGAGGGAAGGGATGAACATTCGGTTTAGACAACGTAACAATTCACTCATCTGAATCCATTTATTCGCGTACACGATCTACGCAGAACACAAAGGCTAACTAACCAACACAACCACTCAAAAAAAAAAAACAGCGAATATATACATTGCACGCCTCTCCTCGCAATATTTTTCTGTGGAAAACAAAAAGTGGAAAAATCAAGTAAAAGCCATGCTCTTCTTAATCTCCGCAATAGCCAGCGCGGGATTCAGGCCCTTGGGGCATGTCCTCGAGCAGTTGAGAATCGTGTGGCATCGGTACAAGCTCATGCTGTTGTTGAGGGCGTCCTGGCGCTCGGCGGCCTTCTCGTCGCGCGAGTCGGCGATCCAGCGGTACGACTGCATGAGCACGGCGGGACCGAGGTACTCTTCCTGGTTCCACCAGTACGATGGGCAGGATGTTGAGCAGCAGGCGCAGAGGATGCATTCGTAGAGGCCGTCGAGCTTCTTGCGCTCTTCCTTGCTCTGGCGGTATTCACGGCCCTGGGGTGAGGGGTTAGTGGTTGCTAGGTAGTGGCAAGTCAGTGTGGAATGGTACATACGTCAGGGGCGGGAGTAGAGCGCTGGAGGTAGGGCTGCACGGAGCGGTATTGCTTGTAGAAGTTTGTCATGTCTGGGACGAGGTCCTTGACGACGTACATGTGGGGGAGGGGGTAGATGCGGGATTCCTTGGTTGTCTCGGTGGGGATGCGGCCTGTTCCACTCGTTAGCTTTCTCGTCCCCAATCTCCCATGTGTGAAGTATACATACACAAGCAAGCAAGTGTGTTGACACCGTCGATGTTCATGGCGCAACTCCCGCAGATTCCCTCACGGCAACTCCGCCTGAACGTCAGCGTTGGGTCGACCTCGTTCTTGATCCTAATAAGCGCATCCAGCATCATGGGTCCCGTCTTGTTCAAATCGAGAGTGTACGACTGCATCTTGGGCTTGGATGACGGCTCATCTGGATTCCAGCGGTAGATGTGGAACGTCTTGGTCTTTGCATCCTTGCTGGGCTCGGGCTCCTTCATCGTCGAGGTCTTGCTCTCCGAGACAGGTTTCGTAGAAGCATCGGGCGCAATCTTTTCGCCGAGTTTGGAGATGGGGTCGCGGGCATGGACGTCGGCGACGGAGGCGAAACCGCGAGAGAAAACGGCGGGCCGTACGGCTGGGAGGGTGTTAGCAGGGCTCAATTGCTACGAAGATGGGTGTGCCTGCCTGCCCGTGTCGTGGCCAGACGAGTAAAAGCGCGTGTGCAAGCCATGGCGAAGATTGTGGGGGTGGAGAGGTCGTGCCTGCGTGATGTCTTGGAGATTCAAGGTGTTGTGCTCATTGAAGTTGTCATTCCCGAGGCATGTCTGTGCACGTGACGGTTTTTGGTAATATTGGCCCAATCAGACGCATGTGTTTGTCAGAGATCCATTCGGGCGATCTCGGGCTTTGTGTGTTTCGCGCCACGATCTCCACGTCTCGAACGTCAACACTCGCCTTCGTCATCTCTTCGTGATTTGAGCGTCTTTAGGCTCACTTCAAAGGACCGTCTTTTTCGCTCCAGACTCATACGCTGGCATTTGCCTCTCTTTTTCCACCTTCTCGACAAGTGCAGACATCCTTGGAAATTTCGCTTAGATACTAAGACATGTGATATCATCCCGCCTCTCCACCTTTGTGGAGAAAGTGTGAACGGCAAGAGTGTTGGCGCCACATCAAGATATTAGAACGCCTATTTGTGAATTTTTAATGGTCACTGTCTGATTGCCTGTACTGTGTTCAATGTCTCGTCATCTCCTTCACATATCTCATCGTCGAACTTCATCACTTCCTCTCGTTGCACGTTTTACCACAAGAACCTTCAACACAATGTCAACCAAGACACCCTTCGTACCTAATGGACCTGTTCACTGGATCTTAGACTGGGATGGCACAATCACCCAAAAAGACACTCTCGACACACTCGTCAACATATCAGCGTCTAACAAGCCAGACTTCCCCACTTTAGACCACTGGAACCGCGTTTCACAAGCCTATCTTTCCGACTACATGACCGAACTCGAGAAGCATGCTCCAGGTGGTGTTCTTCCAACTACTGTTGAAGACGAGAAAAGGCTGTTGAAAGCGTTGAAGCCTGTCGAGCAGAGGAGTTTGGATCGAGTCTCTGCATCAGGCATCTTCGAGGGGTTGACTGGGGAGTTGCTGGACGAAGGGGCGAAGAAAGCGGTTATGTCACAGCAGGTGGAGTTAAGATGGGGATTCGTAGACTTCCTCCGAGATGTGCAGACTCGAATAACGCGTCAGGGAGACGTGCTTAACCTCTTAAGCGTCAACTGGAGTCGTCGCTTTATTGCGAGTTCCCTAGAAGCTGCAAACGTCTGTCTGGATCCAAAAATCATCTTCGCAAACGAGCTCGAGGGTATAGAGGCAAGCAGATCCTCTAATGGCCACATCAGCCCGGAAGGCGATATGAAGATCATATCCAGCGATGATAAGCTGCGTTACATGGAGCGATTGAGGAGGACGAACTCAAAGTCTGGGAAAACAATACCAATAGTATACGTCGGTGATAGCTGGACGGACATCGAGTGTCTCCTTGCAGCTGACCTGGGGATATGCATGCGCAACGAACCCGTGGGCAGCTCACAGAAGAAGCTGACCGAAGCTCTACAAAGACTAGGAGTTCGTTGCCCTCATATCCGGGATTTGGGTGAAGCTGACGAGTGGGGGGTGGTTTGGGCAAGAGACTTTACTGAAATACAGAAGTCGGCCATGATGGCCAATTCTTAGGAAGCCGTATCGTAATAGTAATACTATTATTTTGAGATTATAGCGTATTCATGCTTGTTGTAGGCAGATAGACGCAACACAGTAAGAATCTAGTATAGTAACTCAGTGTAGAAGCTAATACCCAGCCCCTTTGCACACAGTAAAAATCAGTAAGAGTACACAGTGATAGTAACAGAGATCTGATCAACTGTCTCTTGACGACTGACTGCTAAATGTACCAATGCGGACGCGTGTTCGAAAGCCCAGGCAGTGATCGAAGTTTGGTTCGGTTTTGGGTCGTGAACCGTGAATAGTGATATACCTTACCCCATGTTCGCAATCATACTGAAATGTAATGAGCATGTTCATATACAATGATACAGCTAGGCTGCGTATACTTCAAACTGGTGGGCCCTCTAGCACTTGCTCCCGTCGACATGAGAACAGTCTTGCGGATTCTGTACAGCATCTTCTTCAAACTCGGATTTGACAGAGATATGAGTATGCCCATTAGTCCGTACTCACTATTCCACGCCGTTCTCCATAATTGTGATGTCCTTCCATATCCATCACCGTAGCCACCATATCCTCTTTGATATCCACAGTTTGTACAATGTCCAAACCACTTACTTGCCATATATATCCCCTATCAATCCCTCTTCACAATTCTTCCCCACCAATCATATCAACCAGAGCGAGTAATCACCATCCACTACATTGTTTCCTTATCGTCAATCATAGTCATCTTCAGCCGCGAAAAACCACCGCCATCTACTCGCGAAGACGAAATGGCTTCCGAACGAACGCCATGCTCAGGTTGTAACTGCAATAACCCCCCTCGTAGGGCGAGGATCTTCAACAAGTTCTGCAGAGCTATCTGCATTCGAAGCGAGCACTACAAGCCTGTTGTTGTCTGCGATTGTGCATGTCATACGGTTGCGGAAGACAATAATCTGTTGATCATCGCATAGTAGGCACGGTGCTAGGAGCCCTTGACACATCGGATTCTGATCTGTTAGAAACTGGAAAATTGGAGGTGTGGTGTTGTAGTAGAGAGTCAGAAAGTGCAGGATTTGGATATCGACACCAAACGGAGCATGCGGTTAGAGAAGTATGGCTCACATCGAGAATATTCAGCGATTAAATGGTTGTGAAGTATGTTGTTGAGCGATGCTAGCACATCTTGTAATCGTAGACCTGTACATTTGGTCAATTCAGATTTAGGATAGCAGTAATCTGATGTCATGATCTAAGAAGCAATTGGATGTGAGGAGAGGTAACAATGACAAACTGAGCCTTTGACTAACCATGATTGCGGTCAGACTTTTTTCCAAGCTGTTTACTGATAGCACAAACCATTTGTTGGTTCAATTCCCGCCTTGTGATAACGTTGATGATTGTTCAGCGGCGTCTCCCTCCTGGCATCGCTCTTTCATAACCCAACTGCATATTTCAGGCTCGCTTTCCCCCTTCATACACCAGCACCTTCTCTGAAACTAAACAGCACGTGTGGGCATTGATTTGGAGCGACGGTTGGATAGTGGGGAGTCCGCGAGAGCCTCACTTTCACCCTGAACAAACGCAGCCCAAAGTGAAAGACAACCAACTTGCGCAATCCGGGCAACCAGACAAGCTTTCACTTATCATTACCCCTCTATCTTTACCTTCCTGCCGTGCTCAACCATCCTCTCGCGCAACTTTGCGAGAGCGCAGCAGCCTACCATTCAGAATCAACTCGCGATCCCGTCAAACATATTACCATGTCCAAGGAACCTTTCGATTTCTCGACATGGGGCGGCTTCGAAGGTACTAGAAGCAGCTTGTTGCCTGCCCCCGCAAGGAGACGTTCATCGCCGAAACGCATCAACAGACGTGATGGCGTAATAATGCCCGATATTATGCGCCAATACTCTTACTCCAGGGAGTTTGAGATCAACTACGAAGACGTTAGTGGAGGGGCGGGGGGAGCAGGTCGTCAAACTCGCTTTGATAGCAAGGTCGATGGAGAGAGGCAAGACGACGACGCGCTCTCCTTCGAACGAGAGAGTCCCGGCACTGTGACTGTGGGCAAACTTTGCATGCCTTCCCTGTCTCCCGCCACACATGCTTCATCCAGATCGAATCGGTCTCCGAGCGATGGCACTTTCAGTGTCTTGAGCAGCGACAACGAAGACGACTGCGGCGGGCTCGCTTCGATCGGTCAGTGGCATTGTTGCAAGTGCGGCAAAAGGCACGAACTCTTGAGATACTACAAAGGACCGCATCTTGTTAGTATCTTGCGATGTGCATGCCCACACAAGTCGTGCGAGGACTGCACAGTGAGCGGCCAGGTTCAAGTCTTCCGGCCCATATCAGATTCGGCACCCATCCCGTTCTCCGACGAGGAAGACAAAAGCTACAAGCGTTTACATTACGGCGTGTGTTGCAGCGCCTGTGGTCTGTCATGGCGGGTACAGAAGCGGAAAGTGGTGCATCGAAGGTTCTCAAAGATGTCGATATCATTGCATATGCCGCACCCTCTCGAGAAGCTACGCAGTACGAAATCGATGATCAATCTTTCACGTCCTGACTACGAAGACTCGGCATCTCGAACGACCTTCTTCCAACGATTCTTCTCGAAGAGAGGCCAAACCCTGGGAGCGATGGTCAAGTTCAGTGGTATCAAGTGTACCTGTGGCGTTGTGACGGACGGCTCCTCACTGATGTTCAAGGTCCTGGATCTACCGAAGGCTATAGATGTGGCGAAGCCTGCGGGAAGGGATGGAGAACAAACAACCCAGCCTCAGGCACTAGATAAGCTTACCACAACACCAGAGCTTCAGGCTAGAGGTCACTGGTCACCGACTATCCGTCTTCAGGGCGGTCTGCATCCGAATCCACTCAGAAGCAATTTGGTAAACGAAATGGCCTCACCATCCAAGGGTTTGGAGGACGGACTGGACAATCCACCTGCCGATACTGTGCGCGACAACGATTACTAGACGATCGATCGAACTGGATGCAACCGAGTAGGCGCTCGGATCTTGGTCGTAGCTGATATTTGCGGAGCCCATGGAATAGGCAATAGTAGACGATGTAATATGGCGTTTGCTTCTTGTATGACCGGTGGAATTTGGTTGGATAAGGGTCATGATGAAGTATCGTCAAGTATTCCCAGGAACGAATGTATCTATGCTGCCAATCATGTCGTCCGGATTCTGTGACATCGGAATCGTTGAATGACTACTGACACCTCTCGTTTGCCAGATATAGCATAGCTGGATGTCTGCTGTATAGGCATCAGTGATGGTAGAGTCTGTGTCAGCAGACATGACAAAGCCTACTTGGCCCATATTACACTATGATCACTCTAAATTCCAGTCTCTTGACCATTGCCCGGATTTACACTATTGATGCCTTCGTCAACGCAGCGGATGATGTACTCAGCTGCGATATGTTAAGCTACGGCCTAGGTAGCGACGGTGACCCCGAACACCGCTCATTTACCTAGTGACCTTTGTACTCCCGTATTGTCAACTAAGGTTGCCTGGTGCTAGCCCTTTTTGAGAATAAACGATAGCACAGCCTTCCACCTCCACAAGAATCCATGTTACGCCCCACTGGTTCACGCAGTCATCCGATGTTATCTTCCTCTGATGATCGTGATAATAACGTGGTAAGAAGGAAATTTGCCGTTTGATCGATACCTGTGAATCAATAGGATGGAGGCTCGGTTCATGCACTCATGCGCTCACGCGCTCACACTCTGCTTAGCTGTCATTCGGCATGATTAAGGTCATCGAGCATGTCGCATTTAGTAAGACTAGACGATCTAGACCGGTTCCAGTACACGGTCATCCTTTTACACTCATCTCCTTCGCTCACTGCGGAAAGTGGAACCGATACTTTGGGCAGCCCTACGGTCAACCTCGCAATGACTTCAGAGGCTCAGCTTTGCAGCTAGAGAGAATAAGGTAAGACTAGCGTCAGGCGGTTGTTGGCGGGTGGCCACAGTCGGTGTGAAGAGAAGCCTTAGGAAATGGGTCTCGTGTTTGTTAACCAATCATGGTCTGCACGGCCACAACATCATAGCCACTTGTGATTCTAGGCACATCGTGATAGTAAACAATACATAAATACAACAAAGGGTTTGCTGAAGAAATGTTATACACTGACTTGGCTCAAACACCCAATTTATTCCCTCTTCCAATACACATTCCGTTTGCGTACTGCAACAAACACAGCCTCCTTCCGTCAACAATGTCAGTTCATCCCCGCTAACCCGTATGTAAGCAATCAGATAGGCTAACCTTCACTCAGTCCCCAACTTCTACCTCCTTGCAACATTCACGCAATCCGCAATTTTTTCCAGTCGATCGTCTTTGCGCAAGAGTACATAGGCCAGCCGTCAAGTCATCTTCCACGATCAAACACTCTGGCATCTTCGAGCTCAACAAAAGAGGAGCAAGCACAGGACCAAACCACAACCATGTCCAAGTCCGATTCCAAGGCCTGCCCAACATGCAAGAGGGGGATAGAAGACGCGCCCGCGAAACCCGCCCCAAAGAGCACAACCGTAGACATCGACGGAGACATTGAGGATACCTTGAACCAGCTCCCACCACTCCCCACGCCCCTACCAAAAGCTCATCCAGACTTCATCCACTGCGTACCCCCCCAAGCACCCACCTACCGAAAATACTCCGTCTTCACAGCAGGCAGCATAGAAATGGGCGCAGCCGTGCAATGGCAAAAGCACATGGCCAAATTTCTATCCCCTCTCCCCGTGACAGTCAACAACCCGCGCAGAGGGCATTGGGATCCCGCCACGACGAAAGAAGCCAAGAACGAGGCTTTCAGACACCAGGTCGAGTGGGAGCTCTCTGCGCTGGAGAAAGCTACCGTTATCTGCTTCTTCTTCGACGTCAACACCAAGAGCCCCGTTACCATGTTGGAGTTGGGTCTGTGGGCGCACTCGGGCAAGGTGGTTGTTTGCTGCAGCAAAGATTTCTGGCGCGCGGGAAATATTCACATTGTGTGTGAGCGCTACGGTATTCCGTTTGTGGAGTCGTTTGAGGCGTTGGTCCCGGCGATCAAGGATATGCTGGTGGAGAAGGGCATGAAGTTGGATGCGGACGGTAACCTGATCGATTGACGGTTGGTATCTGTAACGGCGTTTGGCGGCGGTGTCGGATTTGGCGGTCATCTGAGCGTTCACGAGAAGTTATGGAGGACATCTGTTTATGGGCGGTTTTTGTGTATTGCTTCTGTTTTTCCCAGTTTCCATAGAATACGTTCTCTGATGCTTTCCATGATTATCCCATTACATGTTCTCCGCGTAGTAATGCAACCACGATCCAATGCTCATTACGCCATCTTTTTGCAGAAGTGATTTCTACATCGACTAACTACGGTATGATAAAAACTGCATCAGCTCCTCAAGATATCAGCTAGCTTCTTGATATCTTCCGTACTGAACCACTACTCTATACTTCCACCCGATGAATGACAAGAGTGGTGCACCCTGCTATAACATGATAAATTGGTTCTTGCCTGGTGTCCGAAAAGTGTCCTCTTTCCCCATCAACACCGGACGTCGCGCGTCTCGAATGCCTTTTGAGACGAGTGTTCTCATCGTCTTCGTCGTAGATATGTTCGGGTCGTTGGTTCACTGCTGCACATCTGTATAGGTCATGTTAGCTTTGATGTCTTACTAGTCTGCATCTCTTTCTGCAGCAGCAAGTGGCTCCTCACCAGCTCCTACGTCAGATCTACAGCCAACCGCCATATCAAACCCACACACGCACTGAACCCCCCTCCCTCACCCCTCATCGACCTCAACCTCAACCTCAACCTCAAACCCCACCCTAACCCACAAACTACACCCCCCACACCCAACCAGCACCTCCCTTTCCCCCCTCCCCTCCGCACCCTCCAACTCACTCTCAAAGATGCGAAACCCCATCGAATCCCCACACCGACAACCCCTCGTCCACTCCGCCTCCCCATCTCCCTCCTCCCCTGCAGAGAAATCACTCAAATCCAGCACCTCCAGCCCGAGGACAAACTCTCCCATGCCTACACCCACCCCCCCAGTTCCCGAACGCGCACCCGCACTATCCCTGCCTAGGAACCACTCTTCATAAGCGCCCCTGCGCCCCGCATCGCTCAGCACGAAATACGCTTCCTTCACGTCGTCGATAGTATATGTGTGTGCTTCTTCTTTGCTTTTACTGTCTTTCCCTCCTGTTGTCTTGTCCGTGCTACTGCGGGTTTTATCCGGATGGGCGCTCAGCAGCGCGCTTTTATACGCTTTTCTCACGTCTGCGGTGCAGAGTGAGTCTGTACGTTGCCGCCCGGCGCTGGATGATGATGGTGATGATGAGGGTTCTTCAAGCCCGAGGATGGCGTAGTAGTTTTTCGTGTAGGACATTTTCTTATTTTTGTGTTTTGAAATGTTCTGCTCCTTTTTTGTCTTGTCTTCTTTTCTTCGCCTCCAGCTAGGTTGGTTGGTTGGTGTGTTACTTTTTTTTTGGAGAGTGTTTCGTCTTTATTTTTGCGTACCCAACATCGACTTTGGTGGATAACTTTTTGCTGGGGGAAAAAAGAACTCTGAGCGGAGACGGGGGCTGGCTTGGCTTGGCTCTTCTTTTCTGGAAGGGCAGATTTGTTTTGCGTCGACGATTTGTGGAAAGCTACCGGCAGTTGTACGAGAAGTAGGCGGGGCGCCCACTCGGCATATTCTTTTTAGCGGGGCTCCATCCATGGACCTGGGAGTCATGATTCATGGTTCAAGGGTCTAGCATGTGTCGAGAACTCTGAGAAAGGCTTGGAAACACGCGTATCAACACTTCGCCCTACAATTGTCATGCAAAGTGCGCTGTAGTACGTGGTATGCATCACACTAAAAGACAGGGTTCACAACAGTCATAGTTGCAGCAGTCCAAATGAGCAGGTTGAAATAACAGTTCCTTAAGCCTATCTAAGAGTGCAGTATGGTGGATGGTGAGCCCAAGGACCAGCAAAGTAGTTGTCCTGACTCAAAAGACACAGCCTGAAGAGCCCACGCTTCTCGGTCCTCCATAGGGGTAGGTTCATACGCTGCCAAAAGGGAAAACAGGGGAATTGGGGATCGCATTCGAGGAGCCACACACCGTTCCTCCACCATGTCCGCAGCAGTCGACGACATTCATGTGGAAGATGGTAAACGTCAGCGATCGCGTGGGAGACGACCACAACAGACTTGGCGAGGGCGGTGCGGGTAGTGCAAGAGAGCAAAGGAAACACATCAGTCATTGGGGAATTTCACCATCCGACCCGCTCGCTGCTAAAGCCAATTTTCGAAATAACAGGACACATATAACTCCGTAGAACGCTCGGTGCTATGGCTGCTTCTGTCGTCGATCCGAGAAAAGAAGACAGCGGCTGATGGTGCACAAGGTCGAGAGAAAGAGTGCATTTAGGCGGCGGCGGGAGCCGGTTGCTGCTCCTCGGTCTTGAGCTCAGCTGGTGCCTCCTTGGCAGCCTCCTCCTCCTTGGGAGCAGCGTCGGCGGCGGGCTCAGCCTCGTTGCCGTCCGATGACGTCCAGAGAGTGAGGTTGTCACGGAGGAGCTGCATGATGAGGGTGCTGTCCCGGTAAGACTCCTCGGATAGGGAATCGAGCTCAGCAATTGCGTCGTCGAACGCTTGCTTGGCAAGGTGGCAGGCACGGTCGGGCGAGTTCAGGATCTCGTAGTAGAAGACCGAGAAGTTCAGTGCCAGACCGAGACGGATGGGGTGGGTGGGGGTAAGCTCAGTTTGAGCGACGTCGGTCGCCGTCTGTTCATGCGGGTCAGCTGTTTGCAGGTCTGATGTGCGTGGGCATTGCGTCATACCTTGTAGGCCTCGTGTGCGGCCGTTGCGGCAACCTTGCGCTTCTCCCCAGAGGCAAATTCGGCAAGGTAACGGTGGTAGTCACCCTTCCTGCGCTGGTGTTAGTCTTGCAGTGCGCGGACGGAACCACTCAGACGCACATCTTGTGGTAGAAGACCTTGGACTCGCCAGACTCGGCCTTGGGGATGAGAGAGTCGTCGAGGACGTTGAGAACATCCTGGCAGACCTGCTCAAGCTCGAGCTCGATCTTCTGGCGGTACTCGCGGATGGTTCCGACGTGCTTGTCGGTGCCCTTGGACTCCTCCTTCTGCTCAATCGAGGAGATGATGCGCCACGAGGCACGTCGCGTGCCGACGACGTTCTTGTAGGCGACCGACAGCAGGTTGCGCTCGTCAACAGTCAATTCGCCGCCGATCTGCAGTGCGTTAGAGGAGGGCTGGAGGGCGGTGTGCGTCGTCACGGGCGCCTGCTGGTACGTGAGGTCGACATACCTTGGCAACTTCCTGCGAGACAGTCAGCTTGTGAGTCCAGAGTGGCGCAGCTGTGAGGCCGAACTAACCTTCATGTACTTGACCATCTCTGTGAGCAGCACCGTTAGCATGCGCGGCCACCGCTGGGGATGCGCGGCACTTACCATCGTAGCGCTCAGCTTGTTCGCAAAGCCGGGCGAGGAAAGTCTTGCTGCTGCCGCGTCAATCACTTTGTCATGCTGGCCTGGAGGGAAGCCAGGCGTACCTCTCGCGCTAGAAGGGGGGCCATGTTAGCATCTGTTGGCCCTAATCGCGGTGAGGGCGAGGGCCAGAGGGGCATCCCGCCGGGCAGCAACGGCGGGGAAGGGCAGATAAAGGAGTACTCACCTCGTTCGCCATTGTGATGGTGGGTGTGGGTGAAGTGGTTGTTGGTGGGGTTGGGCGGGACTGGGTGCAGATGGCTAGGGAAGGATACAGGCGTGGTGGAAGTGTATGAGAAGAGTCTGTGGGTCGGCGGACGATGGATTGTTTTGAGGCGAGGCGGCTGCCTTTCAGACAGCACGCCAAGCCCCGTCGACTACGCCTTCCCCCAAGTGGCACGCCTCGACGGCCTCCTCGCACCGCTCCTTGCCCGTTGGAGAGCTGGGGTAGGTCCGTTTCACTCCAAGTGTCTTTCTATGCTTCATTCTTCACTCTGCACCCTCTGGCTGCCCTGCTGTCGGCAGTTTCTCGTAACATTGGCAATGAGGGGTCCCTCTCTGCCACGTGAAAGGTGCATAACGGCAGGAGCAATGCAGTTAGGAGCCTTCCGACGCACTTGACAACACGAGCCCGTTATTCCCTTGAATCTGACCTCTGAAAACCGCTACCCGTCTCACCAATTGCGCTCCAAAGCGTCGCTGCATCAAGAAACGGGCTACTGAACCACGTCGAATTAGGGCCAATCACTGCGGCGCGAAGGAGTCAGAAAACCTGGAATAGCTCTGGCTATGAGCGCTTTGTAGAACCACGTTTCGTGTCACCTGTGAAAGAGGTGGGGTTCGGTCTGATTGTCTTCGAGTCGCCGACCCATCTGTCGTTGTCCGTTTGGCGTCGAGCAAACAAACACGGGACAACGCTTCATGCTGTATTCTGCCAAGCATAGTGTCGACCTCAACTCTTCAACAGGGATGCCTTGCGTATACGTCTGTCAGTCTCGAGTCTATATCTACTGTAACGCGTGGCTGTGTGACGACCTTGCTCCTGCAAAATGCATCATGTTATCGCGGAATCCTCAACCGTTCCGCCCATGCCGAGTTCCACGAACATGGTGATGCAGACGCCGTAACACCCGCGATAGGATATCCTGCCACAGAAAATGCCCATCTAATGATATACACCCATTCATGCAAATACTCCAAACACATCTTCCCCTCACATCAACAAGCGCCAAACACCCAACATGAGCGCCGCCGTACCCGTACAAACCCCCATCAACCACTGTAACGTCGAAAACTTAACCGCCTCCAACCTCTCCCTCAACTGCGCCGTCTCCTGCTCAATCCGCGTCTCCGTCTCCTTCAACTTGAGCTCCTGAACATTCGCCTCCTCGCGTATGCGGCCCTTCTCCAGATTCAAATCCAGCCGCACACTCGCCTGCGTGCGCTGAATCTCATCCCTGAGCCGCGAATTCAGCTTAGCGAGCTCGTTGGTAAGGCGCTCGTGCGAGGCGCGCGTGAGCGATGATTCCGTGCTATCTGCCGTGAGAAGCTCAGAGCGGAGTTTAGCGAAGTCGACTTTTTGCGTGTAGGTAGCTTTTTCTTGGTCTTCGCGGAGCACCATTGTGCGCGTCAGGTTTTGAATGCTGCATGCGTGCGTGGGTTAGCGGGTGAGCTGTAGAGCGTCCTGGGGAAATGAACGGGATAGGACATACCTCTCCTCAATAACGTCGCTCAGCACTCTCATCATGCCCTCGGCTTGCTCGTCGGTGAACCCCTCCTCCTTCATCCTCTGCACGAACTTCAATGTATCGAAATGGTGGTCCTTCGCCTGCTTTGCTGTTGCGCTGAACTCTCGCGCAGATGCATAGCCGGCTGCGTATTGTGGCGAGCTTTTCCGCCATGCCTGTGTTGTGTGTTGCTGAAGCGCCGTAGCGATTGGACTCGCTGTGCGTCGTGGAGGGGCCTGGGAGGATCGAGTGTGATGACGCCTTCTTTCCAAAACAACCGATGCTGCTGGTCTAACTGTTCGGGGGGCCCATGAGAACTGGGGCAAAAGAAATCGCGGTATCGCTGTCGCTGTGTGTTGTATCGAAGGCACTGCCATTGTAGATGTCGGGCGTTATGTTTGTGAGCGTTCTAGTTTCAACGGAGCGTTGTGAGATACGATGAATGACGTCTTAGTCATCCACACCACACATGGAAATCTACGAATTCTGCGGCCAATATTTCAGCATCTCAAGTGTATATAAACATGTGGACTAACTGAGTCGTATGGACAAGCGCAGTAACAACCGCACCATTCAAACCTGCGCCAAAAACCAAAACGCTTACTATGCACGCCAACCGCTGGGTAAAGCACAAACACCCGAATCCAACACCCTTCGCCATCACCATTACCGCCTACCGCCCATAGTCTAGGCTCGGCACAATGACCGGCCCGTACTTCATCGGCGCACTATACCCCCCATCGTTCTGCACCATGAAATCGACCGCCAAACTCAGCTTCCCGCTCCCATGCCCCGGCACAGCTTGACCAAACGTGCCATTTACAATCTCAGGATCGTAGATCACACACGCCACGTAGTTTCTCCGGCCCATGAGTCTTTTGTATTCGCGCGGCTGGCCATTCACGTCCTGGGTGAAAATCTCCATCATGTCTTCTTTTGTGTCCGAAGGCTGGTGATTGCTGCGGTGACCGTTTTGTGGGACGTACAGGGCACGGTTGTTGTGCAGAAGGCGGAGAACGTAGTTGCCTGGCGGTGCGTTTACCACGCTGGAGGAGATGATTTGATACATTGTTTTGTGGTCCTGGGGACGGGCAGGGTCATGAACAAGGCCTGCACCGCAGCAGTCGACGGCACCAGAAAAGAAGGTGATGCGCAGGGATTTGTTGTGAGCAATGCCTTGTAGGGTTCGGATTAGATATGTACGCTCGAGGTCCTAATACCCGTTAGTATGCTGTTTGATCGATGTCTGCAAGAGAAACTTGCCTTGGAATCGTGCGTCCACAGGTCTCGTAGTTCGTCAAGGAGATCAATTTCTCCAAAAGGACTCAGGACACCACTCATGAGGCCTGATTTTCCAATAGCCTTCTTGACAGAATTGAAGCCGTCGCCGACCACGCCCTTAGCGCCAACGACACCGGCGACGGAACTCGTTACTTTGCCCAGCATATTGAATGTGCCCGTGACGGCTTTCTTCCCTGTTGCCATTGAATGAGCAAGATGCTCGACAGACTCAAGGCGAGGATAGACGATGGGGACTGGAACCATCCAGATGCAGTGCTGAATGCTGGGTGGTAATGTGGCAACCTTGGGGAAGATACCCTGGTACGTCGGGCCAGCCATAACTTGGTGCGGGTTCCTCTCGGAGCGGCAATCTGGGCCAACGACGGTAACACAGGGACCCAGATACTTGATGAAATGCCAGCCAGTACCAGTAACGGTGAAGAGATCTATGTCGTTGCTGACATTGCGAAGTATCTCAAGTGTTGTGTGGTGCTGGAAAAGTAGGTACATCTCGATACCCAACCTTCCAATGTTCTTGAACATGTTGGAGAATTGCATGTACTCGGGATATGAGCCAAAGCCATCGAAGCTACACAATGTCAGCGGGTCAACTTGAATATTGGCATTGCGACTTACATGTCATGGTCGTCGAGAGCAAGGATGTGAGGGATCTGCGCAAAGGCTTCCCGCAGATGGGGCTGATCGAAATGACTGGTGTAGTAGTGGAAGTAGGCGTGCGAGACCTCATCCTCATGCTTGGCAGTCCACTGAGCGTTCTTGCGCGTCTCCTTGCCACTCATAGCTGTCCACTGTTTTAGAAGTGGGATCTCTTTCCACAGGCGATCTGCGTAGATTTGACCCCCTAGGCCTAGCTGGACGTGGAAACCACCGCATTCTGCGTTCTTTTGCAGGATGTCCTTCCACATGAGCCCTACACCCCCGAGCTTGTTCCGCTCGTTGGCATTCACGTTGAGCGCAAAGTCGTTGCCAGAGTGAGCAATGAACCTCCAGCTGGTCTCATGGCGTCCGGCGACCAGGAACTCGAATCGTGTGCAGCCCAAGTGCGAAGTGATGGCGTATGTCCATTTCGAGGCGTGTTCTTCGTCCATCTTCAAGTCGACGTCGTAGCGATAGAACATCCACGTCTGATGCGCGTAGATGGGATTGGCCTTGAGTTGCCGCGGATTTGGCGACAGATCTGCGCTCTGATGGATGTGGATTGTGGGAGGATGGGGCGTGTTTGTGACCAAGAGAATCGAGCCAAGCCACAGCCCTCGCTCGAGGTCCATGTTGGTGTATCGCAGGTACGGTCCAAAGTAGACTCCGTTGGTGGGCCCGACCTTGTACTGGTCTACGCCGGCCACTGGAGGCGGGCCTGTAAACCCTGCTGCAGTGGGAGTCGCGAGCGGCGCCATGCCAAAGTCTCCTGGAAAGCCGGGGGTTTGGGCCGGGAATCCAGGTGATGCCATCGACGCCTTTCCAAACGATGGCGAAGTCAGCGGATTCACAAACGTGCCTGTCGGAGACAGTGGCTCGTTCAGGTTCAGCGGGGTAGGGCCCTTGGGGAACTCCCATTGCGTGGACTGTGTGGGGAGGTGGATGTAGTAGTACTGGCCTGAGCTGGGATCCAGATGTGCGATCCAGCCCTCGGGCAGCGGTGGAGGAGAAGCTGGCCCAGGCCCAGGCCCGGGCGCTGGACTCGACGTGTGAAGCGGCTGAGCTGTTTGTATTTGCGGGGGGAACTGGCTCGCGACGGGTGTGGGTGCCACGACAATGGCCGTCTGCTGTGAGGGGGTTGCTTGCTGGGGGCGCACGTCGTTGGCAAATGCGGGGTGGCCCTGGTTGGGATCGCTGGCGGATACGCCGTAAGCCGAGGGCTGCGGCCGTCCCTTCTCGTTGGGATAGGCCTGGCCCTGGGCGGTGGGCGGCTGTGTGATGCTCGAGTAGGCCGGCGGAGGCTCCTCGCCCAGGTTCATGCGGCCCATGTCGTGGTTCAGGGGGTGCTCTGGCGGCACACTGCTCGGGGCCGGAGACGACGAGTGGAGAGGCGCCTGTGGGAGGGGGCCCTGTGGTGGAGCTGTCGCGGCCACCTGATCCGGCCCCTGGTACACTGCAGGCGGGCCATGTGGGTTGCTTCCGGGCTGCTCAGTGGGCGTCCATGGCCTGCGTACGGGCTGCTGCTGCTGCTGCTGTGGTGGTGGAGACGTGATAATGGGGCGCGGCTGCTGGTTCGCGTAGACCTGGCTGCGCTGTGAGGCCGCCGCGTTCTGCATGTTCTGCGCCTGCAGGCTGTTCAGCGTTGACGTGCCTGCGATGCCGGCCGCCGCAAAGCGCGCCTCGATGCCCCCGCCCGACGGAGGAATGATGGGAGTCTCGGGCGGCGGTGGAGAGCCTCGCTGCGCTCTTGTCGTGGACGTCGAGGCCGTCGAGCTCAGGCGATTGACGCCGCCGGGCGCGGGAATCTGCAGGGCGACCTCGGGCTGCTTACTGGGCCCCGCGTTCGGCGGCGGCCAGTACTGCTGGTGGTACTCGGGGAACGGGTTGCTCGCATCGCCGCCAGCCGTGCCCTGTCTCTGTGGCGCGCGCTGGAACAGGCCCTCGCTGTCGGGCGAGTCCAACGGCGACTCAGGCAGGGGCTTTGGCGCAGTTCCCCGCCGCTCGGCCAGGCGCGATGGCTGGATGGACCCGTCTGCATTGCGTCCGCCGTAGCCCGCCTGCGTTGGCCGGTTGGGGTCGTTGGCATCGAAGCGGGCGCGCTTGTCGGGCGACGTCGGACTGGGCCCGGTCGCATTGGAGCCGCGCCGTCGCCCTGCGTCGGGTGGTGTCGCTGTTCTGCCGATGCGCTCGCGCTCGCTCAGTGGCGTATAGCGGCCCTGGCCCAGGGTTTGCAGACGTTCGTCGGGGTAGGGCAGAGGAGCTGTGGGTGGACTCGATGGCGGAGCAGGGAACGAGGGCATCGGGGGCGGGCGCCAGAAAGCAGGCTGGCTCGAGCTGCCTGCAGAATCGGTGCGAGGAGGCGGGCTCTTCGAGGCTGTGTCGCGCTTTTGTATCTTCAGCGGCCCAACCGTGGGCGTCTCTGCGCTCGCTGAGTAGCGCAGGAACAGTTCCTCTTCAGGCCGTCCCTGCTTGCGATTATCCATGGCGAAATGCGTGCGAGAGGCGCGGCTGCTCCCTCAATCCCTGGATCGCCCGCGACAATAAACGTCAGGCTCTTTTGGGCGACGAGCGTGCGTGGTGGACCAGAGAGTGGCGGGGTATCAGTCGTTTGATATGACGTGGGACGAATGCATATAGGTACCTGCGCCCTAGGTATCTGGCGACCCGTGAAGCTATAAAGAAAGCAGGAGAGCGACGATGCGCCTGACTCCCAAACCTGCCCTTACGTAGCCTCTCTTCCGGCTGGGTCAAGTATTGGGCTGCAGACGACGCGCTGAGCTGTCTTAGCCATGTGATTGGACCGCAACTTTCCCATACGCGCCTTCCCACCGAATGGGAGATCGCCTGTCACACCTTGGCACGGCATCGCCACACCATCTCGGTACCTTTTACAAAGATATACTCCTGACTGCAGCTTTCCAACAGATTATGCAAGGCGTGCTGGCCCTCCCAATATTATACAGACATCTAGCCCTCCCAATGTCCTACAGAAATGTACAGCTCTAACATTCTGCAAAATCTCTCTTGCTGTAGTCAACATTTACAACTACTCCTGACTTTCCACGCATATCCAACCCTACTAATGTCCTGTAGATATCTGCCCCCAACACCCTGCAAGTGTCGCCCTCGCTGTGCTCAATAACAACCACTATGATATTATGATCTAGTTTCCAGTTCTTCTCCAAAGTGAATAAGAATTTTCATCAAAATACGTCTTCACCGTGAAATTGGATTGGATAGCTCTTTTGAGACTGGTGCCTGTTCGATCAGACTGCTTGCCTTCACTTGACAACTTCACCTGCGATATCTTTTGCTATATATACCCCTCCCTCCTTCGATTGTCACCCTCAACTGACAACTCCAATCCTACCACTCTGCTTTACCCATACAGCTTCGAGCTATCTCACCATGGCTAACAGATCCAAGTACTATGTGAGCCGCGCCAGAATGGAGGTAGAGCTTACTACCCTCAATGGCTTAGCCTACGACATGACTGCGCCTGGCCGATACAACTGCTACGACAATCTTGTTCTTCCTTTCGCGACATGGGTGCGAAGAATACACGACGCGGCTCATCCAACCGACCGCGGTGACCTGGTTCAAGTCGATGAGAGTGACTACCTACAGTACCAGCAATGGCAGTCCAAATTCAGAGGCTTCGAAACTGATATCCAGTCATACATCACCATCGTCGAGCGGGGTGGTCAGCCCTTCCAGGACTCACTCGTAGCGATCGTACCGCCCGTCGCCGGTCCTCAAGGCGCGGACATCGACCGAGTTCAAGCAGCACGCCAATACAATCAAGCATGGGGCAACCTATACCAGGCATGGGTTGCGGCGGATCGCACGCGGTCTCCCTTTGATCAGTTCTCATTCATCCGGCTAGTAGCTCACGCTCATGGGACACGACAGTCCATCGCCAACCCCGCGCGATCCCGCGTAGAGTGCATCAGGGCACTTCGCCACGAGTGGGTGGGCCGGTTCATTCGCGCACGGCAGACGGTGGTCATGCCGAGACCCAAACGCAAGCACAACTACGTCTATGATATCAACCCTCCCCCGCCAGCGAAGTCCCTCAAGACAGTGGCAGAGGGTTGGGGTTTTGGCAAGCGAACTCCACCCTCGACCACCAACGATCCTGCCCCGACGCCCCAGGGTCTGACCCCGGTCAGACCCTCTGGCATTATCAACCGAAGAGTCGTCCACAACGGTCTGCAGGAGCAGACGGTTGCAACACGAGTGGATGCAAGCAACCTCCCAGAGCAGACTGGACGAGCCAGGCTCCGCATGCTTCTTGGGGAAAGCACCACTACGGAGACCAAGAAGAAGGCTGCCGAGGAGATGAAGAAGGCCGATGAGGAGAGGAAGAAGGCTGACGAGGAGGAGATGAAGAAGAAGGCTGACGAGGAGGAGATGAAGAAGGCCGAAAAGAAGCCATTCAAAATGTCTACTATCCAGGAGGCCAAAGATCGGATTCGTACGCAACGGAGGGTACTAGGAATATCCTATCGCACTCCATCTCCTGAACGCGCTCCCAGCGGCTCTCAAACTCACGATCACGCTCCCAGCCGCTCTCCAACCGCCCAACAGGGCACTGGTCGTCCCGCGGATTACGACGATGCACATGTGGTCATTCGTCGGAAGCGTTAGGCATAGTGCACACTCGATGGCAGGTGCAAAGGGGATACCAAGGTTTTCACTCGTAGGCATTTGGTAAGCGTAGGCTTTTATGAAGACGTGGAACATGAACAAATTTTGCCAAGCAAATATACATAGGTCAAATACAATTTATGTGGCCTCTCTTCCATCGGTCCGAGAGTTGCACCCCTGCCTCGCCCCATCTTCGTTTGCAAACACCCCCAATCATCAACATGCATCAACATGCAGTCATCCCTTGATCAAATATCGCATGCAATTGCTCCTCGAGACAACCACAATATAGCCGACATGCCACAGCCTCGCAGGAAGCAATGCGTGGGCCCATTTTATCCCCACGTCTCGCTTGATCGCACCCTAATTGGTAGGTATGAAACCACAAACAGGGCTGTACTTCAGCTCGCAGCCTCAATACGGGCTAGAAGCCAATCTTCTTTCCACTTGCAGTTTTTCCCTTGACCGGTCAATACTTCTTCGTCTTAAATCGGTTTGTTCCTTCTTCATGATCAACTTTTTTCTCCAACAAACACCATTTTCTCAGTCCACCCTTGCCAGACGACTGGTGCGATACATGTTCCCCTCATTCACTCTTAGCAAGTCGCAGCCGTTTTCAGTCTTGACGCAAAACCAAAGGTATATGAGCAAGAAGTTTGGCGCGAACTTTATCAAGACAAAAGTAGTACGGGACTACACACGTAAATATCAATATGTCTTTTATACATCAGCCAATTCCTATGGCCTCATTCGACTCATACACTGCGACGCAGCCGCAGCAACAGCCTGCTGAACCGTACACCCCAAATCAAGCACCCTTTACGAACACCATTCAATCCCCTATGCAACAAAACACTTTTCCACAAGGCCAGGTACAGCAACAACCACTTCAAGTCCAGCCGCCCCAATTCGTCGCATCACAACCTGCCCAACTTCTGCAAGCACAGTACCAACAACCTCAATTCAACCAACCTCACGAAGGGCCCGCAATGCAACAGCCAGTCTTCACAGCCCAACAGCCCTTCTCAGGGCTACCAAACATGACGCCTCAGCAGCTCCATCAAGTCCAACAAGCCATCCAAAACATGCCCCCAGAGAAACTCCAAAACATCCAGCAACAAGTCCAGCAAATGATCCCGCCACCGCAGACAACAAGTCCAACGCACATGCTACCTCAGCGACCCCTGCTACAACAGATACAGCCATTAGCCCAACCACTGCAACAACAGCAACCCCAGGGATCAAATTATACGTCCACCCCACCATCTGGTCTTTTCGGTCCCAAAAGACATTCAAGTCATGGCTCCGGTCCCCAAGACGCACAGAAGAGCGATGGCGTAAAGCGCTTCTTTGGGGATACTTTGATTGGCAGAGTAGCACGCTCGTCCGTCCAGACAGCAACCTCAATGGCCAAGATCCCCACCTCCCTCTCTCCATGGGGCGACAACAACCCAGTCACTCTCCCCAACGTACGCTACCGCGACGCCGTCCTCTTCACCACCTTCGCCTTCGTCGGCGCCCCCCTTGTAGACAGCGCCGCAGACGGCATAACCAGCGCATTCGGCGCCGACTCCTTCATCTCTGAGATCATAAACTCAGGCGCCGGAGCCATCGCAGCTTCAACAGTGCTGAAGTACTCCGTCTTCCAGATCGTGGAGCAGGCAATTGATAAGGGCATCATCGAGCACATGCTGCCTGAGGAGGAGAAGATGCTCGAAACAACAAGTGTGAAGAGTCTGCAAGTCGGCATCAAGCATAAGCTCATGGGCGTCGACGCCGACCTCCGCTTCGTGGGCGTGTATCCCAGTGCTAACCCACAGGCGTGTGAGAAAGGGTGGTTCTGCCCGTATCTCTTCGCGTCGGCCCGCACGCCCTCGATCCCACGCATGAACGACTTCGCCATTGCGCAGTCTTTCGGCCCATTTCTCGCCGGTACGTCGCTCCCCCCATCCCCATCACCACCCTTATCCCTCTAACCCCCAAACCAGGCGACTACCGCCTAGCCCACACCCTCCTCTCAGAAAGCACACACACGCTCTCCCTCTGCGCCCCCCCCCCAACCATCGACCTCCACACAAACCGCCTCCTCATCCTCTTCACCGCCATCTCGCCCTTCCGCGCAAACATGTGGAGCACCTCTCGGCGCCCGGGCTGCGGAACCCTAACCTTCCACCTCTACACCGGCTGTCCCGCGCTCGTCATCCCCGTGACGCAAAACGCGCCCATCACCGCGTGGTCGCCGTGGACGCTCGCGCAGATGCGTGATCCGGGGAGTGGGTATAGTGCTGAGTGGCAGCATGAGCAGATTTGTGAGTATCTGGATACGGTTGTGAGTGTGTCGCATTTGTTGCCGGAGGTTAGAGGGAGGTATGTGGAGGTTTTGGGGAGGGCGGTGGGTTTGGTGGTTAATGGGGCGTTGGCGCTGGAGAAGGCGAGGCCGTTGTTGGGGGTGATGGATCCGGAGAGGGCGGGGATTGTTATGTTAAGGTATTGAGGGATGGGATGTGGTGTGGTTATACCCCCCTCTTGGGGCTGATGATTTATGATGTTTGGTAGTTTTTATATCCCTTTTCCTATATACGACAATGATGATTCTTGTGCAATATCGACTTCTATGGTATGAATCTAAGTTGAGATGAGATCAAGTGTTCATCCGACAGCGTTCGAGCATCCTTACACTGGCCAACTCTGCTTCCAACCCAGGCCTCTACTCAAACACACATCCATCACCTAATCACACAAGCATTTCAAATAGACAAGAGTACAAGACTGAGTGAGTGAATTGGGAAAAACTATCAAATCTATAAACTTTTTAATGAAACTTTCTCCATCCTACACACAACGACTCCCGCAAACGCTAATCCTACTTCTAAAAAACAACACGACACCAAGGAAAAGAAAACTCATGGCTCTAGCCGGTCTAGAGGCCCATCAATGCCGTGGCACCAGGCTCGCTGCACACATACACAACGTCGTGGCAGTCGGTGAAGCCGTTGAAGCGAGTAGCAGAGCACTTGGTGTAAGCACCCATGTCCTCAAAGTAGAGCCAGTCACCCACATCGAGCTGCTCGCTGAACGTGCACGACGAGGAGATGATGTCGATGCCGTCGCAGGTGGGACCCCAGATGGAGTATTCGACCTGGCTCGGCGTGTCGTAGCCCGAGCGACGGATATCGTACAAGACGTCGTTGCCAGACTTCAAGACGCGTGGCACGGGATGCTGGTGGTCGAAGATGATGCTGGAAAAGTTGCCGTAGACGCCGTCGTTTAGGTACAGCATGTATGACGTCGTGCCCAGGGTAGCGTCAGCCACAGTGCGACGAGCAATGACGTGACAGGCGATAGTAAAGGCCGTGGAGACGTAGTAGCGTCCAGGCTCGCCGATGACGCGGATGTGTGGCGGGAAGTACTCGTCCAACGAAGCAGAAAGCACTGCAGCCATGGGCTCGAAGGTAATGTCTCCCGTAAAACCGCCACCAACGTCAAGGGTATGCATGTTGAAGCCAAGGATGGCCGCCTGGTCAAAGACGAAGCGGGCGTCCTGCACAGCCTTGATGAAGGCCTTCGGGTCGGATGCGCCGGAACCAACATGGAACGCAACGCCAACAACGTTGAGCTGCAGCTTCTTCGCCAGCTCAAGCAGCTCGGTGGTGGTGTCCAGAGATGCACCGAACTTCTGGCTCAGACGGCACAGACTGCCCGAGTCATCCGTCAAGATGCGCAGGTACAGCTCGGCGTCTGGGAAGAGCTGCTTGGTCTTGTAGAGCTCGTCGGCGTTGTCAAAGGTCATCTGCTTGACGCCAGCCTGGGCGGCGTAGCGGACGTACGACTTGGTCTTGCAGGGCTGAGCATAGATGATGCGAGAGGGGTCGACGCCGATGTTCAGGACCGTCTCGATCTCGTTCTTGGACGCACAATCGAAGCCGAGTCCTAGCGCAGTCATGAGGCGCAGGACCTGCGGGTCCGGGTTGCACTTGACGGCTGCTTGTGTGTCAGTGGCGGTTGTTCAAAAGGGGCTGCAATCCGACTCACCATAGTGCGGCTTGACACGCGCCAAGTTCTTCTTCCAGCGCAAATGCTGGCGGTAGACCTCGCCCAAGTCGGCGATGAAGAAAGCATCCTCGTCGCCAACGCCACAGATATCGTGGTCGATGGCCTCAACACGGCTCTTCAGCGCCTCCCCAATCAACTGCTTTGATTTCCTGACGCCATGGTTGTCATAGTTGCCGAGTGTGTCGTGGTTGATCGACTGCAAGTCTTTCAACGACAACGGGTATTCCTCGGTAAGCGAGAGAGCAGAAGGTGACATGCCCTGGATAGTGGTTCCTGGGGTTAGACTGGTGGTGGTTGTTCTGGTTCGCTGAGCGAGGGCGTGTTAAGGCGGCTTGAAAGGCGCGAAGCCGAGGCTTGGTTGTGGGCGAGGTCTCCCCGACTCTTCCTCTACGAGAGGAAGAACCTCCGAGAGCGTCCTATGCGGCAGCTGAGGGTTGGGTGATTCGAGGGTCTGGTTGGCGGCGGACAAAAAGAACGCGCGCTCAAGCTCTTTCTTAGACGACGGCAAACGGCGGGGGCGGGATGTTGTTGAGAACGTGAGGAGCTGGTCGAGTAGAGACAATTTGAAGGTTGAGGAGGAGCAGGGCCGAAGCCGTGGTGGTGTCGACGCCTTTGCAAGACCAAAGGCTGTCGGTGAGGGCAGGAGGGCTGCAGCAGCAAACAAGGCAGGCACGAGTGCTTGCTGGAAGGCGCGATCTGGGGGAGCGAACGGTGGAGGCGTGGAGGTGTGAACGAGGAGAGAAGAGGACAGGCAGGCGCACGTCAAATTTTGCCAGCGGGGAGTGTGCTGCGAATTGGCGCATTACTTAATACACAAACATCCGTGCCCAGGCCTCCTTGACATCATTCACATGTGTGCTCCACCTGTCAAGGCACGAACCACTCAGCTGTCTGGCCCCTTCGCTGACGAGGCTGCACTCGATCCTCACCGACACAACAGCCACCGATCCATCGACAAACATGACGAGCAGGATTTTTGTTTACGTGAGATCGATGATCAAACATGACAGCCACGCTTCGACAAAGCAAAAACTGCACTGCACTACCGATGGCCTTCGCACACGCCTTTGCACATGTGAATTCATGCAACATATGCTGAATTGTTACTCCGTTATGCCTAGGTATCCTGTTGTGCGCCACCTTCTGGAAGCGGAAAATCCAAGATCCCCGATCAAATATGTAAATGCCGCAATGCACGTTAACGCCCAAAGCCCAACGCCCGAAACCTGCTCCTTATTCGCGACAATGCTGACGCGAGCAAACAAAAAAAAAGACTCGCCTAGCGCATGTATGCAGCTCCTACGCTCTTTGGAGAAATATGGGCACGTCGGACAAATCTACCCCATACTGATTCTTCCACTGCATGCTCTTTGAGCTAGCGTGGCTGTGCCCATGTCGCGTTCCTGCACTGCCACCGAGCGCGCCACGGCCCTCGTACCCAAAGTCGAGCCCGCCAGTGTATCGATCCCAAGTCATCGGTTCTCCTGATATTTGAGTGGTTCGAAAGTTGACTGTGGCATCGCTTATCTCGGGAGTCTTGGCCTGGGTACGCAGACCCTCTCCCATCGATTTACGACGCTGTTGCCCCCAATGGCGAGACTGCGCTTCCCAGTTGACATCCTGCTGAGAAGCATTGTGCCTGTTCTCATACTGTGCATCATAGACGTGAGTTGTTGCAAACACAGGTTGGGGAGGAAGGACATGAGAGCTGGCGTCGAGATTCTGCATCTTCCGGTCCTCGCTGGGTAACTTAGACATGGCCTTGGTCGGGACAGAAAGCCTTGCCGTGTTGATCAAAGGCACAGGAGGGACGTCGTAACGACTGCTTCGCGAGCGGTGCTTCATATCCTTCCCTTCACTTGCTTCCTGTTTCAGATTATGGTGGCTTTTACGTCGGCGTTGAGGCATTTCTGGTTCAGCAGAAGCTCGATCCCTGCTCCGGAGGCGCGCCAACTCAGCAGCCGTTGCCGCGTCCATACTGACCATGGGTTTTGTTCGGGATGTTGCACTACCAAGTTGATGAGGATGTGTTGGTGATGTCACTGACTGTCTCCTTGGTAAATCAGACATCGCTGCATCGTACGGAGAACATCCAAGAGACGAAGCGATAGTGCCCAGATCGAGAACAGTAAGCGAGGGTACCGGCTCTTCTTTACTGGCCTCAGATTCTCCAACAAACGATTTTCTTCTACGGAAAAAGGAAAGGCTTTTCCGACGCGCAAGTGAAGCCGGTGTTGGTCGAAGTTCGATTAAAGCAAGCTTGTTCACAGACTCAGTCGGTGTGGAATCCGGAAGATCGTGGACAACTTCATTGGCAATGACGTGCTCTGTGCTCGCAAACGTGCTCGTTAGACATTCTATCCCCGGGGTTTGCGAAAGGCGTCGAGTGAACTTTGCTCGTATATTGCCAGGAACCTCCGGAATCTCAGAGTCCTTGCCTTCCCTGATGGCCTGACCTGATTGAACCATTGGAAGCTGTGCTTGCGACGGTCGTCTCTTTTGCAATCGCTTCTGCGATTTTGAAGATGCGCTCTCCTGGGAACCGAGCGATGTAGCTGACTGCGGAGACTTGGGCGAGGAAGTTGCATGTGGTATAGTCGCATCCAGTAATTCGGCTGATATTTGCATACTCGCTGGGCGTTCCTCATCAGCTAGCAGTGAGTATCTCGAGTTCACGGAGGGAACCTTCAAGATTGAGGTAACGGGGCTAGTTTTTTGCTGTACATTGACGACATCCTCGTTTTGCGGTGAAGTAGGCGCTGTCGCACTTATCGTCGAAAGCCTGCTTTTGCGTGTCTCTTCACGAGCCAGTCTTAAACTACCACCAGATGAATACCCAGAGTCCGCGGTATCAGCAGTCCGCGCTGGAGGCCGACCAGCCGCTTGCTTTCTCCGCCTCTGAGAAATTGTCGTTTTGTTGTTTTTGCACACATCTGCGGGATTTGACGTCGCAACCATAGCCGAGGGCTCTTGACACATCGCACCGTCAAGTACATGTGCTGCATTCTCGGCGCGAGGCGGAAGTTCAGGGGCGAAATATTTGTGACCTTTCATGTCTTTTGATTCGGAATCTCTTCTGAAAGGAGTGCTTGGGATTCCGACCTGGTACTCCTGGGCAAGAGTAATCGCATGTTGTGGCGTTTCGACGGTCTTGTGTGAGGTCTTGACGCGTCTTGTGTCCTCTGGTTGTGATGAAGAGTTTGTGGGATGATTTTCCACGGGTTTGGTAGTGATGTTATGTCGCAGGTTGGATCGGGTCCTCCTTTCGTTGTTAGGGACCTCAAGACCGCGATATAGTGGAGGAGTAGTTGGAAGGACAGACGATTTGCTCCTCTCGTGGCTGCGGTTGTTGGTGTTGGCCGTTATCTGTGAGCTGACGCTTGAATTTGCCACCGAAAAGTAGTCCACTTGTGCAGGGCAATACGGCATCTGCTTGGTTGTACGAGTGCTCGGTGCAGGTGATGGTTCCCCATTGATGACTGCAAGTGTTCCAAGCTTGAATGTCCCTAGTTGACAATAATCCGTATCTCCAGGAGTTTGTGCTCGAAGTGTAGATGCACCATTGTCATCTTCAACCAGGTCTAGAGCTGTCAAAGGCTTTTTGGGAGAAGCAAGGCTTGGACTGGGCCGCCATTTCGCTTCTTCTTTGGTATCAACCTTAGGCGCTTTCCAAGACTTCCATCGGTTGCGGTTGTCTTCGACAGGAGTGGTTCGGGTTGCGACACCCGGTGTTTGGATCAGGGATCTCCGTCTTGTGAGTGATGAAGATGATAAATTTGCCAACGAAGTTTGGTGACTGAGTTGTGGCTCATCTGGGATCGCGTTATCGGTGGAAGATCCAAGAGCGGCATCTATTGAGTATGATATGTTAGTGAGAGATCCATAAATACATGGAAGGACGCGTGACAGTTGCGATGCCAGGTGCTTTGTATGGATTGGTCCGCTCTGGAGTAGTGTGTAGATCCATGCCGTATACATTCAAATGTGATACACGAGGCCGTGGCTCGTGATTTGGGATTGCAACTGCACTTACGTAGAGCTGCAAGATCTTCTGGAGAGGCATTCTTCTTGACCTCTTGGAGCAGTCTGATGGCGGCTTCTACGTCCATCTGCGTACCAGAGGCCGACGAACTGTCCAATACTGGAGGACCAGGAAGCTGGTTCACTGAGAGCCCTCTGCCACTGAAGCATGACAAAGAATTGGACCTTGACTTTGCCAGCGAGTTTGACCTCGAAACTACGACCGACGACCGTCCCCGTACGTGTGCAACTGGCTCGCGTGTCTCGGCTTCCTTGTTCAAACAGGTCGACTCTTTGTCAGACGGCGGGAGTATTGTTTCCGCGTGTCTTGAATAGGCCGAAGCCGACGAGTCAAGGTAGAGGGTCGGACCGTGAGTGTTCGTGTTCGTTTTGGGTTTAGATAGGCGATTGTACTGCGCAGCGCCTTGATCGTCGCCCATGTCGTTAGGCTTACGACGCGATTTGGAAAGTGAAAAGAAGCCCATGATGGACAACTCAAAATTGACTTTCAGACTGATTCATGGTCAGTTAAGAAGCAGAGATGCCGGGGGCGTCATAAATGGGAGGCTTACGTTCAGTGAAGTCTGGAACGCTTGCAGTGTGAAGGCTGGCATATACGAGGAGGTTAGTGGTACATGAAAATCAATTCCATGCCAAACTTTGAACAAAGATGGGTCGTAGGCTCCATTAAAGCCATCGGTTGCATGCGATTACGAGGCCATCATGTTGCAGAGTGGAGAGAGCATTGCAGAACAACAAACCTGAATGTCTTCGACATGAAACTGGGCAGTGCGCCTGGAATCGAGACTCGTAATTCATCGACCAATCACACAAGTTGGATACCTGAGACAGCGAGACTAGAATCCAATCAAGGTGGCGGGAGGGCGGAAGATGCATGAACCTGGCGTGCATCTTGAACGCACTAGGACGTGTGACCGCTGATCGTGTCCAGCCTCATTCGAATGTGGCACCATCGCAAACTGAAGCGTAACGCTTAGCCGTCTCGTGAATTTCCATCTGGGAGAATGTTCCGTATATGTAGGTTCGACCGAGCTCAAAGGACGCATGGGGTACCGTTGTATTCAAAAGCCCGCCATGTCATCACACATTCATACCGCACGAACATGTTTTACCTTACCCCGAGAAATCAGACAAATCGACCAGCCTATATGGTTGTCGCGAATGGTTGAGCAAGGTGACTTCATCTCATCTTACTGAGAAATTATCTTAAAATCACCTCAACCACTCCTCGGAGCTTCCTGACGTCCACAACCGCCAGCGATGTCTGGCACTCGCGAGACTGAGCTGCTCGACGACTATTAGCATGCACGGAATTGCATCGCTTGCCTAATCAACGTTGCGCATCAGAATCGGTAACGGAAGTGCGCGCAAGACCACGATGTCGCATGGTCAGGGACGGTTGACCCAAACCCTGGTGTCTCGTCTTCTGCGCTCCGATCGCGATGAGATACGGAGGGATTGCGCCGATGGTTGTGGCTTCCTGTGCAGAGAGAAACCGTACGCCTCCAAGATCAGGTATAGCGTCACCCAACTTGGCCTCAACGCCACATCCGAAGACATGCGTCTCGGTCGCATTCTCATGTTATCGACCACACTCAACATCGACGGATTTAGGCATTACACTCGTCCGGTATTTGATCTGTCATAGGTGACGTGGTGACAGAGGCTCGACAAGATCGCCTCCCGGATCGTGCCGGGAGCTTTGGCGCGTACTAGTGACATCATAGTTTCCTTTTGATGTCAACAGTCTCAAATGAAACTTTCTTCACGCGTCGCCACTTTTCTTTGCGTGGATTCTTTATTACCCTTTCATCATCAGGTTATTACCTCCGTTGACAATTTCATCTTGTCGCTCTTGCGTTTCGACACGTACCCTCTGCCAAACGCGCAACTTCCGTAACTTCTCAGGTACAACAACATTAACACCAGCAACATTTCTGATTTGGTCGACGCTCGTATTTCCACCGCAAAGAACCAGCCTCTTCAGGAGTACTATCCATCATGTTGGGAATATCCTATTGGGTTGTGCCCATAATCTCTGGAGTAGTATGGGGCGCCATGCTTATCACGATGCTTGTGTACTGGGCCACGACGGGCAAGCCGCATTACGTTACGATGAGCGAGGGCCAGAATATTCCCTACATCTCTGGTAAGTGTCGATTAAGCTTTTTCAATGAAGACATTGACTAACAACATGTAGATATCGGCGCGGACACACTCAAACCAAGTACGCTTAGCTCTTCCCTAAGAAAGCTTACTTGATATTACCATGCTAATTGTATTAGTGTTCATTGCGATGTCTGCAGTAACAGTCGTTGCGTTTGACCTGGCCTTTCTCTTCGAGCGTTATCTTCGTCACACAGGCAAACTGGCTGCGAACACTTCCCACTGGCAGAAAATCTACTCGCTATGCGCTACCCTCGCCGCGATCGCTGGTGCAGCTGGTCTCATTCTCCTCACTATCTTCGACTGCAAGAACCACAACAGGTTGCATAACATTTTTCTGTGTGTGTTTATTGGAGGTTACATCATCAGTGCAATCTTCATCTGCTGGGAGTACCAGCGCTTGGGGATACACTACCGTGAGCACTCAGTTCTGCGCTACTCCTTCTGGATCAAGCTCTTCTTCATCATCGCTGAGATCGCGCTTGTCGTCGCCTTTGGATCCATGTCCAAACTCAACCACTGGAACACGGCTGCTGTGCTTGAGTGGCTCATCTCCTTTGTTTACGTCGCATTTGTCCTCAGCTTCTTCATCGACTTCCTCCCCGTCATCCGCACAAAGAACACCCAAAGCTACCAGACAGAGATGCAAGCAGCAGAGGAGGGTGGATCGACACAAAACCTCGGCTACAACGCGGCGGATAGCCAACAATACTACCGCGGACAGCCCACAAACGCGATTCCCCTGGCCAACGGTCATGGCAACCATCATGCGAACAGCCACTCCAACGGTCACACGGATATCTACGTGCCGCATGTTGGAGACGTCAACCCCCAAAACGGACACGTTCACGGTAATGGGCACCATGCTCACAACAACGGCTACACCAACGGAAACGCTGGGTACCCAAAGCCAACGGACCAAGCCCCTCTCGCGTCGAGGAACTTCTAATTTCCACTTGATAATAGAGCATTTCCCTTCTATACATACCCCCTTCTTATTATCATGATTAGAATGACATTGTCTTTGTTTGCATCGGGCAGTTTTGTTGCGTTGCGTAGCGTTTGAATGATACCATGGTACATATATTGGATATTGGGAACCACGTTTAGCATGGTGCGATTGCATTGGTGGTAGTGTTTTGTAATGTATGAACTCACTGAGTTGGTTTGATTTGAGAGACTAGACAAAATAATAAAATATATACAATAACTAAGCATATCTGGGACATTTTGTAATGTGATGTTTGGTTGACTGAGTAATATTGTATTTGTCTCAGACACCAAGTCTCGTAATGTCGAGGGCATTGTATAGGATAAAAAGGCTCAATGACTGAGTATTCAACTTGGTATCATATCTATCCATTAATCTAAATCATATGCCTGTAAATGCCAGTTCCAGTCCTATAGAACACCATCCTCTCCTTCCTATAAACGACCCATTCATTTCCTGTAGCTCTTCTCCTCCACATATCTTCTCTTCCTCTCCACCCGGTCGTCATCATACCCAGACTCCCTCTCCCTAGTACGCTTCCGCCGATCCTCCGAATCACGACTCCTGCTCCTCTCCCGCCGATCCCGCTCACGCCTCTTATCACGCCTGTCTTCCGAATCGCGACTCCGGCTACGATAGCGGTCTCGTTTCTTTTCTCGTCTGTCGTCAGGGCTACGACTGCGGTCGCGCCTGTCGCGATCTTTTCGGCTGTCACGACCGTCTCGCTTGGAGCTGCGGCGTTCGCTGTCATAATCGTCGTCTCTATCTTTTTCTCGGCGCTTGTCTCGTCGGCGGTCGCTGTCATGGTAGTCGCTTTCTCTGTCGCGTCTACGGTCGTCTTTTCGGTTTTTGTCGCGTCTTCGTTCGCTATCGTAGTCGTCGTCGCGCCGCCGATCTCCGTCGTCTCTTTTGGCTCGCCGCTTCTCTCGCCTTCGCTCGTCCTCATCGTCCTCGTCATATTTGCTCCTTGCCTTTTCTGGCTTCTCCTCTGGCACCATGTCCTGATTTTGCAGCTTAACCTTCAACTCCTCCTCCGTGATCAGCTCGCCTGTGTGCTTGTTCCGCAGCGTGACTGGATTGTATGTCTGCGTAGCCTTCTTCCCCTTGCCCTTGGCTTTGATACCCCATTCGCCCAGCTCAACGCCAGTGGCAGCCTCCTCCTTCGCGCCAATGCCGAGTAGCGCAGGTCGTCGCTTGACTTCCTTCGGCTTTGGCGCAGTACCATTGCGCCCAATGCCCTCGCCGTCTTTCCAGCCCATACCACGGAGAAGTGCGGCGCCGAAGCCTTCAATGGGTGTTGCTTCGTAGGCTTCGAGCGTGGGTGCGTCGGGCGCGTCGCGGAGATCGTCGTACAAGTTTTCTTCTTCGGTTTGAACGGGAATTACGTGCTCCTCGTCAGTAGATTTGCCATTGAGCAGCGCGTCCAGTGCTTTCTTCTCGAGGCGCTGCTCTGTGGTAAGGCCATCGTTCTCGTCGATGTCCATGGGTTCGCCAGATTCCGCAGGGGTAGAGGTGGTCATGTCCTCTTGCGGCTCCTCCTTCTTTTTCACAATCGTGAGCCCGTACTGTACTTCCGGCTCCTCCATATTTCCCACTGTGGCTTCATTCTGCGCCTGCTTCGGCGCTGCCCTTGCCAGCTGCTTCCGTCGCGCCTCCTCGCGCCAATTGCGATTTGACTGGGCTGGAATGATGCGCGGTCCCTTCTTCTCGGTCTTGCCACTAGCATCGAGCGCGCCTCCTTCTGCTGCATCCCATCCCGAGATCTCTTGTTGTTTTATCGAGTCGTCTGGTTCGTCGTCGCCAAGCGCAAGGCGCGGTCGCTTCGCCTCTTTTTGGAGAAGAGAAGCTTTCAATCCGGGTTTAGCTTTTAGGCCTCCCAGCGACATTTTAAAGCCGCCCTGCTTCGGGGCGGCCATCGTGACTAGGGAGCGTGTAAAGGGCGCGTTTTGTGGAAGGTCGTTAAGTGGGGATGGGTGTGTGGAAGTTGGGAAGAGAAGAGAGCGGGGAATCCAATGCGTCTCTAATCAAGTCAGAACGTAGAGACAAAATGGGAGCGTAGAGAGAAAACTAGGTATTGGTGTTCACTCAGAAATCTGGAGTCCGTATATGACATCGGCCTTGGCACCGATCCCTGCAGACAGAAGGCAGCCGCCGATCACGTGATGCTAACTTTGCCTTGACTAACCACGTCTGGATCGCCTGGGACTGTCGTGGTCGTGCAAGATACTTGTTTTTGAAATATTCATTTCTGCAAGTCTTATGTTGCGAAAGACCTAGCTGATACTAACGAGCGCCACGTTTGGTTGCATACGTTCTGTGGGCTAAAAGATGAAGACAGGAGAAGTCAGAAGAAATTTGGACCATGGAATTTTCGTTATGTGCATCGTCATGTTCATATTGATAATGATGATACGACATATACAGATTCCGAACGAGTAAATTGCAATAATCATGTCCATACTCTTGCTCGCCTTCACTTGAGCTTGACCTTTAGCACTCCATTCCATGCCTCAATCATGCTATCCACATATTCCCCAGCATAGGAGTCCACATCGTCGTCACTGAGCAGACGCTCCAAAATCTTGCCCGTCGGACCCCACCGTACCTGTGCCTGGATCGCGACCATGCCCCTCTTCTTGATGAGGTCGATATAGCTCTCAGCCACATCCCGGATTGCTTGGTAACACTTGAGCATGTCTGAGGAAAGCTTAGGGACGAAGTCTGCCGGTAGCTTGGCCTTGAGTGGATGGGCGACCTTGGTCTTGATGACCTTGTCACCCAAAAGATTCAGGAGTTTGTTAAGTGCGCGAAGAACTTCCAGCTTCGTGTAGCATGCTATGAGCATGCCTTCGGTGAGCATCGTCATTTCGTCTTCTGGCTTCAAGCCTGTCGGTCCCTGTACGCGCAGGTTCTCCATTGCCTGACGCATCCCACTTAGTTCTTTCATAAGGACATTGATGCTCTCTGTGAGTGTTTCGGCTGAAGCTATACCCGGCATATGTGCTTCCACGCCGAGTATTTTGATCGAGTGCCAGATCTCTTTAAGGGAGGTCTCCATCAAAACCATGTTCGGTTGGCTCTTCTTCGGATCGTACTGACTGTCCACAGCTTTCTCATGCCAGCTGGAGAAGTCAGACCAGGCTCCTTCTTGGTAAAGTACCTTGCTAATACGGTCCCAATCGTTGCAACTATGTATAAACCAGTCCTTATTGGGTATGTTTGCGGGCATGAGGAAGTCGAGAAGGCCTCCAGTACCCGAGACTTCGAAATCAGGGAATACAGTTCTGTCCACATTGTCCGAGATGTTGAGGTAAGCTGTATTCGTCAGTACAAGGTTTTCTGTATTGTTATCTATCAAAGTGAAAGGGGTAATGCTGTGTCAGAAGACGACTTACAGGTATGGCTTAGACAAGGGAAATTCTCGCTTGACTCTCCTTTCATGCGAGCTATCCGACGACGTTCCATGGTACAGAGGTGTTTTGTGTAGCTCGACTTTAGCTTCTCTTTCATGACCAACATATCTATGGCTTGGTCCCAAGCAAACGATGATATATCGGTAAGCAAGAGGCTCCCTAACTTCACCTCCATTTTCTCGATCGTGCTGATGACCTTCGACAACTCGGCCTCGGCCGAGAAGCTCTGATATCCTTTGATGTCGAAAGGATGGGTAAGAGAGATGCGGGATAGTATGTACGGCGATAGTGTGTCGAGTAGCATCTCCTTCAACTTGGTATGGCTATAAAGATGAAATGCGGTTTTACCGAGTCCGAGATTCAGATGTAATCGAGCAGCAAGCAGGGAGCCGGTTCTATCTGACTTGTCGACATCACGCTGAACAAGATGGCGCGCTAGCATGGTAGCTTGCAAAAGGATGCGCGGGTTGTAAATGTTGAACGGCCGGGCATGGGCGGTTCCAGTCGAATTGTTCGGCACGTCTGGTAGAACAGTTCGATGATGCAGGACATGAAGACCATACACAGCCAGGTACCCAACCTCTGAGTTTTCGGGCCAGAGCTTTAATAACCTCAGCGCATTGCCGATAAGCGATTCCAGAGCTTCTGGGGTCGGCGTTTTTCGTTGAGATATTGTCAACAGATATGTGAATTTCAAGACATTGAATTCAGCCTGGAGCCAGTTGTCCAATTTTTGCTGGCGTCATGTCAGCCCATCTCTATCTCAATGACACAAGAAAGTTGGAACCGTACTTGACCATCTGCTGGGCTGGGCTTCAATCCGTAGGATTTCTCTTCGACGAACTTGAGAAAGTCTTCCTGGTCGTCTTCAGACAATGATTCGACCAGTGGACGGAGATCCTTGAAACAGCTAGGAAGTCGGGAATGGTGCTCCCAATAGTCTTTGCAATCTGAGAGGAATGGACGATCCACAAATTGCTGCAACTTCATATACGTAAGACGTAGAGGTCGGTCTTGGATGTGCACTCCCGGTTTGAAGCAGCGATCGATGAGCTCAGAGATGACATCCATTGTCCTGTACAGTTAGTACAAGCAAAAAGGGGCGATTACATGGTCAATAACTTACTCCGGCTTACGACCTGTATGCAACACTGCGTCCATCAACCCCTTCCACACATCCCAGTTCCGAGCGCAAAGCTCCCAGGTTCGCTCGGATTCATTGTCCACCTGTGACATGCTTTGTTCGATATAAGCTATGCAGTGGTCTTTGAGCAAGTCCCATTTTTCTTCTTCCGAAAGTATCCTGGTTTTCAGGCTCATCAAATCATTGTGATGCTTGGACATGACTTCCTTCAAACCATCGGGAGGATTGCCCCATAGTGCAAACAGCTCGGTACAACGGCCTTGTCGTTTGAATATCTCAGCCATGAAACGCAAGTCCCGTATATCCTTGATAGCAATAGCTTCGTCCTGCGTAATGTCAGATCACTTGGGGTAGGAAGCCTTTGACGGGGGGATCATACTATTGGCTTCTCATATGCTTGCTTGAGTTGCCTATGAGCGAGCATCAATTGCATTGACGCATTTGTCTGGGCCGTCCCAGTACCACTCACATTCATCTCAGCTGCGAGCTGAGTTGCGAGAATATTAAGGAAGTACATGAGCTTTTTGATCCCAGATGGTTTTTCCTTGTTGTATCTCACGACTGCCTACGATTTGTTAACACTCCAAACGTCGGCCAGTGGATAGTGGGTGACCAAGTACCGCGCGGACATCTTCCCAGCAATCTTCACGCATCGCTGTCTTGAACAGAGTGTTCCAAAGATCATAGCGATCACGTCCACTCTTGAGACCTTTTGCGGCATTCTCCCATGGTTTGATGCCTATATCGCCATTGGAGCCGCCACTCAAATCAGTAGTCTTTTGCCTTCGCGCTGATTCGGTAAGCAGTCTGTAAGCATATGCGAGAAGCTGAGAATCCGTTATAGTCGTCTTTCCAATAGCGTTTGCTAGATTCTGAGTGACCTCAGGTTCGTTGAGTTCCAATTGAAGAGATATGTCCAGTCTCCAGGCCTGCACAACGTTAGGAACTAACCCGAACAAGGATAATCGCAGGTGACAGACGAGTAGATATGGGTTGCTTGACTGCTTTTTGAGTGCTTTGTTGGCCGCTGCAAGTGCGAGTTTTGGTTTCGGAAAATCGCGTTGGGACTTTTGGAGCCTATCCCAGTTGAAGGCCATGTTCGAGAGTACTGTGATCCCGAATAGGCGAAGTGAAATATATAAGTTTGTGGTAAAACAATGGTTGGGCGAAAGCGATGGTGGGTATGGTCGCCAAAATACCTTGATGTAACGTGATGTGGCTGCTGGTGGGCCAATCGATACTGAGTAGACCTTAGTGCTGATCTGCCGAAAGTCTAAAATGGCTAGTCGCGTCGCTACGACTATTTCAAAACCCAGATAGAAATAGAGATATCTAAATGAAAACAGAAGATGTTTAGTTGTTGCTGGAGAGATCGCATTTGATATGTATATTCTTTCTGTCTCCTGGGGTGATAAACATCGCATCCAGTTTTGATTAATCCATCAACAACTGTTTCTCAGTTCAAGGTTATATCGAGGTATTGCCCTGTGGTTGAGATCTGCAGTTGAGAGCGAGCCCTAGCCATAGACGCCTACCGTTCCTGCAGCGGCGACTCCCACACTACATATTTGTGTGGACTACACGTGAGATTGTCACTTTCTGGCGTCAAAAGCCATCGTTTAGGCAATGCCGTGTTCGGCACCATCTCGTGTATTGCATTTGATAAATTGGTCTTATACAATAATCACCTCTTCAACCTGCTTCCATCGAATTCTGCAAGACTCGCCCTCGCCATGTCTGGATTGGCAACTAACAATGACCCCACCCTCTCCTCAAAAGCTCTGATCATGCGATCTGCAACCTTGGGCGCTGCACCCCCGCTCAACGCCGCATACAAAGGATTCGCAAACGCAAACTCCAAGGCCAGCGTAACCTCTGTCTTGTCTTTACCCAGCTCCTCAATCGTCCATTTGCTACGTAGATGCGTCAACAACGCAACATCGCCTGCCTTTTGTTCACCACCCTTGAGGTGATGTGACACCTCCTCTCTCGACAGGCTCGTCTCCGTCTTTCCACCCACGCTTTCTACCACCTTGCCCGGTACGCAGTACACTCGCGACGTAAAGGATTCGGTGATGTTGCCATAGCCGCTAGTTAAGATGCCCTCGCTTGGCCAGCGCCGGCTGTATGTCTGATCCGGAGCTGACCATTGTGTGATGTCGCTGCTGTGGCAATATGGTAAAAAGGCGTGGTAGTTGGGTATGTCGGCGATTATTGAGTAGACTGGTGCCGATGCATATGGGAGTATGCGTCGTGCGGTCAATGTCTGTGGCTCGGTGCTGGGGAATATAGCAGAAGCAAAGGGATTTGGCAGGAAGGTTCGCCGTTGGGTGGCTCTATGGACTCGAGAGTAGGGGAGGCAAATGGAGGGTCTGGAGAGATGCCCGAGGACTTTTGGCGTCGCCATAGCGAGGAGGGAACGAACGATGGAAAGCTGGTTGAGTGTTTAAGCCTATGTCACCTCAACCACATGTTGGAAATGTATGTCAGAAACAAGATGAGCTCCCGTCTTCTTTCGTGCCAAGCTTTGCGGCTCGGTGATATCATCTCAGGAACGCGATGAGTGTTACCGTTTCGGGACTAGTATCATCTCCTATCGATAAAGAAGTTTCCCCTCTCGGTCAACTGCAAAAGCGGGAAGTAAGCTGCATTCTTTGTAGCTCCTACAGGCTGCAAAACTACACAAGAAAAATACAAAAATATATACGTAAGGCGCATACAGTTACAATCTAGGCGCAAGATTTTTACACTAAACACAGTTCTAGTTGTCAAGCTGTTGCGTGATTTTGCTGCACCTTGGTTCCTGGTATTTCGATTGACCGAGAGCCCCTCCACCAGCATTTTCCCCACACTGTTTGGACAATCAGATCAACAAAATGGCTGCGAATACAGAAGAAACGATGGCGACAAGTACAGACACGACCGATGAGTCTAGGTACCAGACAGACAACAGCGTCTCGACCAAACAGCACCCCAAGCAGCAGCTGTCAAAAGCCATGGAACACATGCGCTTTGCAGTCACCGTCGATCCAATTCCTCACTCTTCGACATCCAAAACCACGCCGTCTACCGAGCCCTCCTCCAACACCGAGACTACCACAGGCACCGAAAACGACGCATATGGCGTCCCCGCCTCCTTCGCTCCCGTCCGCAACCCAGCCGCCCGCTCCCACGATCCCTCCAACAACCAAAAGCGCACCGACCCTTTCGCATTCGGATCACGCTTCCTCGAAGAAGGCGACAACATCTTCGAGTTCAATGCCTGGGACCACGTCTCTGTTGATGACTCATACCTGCAATTTTCGGAAGAACAATACGAACGCCAACGGCAAGACCCCGTGTCCGACTTTGACCGCAAGCGCTTCAACGACAACCCGGAGAAGTGGTGGAACACGTTCTACAAGAACAACAAGACAAACTTCTTCAAGAACCGCAAGTGGCTGGCACAGGAATTTCCGATACTAGAGGAGCTTGGGAAGGAGGATGCGCCCGAGGCTGTGTTGCTCGAGGTCGGTGCTGGGGCGGGGAATAGCGCGTTTCCAATCCTGCAGACGAGCAAGAACAAGAAGCTCAAGATTCATGCGTGTGACTTCTCCAAGAAGGCGGTCGAGCTGATACGGAATCACGAGCTCTACGATCCACAGTTCATACAGGCAGATGTGTGGGACGTCGCCGCATCACCAAACTCGGAGAATGCAGGGCTCCCGGCTGGACTCAAGGAGAACTCAGTCGACGTTGTACTGATGATCTTCATCTTCTCGGCACTCAATCCAAAACAGTGGGACCAGGCTGTGCGGAATGTCTGGCGTGTGCTGAAACCAGGTGGCCAGGTGCTCTTCAGAGACTACGGGCGAGGTGACTTAGCGCAAGTCAGGTTTAAGAAGGGGCGATGGATGGAAGAGAACTTCTATGTTCGTGGGGACGGCACAAGAGTGTACTTCTTTGAGCAGGAAGAATTGGAGGAGATTTGGGGCGGAAAGAAGATGGCTGAAAACACCGATGTAAAGACGGACAGCAATGAGGAAACAGACGATGCGCTGGCGGCGAAGACAAAGAGTCTAGAGCTTGAAGAGTCCTCTACCGAGGTGGTCGACAATGCTGTACAGCCACAAGAACCCTGCCCTGCATTTGATGTCGTACACATTGGCGTTGACAGGCGGATGTTGGTCAATCGTCAAAGAAGACTCAAAATGTATCGCTGCTGGATGCAAGCTGTGTTCCGCAAAGCTGGACATGAGAGCGAGATTCCAACGAGCACAATCCGGCAAGACAAAGAGAGCGTGGAAGAGAAGACAGAAGAAGTATGAGCAAATACCACAGTAACACGAGGCGTAAGCATAGAGATAGTCTACTATTCATATACGATGAATGTGCATCCACCCATTATCGTTTTCCATGTTAACTCGGGGGTGATCCGTGGAACTTGACCCGCATCCTCGTCTGGTCCATCGGTTTCGATGTGATAGACATTGTCTGCAACGTGTCAGTCTCAACATCCAAATTGTATACACTCGCACCAAACTTACGCTGAACAGCTCCGATTTAGTCTTGTACTTGCCCTTCTCACCCATCACCGGTTGACCCGCTCCATCGACTTCCACCTCTCCAACCCCAACCTTCACAAAGTCGTACCGCCGCACCACACAAGCCAGGATGACCCTCGCCTCCAAATTCGACAACTCCTGTCCAATACAATTGCGCGGGCCGCGTTCAAACGGCCGCCACGCACTGCTTGGAATTTTACCCGGGCCGTTTTGCTCCGAATCCGTCGCGCCGGTGTTAACATCACCAGTCCACCGCTCCGGTACAAAGTCCTCAGCCATCTCTCCATACACCTTCGCATCGCGGTGGATGATATGCTGGCAGAGGTAGATGACGCATTTATCCAGACACACCTCGTCGCCATCCGAAGTGCGGATCTTGAACCCGTTGTGTGACATGCGCGCCGACCCAGCCGGGGGCCAAAGGCGCAGGGCCTCCTTGATGCATGCGGACGTGTACACGAGGGCTTTTATCGTTTCCTCTGGGCGCGCAAGGAGGACGTCGCGCGGGTTCGAGGAGCCGAAGATGGCGTCGTGTTCTGCGCGGACTTTTGCGAGGCAAGTGGGGTGGATGGAGAGGGCGTAGAAGAGACGTTGTAGTAGGATCGAGGTTGTGTCGTGGCCGGCGAAGAGGAAACTTTTTACTTGGTCTGCTGTGCTTTGTAGTATGTATGGCGTCAGGACGTCGACGTCGTGGAGTGCGAGGGCAAGGACCGAGCGGTCTTTTGTTGACTTTTTCTCGGTCGTCTGCGTTGATTTGATCTCGATGAATTTCTGGCTGATGCACTTCTTGACGGCTGAGTCTAGCTGTCTGCCGTAGATAAATCTTTTGATCTGTAATGGCACGTTTAAGAAGGTGAAGTTCAGGCCGTTGTCCGCTGCGTATGTCGGGATCAGTTTGCGGAAATTGCGGACAATTTCGTCGCCTTGAGCCGCGTCGCCTTGAGCCTTGCAGTCGATATTGGTGATCACTTCTCTGCGAATGTGTCAGCTATGCTCACGCATCCCAGACATCAAACGAATCCTACCCAATGATGTCAAATGTGACATCAGTGCAGAGCGGCTCCATCTCGGTTTCGACGCCTGATTCGGCCAACGCGTCCAGTTTATGCAGGAATATCTCCGTCTTTTCTACAATAACGGGAAGCAAAGAGAGCAGATGCTGCGGCGCAAAGCCTGGGTTAAAGCGCTTGCGAAGGGCCTTCCAAGAGTCATGGTTCTCGCTCAACATCGAGTACTTGCCGACCAAGCGGCCGAATCCTTCTTGCATCGTTGGAGACTTGGTCACACTGTACTGATTCGCCTTGGTAGCTCTTGAGACCTGCTCGGCGAGTTCATGGGACGTGATGAGAGCTAGTGGGTAGCTCGTTGGTCTAGTGTCCAATAACATGAATTCTGGACGGCCATTGTCTTTCCATATCTCTTCAAGGACGTAGTCTGGCTTACAGTCAGCTTCGGGTGTCGAGTGTACATGTTAGTTATTCTAATACCTGGATGTGGCAATGAGCTCCCGAGCTTCTTGTAGCCCTCTATCATGTACCCTAAATGCCCAAGGAATAGATTTGATGGTAGTTGGCCGGGAATATGCGCGAACTTCTTGAAGCGCCATTGACTGAGCAGGTAGTAAAGGTACCACACGAGGATAGGCAGCGAGGCCAGCACGGCGTAAGAAGTTGATGACATTGTGGTTGCCGTCGAATAAAATGTTGGGCGCAATTGACTCAGGGGCAGTCAATGATCAGAACCCAAAAACAAGCATTATCAAACGTATCCAGAACAACGATGGTAGATCGGCAAAAGCAACTGAAACTGATAGCGGCGCAAAATGTTAACGACGCTTGAATACATAGTACGGTCGAAAAAAGGGTCCTGTAGGTTTAAATAGCGTCATCGACGGATCACAATCAGCAACTAACAACCAGCTAGTCTGTGCACCAGCAGTTTATTTCGATTGCTTGGCCCGCCTAACCGCATTGCTACTGTCGAGTCTCGGACATCCATCTCTAAACCAGTCGTCTGAGGAAAGAGGAGACGGTTGTTAGTACAACTGGTGGCGCATTTGCCAGCATAAGTAGAGCCACCAGTAGCGATGGACAGCAGTTAAAACTGTAATAAAAACTTGTGTTCAGAGGTCGCGAGTGCGTATAAGCTGCCTAAAGAGGCTAGAACGGTGAAGCATCGCACAAGAAGAGATAAAGAATCAACATAGAGTGACAAGAGACGAAGCAGGGAAACGGATAAAGAAAAGTCGGTAGATAACCGAGATGAGTAACCAGAACGTGGTTCTCCAACGACAAGACGAAGTTAACATGAAGAACTTATACCTGTGTAGCGGTGCTTCTCTTTGCATCGATTTTACATATCGCGGACGTTGTGAGATCGAGGAGTTGTAGTCCTTGGTGGTTGTCGGATTCAACACCAACTCTCTGCGACAAATACCTTTCCTGGTCTCCATCGATAGTACCAAAGGCCAGGTTGAATCGGTCAGATACGAGTGAGCATCAAAATCAAAGGAGAAACACATGTAGATGTTGATGTTGTGTGTAAAGATGAAGAGTATCTTAGGTAGTTAGGTACGTAGGTAGCAAGGGATAGCCCAAAGAATCAACCCTAAACCACAATCGTCTGTCCTCGCCCACCTCAACACCTCACCTCCGACTGCCCACACCGAACCATGACATCTCCATTCTCCTCAAACCACGCGTCCGAACAACCTCTAATATCCAAAAAGTCCACCCACGCATCGTTTTCAACAGCAAGCGCCTTCGGAATCTTCTTCAACACACCTGAGGCATTGCCATCGAAGCCTGCAATGACACATCTCTCTGCCCTGGGATACTCATCCTTGCAACTAATAACATGAAAATCGGCTGCGACATTGGCGCGCGAAGATGACGGCGCATCTCTTATGATGATGTCTCTATCTTCATCGATGAAATGCGAAGTGTACACCAGGCCGTCGCTGCGAATGTAGTGTTTCGAGCGGATAACTGGGTCGATGTAGTTGTGAAGACGCCAGACTTTGCACTGAAACGTGTTTGTAAAAGCCCAAATTTGAATATTTGGCTGGGTTTGGATTGCGAGTTCGCAGATGCTGGGAAGTTTGCCAATCTCAGTGCCGCGGATAGCAATCGGCCAAATATTTTTGCTGGCTTCACAACGGTTCGTAGGGTCGAAAGCCGAGGGCTCGTCCCACCAATTCAACCAGTGGTCTTTTTCACGACATTCGCTCGAGGGAGGGTGTGTGTTGTAGACGTCCCGGCTTTCTGCCTTCTGCTCGAGCTGGGACAGTTTGCAAACATCAGGGGGGACGCTATACAGCATAATGGTATCGCCATATACTACTACCACACGAGCACCCCAAGACATATCTGCGGCCGCAATATAAGTTCTTGGGACTGCTTTCTCTTCTGGAGGAATGAATAGGACTTTGCGCAGTAGTTTGGTAGGTCCTCCGAGTGGTGCGTCACATCCTAGTGACAGTTTTCCCGTCGGTGGATCTACAAACAGAACATGATGACCGTCGCTCAAGGGGATGGCGTGGTAGTGGTCGCAGCTTGGTGATCGGCGGGAGTTCGACTCAAATCCGAAGGAACCCCAAAAGGAACTTACAGTAGGCCGTCCGAAGAAAAACCTACGACTAATCGCAGGTCGATCGTCAGGATGAGCAGCGCTAGAAATGAGACGTAGTTTCTTTGCCGATTCAAAACCAGGGCGAGGAGATAAGAAATATAGGTAGTCGCTTGGTGCTGTGAGGGGAAACCAGCGGCTCAAACTTTGGCCTGTAAGTGCATCGATCCAATGTAGCTCAATCCCAGCGGAGCAGCCGAATGCGACACAGCGACGTTGTGGGCATATTGAAACGCTCCTAGGTGGATCGTCTTCAGAGCAAAGATGTCTGTAGAACGTCGAGGTACCACTCTCGACAGGGATGTTATTAGTATAAGATCCTGCCGTAATATTAACCTTGCTTGTTAATTCTGTCGGAGGCCCATGGAGATCCAGGTTCCATGTCTGATTGATGAGGTTCCGATGATACGTACGGCAATCGTTCGCTCCCTGGAGGCTAACCTCCTGGTGGCTCGAGTGTACGTCGATAGCATCGAAAGGATCTGACTCTCGCTCCTGCACGCTCGAAGTGCTGTTGCGTACTCTGGATGACACGTGTGCTGCAGAATTCAAGCCGCTTTCAAACTCGCTGGCGTGGCTGGCGAATGTTGGTGTCTTTGTAAAGGTTTGAGACGAATGCTTGTTGCTTTCGGCGTCTACCTCAGCCAGACTTTCGTCTCCAGGTCGGCAACCGTATCGCAGTTCGCACACCATACCCATCCTTCCCTCAAGGAGAGTAGCGACCGCATTCCGACCAGAGGACACATCCATACTCATGGAGAGGACTCGTCTAGGACATACGACGCTAGTAACTGGCACTAAAGAGCCGCCTCTCAAGTCGTAGATGTATATCAGTGCATCCCTTGCAACCAACAGGAAGTGTCCACATATACTTGTCGTGAAGATCAGGCCACCACTTTCCCGACCATTGCTAATAGTATAGCCTTTGGCCATCTCTGAGAAGTCCGTTTCAGCGCTTTCCACGATAGCCGATCTGATATCCATCCCATTACCGGTCCAGCCTGAGGATAATGTACACTCTCGCGAAATGTAACGGCTGAGGATCCATTCGTCACTTGGAAGACTCGCTGTGCGGCGGTACATAAAATCACGATTCCTTCCTTCAAGGTCATCATGAACGGTGCTTGACCATCCGCCTCTTTTCAAGATTGCGATTAACAAACTCTTATTCAAGCTTGCTCCCATCCAGTTTCGACAAGTGTGGCGAGCGGCGTTGAAGTCTTTGGGACCAAGATAGCCGTAAACCTGCTGCACAATCTCAAAAGGTAGACGATAAGACGCTGGAAATTTTGGAGGTGCGACGATATTGAGAGTGTTATGCCATGCACGACTAGTCAGTCTCAATGCCTTCCAAGCAGGAGTATCTAGGTATCGTAATAGTAGAGCTGCGAGGGTCGGACTCTTGCACGATGTCTTGACTCCGATTGCAGAGATAACAAGATGAATGTTGTATGATGGAGTATCGTTCTGGACGTATAATGATTGTGAAGGTTCGTCTTGTTCCATATCCTTAAGCAGGAAACTCTCCGACTCGTCAACCGGCGTGTCAACACCCATCAGAACGTCCGGCATGGTTCGTATGATACCTCTTCCAGCGACAGGCTCAATTATACCCTCATCTTGTATGCTGATATTGTCGAGCATAGAAAACGATCCTGTATACTCGCGACGTAACGACTGGTTCTGGCTACGTGATTCCATGAGACTTGGCAGGCGGGAAGTGGAATTGCTGAAAGATCCAGCAGAATGAAGACTTGGTCCACTAAATAAGAATGCAGTGGTTGACACGAAGTCAAGACTAGGCACTGACCCGAATGCAGAAGACCCTAACTTCGAACCAAAGCTCGAAGTTCTAGACCTGGCGAGAGGAATGTCAACCTGTGTGTTTCGGTCGGGATTGTTGCCAAAGAATGAAGTGATTGCTCGGTGGAACGCAGTTCGTGGCCTAGACTGTTTCGTGGACGAGAGGGTGTGCCTGGAAAAGTCCAATTTTGTAACTCGAGGTGCAACTTGTCGATTTTGGGGTATATTGTTACGCGATGGACGAGGAAAGACATAGCGGAGGACTTCTGACCGTTTGGTGTACGATGTTTGGCTGTCCTTCACATCGTTCAATGTTGTTGTCGATAACCCATTCAATATTGGCAAACTTGAAGTTGTGGGCTGCGAAGACACACACATCTGTTTTGACGTGTACATCAAGTGTTTGTCTGGAAGTTGGTGTGGGCTAAGAGATAGTCTTCGAGTAGCTGATGACTGGTGACACGATGTAACCTGGAGAGGCTCGAGATTGAACACAGGAAGGGTTGATTCGGATTTCGTTCCGGCTACTCCCCGCGAAAGATGGATCTGAGAAGACGTCGTTGTAGCACCCCCAGTCGGAGGTACAGTGTGTTGATGAAAACCGAGAAAGGGGAACCAAGAGTCGTTGGTTTTAGTACTACTGGAAATGTATGAGTTGTCCAATTATCGATTATCGACTAAAAGAATGCGTGGTGTTGAGTTAGCGTATGCCGAGCGAAAAGAATGCGTGAGTAAAGATTGAACGATGTCGACTTGATGCGAAGGTGAGAAAAGACAGAAAAAGCACTTGCTGCACGAGGGGTCGAGAAGAATTTCAATTGCATAATCGGGTATCGACAACATCAAATAAGAAGGAATAATCAAGTATACCCGGAAGGCAGGACGAGATCATGATACAGGGGAAGGTGCTTTGCACGTGGCATCAAAGTACGGGAAGGTGCGCCATGATTATACATCCAACCCACCGTTCGCTGTTTGCGACTCAGTTCCGCTTGATCTGCTATCAGGTTTTGTGCGCTTGTTGGTAAGCCAAATGTCATCGAGACTGCAAATTGTCAGTAGTGGCAGTTGAAGGATATGTAGTACTCACGGCAATATCAGGCTCGGGTTCACAAATCGAAGCCCCCTTTCCCTTGCCTCATCCAACGTAAGACGTCCCACTCGCCTCCGTTGTCCTTCACGGCTAGACGAAACAGCCTCTTCCTGTATATCGCGCCCAAGATCAGACTGCTCTGGGTTGCGTAGACTTCGCAGAGCGATGAATTCCATCAGAGGTCGGTACTTCTGCGAAAAGACGTAAAGGAACCATAACGTAGCAATGACCAGTGGCGCTATCAGGATAGCCCGCCGGAATGCCTTTTTCAAAGCTAGCTGGCCGGCAACAGTAACTTGGAAGAGAATAACCCCTACGATGACACGATCGCACATCATAGTCCATCCTCTACCGGTCGAATGTTGACGATGTTCCATTGCGTATAGCAACTGATACTTGTGGACGAAATGGCCTATCATGAAGTATGCCAAGCCTGTGAGTAGGACCTGCCATGAGTCTCTCAGGACGCTATAAACCATACAGATGATGAATATCAAGATTGTTTGAGGTAAGAAGAAACCATAGCTAAAGACTGGAGGCTGAACCAGTTCCGCGTAGTCTAATCACTCAATCAGTATTGCTCTAAAGTCTGGACTTTGACTAGCATGCTTACCTCGAGGCGTCTTGGCTCCAATCAAATAGACAGGATACAAAGAGAGGGCACCAAATTCCAGCAAGCGGAAGGGGAATAGTCCGAACCCTTGCAAGATGATGAAGTTCGTGTAGAAGCCTAGCAGATCCGAAAGTGACCTGGCTAAGGCGTACGCAATTTCCGTGGCGCTCGTTAGCTTCTCTCCGAAGCGTGTTAACATATCCACCAATCCAGAAGCGGTTCCCAGTATGGTGAAGACAATGAAGAAGTTGAAGAAAGTGAAGAAGAAGTTTTTGGAGATGACAGAAAGTTCGACATCGCCCTGCGAGATCATTCCTTGGTTATTCGCCAACCCTAATGATTGTTAGCAGTCTCGGTCTAACTGGAGCAACCCAAATACTTACAGTCGTAGAGAAATGGCACAAGCACATTGATCAGAGAGAGCGCTAGGGTCGGTAACTGAGTATTGACAAGGGACTGAATGATTACGCGGCTATCCAGTATAGCCGCTAACCCAGGAAAGACTTCGTTAATAGAACAAGTATTCAAGGCGCCGGCGATGGGGACGAGTACAACGGTCCAGAAGATGCTGAGCACTCCGATTGAAAAGGTGATCGACCAAGAGCGAAATATCCTTTGACTTCGGGAGAGATAAGTGTTCGACCAGACGACATCGGAGGGTGCCGGACTGGTGTTTGCAAGAAGCTGAAGTGGAGATGGATCTAGCACGGCCTGGATCGCCATTTGGGCACTTGCGACGCTATCCATGGTCACAAACGCCAGCGGAGTAGGTTTGAAATCGCGCTTCCGAAGAAGCTTAATTTCGTCGTCTATTGTGCGCAGTTGCTCCTCATAATAGTTGATGGCATCAACGGAGTGGTACCTCAGTTTGAAGCGACCGTACCATAGCTTTGTCGTTGGACGTCGTCGAGTATGGAAACTAATATGATCCGGGTCTCTGTCCGTGCCATTCAGTAGATGACCCGTTTCACTGTCATTGCCATGGATGTCATCATCTTCGTGCTCTGGTGGATGTGGCTGAACTATGGGTAAGGTTTCCATGCTTCGCCCAACACTTCGATTCCCAAGGTAAACAGTCCAGGCCTCTTCAAGTTTCCTCAGAATGGCATGTCTCTGGACCACCTTGTCATCCAGCTCTTTCCAGTCTCTACAGACGGTAACGCTCTCAACCTGCCCTATTCCAAGATCTTCAATAAACTCCTTGATCTTGTCTTCGGACCGGAGATTGAGCGGAATTCCTGATAGTCTGATGGTGCGGTCTGTGATGGTTGTTTGGCTGCCAAGATACTCCTGACGTATGTCGATTATTCTCCTCGTCTCAGATACGATCAGATACAGTATGAGTGCGGTGAACAGGTACACAAAGACGAGGTACATCCAGAGGTAGTCTGTGTAGTATTCGTGGTCATGCGACAGCGTCGTCCAAAGTGAGCGTGCTTCGATATGTTCAGCGACGCTTTTGCCATCACCTAGATGCGGGAGTTTCCCCTCCTTATCCTGGTGGGTGTCGTGTACTGGTTTAATGACGGCCAAAGCGAAGAAGAGCGTTACGAGCAGGAATTTGATGGCCATCTTGAAGAAAGCAAGATACTACGGGCAGGTTAGCTCCAGACAGTAGAGACGAGACAACACAAAACATACAACGTATGCATCCAGGCCCGCAGATGCCAGCACCTGTTCGTCTGTGATTTTCCATAGCGGTATGATCCAGCCAAAGAGACTGTCGGGAAGCTCAGGGAGCGCCGTCGCCAAGTCGTTCTGCTTCTTTCGTGCAGCATAAAGGCCTTTCCATCGCGGACGGAGTATCTGTGTGGCCGGTTAATGATGTTGTGGTGTGTCGCATCGTGTTGGGCACTCACGCAGAAAGCCAGGAAAGCTGCCAGACCGAGCGTCAGGGAGAAGTAGATTTGGATGCGGACGTCGCGTGGTCGCGATTTACCCCAGATATCTTCGCTACCCGCCGTACAGGTCTTATTGTTCTTCTCTATCATCGCCGGATGTTGTGTTCGTTCGCCATGTGTGTTGTTGCAGAAGTCGGTGTAACGCAGGTGTATGTCATGAGATGCGTCAGGACTATTCGGGCTAGATTATCCGCGCTCCGCGCATAAAAATGTCCTCCGCTCACTGGTTCTCACCTCACAACGTCTCAAGCTCGGACGAACATTTGATCGCGCAGACTAATTCGATAATTCACTAATTCGAAGCTTGTTCAGAGGTGACAATCTGACCGCAGTACATGTGATCATGACTCAATCGAGCGGTCCTAGAAAGCACGGAACGCTGTATGTTGAAGTAAGGCTTAACGAGGGTTGCAGCATCAGGTCCGAGACTATCAGGGCCAACGTAGAGAAATGGCTCGTCAGTCACCATCGCGACATCAAAGTCGGGGCTACTGTGCAGCTTGGTCGGTTTTCTGAACCCATCAATGGCTTACAACCTTAGCAAGAATTCTCATACTCTCTAGCATCCCCATCAGAGACAGCTCAAGCAATCGAACGAATTCACGTCAGCGGCCACAGTCTCAGCAAAAGTTTCCCCGACCAAACCCTATACCTGGTGTCTGAATCCTATCTAGACATTGCGCTTTACTCTCTTCTATCAGATACCGAGCACGATAGTCAACCCGAAGAAGACAAAGACGAGGGTGACAAATCTCCGTCACACCGCTTTACAGACCTACCGCTACCATACAGGTCTTTTGATGGTCTTTGGGAATCATTGGTGTTTAAAGATCCTATTGGAGAGCTAATCTTGCGGAGCATTGTGCGCGCTACTAAAGACCGTCAACACAGCGGCATGAACTGGTCTACGAGGCCGTGGCAAAACACAGTACTTCTTCACGGTCCTCCTGGTTCCGGAAAGACTACATTGGCACAGGCCTTGGCTCAACGTCTCTCTATCCGGCTATCAAACATATTTCCCACCAGCAGACTCCTAGAAGTCAAATCTCGCGCGCTTCTTAGCCGGTACTTCGGCGAGAGCAGCAAAGAAGTGGGAGAACTATTCGAGTCGATCTCATGCATGGCCGAAAACGACGAACAGCTGGTGATAGTTCTCATCGATGAGGTTGAATCGATTGCAGGTTGTCGAACAAAAGCCTCGAAGGCGAACGAAGTTGGTGACGCTATTCGGGTAAGTCAGATTGTATTCATCCATGTACGCCTACTAAAAGCAACCCAAGTCTACGAATGAAGTACTTCGAGGCTTGGACAGATTTCGAGAACGTACAAACGTTGTGTTCTGTTGTACAACTAATTTGCTCGCTGATGTCGATTCTGCCTTCGTCGACCGGTGTTACATTGAAACTCCTGTGAACATTCCAGCAGCAGACTGCATTTTCGAAATCCTTCGGGCCGATTTGAACAACCTGATACAATGTGGCAAGTTGGGCTGTGAGAAGCTGGGATACGACGGAAGACATATCGAGATGCCGCCAATCATACATTGCAATGACTTGTCTAGTACTTTACAGTCAACACAAACGTTCGACCTCTTCTCTAAAACTCCGATCTATATTCCAGATTTGACGTGGGCAAGTATACATTGGCCGAAAGGAGCTACTACTGTCGTTTCAGAGTTGCACAAAATTGCGACTCTAGGCAAAGGTCTATCGGGAAGAAAGCTTAGAGCTCTTGTCACTCAAACTCTTTACATGTACACTGTCGAGGAACCATGTGATCTTCAGGCCTTTCTTATCGCACTAGAATCAGTCATCAGAGCCAAGGTCGGAATACCTTTACGTGAGGCCGAGGCGGAAGACTCATCGACGGCCGCGTCAGAGCAAGCCACGGATAACGACGAGCATAATACCGAGACAATGGCCTTTCTGTCCAAGCTCGAGGCAGACAACCATATGGATGTTTCTGATGATTGACAAAAACGGCCCGTTTCGCACAGCACGCCTGCACCCCTGAAACAGATGGCGTGACGCATTGTTCAACTCAGTTTGGCTCACAATCGAATCAAAGGACGACCCTCAAAGTTGGCGTTCAAATATCATCAGAAACACGCTGACCATGCGATTTTGGAGATGTATTGCAGGAAAGACCAATTTTCATATGCCTGGCTGTTTCTGACCTGGCACGTTGAGCTTGTACTGCATAATCATGTATTGGCGGGCGAAAGATCAGCTATCATTGTGTTGAGCGCCTCCAACTGCCTGTCCTGGTCTGCAATTACGGCACACATCACCACGATCAGCGGCCTGTTGCACTAACATTCGAAAGAAAAAACAAGCATCGGCGAACTACTTGGCAAGAAGCTTAGCAACGATCTTGCACTAGGGTAATGCATGCTAGACGACAAGTTAAATCCGCCGAGCAAGTGCAGATGAATCCAGACCACGTCACGGCCTTATTGACGTGGTTGACAGGCATCACTAGTTGACCCCAAACTTGTCATGCTCAACGCTTTGTTCATGAGCAGATCAACGATGCAGAGACCCACCTTCGCGGACAGTACATCCGCAAGTGCGACACAGCGGACCGAAGGCCTTGAACGTCTTCGTTTGGAACGTCTTCTCGAAAGCGATTCACGTTTTGAACTGAGAGGAGACTAGTCCGCAGTATATCCATTGGATGGAGGATGGAGCTCACAGTGGGGAGCATGGATCATCGTTTCGTGTGATACGAACACATGAGGCACAGTGGTCTGTCTCGGGAGGCGTCTTTTTCGGGCGACCTTCACCTAATAAAGGGTTAATGATTGATACCCGGGTCACCCTTCCTCTTCAATTCACCGTCCTGCGGCTGACCTTCTCGTCTCTACTCCTCTTTTTCAGCACACTATCACACCATACACCAGTGCTTTGAAATCACTATAGTTGTTGGTGCTCGCACAGCCAGATCGCACAGTGTCAGTTCCTTGCGAGCCTGTCCGGCCTCGAGGACAGACCCTGTGTTCCTCGAGTCGACTTGGCAGCCAAGATCCGTGCGGCTCTTGGATAATCTTAAAACCCTTCTGCCAACGTCAAGTGGTACGTAGAACCGATCACCCTCGGATTTTCCACAGCGATCCTGGCAGTTGTCTCTTGCTGTCTGTGCGACGAGGATGGCGTCGTGCGGACGGCCGCGCTAGGAGAGCACAGCCTCCCCGCTTTGGTGCCATCCTCACCAAATCCTCCTTGATTGCCACTACTGCGTATTCAGCTATCCGCAACATGCTAACTGCAAGGCTGCGTCTCTTAGTTCCTTGCCATTGCTGCCCTCTGTTCTGTTGTTCACATTCGCAGCCCCTAGTCGATCCGAGACACTCGTGTTCCGCCATCGACAGCACCATCACAGCACGTCAGACGTCCAAGCGACCGCCAGACCACACCATCCAGTGTCGTGCATTCGGTTCCATCCCACTATCGCGTCACCCACATCTGCAATCGTATTTGCCGATCACCACGTCTTCTCTTGCCACGTCGAGATCGCGACTCTGCACGCGCTCCCCTGCACCTCCACCCGTGCGCCTGCCGCGCGCCTCGAGACTCCGAACAACCTCACAACGTGCCTTCCCCAGTAACGCGCGTTCGGCTTCTGACGGCTCCGTCACACTTCATAGTATTGTATTGTGTGAGCGTTTGCGCATACACAATTTGCGCTATTGGAACAAATCGAGAGCGGGTAGCCGCATTATGTGTGCGGCACATATAGCATGACTTCCAGTCAGCCACGCGATTCCGTTATTCCGCCCCCTCCGCGGTTGAAGAAGTCGTTTCTGTCCAGACTCAAGTCGCCCTTGTCCTCCAAATCGCGCAACTTCACCGATTTCCACATCCAGTCTGATGACCCACATCGCCAGTATACCCCGGGAGACATAATAAGTGGGACAGTTGTAATCAAAGTCGTTAAGCCGCTTAGGATAACCCATCTTGTTGTGTCTCTGCATGGATATGCACAAGTGTTCAAGAATCCAAATGCTCCCGGAGATGGATACAAAACCTACAGCGCAACCGTTGGATCTGGCGAGGGTAAGAGATCAGGCAGCTACTTTGGCAACGGTTTTGCGTCACTCTTTGAAGATGAAGTAGTGTTATGTGGGGAGGGTCGGTTGTCTGAGGGCGTATATCATTTCAATTTTGAGCTGGAGTTTCCCTCGAAAGGTTTACCCAGCAGCATCGACGTAAGTCGCGCAACGATCTGATCGCTGTTTCTCTTTCGCTGATCGTTGAATCCAGTTCGAACGCGGCACGGTCGCATACATGTTGACAGCTACACTGACCCGCCCTACTGCCATTTCGCCTACATCATCTTGCGACTCGAAAGTTCAATTTACGGACACGGTTGATATTGCTCCCATACCAGAACCGAAACAACGAGTTATCTCTTTGGAACCAATTTCAAAACGAAGTCGAGCAAAGTCAAGTCGCAAACGACCGACTACGGCTGTACCGAATGAACCGCCTCAGACGTCCAATGGTACCGAGGCCTCGCAAAATAGGCCTGTATCAAGGGCCGATGCACCTTCAGAAGAAAACAGGGGTCCTCGGAGTCCATCACCCAGTGATGTGAGCTTCGAAAGCCAAATGAGTAGCAGCAATGCGTCTGGAACGGAATATGGAGTTCGCACGGTCAACACCAACGACGGATTGTCAGTTGCTAATGGCAGCCGAGCAACCTCGAAAGGAAAAACAATCACGGCAACAATCGATGTTCTCAAAGGCGGTTTTCTGAGAGGCGACCAAGTAACAGTCAGGATCAAAGTTGACCACACCAAGCACATAAGAAGTTTAAAAGGCATCATCGTCACACTTTACCGACAGGCAAGGGTGGACATGCATCCAGCGTTGCCTGTTGCATCCAACGGCAAGAATGATAAGGTAAAGTCGGAAGATTACTACCCAAAGTCAAGGACAGGCCTCGGTGGCTTGTCTCTGTCTTCAGCTGGGTCAAGTCATCTATTTCGGAAAGATCTCTGCCAATCGTTTGCGCCGCTCTTCATCGATCCACGGACGCTTACTGCGGAGGTTAAGTGTTCGGTACGAGTGCCAGACGAGGCCTTTCCTACAATATCGAACGTTCCTGGCGCGATGATATCATTCAACTACTACATCGAGGTTGTTATAGACATTCAAGGTAAGCTTGTAGGCCTTGATCGAATGATCACAAACGCAGGAATCGTCAACGTATCGTCTGGGCCTGTTGGCGCTTCGGGCACGGCTCGGGACGACACTGCGAACAATATGTTCTCCACATGGGGAGGAAATTTTGTTGATACGGATCAGATCCGACGCGAGAAGGGAGTAATATCCAGTCTGTTCGAAGTCATCATCGGTACCAAAGACAGCGATCGGAACGGGAAAAAGAAACAAGCGCAAAAGCCGATTGCAGAGGAACCAAGCAACGTTCATGAACCTGAAGGATACGATCAGGATTATTATGGATACGATGAAAACGGCCAGTACTATGATTATGACTACGACCCTGCATACTATGACATCCCTGGATACGATCACAACGAATCAAGAGCGGCCACTGCCTACAATGCTCCATCAGGCCCTGCAGGTGGAGAGCAAGGCCTGTCGGAGAAGGAGCACTTACGGCGTGCAGAAGCAAGTTTATTACCCTCCCAACCTCCAGAAACCGCTGGACCATCATCGCCATCTGTTGGAGTTCGACACGATGTACCCGCCTCTGCTCCGTTACTACCAGAAGACGACGACCCAAATCCACCGTACTTCCCACCAGAGTCCTCATCCTCAGCACTCGCCCATCCACCTCCGCCCTTCCGTTCCACAACTTCTCCCGCGTCGTCCCCCTACATGACAACCGTTCCGTCAACACGGCAACGCGCAACCGACGACGAGTTGAGAACAACAACCACGAATTCCTCGACTACCATAAATGACTACCCCCGCCCATCTCAACCCCAATTATCTCGTACGACCAGTGCATCGAAGCCTCTCCCTCCCTTGCCTCCACAATCCCCCTCGGCTGCCCCGGAATACTTCTCCTCCCCATCCCTGCATGTCCAGCCGACAGACGATAAACAGGAGCTCCAGCGGCGACGCCTGAAGATGGAGGCCAGCGCCCCACCAGACGACCACGACGATGAAGGCGAGTCTTCTCGCGCACCTGCGCAGCGCATACAAGTCCCCTCCGCGCCGATTCTTGACGAAGATGACGAAGGGCTAGTGGACGGTATGCCTGGAAGGCGTGCACGCATATCACCAGACGATAGGAGGAAAAGCGAGGCGTTGCCCGAGTACCAGCGGTAAAATTTGTGACCCGGCGTACTTTTTTGTGGCGTTTGAGCGAGCGGTATATTCACCGCATCTTTTGTCGGGGTTTTTCTCTCAAGTCTGTCCCATGTATGGTGCGATGATGTGTTGTTTGCTTTTGTCTATGTTTTATGATACCTACCACCTAGTTCAGCGGGAACAATCGAGAGTCAGCTTCGCGTTCATGTCTGTTTGTGTCCATGGAAGTTGGTGAATGATATCTCTCTTTCTGGTCACGCTATCAAATTCACTTGTGTGGGGCGGTTGGGTTGCATGTGGCAATCGTTCCACTCGTCAACATCGGGATGAAAATTGTGGCATTTTTCATCCATGTTAATCGTGTGAGGTCGGCGTGCGGAGGAGCCGGGGTCGACGGGTGATTGAGGAATCAGGTGAAGACCTAGGTATGTCCTGGGTATCAGGGCGATTACATTTGTGCTTCTTCGACCGAGTCTCAAACATATCTTCGAACCAACAAGGCTGTTGAGAGTCGCTGGTAGACTGCGTAGAGGAAAGTGAGTTACATCAAGCACGGTGACAGCGGTGGAGACATATCACAGGCAAAGCGTTGATGGGGTATCGATCGTTCTCGTGTATTTCTTATACATATTCGTTCATTATCGAATCATCACTCATCGCACTACTTTCATGTTCGTGCTTTTCCTAGCTTCATCACTCCATACCAACGACTGCTTACAAGTTGACAGCGGTCCTGTAGTTGTCACCAGCGTAGATGGCGTTGTCACCTGTAATAAAAGTAAGCATATAGTTATGTGCGTCAACGTGATGAACTTACCGAGCTCCTCCTCAATGCGGAGAATTTGGTTGAGCTTGGCGAGACGCTCAGATCGGGCTGGCGCACCAGTCTTGATCTGTCCGGCACGCAGACCAACGACGATGTCTGCGATGGTGACATCCTCAGTCTCACCGGAGCGGTGAGAGACCATGACGCCCCATCCGGCACCGTAAGCATCCTTGGCAGCCTGAATGGCCTCAGTGATGGTGCCGATCTGGTTAACCTTGAGCAGAAGAGCGTTGCAAGACTTCAGCTCAATGGCCTTCTTGATGAACTCTGGGTTTGTGACGGTCAAGTCATCACCGACAATCTGGAAGTCGGAGGTCTTGTAGAAGTACGACCAGGCCTCCCAGTCGTCCTCAGCGAAGGGGTCCTCGATGCTGACAATGGGGTACTTCTGAGCCAGGGACTTGTACAGCTCAGCGAGCTGCTCGTAGGTGAGCCACTTGCTCTTGTCGCTGTCGGGGTTCTTGAAGTCCAGGTCGTACTTCTTCTCCTCGGTCTTGTAGAATTCGCTGGATGCAACATCCATGGCGATCTTGACCTGGCCAGTGTAGCCGGCCGCTTCGATAGCCTCAGTGATGAGATCAAGGGCCTCCTCGGGGGACTGAATATCGGGAGCGACACCACCCTCGTCACCGACGTTTCCGGCAGACTGTCCGTACTTCTTCTTGGCAAGGGTCTTGAGCTTCTGGTAGACTTCAGAACCCTGGCGCATAGCCTCGGTGAAAGTGGGAGCTTGGCTGTTGACAGTTAGCCAGGTCTCGGGCACGTCAGGTTGGAGGGTTGGCTTACGAAGGGACGATCATGAATTCCTGGAAAGCAAGGCGGCCACCGGCGTGCGAGCCACCGTTGAGGACGTTTTGGACTGGGTTGTCAGCGACGATCGAGTGGAAGTGGAGGAAGTTTTCTTACAGGGAACGGGAAGGACGTAAGGCTTCTTGGTGCCAGCCAAGTCAGAGATGTGAGCGTAGAGGGGAACGCCCTTCTCGGCAGCTGCGGCCTTTGCGATGGCCATGGAGACACCAAGGATGGCGTTGGCACCGAGCTTCTCCTTGTTCTTAGTGCCATCAAGCTTGTTCAAGAAAGCGTCGACGGCGGACTGGTCCTTCACATCGAGGCCCTCCTTGATGAGAGCAGGGGCAATGGTGTCGTTGACGTTGGCGACAGCCTTGGAGACACCCTTACCACCCCACTTGGTCTTGTCTCCATCGCGGAGTTCGCAAGCCTCGTGCGAGCCAGTCGAGGCACCTGAGGGGACAATGGCGCGGTGCAGACCGGTCTCAGTGACGATGTCGACCTCGACGGTGGGGTTACCCTGGAGATGGTGAGTGCTGAAACTAGCAGCATCACACGGCCATACTTACACGAGAGTCGTAGACGGAGCGGGCGTGAATCTTTGTGATAGGCATGATGTTGGTGGTACTGTAAGTGAATGCTATCAGTAAAAGCTTCACTCGAAAAAATCAATTGCGGAATCGGAGAGCTGTGAGCGGGCGAAGAAGCATAAATAGGCACAGCTCAGCCCTATGATGCAGCGGAGAAGGAAGAAACGCTTGACATGGCGCCCAGCTCTCAATCGTCTGAGCTCTGTGGGACCTCCCACAGGCGTCGGCGAGGCGCGACAGCAAGATTCGGCCGCGGATGGGATTTGAAAAGGCTCTGACTTACCAGGTGGGAGATTGTTTGTTGGAGTGGGGGTTAAACAAAGCTACCATGGAGCAGCGACAGAGTTTATAAGTAGTTGAGCACTGAGGGGCAGTCGCGCCTCAGTGCCCCGCCAAATGACGCGCGCGCGCACCTGCAGCTGAGCGTGGTCTGATATGCGACAAAGGCATTGCAAAAGCCTCAGAGTGGAGTGACTGTGGGTATTGACTTGTTGAAAATATTGAAATCGAGTGATATATCCATCCATGCTCCATTCTTCACAGCCTTTGACACCACACAGACACAGACAGGACGGGCAAATTCACGGAAGCTAGGCCCAGACTTCGTGCTCAACACATTGTGTTGAGGAGCTGACAAACTAGGCAGATAGGCACGTAAAGTCATTCGGTCAGAAATCGGTAGGATCAGTCGCGACAACACGTACGCACCTGCATTCTCAAACTCCGTCTACTGAGTTTCTTCAAAGGTGCCAGGCGAGGTTTGCGAGGCATCTGATCTTTGCCCATCTATCCTCCATTGTGAAATGTCCAGTCTATCTTACACGCCATCATCGTCATCTTTTCCTGTCTCTCGACTGAGATCGCCTCCTCTTCGGTGATCTCGATCTGCTTTTCCATCTGCTCCTTGAAGTCGCATCATCCTTTCCCCTGTGCTCCAGCTCCTTCCGCTTACCAGCACTCTGTGCAGAAGATCGAGTAGACTGGTCCCCGTCCGTACCCTCCATCACTCTCTCAGCAGCACTCTGTCGCAGCGCCTTTCCCGCGGGCATACCTGTCCCACTCGACGAGCCGGACTTTGTCGCCCCAACAAAGTCAACCGATGCCCTCGGCGCTTTCGACTTCTGCTGTTCCCTCGCCTTGAAGATCTGCCTCTGTGAAGCTTTCAGTTCCTCTGCATACGCCCACTCTGGAAACACGGTCGGCACCGCGACTTCCTCTGGTAGTGTGGACGCGTATTGATCCTCTTCGCTGATACCTGCAAAGTCCATCAACTTGCGCAAGTGGCCTGGATCCCGCAACACAGACGAGCTCTGCAGTCGCTGGTTGAAGTGCTGCCCTTTCTTTTTCAGCTCGAGGAACTGCGCAAACTTCTTTGTAGCCTGTTGTGGTGGTGATCCAGGTGGAGACGGCGGTATATCAAAGTTGGGCGCGGTTGGAAGGGTAAGGTTCTGAATCATGGCTCGATTTGTTGTATACGGTGAGCCTGGCGTGACATCGCTGGTGGGCGCATTGTCGGCCGGGGACGACTGCGCGGCCGGGCCCTGAGACGGCCCATTTACTGGTCCCGCGAGTGTCTGGGATTCTTTGGGCAGAGGTTGGTTAGGTGAGGGTTTTTGCGTGGTCGCAGCTGCTTTGGGAATGTTGGTCATCTCGATATTAGTAGCTATCATAGCCCCTTGGAACACATTTGCGCGCCTCACCTCAGGCTTCGCCACTGGAACCGCGTCTTCCTCGTCGCTGCTTTCGTAGTTGATTCCGAGCATCTTGCGTGCAGTTGTTCTCTGCGGAGAGCTCTGCGATGACCGCGCTGAATGGTTTGGGAGGGAGCTTGGGCGTGTCTTGGCACTCGAGCCACAGCTTCGCAACCACAAGCTGCCTGAACCGCAACCACACCTCTACCCCAAACGCCGCTTTCAATTCCAACGCCTCCAAACAACTCACGGTCTCTCTCTGCTCTACTCCACTAAACAAAATCTCCCAAGAATCACCATGAACCACCTTCCGCAAGCGTGGGGTCGTGTAAGACGCGCAGTGTACATCGCAAGCAACGCCATCACTGACCTGACCTTGTATAGCCCAGAGACGATGTTTACGGCGCCTACGACCACTCCCACTTCCAGGCTAATGGCCCCAACCAGCACACGCAGAGCCCCGTCGTGACCGGTACCTCAGTACTAGCGGCGAAGTTCAAGGATGGCGTGGTCATTGCAGCAGACAACCTGGGTATGGCATTCAACACATTCCATGGCCAACACATGACTTGATCTGACGTGTTGTTGCAGCCTCGTATGGCTCTCTTGCCCGTTTCACCGACGTCAAGCGCCTGCGGAAGTTCAACGACGAGGTGGTCGTGGGCTTCGGCGGCGACGTCTCAGACATGCAGTACCTCGACCGTCTGCTCAACTCCCTCGATATCCGCGAGAACTACTCGTCCTCCGACGTCTCCCTCAACGCAAAGAACCTCCACACATACCTCGCCAAAGTCATGTACAGCCGCCGATCCAAGTTCGACCCGCTGTGGAACCACCTTCTCATCGCTGGTATGGATGGTGAGGGGAAGCCTTTCCTGGCAAGTGCAGATCTCCTCGGTACCACCTTCTCCTCGCCATCGATTGCTACGGGCTTCGGAGCACATCTTGCACAGCCCATTATGCGGACAATATTGCCAGACGAGGCGTCAGTGCAGAACGTCACGAAGGAGCAGGCGGTAGAGAAAGTCAAGGAGTGCATGAAGGTTCTCTTCTACAGGGACGCCAGGAGTATGGACCAGTACTCGATCGCGGTCATTACGAAGGAGGGCGTTGAGTTGAACGAGAATGTGAAACTGGAGAACCAGAGCTGGGCCTTTGCAGAGAGGATTAGAGGATACGGCACGCAGACTGCGTAAAGTTCGGACAATATGGAAGAGAAATGACGAACAGATCAAGTTGACTGGCATCTTGAAAGTCAAAGAACTGAACGATAGCTATGAATGAACGTACCACTTGACGGTATGATGACCTAACTCCTTATCGAGGCCAGTACACAGTACTCGAATCTAGAGATGTGACTTCTCTTCTACCCAGTTGTCTCACGTGTTCGTCGCTCCACACAATTTGCCATATTTCATAGAACGCGTGATACGAATCTACATTCGTGTTCGATTGGAGATAATGAGAGGCAGAACGCGTTCTGGCAAGTCTTAGACGTCCATCTCCGAGCAGCAAAACGCCATCGAAAGCAGCCACCCCCACCACCACGAAAAGCACAGGGACTGAACTTGCAACACAACGAATGAACGAACGAAAAGTCCTCCACCCAAGGGACCAATATATTCCGCCCACCCCCCACGAACCCCTACCACATAATCCCCCTCCAATCAAAATCCCCATCAATATTCCTCCACCTGCCTTGCTTAACCGCGCCCTCCCACCCCATCATAACAGCCAACAACCTACACCCCACACTACTAACCGTGCAAACCAACGTATCAGCCTTCCCCAGCACCGCCAGATCAAGCAGATAAACCCTCCCAACCAATTCCCTCAGCTTCATCGCCTGATCCGGCACGTTATCCGCATCGAGTTTCAGCGCATCATCCGCGTTGCCGACGGGCTGGCCCAGGCTGAAAAACACGTCCCTGTAGAACCCGCCCTCCCAGCCTGTAATCTCGTCGATCCAGGGATTCTTCTTGCCGTGCGCGGCTTCGAGGGCGGCTTTTGTCGCCAGCACGATGTGGTCTTGGGCGCGGAGTGAGTTGGGGCCTAGTTCGGGGGATTCGTAGACGGCGGGGTCGTCGGAGGCGAGGACGAGCTTGGAAGTGGTGTGGCGCGCGAAGAGGGCGGGTGTGTCGTCTTGCTGTTGCGGCGAGTTGCCGGTGCGTTTCTTTGCTGCTTTCAGCCCGCCTTCTACAAGGTCGATGTATAGATCGCGCGCTGTGTCGAGGTAGCGCGCGAGCGGGATGTAGTCCTTTTGGTACTGGTACTCCATGGGGTGCTTGTCGCCGTGGCGCACGTGCATGCCGATGCTTATCCCGCCTTCTTGCTTAACGGCGCCGTAGACGTCGAGAGCGCGGTTTAGTACGTATTTTGCGTCGTTGGGGCGGAGCTTGAAGAGGGCTTCGTAGCCGGTGCGTAGGAGCGCGAAGATCTTGTGTTGGCGTTGGACTCGCATTTTGGTTGCGTCTTCCCATTCTTCTGTGAAGGCGTGGCCGAAGTGCGATTTCACCGTCGCTCCTGAAATTACAATGTGGCGGGCCGTGTGTGGGCATGGGACCATGTGCGATTTGGGAGGGGGAAGACATCCTGCTGTAGGAGGTGGGATGAAGTATGACAAGTACTTGCCGTATGGCCTAACGATAGTCAGTGAATGATCTCTCTCATGCGTGATTGGTTTGGATGAGAAGTTTGGAATTGTGACATACCATCTGGTATCGTCGATGAAGAAAGTCCTGCCCTCGGTTTGAGCCAAGCCGTACGACATCCATAATCGCATCAACGTGTTACCGAAGCCTGCGTCCTCCGTCTCCATGACATAAGTCAACGTCTTGTCACAGACCTTCAGCCCCGTCGTAGATAGCCCATCAGCAATAGCCTCATCCTCGACGAATCCCTTGGGCCGTTTCCCTGTCACCTTCGACGTCGGCAGCAATCCTTGTTCCTCAGCCTCCTGAACATCAAGATAATACTGATCTTTTTGGTAGTAGTTGAGCATGCGTTTCGCAAAGTTAGCTGTAGTCTGAGCGTCTTGACGGAATTCCTTAGACAGCTCGAATGACTGATGGCATATTTCGCGGTATTGCGCTGGCCTAAGTGGGAAGTCATAGTTCTCCGGAATAGACACAGTCCACCTCATCTTCCCATTTGCGTCTTGCAGTGCGAGAGCAGCGGGCTCTTGTGGTAGTTGACTGCCTCCAACCATCTCCCATTCCTCTCCGTCTTCCCCATATCTGGGTGTTTGTTGCTCGTTGTCGTACATCTGGCGGAGGACAAGCCATAGCAAGAAGACTACACCACAGCAGCCGATGAGTATCCGCTTGACCAGTCTCGAGTAGTTTGGTTGCCATTGTTTTCTTCCATGGCGTGGAATCAAGGACGGAAGGCTTGGCGTCAACGGAGACTGGCTCGACAACAGGCCACGGCGAGACGCAGATGTTGGAGACAGAAGCGCACCAGAAGTCGCCGAGTGTGGAGGAGGTTCAAGGTATGAATACGAAGGCGGAGTCTGTATAGACAGATTTGGATTCCGTCTAGCATGCATCTTGGAGAATTTCTGAGTAGCTTGATTGAGCATGTCGAATGCTACGAATTCAGGACTTATCCTCGCTATCGGGATAGATATATCCAAGTAAGTCTGTCAGCTGCAGCGTGATGACGAGCAGTTGCAGCAAGAAACCCGGAAGATACTGAAAGTCGCCTGGCCCTGCAGGTTGTTGAGCAATCAAAAATGAGGGGACAAGGCCAGCGTCAAGCGTGCCCGTCAAAGGAGAAGAAGAGATAGAGAGGGACGAAGAAAATGAATCAAATCCACAATATTCCCAAGAAAGCAGAGAAGGAAGGAAAAGAACCACAATCCTTCGACTTCCCTCGTCAAGATATGAGGCGGCAAAGGGATTACCTTGCGGCAAAAGTCCCGTCCCAAAGCGCAACAAGTTTCACAAAACCCTCACAAAACAGGTGCCATCCTCCATCCAAGGCGCCAAATGGTATGTGAATGAAGCCAAAGGTAATCAAAATTCGCGGATCTACCGTCAAGGATCTCACACCACGATGGACCTAGCTAGTTGCAGTGGAGCAAAGCTTGCGACGTCCGGGAAGGAGCGCAAGAGAGATGAGTTCATTCATTACCGTCATGTGCGGGGCGTCCTGCAAATGGCCATCTCGGACGTCGTCGTGTCAAGACCTGAAACACGGCCGTCTGTAACAAAGTGGGGCCTTGGAGGGGCCCGTGTCCAGAAACTAGTGTAGAGTCCGTCTCCGGCGCTACAAGTCTGACATCCCGAGGCTCAACGGGCGCCAGCTCCCATGGGTCATTTGCTCGAATCTCACCTCACATATATTGGGCCACGCAATACGAGAGACGTGGACAGAGAACATATTTCATTCTCCCACAGCGTTCCAGGTAATGACGTCAATCGAGTACCATGAGCATGAGGCATACTAAATACCAGCCATTACGGCGCAATGGCCTAACACTGACCACGAAACCTTGCATCTCGCATTGCATCCAGCAAAGCAGCAAAAAAGAAACGGGGTATCAAATCGAAAATCCCTCGGCAGGAAGAAGCCTCCCAATGCGTAGCGATAAAAGAGAGCGGCAAAAATAGTAAGAACCAAGGGCAACACGAAAGCAACAACACGAAAGTGTCCCGTGCCCGGTTCCCTAACCCACAATATTGTGGAAAACGCCTGCGCTCCCAACCGCGCGAAAATATGAGAAATTAAGATAACAAGAAAGTACGGCCGACATCTCATCCTCATTACGTAGTGTCCGTTGCCGTTCCGGGTCGTATTCATGGAAGCGAGATGCTTCGCGCTACACCATATCTCCTTTTCGATACTATCGACCCTCCGAGACGGGCATGAGACTGCTCCGTCGAGCCCTGTCAACTCTTCCTGTAATCATCTCGTCAAGCATTCTAGTCATCTCCTCGATGTTCTTCCCAGTGTTGTTGGAAGGCGGTGGTAAGAACGGTTTCGGACTGGTAGGTGATGTTGGACCTTTGGCGACAAGACTCACGCCACTGGCTCTTATGCTGCTCCCCTCGCTATTGCTGCGCCGGTACATCGAAGTTCGCCTGCTGCCCGGCGATCCATCGCTCCCGACATCGTGTGCGTTCTCGTTCTTCTTCCGGGCTGACGTAAGCGCTGCGATCATTCGCTCTTTATCTTCGAGTTGTGCTCGCAGACTGCTGATCTCTGCATCTCTTTCTGCAATGGTTGCAAGCAAGCCACCATCCTCGCTACTCCCAAGCTTATCTCTGATCGACATTGAGACGCGGGAGTGGCTCGATCTCCGTGCTTGTAACAGACGTTTCTCTAATGTGGTGATGTACCGATTCCTGTCGGCAAGATCTGCTTGTAGTGCATGTATCTGTGCACCCTGACTCGCACTGCCGTCGCCGTTCTCTCCTACTGAATCGTCTTCTTCGGATCCGTCAAGGCCATGAGGAGCGGAGGAGTGATGCGAATGACTCGTCCGTGGTACTTCAAGTGTGGCATGGCTTGCGCATGAACGTATGGAACTCGGTCGCATGTCGCCCGTGTTGCTGAAGACAGAGCCGCGGTGGAAGCTCAACGAAGAAAATGACGGGCTGTTGTTGACACCGAGAGACTTCGAGCTTAAAATCAGCCTATTGAGATGCTCGATGCGCTCTTTCAATGCCGTGCGAGCCAACTGCATCTCGAGTATCTGCTCGTGATGCCGTTGCCTGTCTTCAAGTTCACGCGCTCTTTCTTCCTCTCTGTCTCGTTGCAGCTCATCTCCATATTCTTCTTTCGTTTCCTTGGCCTTGCCTCCTTCGAGTTGTTTCTTCAGCTCTTGAATTTCCAATCGATAGCGGTCCAGTAGCGCCCGGCTCCCTGCATCTCCGCCAGTGCCCATGGACTCGTCTGCTTTCTTGGCATGGCTAACAATGTTGTTCTTGGCTCGAGACGCAAATTTCAAGGTGTTGAGTGTCTCGCCTGTATGGTTGGATGCTGCAGCAGTGCTACCGCTGGCCCCGATTTGGATTGTGCAAAGAATACTGACCAGAGAATTTCCGGAGAGAGCGGGCTGCAGAAGTCGAGTGAGCTTACTATCTCTGTACGGCAAGTGTGTGTCGCCCTTGCCCTTGTTCTTCTCTGCTTTCTCCTTGTCACTAGCCAATCGACCAATTACAGTGCCCAGCGTGAGCAAGCTCTTGTTGATATGGGCACCTTCAGTCCGTCGCACTTTCTCGTCGGCTGCTTTTTCGGAGCCTGCCAAGTCAATCAAACTGAGCGTGGACACTCGAACGCCTCCAGGAACGACGGCGGACCGCTTGTTGTGGTTGGTATCGCCAACAGGTCCAGGGGCGCGTTCTCTGCTCTCGACGACAATCTGCACAACCGCATGACTGCGCGAGCTGTGCGCATTGAACTGGGTTCCAGCAACTCGTCTAGCATTGTCACCCCTAGCGATGACTCTGAGGAGCTGGGTGGGACTTTGCACGATTTCTTCTTTCAGTGGCGTCGCATAAACCCCGCGTTTGCTATCCTCACGTAGCTTGATCTCTTCCTGCTGTCCGGGCTGGCCATTGGCACTCATCACAGGCCCCGCCAACAGGTCGTTTATCTTTTCGTTGTAGATTTCGAGGTAGCTGACTCTCAGCAGGAATTCTCGGTAAGGTGTCTCGCGGATGTAGGAAAAAATGTCGGTAATGGCCAATGGAATGACACCTGGGTTCGTCGCTGTTCCTTGCATGGAAAATGTCTTGCCGGTTCCTGTCATCCCGTAGGCAAACACGGTGCCGTGATAGCCCTCCATGACCCGTCGAACCAGTCGCTTGGCGGCAGCATCGTATACGCGGGCGTTGTTGTCTTGTGTGTCAAATACGTTGTCTGAATAGATACGAGTCAGCGTTGCATTCTTTTCCCTGTTTCACTTTGTGCCACTCTACCATAGACGTAGTCTCCGCCTTCTCGGCCTCTATATGAGACAAGTGCGCGTTTGTTGTCAACTCCCCACTCCATCTCTTGCTTGCTGTCCTTGGCCCCAACATCTGGCCGTACTCGCACGCTGACGATGACGTTGCCTTTGCCATCTTTCGAGCTCGAGTTCTTGGTCTCTGACCGCCCCCTCGACTCGTCATCTATGTCCTCGAAGGTCGTCGCGCTCGTTGCGTATGATCCTTGCGGCGAAGAGTTCCGGCTCTGTGGAGGTGAAGGTAAGCTCAGGTGGCTGGTGTCGACAGCCACAGAATCCACGCTGCCATTGAGGAAACTGGTAGGCGCCAATGGTGATTTTGGGAGCAAACCCCGCGCTCCACCGATGTTGGACGTTCTCGGTTTCTTGAGGCTGCTGTCCCGGGAGTGTAGCGACACCTTGGGCGCGCTCGACATGCGCTGGTTGACTGTCTCGCCGCTGGGTGTCGAGCTCGTCGAGAGCGGGCTGGCAGGGTTTGATCTCGCCATATGTCTGGGCGGCTGCGGGAATGCCCCGATGCTGACGGTCTTCCGTAGCGACTTCCCAACAGGGAGCGAGCCGGCAGGGGAGACGTTGGCTAGCGTAGGGACAGAGGGCGAAGTGTTGTGTTTGGGGCTCGGCCGGTAAGCTGGCGAGGAGGAGACGGCGCGGTTGGAGGCTGCGGCACTAGGAAGGAAGGAACTGGAAGGGACGCGTGATGCAGGGCCAGCGGTAGAATTTCGCGTTTTTGCTACCGGCAGCGAAGGCAGCGGCCCAGACGGGGGCGCGATGGATGGCCTGGACGGGCGCGGGAGCGTGTTGCCCGACATCTTGTTTGGCTCGTCCAGTAGACGCCTGCAGATGGCTCTCGCAGCTATGGAGAGGTGCTGGGATGCGCGGATGCAGCCTGCACCTTGCTTTTTTTTACTGGAGCCCTACGTCCACCGCGCACACATCCGTCGCTCCCCCAGACCTCTTCACCACTCGAGGTCGATGGCAGCGCCGCTGTTGCGTGGGAAATTGTTGGCGGACGGGCGGTCCAGTGACGTTTTCGTGCAGCCGCGTTTGCTGCGTCGACGGGAGACAAGCTGCGGCAGCAAGCGCGTTGTGGGCTGGAGGCGGACGAATGCAGCTGAACTAGGATCCCTCGGTCTGGAGCTCGAGCAAGGCACAGAACGCGACAATACAAGGCGTCGAATGTCACTACAGTCGCGACTGTGGTCTGGAGTATTGCGAGGATGGTAATATGGTGAGGCCCTCAGGGTCCTTAGGACGGGAATCGAAAGCTTCGCGGGGACCAAAGGAGCGTAGTTGTCGGCAAGAAGCGTGCCTGTCGGCGATACTACCCAGCAAGCCTCTCGCTGTTGCAGGGGGACTCGGCGCAGGGACCGCCCGAGGATAGACGCCAGTTCTGTGGAGAAGGAGAATCGAAGGACCAGCTTGCACTCTAAAAGAGCGTAGATGATGGACATGGGCAGGCACAGCAGTAGCAATAGCCGCAGCAGCAGCAGTCGGAGCATGCCTCTTTCCTGCGGTAGGCAGGGGGATAGGGGCGCGCATTTTGCGGCACTGTTGACTGGCGATAGACTCAACTCACCAACCCAATTGGTGAGCCCAAGTAATTAAATCGGGTGCGACCAGCCTCAGAGGCACAGTTGCGCACCAGAGCTGCAGGCCCGTGTGCTATCCACCTCCACCCTGCAGCGACACGAGCAGCACGAGCAGTTCATCACCCAGTCCGGCTGACTCGCCATGCAACCACTGGTCAGCGCTCCTCCCCGCTCCAAACTTCACGACAATGCCAGATGATCGCAGATTCCAGCCGCCTTCCAACTCCTGCGGGAGCTGATCCTCACACGTCACATTACATCTGCTGGCCCCTCACCTCGCGACGACTTCTGAGAAGTGGCGGGCCGTTGGCCTACACGCCCCTTTGGGTAATCTCCCGAGTCACCAAACTACCACGAATGGGGGTTGGATGGTGCGGGGCCAGGCTTGGATGCCAATCACTGTGCATCTCGTCACGTCCAGCCTTGTGAAGATCACGTATTGTTTATAGCATCAATGCGTCGCCACGCCCCTGGTATATAGTGTTTTGTGTAGAGCTACAGTCAGGAGAGGCTTCTTGTTCTTCTTGTTCACGTTGCTCTTGGAAGCATAAGCCATGCTTTGCGTTTAGCGTTACAGAAGGGCGTGCTTCTGTGTCTGCTGAAGTTGCTTACAAGAAAGTGATAGTCTGTAGATGCGGGGAATGGTTGTTACCTCAAACGGTAGGACACTGATATGTAGACATGGCCTGTGCGAATTGTACTACATGTCATCTCCCAACTCGAGTCTCTCCATTGTATATTTCATTGCGCCATCATAGTACGACATGAAGATCCGGAACACGCCGTAAGATCTGCAACTCGGGCGCATGATCCGGAGTAGCTTCGATGTCCAAGACAAACCATCTCGATGATACATGTCACTACTATAAAAGCACCCTGTATCGATACCCCATGCCATTGATAACGAGACTAAGCAGACTGGTGTAGGTAACGCATCACAACACGTCATACAGTGGTCTTCCTGGGGCCAGTGACAAAAGCAATGATCGGTCAGAATAAACATCATGGCATTCAGTTGCGAGCTTTCAAAGCGTACCCCATCCAAAGAAATTCTTGCCGACGTTGGTCACGGCGAAATACTGGAGTCCCCACAATGTGAGGTCGATGCTTAACTCCAAGGCTCCGCAGAGTGCTATGCGAGAAGCGTGCGTGCCAACCGTTCGCCAGCTCAAGTCGCTAAACCCAGACAACGGCATTACGGTTCGAACCGGACCTCCTCGACGGGCATAGTAGTGTGAGGCAATCAGCCGGAGGACGACTAGCTTCAGGGGCAGCACTGCGAGCCCGACGATCTGTGACTTGACAATCGCACCAATCATCTGAGAAGGTTCAGTGGAAAGCTGGGTAACACGATGATGAGGGTTTGTTCCCATCACCCGAGAACCGACGCTCTGCGCAGGAACGACTTCGGTATGGCTTGAAAGTACGCGTGGAGGCAACCTGACCTCCATCTCAACTATGCCTTCGCGAGAGGTTATCCTGATCCTGGGGTCATTTTCATCCTGGTCGTACTCGAATGCCGGGGTTGGCGGTGTGGTCGGGCGTATCAATTCGACTATCGTCTCGATTGGGATTGATACAACGTCGCTGCGAGGTTCCACTATATTCTGGTCTTCGGTATGAGCGACCGGAAGCTCTAGTCGTGACATGTTTGTGATCTGAGTGCCACCGACATCTATAGTCTGTCCCTCACCCACGCTGGGCTTTTGCAGTGTTTCAATCGACTGGCCCCAACCAATTGCTACAAGCAACCTGTTGATCGCATCCCGTATGAAGAGTGGCGACTGTCTTCGCAACCCTAGAATGGCTGTTGTCCGATCTTTCCTGGGAGTTTCCGGACTTTCTACGTCCGCGTTATCAGGACGGATGACGGAGATCTCGACAGCGTCATAAATGGCCGCGTGTATCCAGCGTTCGTAAAAATGGTCTGCGCAAACGAGAACGGCGGGAGAAGTTAGCACTGCCTTCAGGAAGTCCATGGCAGAGGCAGATGCATTGTAGTGTAAGGAGAGAGGTAACAGCGGAGACTCGTTTGAAAACGGAATGAGCGACTTCCAGTGCGGTAGTAGTGGCAGCGCTGAAATGATGCCGAGACGTTGCAAGCAGGCATGGTATGAGAAAGGATAGAACAGAAGTTCGAGGACTGGACGAACACTTGGAGCAGAGTTAGTGGTTGCACAGTTCACGGTTGATAGCGGACTAACCCAAACTTCAGAGTGCTCCGCGTCCGTCGAAACAGTCGACGTGTTTTCGAGCTTGCTCGTGTTGCAAGAAGCAGTCGGTCGATGGGTCGGTGAACGTGAGTGATATACACGAAGGTTTGTATGCACATGGTAGAGAATATACGAGAAGCGAAGCCCGTGTAGATGATGGAATGGCCTGAGACGGCGAACTCAGAGGCAACGATGCGTGCGAATGGAAGAGCATCTTGGATACGAAACGTCTATACACCATGAGCTGAGCTTTGGTGACTGGCGACAGCGGACGAAGCGTACCAGTATTCTGTATCGTACCGCACCCATCCACCATGTGCAGACGTTCTCGGCCAGTGTAGAGATCAGGGCAAATGCATTGCCCGCTGTGTCCTCGGCCTCCAGCCCCTCCAAGCGCTCCTCGTAAGAGCCCGGCGGTCCAGGAGTGGGCAGTCGTCGCCATTCAACCACTCCAACCGAGGCGAGCACATCATTCTGGGCTTTCCTGAGCCTCTTTCCATAGTCGTGGCTGCGGGGATTCACGGGATTGCCGCGTTCATCGTACAACTGGATGTAGTTGTTCACGTTGGACTCGAGATATGCTCGGGGAATTTCCGACTGTGACGATTCAAGCTGGACATATTCAGTAGACTGCGTAGCGACTTGAGTGGGCTCGAAGGCTGATCGTCCCTGGCATTGCTGTCAGCCAGGTATGCTGCGTGTGGATGATCTTCAGCAGTCGACGCACAAACGCGATCTTGTCCAGGTAGGCTTGGCGGCCCATGGAAACGATTGTGTTCTGCGACTCTCACCGACGTCAGAGGGGCAGTTGGAGCATGACAAGCCCATGCTGAGCTCGACAGTTGTCGCGTGCAGCTCGAGGTCTGACGCGCCTTCCCACCATGCTAGCGCGCCTTATCGATAAGAAATTTTCCAGAACACCTACCAGAGCCTCGAACAAGGCGCAGCTTCGAGATTGAACCTACAGCACAATGGCGGCGCAAAGGGCAGCAGTCAAGACTACCTACGAAGTCAATCGCACTCTGCAGCCCATCTATTCGGGTGGGAGTCTAGCTCTTAGTGAAGATGGCCGCATACTGGCCGCGTCTCTGGGAGAAGACGTGCTGCTCACAGATCTTTCCAATGGCAAGGAGCTGGGCAGGGTACAAAGCGTACGTCCATGTTCTTCTTCACGACTGCCTAGAGCATGCTGACAGTTCATAGGATGGCGAGGCAATCACAGCTTTGGCTCGTAGGTCAACTACACGTCTTGCGACTGCTTCTTCATGCTGATTTGAGTCCAACAGTAACGCCTTCTGCCTCCCACCTGATCATTTGCTCGCGATCGCTTTCCATGCGCATATTATCGCTTCTCCCTTCCGACACCGACGATGAGATGCTCCAGCTTGAGCTCCTCCGAACATTGCGACCGCACACTTCGCCCGTGGTTACGTTGGCGGTAGACCGGACAGGCACGCTCGTAGCAACTGGCGGCGCAGATGGCGTTGTCAAGGTGTGGGACATTCGCGACGGCTACACGACACACAATTTCCACGGACATGGTGGGGTTGTGTCAGCTCTACATTTCTTCCAGGTTGAGGTTGCGGACAGGGACGATGCATCAGAGAACAACAAGAAATGGAAACGCACCAAATCACAGCCAGAAGAAGATGAGGAAGCTCAGCAAGATGGCAGGCTCGAGTTCCGACTGGCGTCTGGCGCCGAGGATGGCAAGATCCGCATCTGGAACCTGCACAACAAGAAGAAGCCCGTCGCTGCAGTCTTGGATTCGCATGTCTCCGTCGTGCGATCGTTACAATATTCGCCCGAGGAGAATGTTCTGGTTTCAGGAAGCAGGGACAAGACGTTGATACTATGGGATTCGCAGAAATGGAAAGCACAGCGGACTCTTGCGGCTCTAGAAGGAATCGAGAGCGCAGGCTTCGTTGCAGCCGGGAAGATCATATTTTCCGGCGGAGAGAATGGCCGAGTACGACTCTGGTCTGCATCGACTGGCCAGGAACTCACCCAGGAGCAAGAGCCAGGAATCGAGACTGATGAAATCGTCAACATCCTGCACCATGCCTCGCTACCATATCTGGTTTCCGTACACGCCGATCAGGTCCTCAATTTCCACGCCCTCAAGTCAGTGGAAGCCTTAGTTGACGAGACTATCGAACCGCTCTCCATCTTCCGACGCGTGTCTGGCACGCACGACGAAGTCATCGACATGGCTTATGTCGGACTAGACAAGTCTCTTTTGGCTCTGAATACCAACTCAGAAGACATTCGGATAGTTACACTGAATGAGTCCGACCCCACAGACGGAGCCACCCAGGGCAGATATTTTGGCGCAGATGTAGGGTTGCTGAAAGGCCACGAAGATATCGTCATCTGTCTAGACGTGGACTGGTCAGGGCACTGGCTCGTAACAGGTGCTAAAGATAACACAGCACGACTCTGGCGACTGGACCCTGCGAACGATTCTTTTACATGCGCTGCTGTTCTTACCGGACACGCAGAGTCGTTGGGAGCAATCGCCCTGCCACACACCATACCCCAAGAATCTTCAGCAGCATACACCGATCCATTATCGCACCCACCAGCATTCATCGTGACGGGTTCCCAAGATCGGACTGTAAAGCGATGGGACGTCACAAAAGAAGTGAAGCAGAAGTTGCGCGCAAAGTACACCCGGAAAGCCCACGACAAGGACATCAATGCCATCGATATCGATCCTTCCAGCAGCTTATTCGCTTCAGCATCGCAAGACCGCACGGTCAAAATTTACTCAGCCACCGAAGGAGAAGCTATCGGAGTATTGAGAGGTCATCGCCGTGGCGTGTGGACCGTCAAATTTGCGCCTAAAAGCTCGCAAGCCCCTAATTCCGGCAGCAAGGGTTTGATCGCAACGGGTAGCGGAGACAAGACAGTCAAGATCTGGAGTTTAGCAGACTACAGCTGCCTGCTCACCCTCGAAGGCCATTCCAACAGCGTCTTGAAGCTCGCATGGCTGCCCTACCGTCCAGTCGACGCCCGCGACAAGCGTGGGGCACAAATTGCTTCCGCAGCCGGTGATGGACTCGTCAAGGTATGGGATTCAGTGTCCGGTGAAACGATGTCGACACTCGACAACCATACTGATCGTGTTTGGGCCCTAATTGCACATCCTGCGACAGGCACCCTGGTATCTGGTGGTGGCGACAGTGTCATTACCTTCTGGGAAGACACAACCACAGCGACGCTCGAGGCCGCCACAACCGCCGAAACAGAGCGTGTGGAGCTAGATCAGAAGCTGCAAAACTACGCATATGCTGGGAACTACCGCGAGGCCATCACACTGGCCCTGCAGATGGACCAACCCGGCCGCTTGTTCTCACTGTTCAAGAGCGTGGTTGAGACGGAGAAACCAGACGAGGGGAGCATGTCCGGCCTCGATGCCGTCGACGACGTCCTAGGAAACTTGGCAGATGAGCAGCTCTATAAACTTCTTTTGCGTCTGCGAGACTGGAACACAAACGTCCGAACCGCTACTGTGGCTCAGAAGATTCTCTGGACCGTCGTCAAGTCTTATCCTGCATCGAGGCTCGCAAGTCTGAGACCTGCGGGCAAGGTCGGGGCAAAGGGCAGTCTCAAGGATGTGCTCGATGCCATTAAAGCGTACTCGGAGAGGCATTACAAGAGAGTGGAGGAGCTGGTGGATGAAAGTTATCTTTTGGATTTTACACTTCGGGAAATGGACGAAGTGGGAGGCGAGATGCAAGCCATCACGAACGGCACGTCGCATCTGGGGTTGGAGCGAGATGTAATTATGGTTGAATAGGTGTTCTGAGTATGTAGAGAGAATATACCCTGTCCTCTAATCCTACGCACGTATATATCTTTCCACTTACTCTACCCTGTCTCTATGACGCAACCGCCAAAGCATACATACATCTTCAGAAGCTTTTGCACGTCTCTTTAATCAGAGAACATCTTCGTTGTGCTGACGTTGATCCTGCACACTCGTTAGCGATCGCTCCATACTCTTCTCACGCACCACAACAACAGAAACTCACCTGCTCCAGCCCTTGCCCAGCCTCAGCGACTCGACAAACCGCGCCGGCCAGTACAAATGATATAAGACGAAAAACGGCAACGGATCCTCGAGCGCAAACGTGCCATCCCGCCAATACACGACATGATACAGAAACGTTTTGATCCCACGCACGACACTATCCCACGCCCCCTTCGCAAACAAGAACTCAAGGATAGGCAGAAGGACAAACTCGATCAAATCGTGCCCAATCCAGTAGTAACTGTACGTCGGCGCCCTAGGAAACACAGGCACGCTTTCCAGCGTGCTCTTCCCGAATATAGACAGATACGCGTCGGCCATCTCGGGCGTCTGGGCAAAGAGCACGACGGCCGTGTGCGCGCGCGGGTTGCATTCTATGGGGTAGAAAGACAGTTCGCCGTCGGCCTCCTCCGAGACGAGGAAGTCGAAGGATAGATGGCCTGTGAAAGTCTCGCCGCCGTGCGATACAACGCGTTCGGTGAACTTTAGCATCTCCTGGCTGAGGCTCGAGTATGCGGGCAGCGGCTCGTAGTGCATGAGCAGCTCGGAGCTGGGGCAGGAGGTGAAGGCTTTGACTTGTCCGCGGATGACGAGCGCGTGGGTGCAGTACTCCTTGCCCTGGATGAACTGCTGGAGCTGGAAGGGGTTTGTGCGCGAGATGTTGAGGTTGCGGATGTAAGTTGACGTTTTGTCTGCGGTGGGGAAGGGGAGGAGTGTCATCATGTTGTTTCTGGCGTGGTCGTCGACGCCAATCGGTTTCATGATGTACTTCTTGCCCAGCGTGGTGCCGTCTTTGCCGTCGAAGTCTCGTAGGAGAATGTTCAGCGCTTGCTCTGCGCTCGTGCAGCGGTAGCTCTCTGGGATCGGCAGGTTGAGAGACGCGATGTAGTCGATGAATTTGTCCTTTTCGTGGAATTTCTCCACTACGTGCTCGTCGAATTGGATGGCTTCGAAGCGGCGGCCGTGTGATAATGCTTGTGCTTCTGCAAGCCGTACGACTTGGCCGTCCTCAACTGCGGCCAGCACGCTCGAGCAGCTTATCCATAGATCAACTTTTTCGCTCCGGATGATGGAAAGGATAGAGTCGATGTATGGCTCCGCATCGTCTCCATGCGGTGCTTCCAGGCGGTAGTACTTTGCAATTGCGCTGGAGAAGCGTCCTGGGGAGAGGGAAGAAATGTCAGCGCCGATGATGCGGTGGGAAGTGTGTTGTGAAAGGACGCGCGCAATGGCAAGGCCCTTGGTCATGGAGACACCTGTGACGAGGATAGTTTTGCGTTGAGACGCCGCATCTTTCTGGGCTTGAATTTGGATCTGAGTTCTCTTGCTGGGTACATCGCGACCAGCTCTGAGTTTCGTAACCGCGAGGCTGAGGAGAACAATAGTTGCCGACACAGGAATGCCAATGAAGCTCAGCACAAGCAAGAAAACATTCTTCACAAGATGACTGTAGAAAAAAGGCACTCTGCCACCCTTTGACTCTCTCATCTTGCTTTGGTGTTTGACGTGTGTAGAACGTGACCGCGCACCCAAGTCGCGCGATTTTTTCTCTTCTGCCGCTGTGGAGTGACGCAAACCTCAATGTCTCGACAACCAAGCGAACGCCAATAGACCTAGCGGCTGAGACGGCTCATAGGCCAGACTCTCCTCATTTACATGCATATGTGTGCGCGCCGTTCTTGCCCTCTTCTGTACGTTAGCCGTCTTCGCGTTGCATCTTAGTCTACACGTCATGGTTATTACATTGTTACTAGTAGCATGTGAACCCTGGTAGTTTTAGTTTCGGTCAGAGGTCGAGACTCAGAACACTCCGCTGTCGGCAAAGGATCATGCCGTGTAATGCATGTGAATGTAGTGGGGGGGTTTATTTGTTTGTTTACAAAGTGGGTCTTCAAGATACATATACGAGACACGTACTATGTAAGTGGCAATTGAACGACGCGTTTCAAGGATTTCATGGGACGCTGTTGTAGTATTCAAGAGCTATACGGTTACATCTGCATGCAAAGCCATGGATCTCTCCACGTATAGTCCTCATATCACGCCACTACATGTCCTGCAACAACTACCTGCCTCAATATGCATGCCTTGGTTGTGATCATTCGATCCTGTTGTGATGTGCAGTGTGGGGGTACTGATTGCTTCTCCTAACCAACACAACGGGTGATCTCAACACCATCCTGTGGAAAGTCAGTTCGTGATCTGAGCAGGATGACTGCGTGAAGTAAACTCACAGGTTCGCCCGTTGGCTCGTAGCTGTTCACCAACTTGCTCTCATACACCAAGTTCGGGTTGCCCTTGCTCTGATTGAACACTGCCTCACCGTACCTCTTCTCGTACATCTTGACGTTCTTCTCTGCGATACCCTCGGTGTTGCTCGAACCGCTTTCGTTCGCCTTCTTCACCTTTTCTTCAACACTGCTCCTTACATACTCTAGGTATGGTGGGTTTCCAGGCTTGATGACATTGTCGGCCGCCAAGACGGTACCTTTTGTCACCAACTTCAGCTCTTCGCAAAGCTTCAAGTCAGTCGTATAGGCGGGCTTGTAGTGGTCCAGGAACATGAGGTCGATGTGTTTCAGCTGGCCAGAAGAGTACAGGCGTGCGATTGATTCATCGCTCGAACCTACAACGACCTTGACGACATCGGAGAGCCCTGCAAGGTCGACGAGGGACATGATTACAGCAGCGAAAGCAGGATCGCGTTCTAAGCTGAAGTATCGCTCGCCGCCTGCTTTGCGGACTGCATCGCCGAAGAGGATACAGGAGTATCCAACATAACCACCCAGTTCGACCTGATATTGTTATTAGACGTAGCGAGTGACTTCCTGGCGATCTCCATACCATTGTTTTTGGCTTCACTTCCGCGATCAAATCTGTGACGATTTTGCCCTTGTCCTCTCCGACGTTCATCAGATACTTTTTCGTGCGGCCATATTCGTCGATTGCATCGCGAACCTTCGTAGGCGAGCCTCGTATCTCTTGAATCTTCGGGTGTGAGTATACGAAGTGAAGAAGCTCAATTTCGCGTCCGTCGTCAAAGAAGCTACCCTCCTTCTCCTGCGCGGCGTACGCTTTGCTCTGATCGAAACTGCCCATGATTGCTATTGAGGTTGGGGGAAATTGATTTTGCGTAGAGACTTGCAATTACGACGCGTCCAAGTTGCCCCTCAACGCGTGGACCCTAGTGCGGGGTGATGCTTAATGATGACGAAAATAGCGCAGGTACAGTACCTGGTTTTGGAGATGAAAAAAGTCGAAAGTGTCGGTCCGCAACCATAGTATCATTCCGTGGGGTAATATGCGCGCCAACCTTTAAAAGTCATCATTAGCAAAGACCCTTAGTAGCTTTCTTGTTGATCATACTCTTAATGGACAAACGCGGGATGTCTATGCAGTTGGAATCTGCCGTTTCTTACGTCAAAATGCCGTGACGCACATGAACGCATGGTTACATGCGGACATGACTAGCATGTTGATGTGCCATGTGCATACGCGGTTGCACGACGTTTGGACAGCTCTTCGGGTGGGGCGATCTATGGACGAGACTGGCTGGCTGAGTGCTGACGTTGAGATGTACCTGTCGTCAACGACTCTAGAGCTCTGTCGGCCATACTAGCCGCTTAGGTCTCCAGGAATGGCATGATCTTAGGCGCCAAACCGTTTCCGGTACGATCTCTCAACGGCCCACAGTGCCCCAAACTTTATCTATCCGATGCGGGAACTAAGATCGTAGAGATCTTGTAGAACGTCATGTAAAATTCGGATTGTGTGGTGTCCTGGGGTTGTGATGGCCGTAAGGAGAGAAAAACTGGCTCCAATTCTGGAAGGGGGAAGTTGACTGCATAGCTCGGTAAATTGGCGGTACTGCAGGGTCCGGTACTGCATCTACTATTCAGAGTCGTGAAATGGCGACAAGGAACTTGCAATGTTGCCCCGCAGTTGCAAATAAGGGTGTTTGGTGCGGCCTCCCCGGGGCGTACTCCGCTATATGCACTAAACATAGTTAGCACTAGTACTACACCAGTTCTGTCCCTGACCAGAGGCAATTGCAAACACAGTGCTTTTTTTTCAACCATGCAATGGCTTGTAATTGCATGTGGCATTTCAACTTTCCCATTTTTTCTTCGCGCCGGAACCGGCTTCTCTTCTGACCCTGAAAGTCATTTCATCATTGGGAGCCAGTAATAGTCTAGTCTACCGCAAGTACATTTGTACCAAGTCCACATAGCAAGGAATCCATCACTGCGCTGCATCATAAGCGTAAAAACGCGTATGGTTGACGTCCTCGGTATCATTGTGAGCCAATTAAGCGAGAGCGTGATGTGAGAGGGGAATTTTTGGTCTAAAAGATGGCCAGTCCAAAATGCTTTATATAGTGACCATAACCCCGTACTTTGGCCAGCCAGACACTCAACGTATCTCATACACATCTTTTAAACTTTCCCATCATGTCTGACCTTAAGGCTTCCGTCACCGAGACCCAGAACGGCTTCCATGTCGAGGGTTACGAGAAGATTGAATACGAATTCACCTTCCTCGATGGCATCTTCAACACTGCCAACCCCCAGCTCTCCAAATGCTACGAGCGTTGGGGCCGCTGCCTTGCTGTCATGGATTTGAACATCTTCAACATCTACGGCAAGCAGATGCAGGCATACTTCGACCACTACAACCTGCCATTGACGATTCACAAGACCATGATTGGCGAGAAGGCCAAGTCCATGGAGACCTTGTTGAGCATCGTCGACTCCATGACTGAGTTCGGTATCATCCGCAAGGAGCCCGTTCTGACAGTGGTATGTATCAACAGCCTCCGACTTAGTATCAAAATGACTGACAACGTTAGGGTGGAGGGTTGGTGACTGATGTTGCTGGGTAAAATATAACTCTAAGGCACTCTGGCCGGATATCTTTTGAAGAACTTTATTGACTCGAAAAAATAGTTTCGCGTGTGCTGCATACCGACGAACCACCAACTACATCCGTATCCCCACCACCGTCATCGGCCTGATCGACGCCAGCGTCAGCATCAAGGTCGGTGTCAACTACGGCAACTACAAGAACAGGCTAGGTGCTTACCACGCACCTATGCACACATTCCTCGACTTCGGTTTCCTGAAGACTCTTCCTGAGGCACAGGTCCGAAACGGTTTCGCAGAGCTCATCAAGATCTCTACTTGCGGCCACAGGCCCACATTCGACCTGTTGGACAAGTACTGCGAGCAGTTGATCACCACACGCTTCGGTCGTGAGGGTGACAACGAGGAGGTTCGCAAGGCTGCGGATGAAATAAACCGCGCCGGTATCCACGAGATGCTTAAGCTCGAGACACCCAACCTCCACGAGATCGGTCTTGACCGTGTTATCGCTTATGGACACACATGGAGTCCTCTCCACGAGGTGAGTGTCACAGACGACATGACCTCGAACCATTACTGACAACGTGACAGCTCTCTCCTCCTGTGCCCCTTCGTCACGGTCACGCCATCTCTATCGACATGGCGTACTCTGCGACGTTGGCCAACCAGCGCGGTCTCCTGAGCGACGAGGAGCACCGACGCCTACTCAACCTCTTCTCCAGGGCAGGTCTGTCCATGGACCACGAGATGTTCGACGAGGAGATGCTCGAGAAGGCTACCGCAGCCATTCTCAAGACCCGTGACGGCAAGCTCCGTGCTGCTGTCCCCAACCCCATCGGCACATGTGTCTTCCTGAACGATGTCACAGCCAAGGAGATGAATGAGGCTCTGCGACGACACAAGGAGATCCTCAAGGAGTACCCAAGACAGGGTGCTGGTCTTGAGGCTTTCGTCGATGCTAGCGACACCGGCTACACATTGAACGATGTACCAGTCGAGGAGGCTATGAAGAAGGACGCGAAGGTCATGGACGGTCTTAGCAACGGTGCCGTAAAGGACCCTGCTAAGGGCCAGGCTAACACCCTCCCTGACGGTTTGGCTGAGGTGATGGCGAACGGTTACCCCAACGGGCATAAGAACTAAGTTTGAGTCGCGAACTAGGAATTATATGCAAGGGTATAGATAGTGGTTGAAGCAGGTGGAAAAAGTTCTTCAGTTGGCGGTTGTCTCCATATTTCTTAGAGAAAAAACGCACTGCGCTTTGCGCCCATCAGCCGACAATCAATATATTGTTCAGCTCATCATAACATTGTCTTCATCATTGTGTGAAAATCTGACACTCACCACATCACGATCGTGACATGTCCACTTCATTTTGACACATGACAAGAAATTGCAATGTGCCGCAGTCCTCATAGCGCCTTTGTTCAAGGCAACATGACAAGAAAACTCTGCACGCTGCGACATGCACGTTTCGCACAAACGACAAAATAACATGTTCAGCGCCTTTTGTCATGGGACAAATGCGTCGCACAAAGGAAAAAATATGTACTCCATAAAAATCGACACCAGCGTCCCATCGCCATCACTAAAGACGACCCAACGAGACGGCAGCTTCCTACAGGAGAGTTGTTCTCCGGAGCCACGCCACCGTGAGGTGACTGGCAACCAAAAGCAACAGTGATACTAATGGTCGTGGCTGGCTCCGTTAGCTTTTTTGATATCGAAAGGAAGCAGAAAGTTGGGCGAAAAAGTTTGAGACCTAGTAAACGGGCTAAATTAGCGCAATTACATAAGAAAAGACTCCATATCACACAGTATCATGCCGTGGTTTTACCGAAGTTGGTCGATGCGTTGTTTTGTGCATTGGTGTAAGCGGACTCAGTAGTTCGCAAAGGACGTGCGTTAAACATCGACGTTTCGCACCAGGGACCTAGTATCACTAAGGTACCGCGTCAGTGTAAAATACACTAGGTTAGGTAAAATTATACTACGTATAAGGGTAAATTTATACTTTTATACTATATTTAGCTAAATTTACCTAATATTTTAAATAATTTATATTAATATTAAAAGATTTATATACTTTATTACTTTTAAATTACTACTGCATAAGAAATCTTTATAAGGAAAAGAAAGTAAAATAAGTAAAAATAAACTTTTATTTATAATTATTATATAATTACTACTTCTTCCTTCTAAGCCTTAACTAAATTATATATTCTAGTATAGTACCTAATAGATTAAATACTATATTAAAGCTATATTACTATAAGTAAACTACTTATAGATAGCTTAAAATATAACTTTATACTAATTAATAATAAACAGGCTCTTACTTAACTTAAATATATTAGGCTAGAAAATAATACTATTAAAGTTATACTTAGTAGTAAAGAGTATAATAATTAGGTTTCTACTATAGTTAAGTAAGTACTAAGTAGTAGTATTATTACTTAAGTAACCTACTATACTAGTATAATATAAAAGAAATATTATAAAGATTATATAGCTATACTTAGTACTAGTCTAAGAATTTATAATAATATAATATTAATTATTTATAGCTAGAATACTATTTAGACTATATAAGATATCTAAAGTAGAGATATTATAGTAGTATATATTAAATAAGAAAAAGTAAGTTTTAAATAAAATAGCCTAAAGTTACTATTAGAAATATACTATAGTTCTAAAGGTACTAGGTATTAGTAGTATAGCTATATCTAAGCTTACTTTATTTAAAGCTATAAAAGGACCTACTTTATTATTATTATATATAAATATATAGTTAGAAGGGACTTATTAGTAGCTATTAATATAGTTATTTTATAAACTATAATTAGTATTATTAATACTAAAAGTAAAAGGTTAAATTAAAGTTAGCTTATAAAGTAAAGTAAGTAAAATATATAGTAAATACTATTATATAAAAAGTAATAGTAGAAGTCTTTATACCTATTACTATAAGTAGAGAAGTAATTAGGACTAGTATAGGTATAAAAGTAAGTAGTAACTAATTAATTACTATTTAAATAAAATATAAAGACTATAAATAATAAAGGATATAATTAAGAATAACTATTTCTAAGTTAAAGAAATTAAAAGGTTAGAGTTAATAAATAAGTATAAATAAGTTAAAGTAGGTAAAAGTATATAAAAGTAAGGTTATATATATATAGGCTAAGCTATAGTAATATTTAGTTATAGTAAAAATACTTATAATTCTAAAAATATTAGCTACTTAAACCTACCTATTTAAATAGTATTTATTAAGGTTATAAAAAGAAAAACTTTATATAATAGTAGTTAGTAAGTAGCGTTTACTTAAGCTATTATATAAGTTATACTTATTATTATAGCTTCTACTTTAATATAAGAGATACTAATAAACTTAACTATTTATAGATACTTAAAGGTTTATAATAAAAAATAATATACTTAAGAATAATTTAATAATTAATACTTTATATTAAATAAGATCTACTTTATTAGCTTTATACTATAATTCTAGATACTAAGTACTAATAATAGTAATATTTTATATAATTCTTAAAAGAGGCAGAGACTTTATATACTAACTATAGTAGGAGTTAGTATAGTTATATATAATTATTTTATATTAGGTATTTAGTAGACTACTATATTAACTTTATAATACTAGTTACTAAGTTTAAGCCTAATAAAGAGTTTAAGAAAGAGTAAGCTATAAAGTAATTAAACTACTTAAAAGATACTAGATTTAAAGAGAAATAATTATACCTATAGCTTTATTATAAATTATATAAATTACTTACTATTAATAGAAAAGTATATAGTAAAAAATTAAATATCTATACTACTTAACTTATTACTATTATAGACTTCTTTATTATAAAACTTTATAAATAATACTCTATATAAGTAAAGTATATTATTCTAAGTAATTAGATATATTTATAATATCTTAGTTTTAAGTAGTATTAATATACGTTAGCTACTAGTACTATATTATATTAGTATAAATATAAATAAGTATACTAGGCTTAAGGCTGTTACTATAGCTATAGTAAATATAGTAGTAGTACTACTTATACTTATAGCTATATATATACCTACTACTATAGTTACTAGCTTATTACTTTAATAACCTAAAAATATTAAGTTTATACTGCCTAGTTTACTTATAATAGTTACTATAATTACTACTATAGTAACTATAGTTATAGAGCTAGTACTATATTCTACTAAATATAGTATAGATTTATATATAGTATTATATAAGGCTATATAGTATACCTTTCTTTAAGAAGCTAGTTTTAACTTTTAAAGTAAAGTTTTATAGTATTCTAGCTACCTTCTTAGATAGTAATATATAAGAAATATTTTTAGTATATATACTAGTAAATCTTATAAAGTCTATAGTACTTAGCTAATATTCTAGTAGCTATAAAATATATATAATTAATAAAACTACTACTATACTTATTACTACTTCTTACTATAGCCTTTTTAATAGTAGTAGGCTAAAGTTCTATAACTTTATATAAGATAAGATTTACTATTCTACTACTTATATTATAAATAATAAATCTATTATTAATTATAAACTAGGTATCTTATACTATACTATATAAAGTCTTAAAGTATATAATATAGTAGACTCTAGTTCTATTATAATAATAATATCCTTAAGTTAAGAAAATTTTAATAGGTTAAAGCTAGCCTTTTTAATAGCTTAGAGTATATAGTCTTTTATAATATTAAACTAAACTACTAGTATAGTTACTACTAAAGTAATAAGTAAGGATCTTTAAAGTACTTTTTTATACTTTTTATTAAAATTCTTAATTAAATAAGCCTTTACCTATATAAGGAAATCTATATACTAGTATAGAAGTAATTAATAAAGTCTTCTTAAGCACCTTTTTATACTTTAAGTTAAAGTACTTAATTAAGGGAGCCTTTAGCTAAACTAGAAGATTTATAATAATATTAACTAGTTACTTATATATACTTTAAGTAAATATAAAGAAAATCTTAAATATATATTCTATTTATTAGCTATTAAGCTAAAGCTCTATCTTTTAAGATACTATAGTAAGCTTATAAAGACCTAGTTTATTTATTATATATATCTAAATTATTTATACTAGTCTTAAATATATTACTATTATTTTAGTTATTTTTATTACTTATAGTATTCTTTCTTATATTACTTAAGTTAGTAGGTATAAGGTAATTATTTTAAAATAATATAGCTTTTAATAATATTATATATTTTTTACTACTAGATTTAATATTAGATAGCTTAGAGATCTCTTTTATATTATTACTACTAGAGTCTTTATATATATTAAACTAACTATTAGCCTAGCTATATATATTATATATATTATATAAGGTCTATTATAACTTTATATTTAGTTAGAATTACTTTTTTTAGACTAATACTTTAAATTTCTTTAAGATTACTATATATTACGTAGTTATTAAAAAATCTATTACTAAGGAGTAGAATATCTCTAATACTAATATATTTTATAAGGTTTTAACCTTTAGCTATATATTTTATAGAAAGATATTTCTTATATTAAAGATCTACTAAGCTTTATATATATTACTAATATACTTACTAGTATTTACTAATATATAGTTAGGTACTCTATATAGTATTTAAGAACCTAGTTAGGTATCTACTTTATTTATAGAGTAGTTATCTTTAAGTACCTATAGTAATTTAGTATCTTTACTAGGCTAGCTATTCTAGGCTAAATATTAATAATCTTATAACTCTTATAATTCTATACTAGAAAGGTATATAAGTAAAGATTTAATATTATTTAGCTTATTTATACTAGACTAAGTAGTAAATATAGTAGTTTTATAAGAAACTCTCTACCTTACTAAAAGATAACTAGTAATAGTATTTAACTACTACCTCTTTAATTAGGATAAGTATTTCTATATTAGCTATTTATTTAGATTATATAAGCTATAACTACTAAAATATATACCTTTATTAAAGTATAAAGTTATACTATATAAAAGTACTAAGTCTTTAAACCTATTATAAGGTTTAGCTTTAGGCTTATTCTTATATACTAAAGGAGTTAGAAATAGCCTTATATATCTAGAAGTAGAGCTTAATATTAAAGAGTATACTTTCTTAGTTTACTTATATATAAGTAGTACTATTAGTTAACTTTAGTTTAGTAGATTACTTTACTCTTTAATTATAACTATTCTATCTTATATCTTTATTTTAATATAT